CTGGACGAGCGCGAGGTGGGCGGAACCCTATGATACGCACTCGCCGCAGCATGGAACGGTCATCCATGTGACCAAGGACGGAGATGTGCCAACCGTTCCTATCGAGGTGGAACGGCAACCGGTCGAGGACGAACCCATGGAAGCTGTTGAGGAACCCGTTCCAGACGTCGAGATGGATGAGGCTGAGCCAGAGCAGGAGGTACTGCGGCTGCCGGCACCGGAACGCCCAGCTGCCACTGGATTGGAGTTGACTGCGTACCGGCCTCCACCTCAAGCGTTCCAGGACGACCACCTGGTGTTCCACCCCGAGCCGGAACGGACAAGAAGATCCCGTGAACCGGTGTTTCTCTTGGGGAACGGTGACGATGACCAGGAACGCAAGTCGGAAGGGAGTGATGGTCCCCCGTGTATGAAGCGACCCAGGATCGACGAGGACGGTCTCATTGCGGAGGCTGTACTGGCATACGTGGCCAGGATCGACGATGGAACGGATGTCCCGGCAACGTATGCGCAGGCCATTGCTAGCGAAGACGCAGATGCCTGGCGGGATGCAATGGACACGGCGTTTCTCTCGCACGAACGGAACGGAACGTGGACGCTGGTACGACGTGGAACGCATACGCGTACGATTGGTAGCCGGTGGGTGTTTGCCAAGAAGCGTGACGAGAACGGTCGCCTGATCCGGTACAAGGCACGGTTGGTTGCGAAGGGTTTCAAGCAGAAGTACGGTGTCGACTTTTTCGAGACGTACTCCCCGGTCGCGAACATGAAATCGATCCAGGTCGTGCTGGCAGTGTGCGTGGCAGACGCATACGTGATGGAGCAGTTGGACGCGGACACAGCGTTCCTGAACAGTGAGCTGACGGACCGTGTGTACATGGAGGTGCCATTTGGTATTGAGAAGGCTACGAACTACGTGTGCCAGCTGAACAAGGCTATCTACGGCCTGAAGCAGGCGGCCAGTGCGTGGAACAAGACCATCCACCGCGTGTTCTTGGGGAACGGTTTCAAGACCTGCGCGGCGGACCAGTGTGTCTACGTCAAGCGTTCCAGGAACGGCTTCATTTACGTGTGTCTGTACGTCGACGACATGATCATCGCTGCGAAGACGAGTGGTGAGGTTCATGAGGTGAAGAACGCATTGAAGAACGCGTTCAAGATGAAGGAGCTCGGCACGGCGAAGTTCATCTTGGGTATGGAGATTGATCACAACAAGAACGCTCGGACGCTCATGATCAAGCAGACGAGGTACATTGACGACGTGGCGGAACGGTTCGGCCAGCGGAACGCTAAGCCTGTGGACAACCCGTGCACGTCGGGCCTGAAGCTGGCTAAGACGCAGTCGCCCGGAACGGATGAAGAGCGTACTGAGATGAAGTCACGGCCGTACCGTTCCCTGATCGGATGTCTGCTGTACATCACGACATGCACCAGACCGGACATCGCGTACGTGGTGACCCAGTTGTCGCGATTCCTGGAGAACCCCGGTCTGCAGCATTGGCGAGCTGCCATTCGCGTGATACGCTACTTGAAGACAACCCGGGAGTACGGTATCGTGTACCAAGGTGGCGACGACAGCATCACGGTTGAAGCGTTCACTGACGCCGATTGGGGAAGCAACATTGACGACAGGCGTTCCGTGTCGGGAGTCATGGTGATGATCGGGAACGCTCCCGTAGTGTTCAAGTCCAAGTTCCAGAGAACGGTTGCGCTCAGCTCTGCGGAAGCTGAGTACATGGCACTGAGCCTGTGCGTGCAGGAGGTACTCTGGACGCGTGCGATACTGAAGGACATGGGCAAGGAACAAGTGGACGCGACGCAGCTTTGGGAAGACAACCAAGGAGCGATCGCGCTGGCCCAGAACGCTAGGAACCATGCTAGGACGAAGCATGTGGACATTCGACACCACTTCATCCGCGAGAACGTGGAACGCGGAACGGTCAAGGTGGACTACGTCGAGACGAAGCAGCAACTGGCGGACATGCTGACGAAGGCGCTCGGGACAAAGACGCTCAAGCACTTGCGGGACGCTAGCGGGATCAAGGAGAAGGTCACCGTACCGTAGCGGTGAGTGGGAGTGCTGAAGTGCACCGCTAAGTACGGTTCCGTACCGTACCTGAACCGTTGGCACGGTTCACCCTGAACCGTCCTGGAACGCTTCCTATTGGGTAATCTTCGGGATGGTCAACTTGGTTGGTTCGACTGTGCAGCAAGCGGTGATTGCACAAGCAGACACAAGAGGACAACAAGAAGGAGAAGAGGGGAGTAGAGTACTTGAGAAGGACAAGTAGGACAACTTTGGTAACTTTAATCAACTCACTTCGGCATTTGCCATCAACAACACAGGCGTTCCTCAATAGGGGGTTCGCACCGGCAAATCTTCAGTAGGTTACTCAAGATTTGTTTTGAGTTTTCTCTCAAGATCGTCGTCAAAATGTTGAGATAGGTTCCCACTGGTAAACGCGACCTTTCGGATTGAGGTCTTCCGAAGCTGAAGAACCCCCTCGGAGATGCATGCAAGCTAAGCAGAGATGAAGAAGCAACATGGACCGCGGCATGGATAGTGGTGATAAACACTTCATTTAATTCTACCAGGTACTAGGATGGAAGCGGTGGAGCAGCAGACCATCGCTGTGAGCGACTGCAGCAATCGTTGGTCCGCACCTACGTGAACCGCTGCACCAGCACCCTCGCGGTCAGCGGCGGCGCCGCACGCACCAGGAAACAGCAGTACCCGCGTCTCAGCGCACGCGACGAACTTGACGTAGACGTCGCCGTACTTCGTGCTCCGCAAAATGCAGCACCGTACTGGCTGCGAAGGGGGAATCTTCCTCTCTTTGTTCTTCTTGGTCGAACGCGTGACGTATTCCTTCATATACGCGGCTTCGCTGCGATTGTTACAAAGCGCAAACTCTCCTACCATGTGTCATACCTTAGCGTGCCGCCATCGTTCCGTTCTGATGGCAACCAAGAGCGAGCTTGTGCTTCCTGTGCTGCCGCCGCAGCTCCGTCATTATGGCCCACAAGCTTCTCCCCCTCGCCGATTTTGAGTTGCCTACTGAAGACGTTTGCAGTAGCAATTTTGCTACTGCAAAATTCTCGGCTCGTCTGCGTGTTCTTGAGTAGGCATGTATGATTTAGGTGAGATCCTACTGAAGATTTACCGGTGCGAACCCCCCCCAATCCCTGTTATGATCACCAGGAAACCTCCTGAGCTTAAGAACATGGGTGTTGTCACCAAGGGTACGCTTGGCACCGTCATTGGCTTCTATCCTCCCATCGAGTCTCGATCATGTGTTGACGTCGAATCCGATGAACCCACGGTAATTCAACTGGCTTCCCCACCCGAACTGCTTTTGATACGCCTGCACGACTGCAATACAGTTCTCGTAGATGGTTTGCCAGGCATAATTGGTGTACCTCGAATCTCCTCCAACATCAAGTTTAATAATATGCCAAACTTGGCTCAAGCTTCTATCACCATCAAGCAATTTCCTGTGGTTCCAGCATTTGCTTGTACTACAGAAAAACTCCAGGGGAAAACTTGCCCCGATGGCGTCGTTGTCACCCCGCTTCACAGATCAGGTGGCGTGCCTACACAGTCACTGTATGTGGCTCTCTCGAGAACGAAGACCCTTGATACCCTTACACTGACGAACAAGCTCACTTACGACCGCATCGCAAGATTTAAGCCAGATCTCGAATCAGCAGAGGAGATGAAGCGACTCATATCCTTCATCATTGAACCGCCGTATTCGACATCCCTACAACACGCACAGTTCCGCGACTGGAAATCCCTGCAAGATTGACTGATACCATAGGCGCCAACCGTTAATAGCTGCTACAGCCCATTGATTGTTTTCATTATGTTCTGTTTTTCTGGGGTTTTTCTTCAGCTACGCTAAGAGACATTGCGCGCACGGCGCGACTCAGTATACTTCCTGACATGCACTCCCTTGAGGCGACCATCACTCCTCATCTCTAAATCTAGACCTCGGTGATCGTCGAGGCTGGCACCCTCTGGCCGTGAGGGTGCCGAATACAAATACGTAAATAAAACGCCAGTAGCGTCGGCCACGCTTAAAGTTGAGCGGCATTACTTAAACGGGGTTTCAGATTTTTAAATTAGGGTCATACATTTATAGAGGTCTTTTTAGCGAACAGTCGCTGGAATACTGAAACTGAGTTTAACTGCAAATAGTTTGAAACTTCTCTCTAAATATAAAAAGAAGGAGGTCGCGTTGCATCAGCGACTGTTAAAGTGACACCTCCCTAAATGAACCCCTCTAACTGACCATGTGTTCCCTACCTGGTTAGGATTCCTCGACTGCAAACGGGATTATATGGATTTCACTATAGGTGTTCTATAACTGATCAAAAACTCTTTATTCTCTAAATGGACGCCGTAGTAATAGATCCAAACTCATATATTTTTCTCAACCACTTGCCTGCCTCCTCCCACGTATGCCATTGCTACCACTACTCCCGCCACAACAAATCGAGCGAAGAGAGAAATTGTATTTGGGATGCTAAGTTGGAACAAAGAGTTTGCAGTAACTAAATACTGATAAATAAGCTAGCCACAGTATTTTACAATCAGCGCAGCGTACATATATATTTTACGAAAAACTAAAATATTATGATGTCGAGACAACTAGGGGCTATGCAGTAGATACCAAGCAAAAGATAAACCTGCAGGCATGGTGGCAGGATATCGGGACAACAAATATTCCCATAACCTCACTGTATTGAAACTCACGTACAACCTGAGGGGATGCGATTCTGCTAATACCAATGAGAAGAAGGAGTAGGAACAGACAATACCGCGCCTACCGTTAGTTCTGTCTGTGTGAAGACGAAATAAAACAAGAGTACAAAAATGCTGGAGGGGTACCAGGTAAAGAAAGCCCTTGTACTGTGCACCGAACATATGAAAATGTAGCCATTAGAAGTGTAGCCATTTCTTCATCTGATCAATTCTTTAACTGAAACAGCGTATTAGACCGAGCGAACTAGGTGTCATTTATAGAGGTGTGACTGTATGCTCTTAGCTTACGCTAAGAGAACTACTTAGCTTACGCTAAGAGAACTACACTATGTTAGCAGTATGCTTCATTCAATACAGTCATTGAGCGCCTAGTTTTCCAGCACCACGCGGTAGCGCACCGAGCCGTCGCGCACCATCTTGATTCCCTCGTTCACCTTGGCCATCGGCAGCTTCTGGATCACCGCGCGCACGTTCTTCTTGGACGCGACGTCCAGCATGTCCTGGATGTCCTGCATGCTGCCGATGTTGCTGCCCACGAACTTGGCGCCTTTCGCGACCACGCCGAATGCGTTGAACTTGACGTCGTCGTTGGGCAGACCCACCATGATGCACGTGCCGCGCACGGCCAGGAAGCTCAGGAACAGCGAGTACGGCATGTTCTCAGCGTTGGCGCAGATCAGCAGCACGTCCACCGACTCGGCCGCGTCCGCCGCCTGCTTCTCGTCCGTGTACACGATAAACTCCGTCGCGCCCAGGGCACGTACCTCGTCTTCCTTGTTGGCCGAGCGCGAGAAGGCCACGACATCAGCGCCCAAGGCCTTGGCGAACTGGATGCCCAAGTGGCCCAGGCCACCAATTCCCACGACACCCACGCGCTTGCCAGGCTTCACGTCGGCCTCCTTCAGCGGCGTGAACACCGTCGCACCGGCGCACAGCAGCGGCGCCGCCACGTCCGACGGGATGTTGTCCGGGATCTTGAAGGCGTACTCGTGGGCCACACGAACGTAGTCGGCGTAGCCGCCATAGGAAATGGCCATGTCGTTCAGGTACGTGTCGCCGTACGTCCACACTTTGCGGGAGCAGTAGGCGTCGTCTCCACTAGCGCACTCTTTGCATGGGGCCTTGGGGTCCTTGTTCAGGCAGGCCCAGACCTGGGCGCCGACGCCCACGCGATCGCCGACCTTCAGGTCCTTCACCTTGTCGCCGGCCAGAGTGACCTCGCCGATGATCTCGTGGCCAACCACGCACGGGTAAATGGTCGGGCCCCAGCCGCTGTCGATGGTGTGCACGTCCGAACCACAGATACCGCAGTGCGAGATCTTGATCTCGACGTCCTCGGGGCCGAGCGGACGGGACTGGTACTCCCAGGGCTTCACTTGCTCGCCTTGACCGAAGGCGGCGTACGCGTGCACGGTTCTCGGGGCGGTCGACATCCTGAAGTTGGCTGTTATTGTCTGCTGCTGCGAAGGTGGCAAATTGCAAAGTGAGATCGGTGGGTAGTGTGAACATTGCTTGGAAAAGACAGCAACCTGCCTAACTAATCTCCGGTCGGTGACGTAATTCATTAAGATCATGTTCCAAAGCGATGACTGATCCTAGGCAGAAGAGCTTTACATTGTAGTACTGTACTACAGTGTAAAGCTGTAGCCTAGGGCGTGGGGATACTCGATGGCCAACTTGGCCAAGCACAGTCTGCAGAGCAGACTCTGCTCTGCTGGGTGCTGGCTGACATAATCTCGCATTGTCAACAGCAAAAGCGTTATGGAGGTCCCTCCTGACGTCAGGAACTTCACTCACTCAAGCACCTTCGGGCGAGACCCAAGAGCAACTTCAGCAGAACGCTACGTCGAGGTAAAACTCGATACAACAGCACTTTCGCTTCACAGAAATCGTTTTTATCCTGGATAAAGGTCATATTGCATGTACGTCGAAGTATGGGCTCCAACCTTCGAGCTAGATGGTCGAGTTTTGGTAGCTGGGGTCTTAGATTGCGACCAAAAGCGGAAGACGGGATGGTCTCCGTTGCTGTGTGGCAGGCACGTGGCCAACGCGAGCTCAGCTGACTCAGCCAGAACGACGCGATGAGTGTGGAGGTCCAAAGTTGAAGTAGTTTACTTATCCAAATATTGCAATACACATCCTCCCCTATTGCAAATATCATAATACGCACGACTGGTGGGCCAAACCCACAATTTCACCGTAAGCGGGCAAAGCATGCTGTCGGAGCCTGCGCCGCGCGACGTCTTCGCTGCTGCGGCGCCCCGTGCGCCACGGCCCCATCACGCGCTTCAGTCCCGCGCACTGCGCCGCGCAATCGCCACTACAATTGCGTGCCTTTTCGCAACAAAATGACAGTAGCGAGACGTTCCTGGGCCGCGTCAAAGACTCGCTCGCGAACATCAAAACCACGGCCACCATCATGGCGCAGGAGGCCAGCGACGTAGACATGACCAACGACGAGGCGTCAACGCTGCTGTCTTCGTTCGCCAAGGAGAAGCGAATCGACGATTGCATCGGACTTTTGCGCTACTGCGAAGAAAATCACGTCTCGGCTCAAGGCATTCCGAATATTGTGCGACGCGCGGGAGCTGGGGCCGACGCTGCACCTATTTGAGAGTTTGTGCAAGGACGACATTGAACTGAAGCCGTCGGCCGCGCGCTGGAGGCCGCCACCAAATTGAACCGACCGGAACTGGTTTTGACAATTTTCCAACGTTTGGTGCCGAAGAATTGTGACGTTACGGGTGGAGTGCGGGTGAGTGATATGCTGCGCCAAGTTTGTGAGCAGGGTGGCGAAATGGACGAGTTTGCACTTCGGTCTATTGCGATATTTGCGGATAGAGCAGGCGAGGCGGACCTGGCGCTGAAGGTCTTGTCCTTGATGGACAAGGGGGACGACAGCGTCCCTCTGGATATCTACATGTCGGTGTTGGAGGCGTGTGGGAAGCAGGAGCGGTGGATGGAGCTGGTGAAAGTGTACAATGAAATGAGGGACAGTCCCCGCCCCAAGTTGTACAGCACCCCTCTGGCGTTGATCATCCGAGCACACGCTCGGAGTGGGAGGGACGATCTGGCACGACGCGGCCCGAAAATCTTCACGAAACACATGAAGGGCGACGGGTGGAGCACTCCTCCGTGTAACGCGGTGCTGGAGGCGCTGCTGAAGTCGCGTCAGTTTGATAAGCTGTTTGCAATGGCCGACACGATGCGGCAGCGAGGTGTGGAGTTGGATTCGTTCTCGTACAAGATGATGACACTGGCGCATATCGAGCGCGGCACTGCTGACCGGGCCAAGGAGTTGCTAGTCGCGAATGCGGACAAGATCAACGAAAGAGGATTAGAGTGCTACCGCGAGCTCGTTGCGTACTACATGAAGGTGCGTGGAGATCCTGTCGAGATCTGCCAACTGTATCTGGATATGGTACAGAATGGCGTGCAGCTGGACCATTCAGACTGGAAGAATGCGCTGGAGCTGTCACTTGGTCTTCCGGATCAAACGATGTACTGGCGGTTCCGCAGACAGGTGCAGCAAGATAAATCAAGCGAAGTGTTGATCCCTCCCCGGTTGCTGATATCGGAACGGGAAGAGAAGCACGAGCAAGGCGTAGCACATATCGAGAAGAAGGAAAAGCAAGTCCAGCCCGAACAGATGAAACCTCAACCCTTGAGCGCCACGACGGGGATATCCCCAAAGCTGGAGAAGTTGGATGTAATTAGTGACAAGTGGAGTGCAGGCGAAGAGTTGACAGAGGCAGAAGCTTTCCAGCTTCTCACGCATTTCGCCAACGACAGACGGATCGACGAGTGCGTAATGTTGTTGCGCCACTGCGAAGATCATGGCATTTCTCCCGATTCTTCTTCGCAGCGCGATTCGTTCCGCGCACTGTGCGATGCGAATCAGTTCGAGCTCGCCCTGGAAGTGTTCAAGACGTTGCACAAGGACAAGAACCTCTTGCAGCCGTGGGTTTTCGGGCGGGCACTCGATGTGGCGATCAAGTTGAATCGGAAGGACGTCGTGAACTACGTTTTGCGTCGCTTAGTGAGTGATGACAGAGCGTTCGGCGGCTACAAAGTGAAGGCCAGTGGGAAGGGAGTGCACGCGGTAGTGCGTGCTGCTGTCGATCGCGGTATCAAACTGCCGAAGTTTGCTCTCCGCTCGCTTGCTTCTTTCGCGGACCGATCGGGGGACTTTGAGCTGGTAGACGACATCTTTTCCATCATGAAGAGCCAAGACATGAATGTTACGCTCGATGTGTACGGGGCGGTGCTGAATGCGTACGGACAGACTGGTCGATGGAACGACGTGCTGAAAGTGTACAATTCGATGCCGGAGAGTGAGCGCGCGCGGATGCACGGAGCCACTCGCAGTTGGGTAGTGACAGCGAACAGCCACCTTAATGATCAAGAACCTAAAGCACTCAAAGCTGGCGCGCGCGACAGCGCACCCAAACCAGAGGTATCGGATGTGTTGCTGGCTCGGAAGACGTTTGACGACATCAAAGAACAGAGAAACAGCGGCCAGAGGCTGAGCAACAACTTGGCGTCGACTCTGCTCAGTACCATGGCGGAGCACGGGCGTGTTTATGATTGTATCGAGATGATGAGCTACTTCAAAGAGCTCGGTGGGGCGACCAAGCCGTTTGCAGATCGGGCGGCGTTTACTGCGTTTTGTGACGCAGGCGAGTTTAAGCACGTTCTGCAAGTGAAACAATTGGCGGGAACCCGGGTACCCATCGGGAACCCGGTTCCCCCAAAACTACCGGTACACATTTATGAGCAATGTGGTCTATGACCTACATAGAACGCAGCTGAAGCTCAGTAGGGGAACGGAAGGTTAATTTACCTTCGCCCTCGTCCTGTGTCTCTCCACGAAAATCCAGTCGCTTGCCTGGTGCAGCGATACAGTGCTTCCCGGTCTCATCGCTATCCTCGTGCTCATGAAAGATAAACTTGGACATAGTAAGGTATGTTATTTGGGTCTATTCAGTACCGGTGGCATATTTTGAGGGTAGTTTTTCATCGACAGCACTTAGATATGAGGGTTTAACTTGCCCCGAGGGCACCAATATGGAGGCCAAAAATTAAATAAATAATTCGCGATTTGGTCGGTATCATTTGCGGGAACCCGGGTTCCCGCCAATTGTTTCAAGTGTTCAATAAGTTATGCAAGAAGGGTCATCTGGAGCCGTGGGTGTACGGAGCGGCATTGGATGCAGCCACCAACTTGGATCGGCAGAAAGCTATCACGGCCATTTTCCGAAAGTTGGTACCGGGGGCGGATAATTTGGAGGTGGGCTATAGTAATAATCGCGTATACGACTTGCTGCATGAAGCTAGCTGTCGTGGGGTGGATGTGCCGAAGTTTGCGCTCGAGAGTCTTGCTAGTTTCGCCTACAAGGCCGGTCACTCGGACCTAGCGCTGACTGTCTTGTCCACGATGGAGCACGAAAACATGAACGCTTCTAGTGATGTCTTCGGAGCAGCTATTAGCTCCTGCCGCAAGGATTGTCGGTGGAGTGAGGTCATCCAAGTGTTCGAGGGTATACCCGAAGATCTGCGTGCGAACTTGATCGGCGGGAGGCTAGGTGCGGTGATCATGACGTACACTAAAACTGGAGATAAGTCACTAGCGTTAAGAGGGCTGGAGCTGTTCGAAGACCACAAGGACAAGTGGAGCAAGTTCGCGTGCAACGCAGCTCTAGAGGCGCTTCTCGAGACAGACTAGCCCGACGTTGCGCTCACCCTCGCAGGCGACATGGAGAGCCGTGGAGTCAAGTGGAACTCGAGGACGTACAGAGCTGTCGCTTTGGCGTATGTCCGGTCCGGCCTGGTTGATAAAGCGAGGGCGTTCCTGAGTGAGAACGCGAAGCAGCTACAGACTGACACCGTTGGCATCTACCGTGAACTCATCCAGCATTACAATGAATCCCGTGGAGATCATCTCAGGGCCTGTCAGTTGAGCGTGGACTTCATCGAGAACAACCGACACCTCACGTTTTCCGACTGGCACAATGCTCTCCAGCTCACGTACGAGCTGCCGGATCGAGATCTGTACTGGCGTATTCGCAAGCGGCTGTGGCTGTACGGTGCAGCTTCGGAGCAGAGGATGCCGTCTCATTTGATGCTGACGGAACGCGAGGGCAGAGTCGGTCGGGGCTTGTCCCTGTTTCGAGACGAAAGCTCCGACATGGTCCAGCATCTGATGCCGCCCAAGCCGGTCGACGTCTCCCTCGCGCTGGAGGTTTTCGACGATATCTGGAACGCCGATGGCTCCGGTCTGACCAGGAACACGGCCACGAAGCTGCTCGTGACGATGATCGAGCACGAACGCCTCGGCGATTGCGTGGAGATGCTCGAGTTCTTCAAGGAGCACAGAGTCTCCCCCAAAGCTTTCGCTCTCTCCGCCGCGTTCAGACTCTTCTGCGACGCAAACGACGATGACCAGGCGCTGCAAGTGGTGGAAATGTTGGTACAGGACGGTGTGTCCTTGAAGGCGAGGGATCGCGCTCTCGCGTTGAGTGTTGCGATGAAGTTGAACAAGCACGAACTGGTGAACTCCATCGTTCGGCACATGAAGAAGAAGGCCAAACACTTGAGCGCCAGCGAGTTCGAACAGATCGCCAGCGACTTTGGACGTACTGGCGAATGGGAGTCAACGATTCGAATGCTGCCCGTTAGTAAGCACTGATCGTCGCCGGCGTAGCAGCGGCGCGTGAGGAACCTGCAGGATTAGAGCATCAGTATGCTGCAGTAATTTGTTACTAGCTCAGCATCTGTACAGCTGCTAATAGGGGCGACGCGCCGTAGTGGTTAGATCAACCACGTCCCCACGACCCGGAGTCGATCTGAATTCAAGCGTAGTAGAAGACTGTTTCCGGAAGCGACTTAGGCGCGCCGCACATGCGGCACACCAGTCGCTCCTTGGTTATTCTCTACTATACTTATTAATAACTGTTAATACCCCACATCTTTAAACTGAGACTAGCGCAGGTGTAATTTGGCTACGCGAACACGTAAATCATTGCATTGCATTGCCCCACATCTTGCTGAATCAGCGCTCGCACCTTGATTTGGACATACCGGTAATTTCAAGTTGATCAGTATTAAACCGGTACTGATGTCGAATTTTGTACCTCCACTTTACTGACTACAGTAGTACAACCTATAGCAACTTATGGATCGTATAAATTGAATCCCTTGGTATAGAGGAACAAATGTCTCTTAAACCCAAGTAAAATTTGAGTTCGTTTTAAAGCGAGTCCCCAGTACAGATGTCTCCCCTACCCCTAAGGGATCAACTGAATGTAAGTGGGACAAAAGGTTTCCAGTATACAGGTTCTGGGGCCCAGCATACAGCTTGTTGGTTCATAATATACGCGCACAGAAAGTACTCTCTCCACATGTTCCGTGTGTAACAGCGCACAAACGAGGATGAAGCACAGCAACCAGCGCAATTCTGACGGTCTGCCGACCGTTGGGTGCTGATCTAGGCGCTAATACCTGGTCAACTTACAGAAGACGAAAGATGGAAGCTGACGTACCGAGGGTCTCTCGGAGTATTCTTTCTCGATGTCAACAAACATCAAAACGACACCCTACAGCTTCTGTATCCACGGCACAATTGCACACACGCCAAGACACAGACGCCAGGATCTGCATAGGCGTGGTCATGCTCGTCTACAGAGGCAACTTGCCGCATCCTAGTGGTTTTCGGGCACTGTCGTCTGGGACTCCCGAGCTTGGCTTCTGGGAGTCGCAGAGCAACAAGTGGATGTCCTCGGGCGCAGTGTCGGAAGCTAAAAATGGTGTACAGGTCTGGCGAGCGCTTTTGTGGTCCTGCTGCGGACAAGTTGTTGAACTCTCGTGCCAGCAAAAAAGACCGACCGAAGAATTTCACCGAAAATGTAGTATTGAGACTACAGAGCGCGGATGGTCAAGCAAGCAAGGAGGTTAACTCGCATGATGGATACGCTGAATCTGCTGCTGTATCGGTCTCTGTCGTCGCCGGTAAAGGTCGAAATGACGACTCAAGTTGTACGCAAGTCGAGAACCGTGATGATACTGCTGACGAGGGATTAGTGTACGCAATTGTGGATCGCATGCCGGTAGGGCTTGCGTATTGGTACAGGGTCCAGTGGCGAGATGAGCCTGATGGATACCAGTGGGCCGACTCATGGCTGCCCAGGAAGCGTTTGCTGGAGGACGGCTTTGAGAAAGCATGTGCGGTCGTGGACATGTGGAAAGCGTCTAAGTACGCGTCGTTTTACGAGTTTTGCCGAAGGAATGGACACGTGCACAATATCGGTGCCTCGCCGTCAGCGAATGGAAAATGTGCAGTTGTTGCTGTGGAGACTGCAGTTACGCTTCTCGGAAACTCTGGTTGGGCACCCCCCCGGGTGCTTTGGTGCATTTGTGGTGTACTGCGACCAGCGGGGTCGACCCTTGTCGCCTGACGGCCTGACCACTCGAGAGCTTCGTTTCTACATCAAATACCTGAATGATCGGCGTGGTAGTTCGAAGACAGGTCAGATCAGCATCCGCGTATTCGATGACAATTGGCTAGGAGGTGTCAACGGCAAGAACGCGTCGGAAGTATTGGTGAAATGCGCTCTAGCGGATGGAGTTTACGTGTGCGCTGCCTACAGCTCACTACGAGTGACGCACTGCTTTGCGATCAAAGTTTTGAGTGGTGATAAGCTCATTTACGATGACAACAATGTTGCGGTGGAAATTCAAGCCTATGACGCAGAGTGGATCATGGGGATTATCTTTTTGCGCCGAATCGCGCTATACCTCCCTTAGTATTTTTGGCTGACAGCGTCTTCGTCTTAGGTATTACCTCGATTGGCTTAGCCACAATATGCATTTCGGTAAGACTGAGAGTTTTTTAAATGAAGCCTTGGGTTTGTTACTTACTCGTGTTTTATTACCGCGCTGTTAGTCAGGTCAGACTGCAACACGCGTTTATTCTACAAAATCCTTTAGCCAACCCAGAAGATCGTAGCAAACCACTCAGTATGAGGGCACACAACGCAGTATGGATCTTCGCGGCAGCGGTGGGGAATCGATACGCGCGTTGATATGCAAGCTTTCGTCAAACTCTACCTGAATTGGAGCGGCGTACGCGTGACACAACCTTCTTGTGTGGCCGTGGCGGTGATAACATTCGGGCCGCTTGGCGTGACATTGGGCCGGAGGAACGCGCACGTCTAATCCAAGCAACACCGGATTCCAGTTTCCCCAATGATACGAACGGCATCATGGACGAACGTAAGGCTTACCCAGGACAACGAAAGAAGATTTCTGGTACAACATCGCCCAAGACCACTACGGCCAAGAAGACTACGGCCAAGACGACTACAGCCAAAACGACTACGGCCAAGACGACTACGGCCAAGAAGACTGTGGTCACAACGTCTACTGCCACAACGACTACGGGCAAGATGACTACGGCCAAGACGAAGCGGCAACACGTTCACCCGACTTCCACGAACAATCCAAAACGTGTTCGATACAGCAGTCGAGTGACTGATGAGCCGATGCCAACCCAGCCTGTACAGCATGATACTCAGCTGCAAACACGATTCGCAGAGATGGAGCGCGCGCGTAACAACTACTACACAGTGCTGAGCAAAGAGCAGGATCTCCGAATCCACGCAGCTTACAATGGCGGGACTATGGTCGGTATTATCGAAGCTGCTTTGGCCGGTGCGTAGAACGCGGTCGTCTTGGCCAGAATCATGGACAAACCTAAGACAGTGGAGGACGCGTTTTCCGCCGTCGCACTTCGCCTGGACGATGTACTGGCGGTTCTAATGGGAACCGCTCAGTTCGAACCGGACCCTGAGTACGATCAACCCGATCCAAGGTTTGCTGCGGCGCGGATTAGACGCGCAAAACGACGATATGATGATACCAAAAGCGCCCTGTACAAGCTTTGTGTTGAGCTTGAAGCGGATGAACCTGGTGAGATCGTCATCGGGAATCGTACGAGCCGATTCTTTGGGAGAGTTTAAGTGCATCGAAACTTTTTGTGAGGAAGCGATTTAGGCTGTGGGTATCGTCGATTTCCACAGCGATAAAGCAAAGAATATATGTATTCAATCACCTAGAGGGTTTGACCTAGTCAGTGTTCTCTATTCTAATAGAATGTCTTGAACTGTCAGCGCTGGTGCTGCGTGAGCAGGCCTTCCAACGGGCCCTGGGAGACCTTCAGAGCTGGGAGCTGAGGATGTACTGTTCGTCTGCTTCGTTTTTCGGCTAGACGCTTTTCCCTTCGACTTTTTTGGTTTGGATTGCTTACCGCTTGGATCCGGAACGTTTTGCCTTGGTCTTTGCTACGATTCTGTTTTCAACTTCGCCAGTGGGTCGCGTACACAACCGGTGATGTTAAATTTCCGGAGAACCGCTACAACATGCCAGCACATCAGCATTTTCGAAAAGTAGGGACAGGTGCATCGCTTGCGTGTGATGTCAACTAGCCACCCATCGGAAGGCATTCCTATGCGATGCGAACGCCGTAGCGACCATGATGTGGCTTGCTCGAAAAGCCTTTTCCAATTCGTGACCGTGTCGTCGTCCTCCTGTCCATCTGAATCCAGTCTAGATCGTAGTATGGCTGGGATATCGCTCGCCGACGAGCTATCGGACGAATCTGATGTTGGGTTGTCTTGCGTGGATGTCAATGATAGAAACAAAGCCAATTGGCTGATCGGTCCTGTTGCCGTATCGGTACGCGTGGAGGGAGCCGCATTGATTGTCTCCAGAAGAAATCCGTTTTCTTCTTCAGCTTGTTCGTCTGTGTCGGCGCGTAGAAGCTCGAGGACTCGTACTTGGTTCGCATCGCTTGTCCTGGTGATAACAACTCGAGAAGCTTCATGCATAGCTGCCGCTGCCTTCACTAACTCGGATGCTGGTGTGGATGTATATTCTGCTGGCGCGGGCTTGACGGGACTCGTCGTTTCGATGAAGGTCCCGATTTTTTCGAGTAATCGACACATATGATGCTTACGGCGCTGCAGAAAATGCTTTAGTCCTCCATTTAGGTTCTCGCAGGGATTGTTGGTTAATGCGTAGCCCTCAGGATTGTGGTACAGTTGACATCGCCAATAGCGGCCTGTTAGCCACTGCTGCTCGAAGTAGTCCGCGAATTCAACGAGATGTGTCTGCTTGCGCCAATTAGCTATTTCTCGATCTCGTGTAGGCTCGAACTCCAACAAGCTTTGCGTAAAATGCATGTCGACAATCGAGTTCATCACATTTCTCCTTTCATCAAAGGGCAGGTGCTGTGTGCGTTTACGTACATTGTACATAACGTGAAAATAACACATCAGCTTCGTAGCATTTGCAAAACTGGGCACGTTCTCGAGAGCCAAGAATTGAGCATCCTCAGCATCGCTCATGGTTGCATCGATACGAAGTGTTGCTCCTCGAACATGCCGGACGACGTCAGCAAAACTGCGCAAGCACTCGGTGTATTCATGCTCCGTGCGCCGACTCACCACGAAAAAAACACCAACTTGGTATGAATGCCCTCGGTCCGTGAAGCCGCAAGTTATCACTAGATAGCCCAAGTCGCTAACCTTAAACGTGGCGTCCGCATGGAACTGCGCAAAATCACCCGAGTGGCAGAACCGTAGGCAGCTATCGATAAGTGCGAGAGACGTCACCCCAAAAATGAAAGGATCGGCGTCCTCGCCGGACCCCACATAAACAAAGCCATCCGTGTCCAACTTAGGTCCAAACAGAAAAGCGGAATCTGGCTGAAGTTCTGGTTTGTAGCGGCGAGCGCGAGCCATTTCATGCACGGCCTTGATTGAATTTTTGGTGCCCTTCGAACGCCGGTGAACTTTCAGCGCATTTTGAATCTGGGAGAGCTCTGGCCATCCGCCTTTAGATGGCTTGATATTTGCTTGCTTCTTGAGATGTGCCAGGATAATACGTGGTGCGTTCTCAATCTCATCTTGTGCCGCGATAAATGCTTTCATCGGCTGAGTCACGACTGGCCGATGCTCCGCAGCACAGGGAAGAACACCACGGGCATGTGCCTGCTCGTTTACAGTTATCTACCACTTGTCCTGAGCTGTGCAGTAGAACACCTTCCAGACCACGCCACATTTGACAAACTCGCGACAAGTGCTGCTCAAGCACCGAAGACGTCTTTCTGTCATCGTATGTTCACCAGCACAAACACGGCAGTTGTCAAAGTCGACCTTGTGAAATATCGCCGAGCAGCACATCGACTCGTCACGGTAGTCATCGAATTCCCCCGTGGAATTGTGCACGGCTAGCTGTTGCCAGCCAGCCATGGCCGCTCCTGAACGAAAACCTTTGTCTGCAGCCGCCCGTGTGGTAACTTGGCCAGCACAATTAAGCTGATATTTATATGCCTCACAGTGGTTAGCGGTTATATTGGTGCCCCACAAATATAGTCTCTCCCTGTTGTCACTCCAACTGTATGGTGCAAACCCATATTTATATTCACTCCCCATGTACGTATATTTGTGCCTACAAATCTGTATATTTTGACACCATCGTCTGGACTTCGTCCCCAACAACTCCCCCAAGATTAGTACCTTTCAGATTTTGAAAAGAAACGATTTTTTGCAGCATTTTTGCATCATTTCTAGGATTCACCGCCAGTCCAATTACCTTCAACATGGCCAGGAGTCCGACACGGCGCTCGTCACCACAACGGAGGCGGATCACGTATCGTCGGCGTTGGAGCAGACGACCTACGACTCGGTCTTGGACAAGACCGCGTACACGGAGACCACAATTCAGTGGCATCGCGGTTGGGCTGTTGCCGGTCTCGCAGCTGTGTTCAAAGTGCCACCAAGACATGCAACTCGACATCGGTCTCAAGCGATGGCGTTGCACCCGCACCAAGTGCCGCACCGAGCGCAGCATGATCAAGGGAACTTTTTCCAGCAACTGCAAGCTGGCGGTACGCCTGTTGTGTTTCTGGTGCTGGGGAACAACGATCGCAAAAGGCTGCGGGCATGGCTGGGGTCAGCGAGAAAACCGCAAGCAAAAGGTTCTCCAAGTGCCGCAACCTCCACACAGGGGGGGCGAAGTTAATGATAACTCTCATCGAGGACCTCGGGTCGTAAATTACGACTCGTAATTTACAGCTTCAGATTTTCTACTATTAGGGCATCTAAATCATCTGATTTAGACTTAGGATCTGGAACTACTGAGCCGGGGATACAACAACACTGAACAACTTTTTGATACAGAGAGCGCCGGTAAGAGCGCTTCAAATTCCACCGATTGTTTTGATTTACGTAAACTTGGTTCTCAACATCCCACAGTTGAGCTCTCTAAACACTTCACTCCTTACAAGAACTTAGTGTCGACCCACCACTCGGACGCGTAGTTCTCACCAAGAGTGTTCGTGATGGGGTACGGCGCATCCAGCTTTCCGCTGAAAGGGGCTCGCTGGGAGGTATCCGCACCGGGGCCGCTGTTGTTGAACTCCTTGTAGAAGATGTTGTTCGTGGGGGAGACGGCGTTCCAAAGGGCCCAGCCCTTGGGGTTCACGACGTTGCTGATCTCGCTGTTCATGAAGACAGTGCGGGAGTACGGACGCCACGGACGACCCAAGTACGTCGAGCCATTGCCGCTCGAGCCGAACACGCGCGCGCGGTTGAAGATGTACTCGGACAGGTTGGAGCTGTTGCCGTTGCCGTTGGCCGTGATGTAGCCCTTGCCCACGCTCTCGATGTCGCACGACTCAAACCACGCCTTGGCCTGAAGACCGAAGATGAAGTCCACAGCGCCAGCGATGTACGAACGAGCGTAGATCTCACGGCCCATGTGTGCACATAGCGAATCCTGGTAACTTGAAATGTTGCAGCCGTAGAAGCCGTAGTTGGTGTCGTTGAGGTAGACTGCGACGGCCTGGCCGCTCTGCTGGATCTGACCGGCCGTGTTGGCGATGTTGAGGTTGTACACCTTGATGTTCTTGCCGCGAAGACCCAGCGTCGTGGTGAGGAAGTTGCGCTCGTCCTTGATCTCGGCAGGGATGTCACGCTGAGCCTTGGCCTGGGTGATGGTCACCTGGTTGTCAGCGTACGTCATGGTGTTGCACGTGTAGCCCTGCAGCACGAGCGGGCCGTTGAGCGGCGGGACCACGACTTGCTCGTGGTACACGCCCGGGAGCACGAAGATCGTGTGCTCCTCCGTGTTGTTGACCACTTTGGCGACAGCTTGCGACACGGTCGGGAAGCTGCCGGGGTGAGCACCCGTGGCGTCGACGACGAGAGCTCCCGCAGGGGGCACCGTACGGGCGTTGGGGCCGCTGCACGCAGCGTCGGGGGAAGCAAATGCACTCGCAGCGAGAGCAGCGAACGCCACCAGTGGCAAGGCGAAAGAGCGCATGGTCGGGGCGAGGAAAAACACAAAGCGATCTCATGTAATGCCTAACAAACTGTACTGTAAACGACCTCCGAGATAGAGCTTTCACGCAATCGCGAAATGGTTCGTATCGAGTCGACACGAACCACAACATGTCGATACAGTATCATCGAAGGGCAGCTGTGATAACTTCTAGGAAGGGCACGCAGGCATGTGCTAGTCTTGGCACAGGCGCATGTATCGAGCTACATCAGAGCCAGAAAACCTTATGCACCATCGGAAAGGAGATTTTGGAAGGAGCCGAAGGCGCATTTGAAAATGGGGTTCTCGGCGAGGAGAGATCAAGTCAGTTCCTATCATGGACCAAGCTCTCGAAGCCAGCTAGGTGTGTATTATTAGGTGCCTGGTTTTCTTCACCGAACGGCTCCGTATGCATGGGGCATCCGGTGGCGAGGGTTTTCCCACGCTAGGAATAGTGTAGCGATAGATAGGAGCAGTACCATTCACTCTTTCGAGGCGTGACCAGCAAGTCCACGATTCCCAACGACACCTTCGCAGAAGGTCACGCTAGCGTTTGACCCACCACACCACTCCCAGAGCTGGCCTCGTTGGCCCTCGACTCGGACCGACGCCGCGACGACAACTCCGCGCGTCGACGTCCCTCGTCTCGGCCCTCCAAGACCGAGGCTTTATTGTGAATGTACTGCTCCTTTGCCCCAATTGATCTCGACGAGTGGAGAATGTTGTATTTCATAATGGAGCCATTATTGGCGAACACGAGGGAAATTATGTTTTCCACACAACGTTGGACAGGTTCGCCGGCGGTGGGCCACAAGCCAGTCATTCCTACTCTCGACGCCAAGAACCGACTGGGAAACAAGCCCGCCACTTCTCGTCCCAATTCGGATAGAGGTCTAGCCGTAGCATAAGCGTTCACAATGAAGTAGCATGTTTGCCCCTCAAGTTGAAGTGGAAACGCTAACAATCTCACGCAATACGGTATTGGTGATTCACTTTTGATGAATAGCACGAACCAAGGAACTGCAAGCGATCGTGGTCAACCTCTGCTACAAATATCGATGTAGCTTCATCGGGCAATTCCTGGTAGTACTATATAGAATGCTGTAGTGACTGGCACATTACTGTCAACCTGCTGCGCTTTATGCTGCTCGTTGTTTGTTTGGATTATAAGTGCTCTTCTCACATTCGTGTAGCGCTGAGATAGACAGACGCAACGTCGAAATTGGTGTTGCTAACAGGTACGGGCAAGAGATTTGGCGCTGATGTTACAGCAATGACAGGTCTAGAAGAACCTCTACCAGCTTTATGCGTGGATTGAAGGAAACCACTACCGGTACATGTACTATCATTTCATGACTATAACTTCGAGCAGTGAATCGTGCAGCTGGTACAGATCTGCCGAAAAAAACTCCGGAGGGATCATACCCACTTATATTGCTTGAATAGGTCAACATTTCTCAACGTTAATTGTTGAGCTCTTCAAACAAATTCAAAAAGACAAAAATGAAAAAGTGTGGATTCTTCAAGCAATTTAAAGTCGTAGATTTTCTCTCTTAACCAGTTGGCGGGCACATAACATTCAAGAAAAACGGGGAACTACATGTATGAAGCGAAATGCTCTAGGTAAGGTGTCGATGTAGCCTAAGATTGAGTTGCATTGCCTATTGGCTGGTTGATGGGGATCTCGTGCTTCAGTCAACGATATCTATTAGCCTTACCAGTACTATAGCTAAGCCCGTCGACATGAACTAGATATTCGGCCTCTTAATATCCCCCTCACTTCGTGCATCAAGCTCGGAATGCGCTTAGGCAACTACATCATCAACCAAAACAGGAAGAACTACCAAGGCAGCTTAGTAAAAAAAATTAGGTTCTATTTGTTTAAACCAAGGTAAAACCAAAAACCTACTTCGTTTCGAAAAAAGCGACAGGTTTTACCAGAACTGATGTTACCATCCTACCAAACACATTCTTGTAAAGAAACCCGAGCCGGATCGTCCTATTGGAGCGCTCACTGATCACTCATAGTTCGTTTTCATCCTAACACGATAACGCGACGGTGTATGATGAGGCCACCACATCCGAATACAGACAGACCTTCTTGTGTGGCCCCAACACAATCTACAAAGGGCCTCCAGGGTACGACATCTATTTGACTTTTTTATGACTGACAAGGCCGTTGTTAGGTGCAGCCTACAACATGTAGGCATCCCTCACAGGAAGTTGGTGTCAACCCACCACTCAGACTTGTAGCTCGCTCCAAGCATTTCCTCGATCGGCACGGGTCCACTCAGCTTCCCGGCAAAACTCACTCGCTGAGCAGTGGACGAGCCGGGGCCAGTGTTGTTGTACTCCCTTAAAAACACGTTCTTGGTGCTGGAGCTGCTGTCCCAGGTCTGCCAGCCCTTCGGGTTGATGACGTTGCCGAGCTGGCTGTTTTGGAAGACGACACGAGCGTACGGACGCCAAGGGCGACCCAGGAACGCAGTCTGACTGCCGGATCCATACACGCGGGCGTTGTTGAACACGTCCTCGGACGGGTTAGAGGTGCCCGCGTTACCGTTGGCAGTGATGCAGCCCGTACCAACCGACTCGACATCGCAAGACTCGAACCAGGCTTGGCCTGCTCACCGAAGACGAAGTCGATAGCTCCGCCGATGTACGACCGAGCGTAGAGCTCTCGGCCCTTGTTAGCGCACAGCGTATCCTAAAAGAAAAATTGCGGTGAGTGACAACAATGAATCTGAATAGTAATAAAAACACACACACACACACACACAAACCTGATAGCCGGTGAACTTGCACGCGTAGAAGCCGTAGGCAGCTCCGTCGACGTAGGTGGCAACAGCTTGACCGACGTTGCCCGCGGTGTTGGCGACGTTGATGTTGTACACTTTCACGCCGCTGTTCGACTTGAGGACCAGCGTGCTGACGGCTTCGTTGCGGCTATGAACGTTGGCGGCGAGGTCCTTCTGCGCCATGGCATGGGTGATCGTGACTTGGTTGGCAGCGTACGACATGGTATCGCACGTGTAGCCCTGCACCACCAGCGGGCCATTCAGCAGCGGGATCTGGACTTGCTCGCGGTAGGTGCCCGGGAAGATGAAGAGCGTCTGCTGTGACGTAGTGCCGCTCAACTTCGACGCGCCCTGCGCCACCGTCTTGACGCTGCCCTTGTAAGACCCCGAGGCATCGACGACAATGGCGCCGCTGGGAGGCTGCGTGCGTGCGTTGGGTCCGCTGCACGAGGCCTCGGCGGAGACGAAAACGCTCAACAGGAGCAAGATCACTGGCACTGCGAAATCCCGCATTCTCGTGTTTTTGTCGTGTCGAGTTTGGCTTGACTGACGAGGAAGGAGGAAAACCAAAAGTGAGTTAGTTGTCGAGAGGCTCTTCCAAGTATCGCTGCAGGGGTCGTGGAAGTCAGGGCGGGGTACAGTATTACGTGGAGGATACTGTTCATGTTGCTCTTCGTATGCTTGTCTTGGCCCCCGCACAGAAAACGTGTTGAAGCACGTGACGTTTGCCACAGCGCCAGTGGTTGCTATTATCATTTACAGTTAGAAGCGCAACTCTTCACTGCTTCATGTGGCTTTTTGGAAGGCACGAACTCGTCAGCTGCTGGTCTTCTAGCTTGCCTGCCATCGCTTTTGGGATACTTTTGAAAACTACACAGGATATGGATCTATTTGATCACTATCATATGCTTGTCATCAATGAAATGGGACGTTGACTCAGCATGGGCGTCGTAACCTCGTGATGTTGGTGCTCAAAACTTTCCTGGTTACATGTAGTGTACTGTAACGTGGCGGGCAGTATCGCGGGCCCTCGTATCACCACGACGTGACACGTATGAATGCGTCGTATTTCGCGCCAACAAGGAAGGCAAAACTGGTGCTGATGGATGGCAAGTCAGGACAACTGAGCAGTCATACCCACACTAAGATAACCTACAAACACGTTTGCAAACAGCACTTACAGTGAGTTAGTATGTTGTGAAAATCACTCTTAACATTTTTGCGGAGCCCACTACATGTACCTGTGCTACATTCAACCATACCGCTTTGTCTTGAATATTATAGCCGCGCTCCCTGAACACTGGTCTGCATGGATCACACAGTAGTCGAGTTACCATGAAGCCACTCGAACTGGAAAGTGTAGTCCGTGCCTATTGCACGCAAAGCTACAGTTAGACCAGTCAGCAGCCAAAATAATTAAAGCAGTGCATCAAGCCGCACCATAGTGCTCGAGAGAGCTCTGCGTCGTGTAGAACACCCACAAGATGATCGCTGGCTGGACATGGATCATGTTTTGTCAAGCACGAACGCGAGCTGGTGTAGTGTCGAGAAGTCGAGGTGTCGCTTGAGCGTCTGAGTGAGCGCGATGAAGGAGGTGAGCTCCACGAGGCTGTACAAGAGCACGTTCAGAACCGTCTTGGCCAAGTGCGTCGAGTCCATGCTAGCGATCTGCGAGTAGTAGTCACGGTTGGGCATGTGGAAGACGATGAACAAGTACAGCGCTGCAGTACGAGCACCAAACGCTAGTGAGAACAAGAACACAACCTTTTTGGGCCGAAACACAGCAAGTGCTTACAATACACGATGGGCGTGATGACTTCTGCGAAGGCTGTGAGGATGGAGAACTCGGACGCGTACATGAGTGTTCGCACCAGACTCGCGTACCTGCGCTCGAGCAGCTCGAGCTCTGAGCGCGTATCCATCATGCTTTTCGTCCTAGAACCAGCTGAACTGGGCATCTTGGGAACTTTGAGCTCTGAAATCGGTTCTATCCTGGCGCTAGATCGGGAACTGGCACGGACGACTGAAACATCTTCAGGCATCACCCGTATGCATTGCTGAAGTTGGTCTCTGACATCCTGAACGACTACAAACCGCTTTTTGACACTACCCTCTGTAGTCTCGAATGTGTATCTCTGTAAGATATCTGCAGCTCAAGGCAGCATACTAGCCGTTGCAATTCGCTCGCCCGGCAGCTTGGAAGCGTACTTGTCGTTCCTCCTCAGCTGCATAATCTCCTCCGCCGTGCCGGCGATTTTTTGGCGAATGCTGTCCATATATCGTACGATCAGCGCGACTTGCACCGCGTTGGCACCCATGAGGGTGGCCGTCGTCGTTAGCGAGGGCTGGTACTGCATGCAAAAATTGACGAAGAGCGCGTTGACCAGGTCGGCGTTGAACACGACGACGATCGTGATCTGTTCGCCGCTAGCCGACCGACATAAGTAGTAGAACATCACTCGGTACAACGTCTTGAGCAGCGGTAGCAGCAGCGAGAACGCAGTGCTCTTGGCGCCGTCCATCTGCTGGAAGAAATAGTAGAAGAGAGGATACCCGATCGTGACGAAGCCGTAGCAGACACAGAGCAGCACGGCGTCCGCGATCTTCCATAGTAGACCCCAGTTCTTTCGCACATTCGGGTACCAGACAATAGCAACGCCATGAACATCAGTGACACGTAGGGCGCTGCCATCAGGTGGATAGTGTACGGTACTGGGAAGCCAATCCACCACGCCAGCAACAGCAAGATGCCCGCCGAAATGGCCGCGACAGCCACCGCACTGATTACGAGCTGGGTCTTGGAGAAGGGAAGCAGGGGCATGCGCTGACTGGTAGTGCTTGTTGTGTTGCGAGTAAAATGGAAACTGAATTGATGTCTTTGTCTGTTTGCTGCTATCCATCTACCCGATGGCGCCCTCATGGCGCTCGGTCCTAAACATGAAGTGGTTGGCTGAGGCGTGCCGGAGCAGGAGCTTGCGCAACCGGTGAGTATGCAGACGACGACTTGGGCTCTCTGCGTGCGGACTCAACTGATGATGTGGTTGTATTCTGCTCTTGCACGTGCAGATCATTACACTCCCCCCGACTTGAGCGAGTCCCGGCACCTTGAACGTTGCAGTCGCCGAAGTTGAAGTTGGTAGTACCGTAGACCCTCGATGTAAGGAACAGTACCGTGAAAACGCTGTTCAAGAGAATTCCACTAGGCCCGTGCCACTCGATTGCGTTGGCGAAGATCTTTTAGCAGTGCTTGCCAGTGGCTGACGTTTTTGATGTCGCGCTCGCGTTCCTACGTGTTCTCATGGTGAGGGAGCCCGTACCACTTGACCAAGTACTCAGGTTGGCGGTTGAAGATGCGCTTCTTGATCAGAGCTTCGACAACGTGTAGTGGCTCGCCATCGTCGTCGAAAATCACGGGAGTCGACTTCGGGATCACACGGCCGACGAAGCGATCAGGGTTGCTGTTGTATACCTTGAGCTTGTCGTTGTTGAAGCGTGGGCTAATGTGCTTCATGTTGGCCGGTAGATCCAGCAGCGCGACGTTGCCGTGAAGTTCCAGGATCGGGTACGGACCGATGAAGCGCGGGATGAACTTCCGTGAGCGAAGCGTCGTTTCCGCGGTGGCGTGCGAGATGTTCAGGTCCTGCGTCGACAGCAAGGCTAGATCACCGACCTTGAATGGGTTTGCTGCACGACGCCGGTCGTAGAACTTCTTTTGAGCCTCTTGCGCATCCAACAGATTCTTCCGAGCACATTCGGTCACCTCTTGACGATGCTGAACAAATCCAGACGCGTACTCCACACGAGACCTCGCCACCGGCTGATCGCTCTCCACACTACCCAATGGGTTCTTAGGGTGACGACCGGTGTCGACGAAGAAGGGCGACAGCTTCGACGAGCTGGACACCAGTGTTGCGTGCGCATACTCAATCATGGGCAGGTGCTCATTCCAGTCGTTGCCATGGTACGAAACAGAGCATCGCAACGAGTCCTCGAGAGTCCGATTCTGACGCTCAGTTTGGCCATCGGCCTGCGCTCGGTGGGCAGTCGTCATCGCTGTCTTGATCTTCATCAGCTGTACCAGTGCTTTCCAGAACTTCGACGTGAACTTCGGGTCCCGGTCGGAGATGATGGTCGATGGGATACCATAGTATCGGATGACGTTGTTGAAAAACAGCTTGGCAATGTCTTCCGCAGTCGCCGTGGTGTGCGTCGGGATGTAGACTGGACGCTTTGACAACTTGTCCACCACGACCATGATCGCATCAAAGCCGTCGGACACTGGCAAATGCGTGATGAAGTCAGTCGAGACAACATCCCAACACGCAGCGGGCAACGGGATCGGCTGAAGCTTTCCTGCTCTTCGTCCCGTGCTTGACTTGTACCTCATGCATGACTCACAACTCTGAACGTAGGCTTTGATGTCCAGATCCATGTTCGGCCAGAAGTACCACTGTGCCGCAGCAAGCTGAGTGCGACGGATGCCTGGGTGCGCCATAATCGCCGCATCATGCGCGTTGTGAATGACATCGAGCCGAAGTTTCCGGTTGTTTGGCACACAGAGGCGGCGTAGGCTGTCGTTGCTCTTCAAATAGATCAACCCGCGAATGACTTCGTACTCTTCCGACGAGCGTCTGGACTTCCACAGTGGCTTGAAGACTGGATCTCTGCCGTATGCCTTCTGAAACGCCCGCTTCGTTTGGTTATCCAGCTGAAGTGAGCTGATCACCGTGCTGTCCTCCATTGACGCTGCGTTAAACCTCATGTGCCACTGTGCTGTGCCAACTCCGAGTGCCTTTGTGGCTGGCTGTTTGACGGCCAGCATCACAGCTTGATCACGGGACGGTATGCTTTGGAGCTTCGCCGTAGCCATGGTACGTCGTGAGACCACGTCTCGAATGTTCGTGCATGTGGTAGACGTCAAACACGCCGTACACACTACAACCGGCTCGGTCTTGGACTCACAATCCTCCTGCCCCTCCCCCGGACTCGATGATGCATCAGGGGGGCGCGACAACGCGTCCGCAACGACATTCAAAGCTCCTGGACGATGATGCAGAGTGAACTGGAAGGACGCAAAGAAGTCGAGCCAGCGGGCCAGGCGACCCGACAGGCGTGGATGCTGCAAAAACCACTTGCACGCCGAATTGTCCGTGTACACTTCAAACGAGACTCCATGGAGTTAATGACGCCAACGTGTAAGCGCCTGCTTGATCGCAAAGAGCTCCTTCTCGTGAACAGGCCAGTTCATCTCGAGGTCCCAGCTTCTTGCTGAAGAAAGCCACGGGGAGATCGTTGCCATCATGCATCTGAGAGAGCACTTCACCAATGCACGCATGGCTGGCATCCGTTGTCACGATGAATTTTTTTCAAAGTCCGGCAGACGAAGCACCGGAGCGTGCTGGAGCGCGAGCTTAATGGCATTGAAAGCTTGGCGCTGGTGTTCGTTCCATACCCAAGCGACATCCTTCTTGACCAGAGAGCTCAGGGGCAGTACCAACGTCGCAAACTGGTGGATGAAGCGACGATAGTACCCGGCGAGGCCCAAGAAGCGTTGGAGGTCCTTGATGTTGCATGGCTTGGTCCACTCTGCGATGGCTCGAGTCTTGCAAGCGTCCACGTGCAACCCATCAGCAGAGATGGTGTGGCCGAGGAAGTCCACCGAGGCTTGTCCGAAGTCGCACTTGTCAGGATGGGCGTAAGGCTTGTTAGCGCGCAGGACTTCGCAGACTTGTCGTCAGTGCTCAACGTGGTCAGCCATCGATCGCGAGAAGATGCAGATGTCGTCAAGATAAACGACCACGAACAGTAGATGACTCAGCAGCTTGCGCATCAGGCGTGTCCACGTGCCTGGCATGCCGGCCAGACCCATGGGCGCCACGTTTCAATGATAGATCTCATGGTTCGTCCTGAATGCCGTGTACTGTTTTGACGTCGGAGACATGCGCATTTGGTGGTATCCACTCGCGAGGTCGAGAATAGAGAAGACCACTGCGCCCACCATGCGATCGAAGAGTTGTTTGATGTGCGGTAGCGGGATCTTAGCCACATCCGAGGCGGCATTCACCAAGCGATAGTCGATGACCCATCGAATCGGCATGTGCGGGTTGTTCGAGTGCAACCACTCCAAGCGGGATGGGAACTTGCCCGTCGCGGGATCCTTTTTCGGCACGCCGAAGATGTTCGATACCCAGGGAGAGTCCGCCACTTCGACCCAGTTCTTCTTCAGCAGCTCTGCCACAAAGATGTCCAATGCTTCCTGCTCAACCTTCGAGAGGCGGAAGGGAGCTCGGTTGCTTGGCGTCGCCCCTGGTTTCAAGACCACTTCGTGCTCGATGGAGCGGCTTGGTGGTAATCCAGGTGACAGCTCTGCTGGAAAGACATCTGCGAACTCTTCAAGAACCGCTTGAAGCTGCAATGGCACGGACTTCACCTTGGGCGACGTCTTCACCGTGACATGATACAGTTCGACGTACTCGTCAGCCTTCACCTTCTTCTCGAACTCCGCAGCCGCAAGAACACACAGCGGCGACGCACCTGTACCATCGTCACCGTCGTCAAAGATGCGTGGTAAGGTCTGGTGTCCCAGCGCTGCTAGTGAGCTCGGTCCCAAGGGCAGCCTGCCTGCACATGGTCATCGAGCTGCTGCCGCAGGTTCGGGGGAAGCGGGTGCTGAAGAAATTCCGGTTTCACTTCCACTGAAGCCACCGTCGGTCCCGCCACCTCAAGACTGCTGTTCACGGAACTGAAGTCATGTACTACACGCTGGTTGGGGAAGCGCATCACTCCGGTTTGCCAATTGATGGTCGGGTTAAACTGCACTAACCACGGTTGACCGAGAATCACGCCTTGGTTTGAAGATACCTCCCATTCAATGAGAGAAACATCGTTGAAGACTCTGCCATCAAAGCCGACAGTCTCCAAGCATTGCTGTGCGGTACGCGCCGGGGTTGTCGTGCCATCAAAGCGCTCGGCCGTGACCTTGGCGGCCTCAACGTAGTGCTGCGCGAGGCCCGGACGCACAATGTTGCGCTCTGCACCACTGTCGATCAAGACTCGCACTGCCTGTCCGCTCATCGCTCCCTCGAACCTCAACCGTTCACGACTGGGCGACAACTTCGCGTCGAGAGACACCATGTTCAGCTGCAAACTGTCGATGACCTCGACGTGGTCATCGCGGTTGTCTGCGTAGGCGCCGTTATCGTCGTCGGATGCGTCGTCGTCTTCAACAATGCGACGAAACGAGCCCTGGTTTGCGCGGAAAGAACCGCGCCTTTGTGGAGGACGAGATGAGCCTCGGGAGTTGTTACGCGCTGGCCACTTAGGACATGTAGCCAGGCGGTATCCGGGCTCCTTGCAGTAAAAGCAAAGATTACTTCGCCGACACTCTTCGCGAGAGACGAAGCGCGAACTCCCGATCTCCATTGGAGTCGGCTCCTCGACGTGATGTGACGACTGCTGAAGGCGTTGTGGACCTTGGCCTCCGCGGTTCACGTTGGTTCGACGCGATCCTACAGCGTGCGTGCGGTAGTACATGAGTGCAAACGAAATTGCGTCTGTCGTGTTCCTGAACTGGCGCAGCTTCACCTCTTGTTTGATCTCTACGACCAACCCCTTCTGGAAATGCATGACCTTGTCGATGTCGCTCATCTCCTCTACCTTGCAGATGATGTGCCGGAAGGCCGACACGTAATCTTCAAGACAGGTGAAGTTGTTCTGGCGCAGGCGTAGGAGCTAGTCACGCAGGTGCTCTTGCCGATCGGGTGTCGTGAACTTGCTGGTCAGCAGCTCCTCGAACTGCGTGACCGAGTGCAGGAAGTTCCCGTCGTGGGAGACGTACTCACGGTACCAAGCCGCTGCTGGTCCCTTCAAGTTTGCCACCAAGAGCGACAAGGGGCGCTGCTGCGGCGAGTCGGCGCCGTACTTGATGTTCTTCGACTCAAAGTAGAGCTTGGCGCTGAAGAGGTAGTCCGCGACGGCGTCGTCCTTGGTGCCGGAGAACTTCGGCATGGTGATGCCCTCGGCCCGGTACTCGCGCGTGTCTGGCGACGAAGAGTCGGCCACCGACGGGTGCTGCTGCTGCGAGGTGGATTGCTGCTGCTGTTGCTGTTGCAGTGTCGCCGCCATCTGGCGCTGCAGCTCGGCTGTCCGTGCCATGAACTGCTGCTGCTCGCGCATCATCGCCGCGAGCGAGGCGAACATCTGCTGCACGCTGTCCGCGTGCTGCATCGCTGCTTCATCCATGTTTGCGCCTACGCTAGACACGTCGTCAACAGATAGCTGGGGCGCGCAAGCTCCTCAGCCAAATCAATCAACGTTTGAAGTCGCAGGCACTCCCAGGAGCGCTGCTTTCGACAATGTCTGTAAGCCCCAACGAAGTCACAGAAGCTCGTCCTGGAGCTCTGTTTCCGACAAGTACCAACCACTTGCTCCAGCGTCCCGAAGAAAGCAACTGGTGCAATTCCGTCCGGCGCTAGCTCGAGCCCGCCTCGGAGCACAAAGACACCTACTACTAGACTCGTAACGGCCACCGACGCGGATGTTACACTCGGCTGCGCACTGTTTGCAAGTGACAGCGGAAGGTCGAGGTATGGACACGCGGGAGTGATTGGGCTAAATGCACCAATGAGATGTCGACACGAAGTGACGTGTGACAATGCGCGTCGCCACTCCTCCCCCAGAAAGAAAAGGAGCGAGCCCGGCGAAAATGGAGGTCCCGTCGGCGACGAGCGGATCGAAGCTGCGGACGAGGCAACACATGCGGCGCACCCGGAGAAGCTGAACGGCGAGAGGTACAGGTGCGGCGCACCGAAGAACGTAGGCGAGGAAGGCGGCGTGCGCAACGGCAACGCGGGATGGACTAGGCTGGACGGCGTGCACACTAGCGACGCGTGGCAGGACTGGACTGGATCTGGAACTCGAACGGAGACTGGAACTGGAACTGGACGGAAGCGCGCGCTGGAGGCGCAAGTGCTACCAAGTGTAAGGTTCTGGTTGTGCTTGTTGTGTTGCGAGTAAAATGGAAACTGAATTGATGTCTTTGTCTGTTTGCTGCTATCCATCTACCCGATGGCGCCCTCATGGCGCTCGGTCCTAAACATGAAGTGGTTGGCTGAGGCGTGCCGGAGCAGGAGCTTGCGCAACCGGTGAGTATGCAGACGACGACTTGGGCTCTCTGCGTGCGGACTCAACTGATGATGTGGTTGTGTTCTGCTCTTGCACGTGCAGATCATTACACATTGTGTAGAAGAAGAAGCGGCCGAAGAAGGTCTTGTTGGCCGCCATTCCGTCCGATGGGGCCGAGAGGTTGACAGTCTCAGGGAGGCAGATGTAGGTCAGGCAGGGCAACGGCGTGAAGACGATGATTGCGAGGATGCGCCACCATGGCGTCGACTTGGTGTACTCGCTCAGCGCCAGCACGCGGGCTGGAGAGTACTCACCTTTGAGTTCCACTTGGGTAGAGTTCCACACGCTGATGAACTGGTGGAAAAGGCGCATGAGAGACTTAGTTGTGAGCCGCAGGCGCTCTGCCAAGCCACGAGTGACGCACAGTGCTGCAAGTTGTGAACAGGATGCGCTTTATTAAGCCTCAAGTGACGCACAGTGATGCCTGCAAAGTGATCAGCCAGAAATATAAGCGGAGCTACCACATCTAAAAAAAATAGCCCTCCACAAGAACTTGCCTCCGAGGGGTAAGTAGTTACTGCGATGCAGCCCGCTCCTCACCCAGGCATCCCGAAAAATAATATTGCCCGAAAATATAACAGTAGTTTCGGATACAATACTTTATTTAGGGCATCGCCGTTTGTTTTATCCGAAATTTATGTAGCCGAGTTCTAAAATTCGGTATTTTACTTCTGCTCATCCTGCTCCAACCATTAGTTGTGGTCAAACATCGCGCTCTACCAGCGTAACTTTGCCGTTAGCCCTCACTTTCAAACAAGCACCACCCAGCACGCGCATCACGACTCGACGTTAGCACCATGACCGACAATCTCCTCGCTGGCCCCGCTCCGAGGTCTACCTTCTCGCCCAGGCAGATTGCTGCCTTCTACTTCAAGCCCTGCCTGGACGAGGAGGGAGAGACGACGGGCTACTATGCCTGCAAGACCTGCGCTAAGCGCCGCAAGCACGCGCCCAAGTCAGGCTCCAGCAACTTGGTGTCGCACGTGCGGGCGGCGCACCCCAACTACGAGAGCGACATGCGCGACGCTAGTGTCGCTGCGACGGGGACCCCACTGCCGTGGGTCACCCAGAAAGCCTCGAACCGCTACGCGTGGCTGCGCTGGGTCGTCACGGGCAATCTACCGCTGTCTTTTTGCGAGTCCAAGGAAACGCGACAGTACGTATTTTCATATCTATTTTGGTGATATACATGTGTGCTAATGCCGTATGTTATGTAGATACACGAAGCTAAATCCCATCTCTGTGGAGACGCTGACCGCCATCATGGAGGCCGTGACCAAGGCCGTGGAGATGATGATCGGCGACGCCATGCCCGAGCGTTTTGGTCTGGTCCTTGATGGGTGGACCCACGGCACGGAGCACTACATGGCAGTGTATGGCTGCTTTGAGACGGCGACAGGCCCCCAGTACCCGCTGCTGTCGCTAGCGCCCGTCATGGATGAACCTGACGACCAGCTGAGCGCTTACGGCCATCTAACGGCGATTAAAAGGTTCCTACCCTTTTTTGGTAAGTCTATCTCCGGATGGCTATTCCTGGTTGGTGACAACTGCGGAGTAAACAAGCGGCGGCGAACCTACTCGGTGTGCCGCTAATCGGCTGTGCCAGCCACCGCCTGAACTTGGCGACTTGGAGCCCCACGACAGCATCCTCGAAGAGGTCCAGCAGCTTATGCGTAAGTTGCGGACTTTAAAGCAAGCAGCCAAGTTGCGGTAGGTATGTTTTATTTGGTTTTTGTATTGGTACTAAATTGGTCTTTGTTTTTGGGTTTTGTTCGAAATTAGTGCCAAGACCCCATTGGCCGCTGTCCTCAGACAGGACACGCGCTGGTCGTCGACCTTTATAATGCTCAAGCGCTATTTTCGGCTCCGTCCGTTCATTTCGGCGGACGACGAGGAGCTCGCGGACTTCCTTCCGTCACGCTCAGCCCACCGCAAGCTGGACACTTTGCTGGCAAGCCTCCGGGACGTCGAGTCCGTGTCCAAGCACCTGCAGGGCGACGGCCTTACGCTGCTGGACGCTCGTGTCCTATTCGACAAGCTCCTCAAGAGCCACCCCTCGTTCGCGAAGTATCTCGGTAAGGATCATCGCTCACTCTGCGTCTGATGGTATTTCTAGTTAAATACTGCGTTTTATATGTTTTTATTTATGCATAGCCACCGCGCGGATATAGTCCACTCCGCCGTCTTCGAGCAGGCGGTCGTCAAGGTGCTGGGCGACCAGGCGGCCCTGCTGACGGACGACGAAGTCGCTGCGCTGGAGCCGTTCAAGCGCACGCAGGCTCATGTGGAAGGCGTGGACTGCACGCCGGCGGACAAGGAAGGGTTCGCTGTGCGTGCGCTCAAGCGACGCAAGGTAGCTGCTGCGCCGGCCACGTTACGAGCTGCTTAATGCGATTCCTCCTACCTCAAACATGGTTGAGAGGCTCTTCAGCATTGCGCGCGCTATGCTGCGCCATGAGCGCCACCGCCTCTCCCCCATGATGCTAGAGATGATCTTGTTCCTTAAGATCAACAGCTCTACTGGGATGTTGCGACCGTGGAGCAGTGCCTGTAATTAGGTACAGTCGTAACATGATTGCAGTAATTTACTGTGTCAACACTATGTCTTGCGTTATTTATTTAGTCTGCTACTCGGATGCAATGCAATATTTATTATGGTGTCCGGCAAACAATAGATATATATCGTATTTTTGGCATGCCTGTCCTCACCTTCAGTTTCATTGTGCTGCATATAGCTCCACGAACGTGTCGCCCTTGGTCCTGGGAGGAATGGATTCATTAACGTGGTCGTCCTTGGTCCTGGGCGAGAAGTAGAAACAAACGTCGTTGCTGGTTACTTTGACTCGTGATCTCAAGGAAGTTTTTCGGCGGCCAAAGATACCCCTGTGCATCATCAGATAGCGCCACCCAGAGGAGTCTCGATTTGCGGCTTCCAGGTGCCGAAAGCGTTCCGTACAGTCTGTACGGCGAACAGGTACGGCATTCCGCATGCAAACCCTGCTCGCATAGCGACCACCTCGAACTTGAAACGGAGCAGGAGCATTCATGCATTCGGCTTCCTGCCAGACCGACAGACTGACAGTTTGTTTCACGCGTTTGATTGAGTCATCCACGGCGCTGCCTGGGCACCAACTCGAGCTCTCTCAACCCTCATTCTCCAATTCGCTTCGTTCCTCGCAAGCCCTCCCAACCGCAACGACAAAGCTTCAATCATGGCCCTAAGCTCTACCTCCTCCTCCACGGCCATGACGCACCGCTTCCTGGGGAACTCTGGGCTGCTCGTCTCCAAGCTGTCGCTCGGGTCCTGGGTGGACTACAACGACAAGTACACGGTGGATGGCTGGTACGACATGATGAAGATCGCGTTCGAGCACGACGTCAACTTCTACGACACCGCCGAGATGTACGGCAACGGCCAGGCCGAAGAGCTGCTCGGAGGCGCCATCAAGAAGGGCATCAAAGAAGGGGTTTTGGACGCGTGAGGACCTCGTCATCTCCACGAAGCTCTTCACCGGGACCAAGGGTGTTATGCAGGGCGGCCCAAACGACGAAGGTGTGAGCCGCAAACACATCGTGGAAGGGTTGAAGGCGTCCCTGCGCCGCCTGGAGCTCGACTACGTGGACGTGGTGTTCTGCCACCGCTTCGACGCCTACACCCCGATCGAGGAGACCGTACGCGCCATGAACTTCGTGATCAACCAAGGGTGGGCGTTCTACTGGGGCACCAGCGAGTGGCTGGCGTCGGACATCCGCGAAGCCTGCGAGATCGCGGACTGACTCGGACTGATCCGCCCCATCGTGGAGCAGTCGCAGTACAACATCCTCGAGCGCAACAAGGTGGAGTTCGAGTGCCTCGATCTGTACAAGAAGTACAAGCTGGGCTCACGACGTGGTCGCCTCTGGCCTACGGCACTCTGATGGGCAAGTACAGCGCCGGGAAGCCGGAAGGATCGCGATACACGACGTCCATGTTCGCCACGGGCCCCTTCTCCGAGGGGTTCGCCGAACGCGTCGAGATGGCGGACAGACTCGTGCCCATTGCGAAGGAGCTGGGCACGTCGCTCGCTCAGATGTCGATCGCGTGGGCGGTCTCGAATGAGAACGTGTCGACTGTTCTGCTGGGAGCCAGTCGGCCGGCACAGCTCGAGGAAAACTTGAAGGCGCTGGAAGTCGTGAGCAAGATCACACCCGAGGTCAAGGCGAAGATTAATGCTGCCGTCAAGTTCGTGCCGACCGAGCCCAAGTTGGACCAGTTCGCACACAGTCGTGGCCGCCACTTGTAGGAAAGCACTGGCACCGGAGACCTCCTCGCTTTCTGCTACATAACTCCATTCGCAGCGTCGTCGATTTCATTTCATTATTATATATATATATTCTCAACAGCCGTAAAGTTCTAGCGAGTTGTGCCCACAGAAATATTTTACAGTTTGTTCTCTCTTTGAGAAATGGGTTTCCTTCTTAGATACAGGGCTTTCTTCTGTCCATGACAAAATCAGAACTTTAGCCTGGACTCGAAAACTGGACTAACATCTACGAGTGCACAGCCCACTAGGCGAGTGGATCGTCAGAAGTGAACACAAAATATGAACTTCTAAAACAATAGAATGAAGAAGAAGCTACTCAAACGTAAACTTAACATTCCTTCAAACTCAACAACTTGCTGACTCAGCAAGAGATTAAACCAAATGAGACCGAAGGACCCATGTTTTATGTATTTCACTACAACCCTGCGCTCTGTCCTTGATGGACTTATCGGTAACGCCCCGACCCAGCCGAACCCGACCCAGACGATGTCTCCGTCGACGTTTCGACCCCACTGAGCGCCATCTCCCAGACAGACTTCTCCTTGGCTTCACGGATGCATTCCAGACAGAATCGCAGCGTAACCTGCTTCACTGTCCCCGTGCCCGATACGTCCACCGTCATCTTCTTGGCCACGTTGCATCGTCCGCACACCACCCTACGGCAAATCTGGCATTCGACGCCTGGTCGTGTACCAGGTAGCGCAAACTTGGTGAAAGTTTTGCTACAGTTATCGCAGCTCTTGGGTCGAGACTCGCCCCTCGGTCGGCGACGACGCGCAGCTATTTGTTCTCCTTTGTCCATCATGAGCCACGTGAGTTTCTTGATGTACGCGTAGTCGACGATACTGGCGGCACTGATGAGCGAGTCCGCGTTGACCGCCACAGCCACCCGATCGGGAACTTTACCCCGGGGGTCGCTGAAGTTGCGGCAGTATTTCTCCACCTTGTTGTGTTCACGCTGGCGATTGATGAAGCAAAGGCTTAAATCGCCACGAAGAAGACCCAAATCCGTGAGCTCGGGGAAGATCCGTGGCAGGGAGATGGAATGCATCAGGTAGTAGCCGACCCTTTCGCCCTTTGAGTCCCGCGTGAGCCCCGTGGCCTCCAGAATCAGGTAGTCACGCTGCTGTACGAGGCCCGTGAGCACAGCAGGGATCTCCTTAACGAACCACTTGACCCCCAGAAACCGGAACGGGTCTTCGCGAGTGGGTCCTCTGACAGTCGCCAGTACGCGCGCGTCGTCGAGGCGGTCGTTGATATGCGAGCTCCGCCACATCCACGCTCGGTCGGTGGCGGCAAAGGCCCCATACATGGTGTCGTCCAGAGTCCCATCCACTGTGCCATGCAGAACCATCTCGTAGCCGGCAGGACGCCTCACGGGTGCATCTTGAACAGTGCTACTTGTACTAGCCCCCCAGGGGTCTGTAACCTGGGATTGGCCCAGCAGGACGGGGCGAGAGCTATTGGGCTGCGCTCGGAGTCGATGGTGCACATTCAAGCCGTCCTTTGCGCGCACGAGTCTCCAACAACTCGGATCTCGAAACGTGGCACCACCCTCGGCCAGGAAGGCTTCGTTGGCTGCGAGAGTCTCGCGCACGAGCTTCTCGGCTTCTTCGACCAACGCTTCTTGGTGCTGTTTGGACAGGTTCACGTCGGGGAAGACGCTTTCTGGCAGTGTGAATTTCATGGTCCTTCCACCTCGCGCTTGGGACGGTCAAAACGATTGTGCGCTTCTGTAGACCGCAAACTGCTCCAGTCCAACTCTATCGCAATGATGGCGCGACCAATGATCGCCGACCATTGATGGCGCGAGGTTTCCGATGAAATCAGTTTCGGTGAGCCCCCCCCCCCCCCCACTGTGCGAATGATATCGAGGCCCATTGCTTTTTCGAAGTAAGAACATGCCCGCCAAATCGAGCGACTGTGTTATCTCCGCCACCTCCAAGCGTGGTTAAGTTGTCTTGGCTCGGCTCCGCGGATGAGAGCAGCATCTTCGGCATGCGTTTCCCTTTTTTACATAAAGAACCGATCAACTCTACGCAAAGCCTACTAAAGAGTAGCATTAGGCGTCCCACTCCTTGGTACCAGCATTTAACGTGTGTAGAAGCAGAAGACCCGCGAGTTCGTCCGCAACTTGTCCGCTGTTGAGACGCAGCAGCTCGCGAAATTTCCAGTAGGCCGAGTGATCCGGAAGCTGGATGGCGAGTTCAAGCACTTTCCGCCAGTCCTCAACTCCAACCTGCGCGTTATTCTGCACCATCTCTTCGGCTACTGCACTCGCCTCGACCAGATTTTTGTGCGCTTCGTAGTGGTCGATGAGCTCACGGTAACACTCCACGCTTGTGTTGTCCATCTCGGCCGCATTTCTTCAACACCCTCCTTGCTTTCCTGATGGAGCCGTTGCGGATATTGGCCAGCGCCACCATTTTACAGGAAAGAGGACTCCACCTAACTTGATGGCGCCTCTTCTCATCGGCCAGTGCCAACAGAGCGACAAATTGATGAGTTTGAAGGAGGCTCTCCAGTGCTGCCATACACGCGGAGCTGGTCCATTTCGCCGAGTGGGTATCAAATATCTCCAGTCCGCGCGCTTCGTTCCCGGTGTTAGCGTGCGCCTTGATCACCGAACCAAGTGCCTCGTCATCCAGCTGAGATCGGAGACTTTCGGGCATAGATTCGTACATTTTGACCACATCTACCCAGCTCTTATCGCGGCAACGCACGTTTAGCACAAAGGCATAGTCTTCGAGCGTGAATTCCACGGAGTGGTCCAGTAACAATTGCGTCGCTTGATCCGCGGAGCCAGAGCACATGTGAGCGACGGCAACACGCCGACACAATTCCGAAGACCAATCGCCCCTCACATCGCCGGCAAGTGCAACCACAGCGGTATACTGCCTCGCTTCCAGCAACGCCAACATCGCGGCTTCGTATGGGAATTCGATGCCTCGCACCTCGTACGCCTTCTTGTGCTTGTAGCAGATGTCAAGGGTGCGCTGCTGCAGCTCGCCGCTTTCCGAACGAGCGTGCGCCATCAACACCGATGCAAACGCTTTTGCATTCTGTCGCAGTTGGAGGTGGTCCGGCATTCCGTTGTACACGTCGATTATCACGTTCCAGCCGTTGTTTGTGGCACAGCGAGCCAACACGAACTGAAAAGTGTCCATCTTCAGTAGCAGCCTCTCTCTTTCATCGTTGCGAGTAGATACAGTACGAGATCCCATTCCTTCTCCACAGCGCAGCTCTTTATGATTGCATTGCATTCCCCCGAGACGATCGGCTTCACGCGGTTCTGTCGCATTTTACGCAAAAGTTTGACCGCAAGACCATTCCTTCTTGCTTTCGTTGCGGCTGTGGCCAGAACTCTGGTGAAAAGTCTTCGGTTTAGCAAGAAGTCTTCTTCGAGCAGATCCTCCGCCACATCCAGCGCTTCTTGGAACCGATTTTCGTCCATCAGCGCGGTCATTGCTGTCAGCCTCGCGGGCACCTTTGGAGCTGTCCCCTGCACTCGAAAGTAGTGCAGCATCGCGACACAATCGTCGGTGCACCATGGTCAGCAGAAGCTTCGTGACCACCTCATTCGTCAGGCCCACGCCGCCATGCTCAAATATTTCTCGTGTCAACGTGGCATCTGAAGGCTCTGGTGACGCGGCGTCAAGAGGCACATCGGTATTGTTGCCATCTTCTAGATGGTGTTTGTCAGACAAAGCTGGGTCATTGGGTTCAAATGGTAAACCGCGAAGCCACATCTACTTGCGGAACTCCCAGTGCATCGCTTGGTCGGGAAGTTGAGCTTAAGCGCTTTGTGCCACTCCGAGCGCGGTAGTACCCAGTTCTTCTGCATCATTTCGTTGTAGAGCTGGCAGGCCATGGTGGGGTCGCACTCCTTCGTTGTGTAATACTCGATGAGTTCGCGGTAGCACGAGATGCTGTTCGTCTTGAGATGCGCGGAGTTTGCGCGCACGAACTCGAGCGCCTTCTTAATAGAGCCGCTAGGAATGTAGCCCAGCGCAACCATCCCGTACGTATACGCATCCCAGTTCGTCCCCTTTTGCTTGAGTTTGTTCGCGAGCGAGAACAGCTTCGCGTCTTCACTCTCGCTTCGAGCGTACGCCATGACCACCTCGGATTGAGCTCTGCGATTTAGCTGCGTACGATAGCTCTCTGGCATCGACTCGTACAGTTCTATGAGGCTCCCCCACCGTTTAGCCCCGCTGCACGCGATGAACACCGCGCTATAGTCATTGGCCGTCAGCTCAAACCCTTCCTCCTTCATCATGGCCAGAGCGTCCAGCGCGACCTCAGGCTGCCTCGCTCGATCGGCAAAGACAAGCAGCGACCGCAGTGCCTCCTCCGAGAGTTTCACGCCTTCACTGCGCGCGTCACGCAGCATCGTGTACACCCCGCCCTCGCCCTCGCCTTCGTAAGTGTCGTTGCCGCCCACAAAGTGCTTGAAAATACCGTTCACGAGCTCAGGGCGACGCAATTCCGTCGCAGCGTGCATCGCAAGGCCGAACACCCACGCCGGCAGCTCGCGTTGCTCCTCGAACAACGCCTCAAACACCGGGAGAGCCTGTGTAAACTTGCCCTTATCACACAACATGCTGAACGCAACGCTGCGTGACGGCGCATCGGGCGAGACGCCTCGTTGCCGGAAGTAGCTGAGCAACTCGAGACTGTCGCCGACCCACTCGTGCTTGGAGAAGGACCGGAGCAGCGTGGACGCCGTGCGATTCGTCATGGTGTATCCCTGTAGTGAATTCCAGGTCCAGCTTGGTGTCACTGCAGCATAACCCAAGCTACGATCACCCAAGTGCGTCAGCAGCACCGATTGGTGACAATGGATGATCTCTTCGAATGATTACTCTCGATGCTGAGGTGTCTTACGGCGTAAACAGGTCGAGCAGTTGCGTGGCTCGCTGGACTGAAGTGTCCAGTCGAGCTACATGAGGATTTAGTAGGCTCAAGTGCAAGTTTATTCTGTATGCCCACTTCTTCGAGCAGCAGCTGCCTTCTAGAAGCTTCTAGAAGCTGCTTTTCTCGTTAGGAGGCCGGTGAGGCCACGGGCTGGTTACCATCAGACCCAGTGCCTCACCTCCTTTACTTTCGATTCTTCTTAGCAATACACAAAGCCTAACTTCCGTGCGGGTTGGCCCCCGCATCGTTGTGTGTTGTGTTGCTTTGAACCCGGGAAATACTACAAGCCCCCACCACTGCGAATGTCCGCGAAGACCTCTCGAGCTTTTTTCGGGTCCTTCCACACGGTTTTCAGCCGCTCAATGAGATCGGAGGATCCCTCGGTCTGCCGTGGCAAAGGATCGAGCCCCCAACGGGAGTGTCGGCGATTGAGAAGGCTCTACTGGGGAAGGGGGTTGCAATAAGCATCGAACACTGGGAGAAGCGCGGCCGACGGGTTGACGCAGCACCAGGGTTGTAAAAGTTGGGTTTTTGCTTAATGGAACAATGGAATATTGGGGCAACCCACCCACCCTACGCCACCATATTTGGGTTTTACAGGTTTTATTTTTTCCTATAATGTAGAGTTACAGTGCAAATATTAGGACAAACAGTCCAATAGTTGGCCAAGGATAAATTATGTTATGATTTTGAGACCAAACGAGCCAATCAGAAGCCTATATTGTCGAATTTTATGAAAAATAGAAAACCCACCTACTTCACCCAATCCCCCAGATAGATTCAATCACCCGCCCAACTTTGTCGAAAAAGGTGGGTTTTTAACAACACTGCGCAGCACCGAAGACGCGGCCTTTGACCACCAAGGTCACTATTGGCAGGATTGGTACCTGAATTTTGGTAGGGATACTACCCTGAAATGGTTAGCACAAGGATACATCCACCAACTGTAGGCGTACACGGCTTCATTTCGCTGGTATACGTGCGTTTAAGTGTTGTTGTACATTTTCTCTTAGCTAGCTATGCTGCTGGCTATCTACCTTGACAACGTGGACAAGCAGGACAGGCAGTGCTTTAGTTCTCGAGCACGACGCGGTAGCGCACCGTGCCGTTGCGCACCATCTGGATGCCCTCGTTCACCTTGCTCATAGGCATCTTCTGGATCACGGGGCGCACGTTCTTTTTGGACGCGACCTCGAGCATGTCCTTGATGTCCTGGATGCTGCCGATGGCGCTGCCCTTGAAGTTGGCGCCCTTGCCCACGAGCGGGTACGGCTTGAACTTGATCTCGTCGTTGGGCAGCCCCACCATGATGACCGTGCCGTGCACGGCCAGGAAGCTCAGGAACAACGTGTAGGGCATGTTGTTGGCGTCGGCCGTGATGAGCAGGATGTCCACCGAGTTGGCCGCGTCCGCCGCCTGCTTCTCGTCCGTGTACACGACGAACTCGTCGGCACCGAGACGGCGGATCTCCTGCTCCTTGTTGGCCGAGCGCGAGAAGGCCACGACGGCCGCGGCGCCCATGGCCTTGGCGAACTGGATGCCCAGGTGGCCCAGGCCGCCGATGCCCACGATGCCCACGCGGTCGCCCTCCTTGATGCCCACCTCCTTGAACGGCGTGAAGACCGTCGTGCCGGCGCACATGAGCGGCGCGGCCACGTCCGACGGGATGTTGTCCGGGATCTTGATGGCGAACTCGTGCGTGACGCGGATGTAGTCGGCGTAGCCGCCGTAGGTGATGGCGCCGTCCGTCTTGCGGTACTTGGAGTTGTACGTGCCGACGCGGTGGCGGCAGTAGGCGTCCGTGCCGTTGGCGCACTCCTTGCACGGGTCCTCGGGGAACTTGTTGAGGCAGGCCCAGACCTGCGCGCCGACGCCCACGCGGTCGCCCACCTTAAGCTCCTTGACCTGCTCGCCTGCCAGCGTGACCTCGCCCACGATCTCGTGGCCCACCACGCACGGGTACATGGTTTGGCTCCAGCCGCTGTCCATCGTGTGCAGGTCGGAGCCGCAGATGCCGCAGTGCGAGATCTTGATCTCGACGTCCTCGGGGCCCAGCGGCCGCGACTGGTACTCCCAGGGCTTGGCGTCCTCGCCCTTGGCGAACGTGGCGTACGCGTGGATGGTCCTCGGGCCCGTCGACATGGCTTTCGGTTGTGGGGCTGGGTGTGAGTTTAGTGCTGCTACTGCTGCTGCTGCTGCTGCTTGGTCGACTTGTGTGGTGTCGATCAAAATGGGGAATGAGCTCTTGCATTGGACTGCGCGGGCTCGAGCCGAGCAGCTCCGGCGCGGTTAGCTGGCCAGGCGTGGTGGGCACGTGCGTGGCTGGGCTCAGCGTCGCATAGCGGCGGGCATTCCGCTCTTGGTTTTTGGTTGTCATGGTTGGTTGAAGTGGTCGTCGAGACCCCGTCGCTCGTCCGCTTCAGCTTGGGTAACCACACCGGTTTACAGCTGCGCAGCATACAAAGACCAAGTGTCGCCGCTTTGGGACACCTTTCGCCGGACGCATCGCAGGTAAACCTCCCGGTGGTTGACGCGCCCACGACGGACGAGAGACGCGGCGCGAACGGCGACGAGCTTGATTGGGTTTAGGTTACACTCGGCTCGGAGCAGACCGCGGCCAACGAAAAAGGTGGCAGCGTTCCACCCCATCCCGATGCTGTTGTGGGCGCTCGCCCGCTCGGCGACACTTTTGGCTGTGTGTGTCCCAGTGAGTGCTGGCGATCCAAGATCGGCGCTCGGCCGACCCAGCGGACTCGCTGTCATCAGGCCGCAAGGCGGCCAGCTCGTAATCGGAAGTGGAGACCGAGGCCGAAGCTCCCAGGCCATCGACATACAGTACATGTACTGTAGAGAATTGCCAACCTCTCGTCGTGCTGCCTAGCAATCAAAGAGGAAGCATGCCTGTGTATTATCCGCGCTACGTGGCACGCGGCGTGTTCTAGGTGCGAGTTCGGACTGGCACCATGACGCTTGGTGTTCTCTCAGAGAACTTCTCTACTTGGCGAAGTCGGACAGATAGCAACAGGCGAAGTTTTGATAGAGGAAACTACAATTTCAGTCGGATTGGATACATGCAGTTGGATTCGTCGTGTCGAGGCAGTTAGTTGCGCCCCTCCCTATCTAAGCTTACAGTTGGTGGTCGGAACCTCCACGCGACGCCTAGTTCTCGAGCACGACGCGGTAGCGCACCGTGCCCTTGCGCACCATGTCGATGCCCTCGTTCACCTTGGCCATCGGCAGCTTCTGGATCACGGGGCGCACGTTCTTCTTGGACGCCACCTCGAGCGTGTCCTTGATGTCCTGGATGCTGCCCACGTTGCTGCCCACGAACTTGGCGCCCTTGCCCACCACCTGGAACGCGTTGAACTTGATGTCGTCGTTCGGCAGACCCACCATGATGCACGTGCCGCGCACGGCCAGGAAGCTCAGGAACAGCGAGTACGGCATGTTGTTGGCGTCGGCCGTGATGAGCAGGATATCCACCGAGCCGGCGGCGTCCGCCGCCTGCTTCTCGTCCGTGTACACGACGAACTCGTCGGCGCCCAGGCCGCGCACCTCCGCCTCCTTGTTGTTGGAGCGCGAGAAGGCCGTCACCGAGGCGGCGCCCATGGCCTTGGCGAACTGGATGCCCAGGTGGCCCAGGCCGCCGATGCCCACGATGCCCACGCGGTCGCCCTCCTTGATGCCCACCTCCTTGAACGGCGTGAAGACCGTCGTGCCGGCGCACATGAGCGGCGCGGCCGCGTCCGACGGAATGTTGTCCGGGATCTTGATGGCGAACTCGTGGGGCACGCGCACGTAGTCGGCGTAGCCGCCGTACGTGATGGCGCCGTCGCTTTTGTACTTGTCACCGTACGTCCACACGCGGTGCGGGCAGTACGCGTCGTCGCCGCTGGCGCACACGGAGCACGGCGCCTTGGAGTCCTTGTTCAGGCAAGCCGACACGAGCGCGCCGACGCCCACGCGGTCGCCGACCTGCAGGCCCTTGACGTCAGGGCCCGCCTGGGTGACCTCGCCCACGATCTCGTGGCCCACCACGCACGGGTACATGGTCTGGCCCCAGCCGCTGTCGAGTGTGTGCAGGTCGGAGCCGCAGATGCCGCAGTGCGAGATCTTGATCTCGACGTCCTCGGGGCCCAGCGCACGCGACTGGTACTCCCAGGGCTTGATCTCCTCGCCCTTGCCGAAGGAGGCGTAGGCGTGCACGGTTCTCGGGGAGGCGGACATCTTGGTCGAGGTTGGGAGGGAGGGTATTGCTTGTTACTTGGGCTTGCTGGCTAGAGAGCAAATTGCAGAATGGCTGTGCTGTGGCTGGGATGGCGTTTAGCGGGGCGGGCGGTCTTCAGGGGATTGGCGCTGACGTACATGGATACACGTGTACAGTACCAAGGCGCTGATCAGGAGCGAGGTGGTTAGAGCACCTTTAATGCACAACAAGGCGCCTTGGGCGCCATTAGTATAGCAGCTGGTTTTCGGGTAGGAGGGAAATATACTGTAAAATCGGTAATTGTGTCCCACCCTATAATTGTGCCCCACCTGTCATATCTGATCAAATCTGATGGGGCATTAAGTTAGTATCCCTCCATTTAACTTGATCTAAGTATATAGAGATAATTTATAAACTTTTTTTGGAACATTTTGCCCATAGGGTACTAATGCAGTGCCCCAGTGGCACAATTATCGATTATACAGTATAGACTGTTGCCTCAGCTTTTCAAAGTCCAAAATGGGTGCTAACTTTGACACTACGTATCACGTAGGCCTGCACCTGGACAAACTATTAGTGCTATCTACTTCGTAGGGATATGTAAGAGCTATCCAACGCACTAGCTTGCATCGGCGGAGTGTAAGTAGCCACTTAGCAGAACCTCCGCCTCCTCAGGGACTCCTTCGTAGTGTCTTTCAAAGCCATCAGGCCGGGAGGTCATCCCTCCCCATGTAGTCCACACTTTAAAGGCGTCGTAAGGCTTTCCAATCTGTGCAAAATCAACACAGATCAGAATACATGTAATGAAGTATTTGTATTGACGGATGGGACGGGTGCCATAGGCTCATCTGGTCGTGTTGTGAGCGGTTGTGAGGACACGTTGCCACAGCAAGCAAACCTGCGCGGAGTGCCCGTAAAGCAGGTCTGCGCGATTTTGCGAAGGTAGGTCCTGCATTGACCCGTTGCCGCAACTCGGTGCTAGTTTTCTAGTTGCGGTGCTCCAGTACACTGCAGCACCGCAGATTCACCCCCTTTTTTGGCTTCAAGGTGCCGTAGGGCTTAAAGACGCTTTAGGCAGATGTTGTGCTGTTGCATTAACTGTAAAGGTGCTGTAACGAGACTCGATCGGGAATCAGCGAGAAATTTCCATAAATCAGTTATTTGTCTCTCGTCCAAGAAGACCGCCTTGGTCACAGGCCTCCTTAATTGCGGGAAATTGGTCCAGATTCCCGCACCTTACCTTGTTTTAAAATCGGGATTTTGCATTCCCGACCTTCTATGAAGAATACTTAGTACTATGTACTCGGGAAAAACATCGGAATCTGCGCAACCAACACCTAGAATCGATTCTTCCACGATGCTAAATCCCTATAAAGCCCAATTATAACGCTATTAACAAGGCCTAAGGCCAAGACTTCAGTCACAGCGTCCCTTACCACCATGTGCGTATGCGGTTTTGGGGCTCCAGACGACACAGCTTGTCGTGGTTTATTCTGATGCACGACCAGATTAGAAACGAAGTGGGCGCTAGACAAACGACGCTTCCTTCCAACATTAGTTTGCGATGGACTACTGCTGACATTGCAGTCAGATTTCTGTTATTTTACTGGATAAGGAGAGATAGCACCGGGAGTACACTCCGCTGAAAGGTATACTGGAGATTTTGCCATTTCTTTTTATTTTCCCGTCTCCGAAATGCCAGTGAGGAAGTTTAGCTACTGGTAGGTTGTAAATAGACCAGATTGATTACATCATTCGCATACGTTTATACAGTACATGTACTAAACTCACCATGATTATTTATTGAACCAATCATATGCGTACCCTAATACTACTTCACTATGGTTAATGCACCTTATCTTAAAAGGCACTTTAAAAAGTGCCTTGGATATCGCGATGAATAATATTAGGGGGAAAAATGGCGACAAAAATACTAACAGAGAAGGGACCGTATAATCATCAACGATCTGCCCCTAAAATCAACAAATCAAGGCAGAGGATATTAGTACAGCACAGCGAAAACCGATATCTTGATTTTTGTATTGGATCATGGGCTTTGCTTCGCTGCGCTCCTGCGATAAAAAGATTCTCTCACCTGGCGAGTACAGTGCTCGGCTTGCTGGAATGTTCGGCGCTGGGCCCGCCTCCGCAGATACCGCGCGGCCCTGCTTCGCGGGCACCCCGCACGGGTCTGCTATGGCTACGCGACCTCGCAACCGCTCGCTTTCTCTGGACCATGCTGTACTAATAGACACTTTCACGAATCAAAGTGGGATACACACCTTAAGCTTTTGCATTTAGCTGCGAAATGCCACTACGTTTGTAGTTGCCGCTTCTGTTCTCGCCAACACACGCATGCTCGAACTAAATGCACACATATCTTCCTACAGTCTGTCTCTATCTAAGCGAAGGCCGTCGTCAACGAAGCGCTTGTCTAGAAGCTCACAACGACTCCATCAGTGCAAGTTGAGATTTAAAACTTGTTTATAGTGAATAGTGAACATGTTAATTTTGAAAAGATCTGCGTGAAAACTGGGCTAAACGAATACACAACACTTTCTATCTGAAAAAGAACTCAAAAACAGCTGGAGTTTGTATGGGATTTCGAGGAGGGAACAGGAGGGAAATCAGAGGTACCACTTGAACTTTGAAATCAACAGGATTGGGGCGAAATAAACAGGAAATCGCACCAAAAATCAGCACGTTTTTTGCTAGGTTCGACTCCCCCAAAAATTGCGGTACAGTACCTGTACTGGCGAAAGGTCCAAACTACATACAACTTTCAGTACGAAACATACACTGGCTGGTACATACAGTAACACGTTGCGAGCGCAGCGAGCCGATTCCCTCGCGAAGCGCGTAGGGTTTTGTGCCCAAGTAGTAAGGGTTGGTTGGGTACGCGCGGAGCGCTAGCAGGGTGACAGTATTTTTACCTGTATGTTTTGACCCCAAAAGTGTATATTTCGTACAGAGAATCTGTATAGTTTGACCCACGTCCCTACGACAGTACTGCGGGAATTCGACAACCCGTGACCAGCACCACAAATCTCTGACAACAACGACCGCTGAAAAGCACAAGGCAATACAAATCTCTAGTATAAAAATGTCTCAGAAATGTCACCGTACCCCTTTCAAGTAAAATGGGTAGTCTGGGACACCTTCAATTGGGTACTCTCAACGGAAATGTATGGAGGTCGCTGGAAAACTGCAAAGGGGTACTGACTTTCTATTGAGGTTTGTATGCTAGAGCTGCGGCAGCCCTATGACGACCAGTAACTATTCGACCACATAAACAGCTTCGCTTAGCGCTCGCCAGTTTCACGAGATATAAGTGCTGTGTTAGGACCTTTTACCGAGTTGTTGCCGAGCACAAACTGGAAATTGGGAGAGCCGCAGTTTAGCGGCTTGACCGAGGCCAAGAAACCCTACGAGTGCGCGACCAACTCGCCCTAACTTAGAACCAGCGCAGAAGCAATTGTCACGCATCGCCCGCTATGCTTCTAGGTGGGCTAGGGAAGGTGCTTAAATGTCGACCGCTGTCAACATCTATCGCGCTCTGCTAAGATTCACAGTCTTCGAGTACTCTAGGCGTCTGCCTGGTACATGGTAGGCCTTGGTGAATCCAATGACCTCGGAGGAAATAAAAATAAAACTTGTGTTTACTATAATACTAGGTAAGTCATATTTTCGCGCTCGCAGCAAATACATGACGGCCTCAGAGCCATGCAGACTTGGAGATTAGACAGTAGCTTCTTGACTACGCTCATTCCGCTATGGATTCTCCGAAGGATAGTATCGGAAATTCCGACAATATGCAAGGGTGTATCGCGCATCCTGAAATGCATGTTGTAGTTGCTGAGTAGTATCAATGTATGTTAATACTCGTCGTTTGGGGCTCACTAGTGACTATTTCGTTCCTTTCCCTAAGGCAAATCAGCAGTTTAATGTCCATCCGGCAAGGCATGCAGAAAAATGGCCGTAATTTCAAAACTAATTGTCGGATTGAGAAGCTACTTGCACCACTGTAAAGAGGAGACACAGAGCGATTTTTGAGAATTTTTGCGTTCGTAGTGCTGCTGTTTTGAGTTGTCTGGGACGGATGAATTCGCAGTACATCGGATTCAGCCTCTAATCAGTTTAATGGCCAACTTTCGACTTGATTTAACCATGTGTGGGATCTCATCTAATCACGCTTGGCACCACTGAGGTTAGGGCTATGAAAACCTCCCTTCCCTCATAACTTCGAAAGCTGACCACTTTGTATGGTGTATTACTTGCTACAGAACTCTTCCACCTCCGCCACAAAGTGTCGTCGCCATGCTCGGCGGAGCTCGCGGAGCATGGCTTTCAAAGGCTACTCCTAAAGGCTCACGAGCTCATGACGCCTCCACACTTATATCTCAATGCAGGCGTCTACTAATGTAAGGGCCTCCTGGGTAGATGTATTGTTGCTTGTCTATACCAATAGGACACGCAATAGATAGCTTTACCTGTCTGAGGCTAGTGACAAGCACAGCACCGCAATGCGATGGCTAGAGGACGCGACCGCCACGCCTTCTAGCCTGCCTACCTCGTTCCTACCAATATTCAGCGCTGGTCTCGTTGGGTGCATTTCGCAGCAGAGTTAGCCCTGCAGGAAGCTTCTCTACGGTGTCGCCCACACACTATGATACGGTGCCTGACCGGCCGACTTACCTGCGAGCGGTGCCATAACGAATGTCAAACGCTACCCACCACATCTACGCCAGGGTATATACGTACGACGAATAATGCTGCGGGGAAGCAGGAAAGAGAAGGAAGAGCTCTTCCGACACGCGGTGTGTGGCTTGGTTGGTCCTCCCGTGCACAGCTTGAATATCAAGTCACTGAGGTTTTCACTTGAAATCAGCTGTTTTTATTTTGGCAAATCATATCTAGAAAAAGATGGCTACATCGTCAGGATTGGTAGAAACAGTGACGGCCATTAAACTGCTCGTGGCCATGGAACTGATGATTTGCCTTAATCAGTGCTTCATCGCAGTTCGCTGCGGAGTACATGGATCCAGTATGTTGTGCCCTTTGTCAATAGACTTCCGATCCTTTCCAGTATCCTACATTTGAATAACGCCAGTAATACAGTCGCCTTTAAAAGGGATCAACAGTAGCAGCAGGACGTGGACCAGAAATCGCTCTTACGCCAGATCAGCGATTGTGCAAGGCTTGATAAAGTGTTCGGCTTGTAGGAACACAGCAAAGTGCATCATTAAGGTGCTGTGGGCCAAACCACCATCTGGGTGTCGAACCAGAGCTTCGGCAACTCGGGCACGTTCTACACGTTCGCCGCCATCACACTCATCTCGACCCCTCTCTCTTCGTTCTGCATGTTCGACGACCACAGCTTGGATAAGGTAGACGAGCAATTCTACGCCAGACTGAACGGGGGCGCATGTGTTGTCGAAGGAAGTTGTGTAGGGCGAAAGGAGAATGTACATCAATGCTATTTTCTTTTTTCTTTTACACGTTTTTGTGATTCAATTTGAGTTCTGTAACTACACACTTGGACAGCGCTCGTTGAAAGCGAGCGTCGTGCAGTTTGTCAGGAACGAGATCTTCTTTCGTGGCCCGTGATAAACTCCGATCGAGATACGCGCACACACGAGGCGTGGTGGCCAGATTGACTAGTTGATGACGCGCGTGCGAGCCAGATCTCCGTCATTCCCGGCGATGCCAAAGTATACGTCGTGCTAAAGTAGGTTACAGTACTAATAGGACGCGTTATAGTTGCGTTGCAATCGGTGCTTCATTGGATGGATCGCTGTGGGATATACGCGCGTTCGAGTCATTTACGCAAAACGCCATGTCCTTGCTTCCGATCCCACATTTACGTGGCGTGAATTACGCCGCAGCACTATCGCTTTCAATGACAGCTATGCAGTACAGTTGTTATGAGGCTGAAATCCTTTGTTCGTGCTATAAGTCTCGGCATACATAGTCTACTTCAGGATTACACTAATAGTATGACGAAATGGCCGCCAAACGTTATTTAGACCACGTAGGCGCCATTCCTACCATTGTCTTGGTCATTGTCTTGTTTCTTGTGTGCATGGACTCTTAGAAACTATTTTATGCTCGTGAGGGCCGCATATACTCCATACTCTCCTTCGACTTCACTGTTTTGCTTGCTTGAAGATGCAGTCCCGGAAACCTTAAATGTTTTTTCGTCCTTTTCTACACAAAATACCTCATTAGCCTGCAAATGCGTCAAACTGGAAGTGATCTTTTGGTGAGTCTCATTTAGCGGCGACTCGAGTGTCGCAACCGTAAAATGGCGAAATTGCACAGGTACTGCCGTACAGTACATGTACCCTCCCTAATCCCGGGAATTCCCGGAAAAAGACAAAGACAAATGCCCCATTACTAATTGTTTACAAATGCGCGGGTCGGCTAATGGCCCATTAATAATGTCTTTTCAAATGCCCCATCACTATTTGTTCACAAATGCGCGGGTCGCGATTAATAATGGGCCATTAGCGGACCCGCGCATTTGTAAACAAAAGCAGCTCACGCAACGCAGAGGATGGCTTCACGACGGCAACTATCGGTGCTGTAAGCCCTTGTTGGCGTCAAGAAGCAGGACTACGTCAGCTCCAACCTCCACAGTGCGTAGCGTCATATCTGCGAACTCCCGCCATCAATCTTCTGCCATCCCAGCCACAGCACAGCCATTCTGCAATTTGCTCTCCAGCCAGCAAGCCCAAGTAACAAGCAATACCCTCCCTCCCAACCTCGACCAAGATGTCCGCCTCCCCGAGAACCGTGCACGCCTACGCCTCCTTCGGCAAGGGCGAGGAGATCAAGCCCTGGGAGTACCAGTCGCGTGCGCTGGGCCCCGAGGACGTCGAGATCAAGATCTCGCACTGCGGCATCTGCGGCTCCGACCTGCACACACTCGACAGCGGCTGGGGCCAGACCATGTACCCGTGCGTGGTGGGCCACGAGATCGTCGGCGAGGTCACCCAGGCGGGCCCTGACGTCAAGGGCCTGCAGGTCGGCGACCGCGTGGGCGTCGGCGCGCTCGTGTCGGCTTGCCTGAACAAGGACTCCAAGGCGCCGTGCTCCGTGTGCGCCAGCGGCGACGACGCGTACTGCCCGCACCGCGTGTGGACGTACGGTGACAAGTACAAAAGCGACGGCGCCATCACGTACGGCGGCTACGCCGACTACGTGCGCGTGCCCCACGAGTTCGCCATCAAGATCCCGGACAACATTCCGTCGGACGCGGCCGCGCCGCTCATGTGCGCCGGCACGACGGTCTTCACGCCGTTCAAGGAGGTGGGCATCAAGGAGGGCGACCGCGTGGGCATCGTGGGCATCGGCGGCCTGGGCCACCTGGGCATCCAGTTCGCCAAGGCCATGGGCGCCGCCTCGGTGACGGCCTTCTCGCGCTCCAACAACAAGGAGGCGGAGGTGCGCGGCCTGGGCGCCGACGAGTTCGTCGTGTACACGGACGAGAAGCAGGCGGCGGACGCCGCCGGCTCGGTGGACATCCTGCTCATCACGGCCGACGCCAACAACATGCCGTACTCGCTGTTCCTGAGCTTCCTGGCCGTGCGCGGCACGTGCATCATGGTGGGTCTGCCGAACGACGACATCAAGTTTAACGCGTTCCAGGTGGTGGGCAAGGGCGCCAAGTTCGTGGGCAGCAACGTGGGCAGCATCCAGGACATCAAGGACACGCTCGAGGTGGCGTCCAAGAAGAACGTGCGCCCCGTGATCCAGAAGCTGCCGATGGCCAAGGTGAACGAGGGCATCGACATGGTGCGCAAGGGCACGGTGCGCTACCGCGTCGTGCTCGAGAACTAGGCGTCGCGTGGAGGTTCCGACCACCAACTGTAAGCTTAGATAGGGAGGGGCGCAACTAACTGCCTCGACACGACGAATCCAACTGCATGTATCCAATCCGACTGAAATTGTAGTTTCCTCTATCAAAACTTCGCCTGTTGCTATCTGTCCGACTTCGCCAAGTAGAGAAGTTCTCTGAGAGAACACCAAGCGTCATGGTGCCAGTCCGAACTCGCACCTAGAACACGCCGCGTGCCACGTAGCGCGGATAATACACAGGCATGCTTCCTCTTTGATTGCTAGGCAGCACGACGAGAGGTTGGCAATTCTCTACAGTACATGTACTGTATGTCGATGGCCTGGGAGCTTCGGCCTCGGTCTCCACTTCCGATTACGAGCTGGCCGCCTTGCGGCCTGATGACAGCGAGTCCGCTGGGTCGGCCGAGCGCCGATCTTGGATCGCCAGCACTCACTGGGACACACACAGCCAAAAGTGTCGCCGAGCGGGCGAGCGCCCACAACAGCATCGGGATGGGGTGGAACGCTGCCACCTTTTTCGTTGGCCGCGGTCTGCTCCGAGCCGAGTGTAACCTAAACCCAATCAAGCTCGTCGCCGTTCGCGCCGCGTCTCTCGTCCGTCGTGGGCGCGTCAACCACCGGGAGGTTTACCTGCGATGCGTCCGGCGAAAGGTGTCCCAAAGCGGCGACACTTGGTCTTTGTATGCTGCGCAGCTGTAAACCGGTGTGGTTACCCAAGCTGAAGCGGACGAGCGACGGGGTCTCGACGACCACTTCAACCAACCATGACAACCAAAAACCAAGAGCGGAATGCCCGCCGCTATGCGACGCTGAGCCCAGCCACGCACGTGCCCACCACGCCTGGCCAGCTAACCGCGCCGGAGCTGCTCGGCTCGAGCCCGCGCAGTCCAATGCAAGAGCTCATTCCCCATTTTGATCGACACCACACAAGTCGACCAAGCAGCAGCAGCAGCAGCAGTAGCAGCACTAAACTCACACCCAGCCCCACAACCGAAAGCCATGTCGACGGGCCCGAGGACCATCCACGCGTACGCCACGTTCGCCAAGGGCGAGGACGCCAAGCCCTGGGAGTACCAGTCGCGGCCGCTGGGCCCCGAGGACGTCGAGATCAAGATCTCGCACTGCGGCATCTGCGGCTCCGACCTGCACACGATGGACAGCGGCTGGAGCCAAACCATGTACCCGTGCGTGGTGGGCCACGAGATCGTGGGCGAGGTCACGCTGGCAGGCGAGCAGGTCAAGGAGCTTAAGGTGGGCGACCGCGTGGGCGTCGGCGCGCAGGTCTGGGCCTGCCTCAACAAGTTCCCCGAGGACCCGTGCAAGGAGTGCGCCAACGGCACGGACGCCTACTGCCGCCACCGCGTCGGCACGTACAACTCCAAGTACCGCAAGACGGACGGCGCCATCACCTACGGCGGCTACGCCGACTACATCCGCGTCACGCACGAGTTCGCCATCAAGATCCCGGACAACATCCCGTCGGACGTGGCCGCGCCGCTCATGTGCGCCGGCACGACGGTCTTCACGCCGTTCAAGGAGGTGGGCATCAAGGAGGGCGACCGCGTGGGCATCGTGGGCATCGGCGGCCTGGGCCACCTGGGCATCCAGTTCGCCAAGGCCATGGGCGCCGCGGCCGTCGTGGCCTTCTCGCGCTCGGCCAACAAGGAGCAGGAGATCCGCCGTCTCGGTGCCGACGAGTTCGTCGTGTACACGGACGAGAAGCAGGCGGCGGACGCGGCCAACTCGGTGGACATCCTGCTCATCACGGCCGACGCCAACAACATGCCCTACACGTTGTTCCTGAGCTTCCTGGCCGTGCACGGCACGGTCATCATGGTGGGGCTGCCCAACGACGAGATCAAGTTCAAGCCGTACCCGCTCGTGGGCAAGGGCGCCAACTTCAAGGGCAGCGCCATCGGCAGCATCCAGGACATCAAGGACATGCTCGAGGTCGCGTCCAAAAAGAACGTGCGCCCCGTGATCCAGAAGATGCCTATGAGCAAGGTGAACGAGGGCATCCAGATGGTGCGCAACGGCACGGTGCGCTACCGCGTCGTGCTCGAGAACTAAAGCACTGTCTGTCCTGCTTGTCCACGTTGTCAAGGTAGATAGCCAGCAGCATAGCTAGCTAAGAGAAAATGTACAACAACACTTAAACGCACGTATACCAGCGAAATGAAGCCGTGTACGCCTACAGTTAGTGGATGTATCCTTGTGCTAACCATTTCAGGGTAGTATCCCTACCAAAATTCAGGTACCAATCCTGCCAATAGTGACCTTGGTGGTCAAAGGCCGCGTCTTCGGTGCTGCGCAGTGTTGTTAAAAACCCACCTTTTTCGACAAAGTTGGGCGGGTGATTGAATCTATCTGGGGGATTGGGTGAAGTAGGTGGGTTTTCTATTTTTCATAAAATTCGACAATATAGGCTTCTGATTGGCTCGTTTGGTCTCAAAATCATAACATAATTTATCCTTGGCCAACTATTGGACTGTTTGTCCTAATATTTGCACTGTAACTCTACATTATAGGAAAAAATAAAACCTGTAAAACCCAAATATGGTGGCGTAGGGTGGGTGGGTTGCCCCAATATTCCATTGTTCCATTAAGCAAAAACCCAACTTTTACAACCCTGGTGCTGCGTCAACCCGTCGGCCGCGCTTCTCCCAGTGTTCGATGCTTATTGCAACCCCCTTCCCCAGTAGAGCCTTCTCAATCGCCGACACTCCCGTTGGGGGCTCGATCCTTTGCCACGGCAGACCGAGGGATCCTCCGATCTCATTGAGCGGCTGAAAACCGTGTGGAAGGACCCGAAAAAAGCTCGAGAGGTCTTCGCGGACATTCGCAATGGTGGAGGCTATGACATGACGGACCGCGCGGCATCCACATTGCTCCGATCCTTTTCCAAGCACAAGTAGGTCGACGACAGTGTGGAGCTGCTCAGCTACTGCCGGCAACGAGGCATAACGCCGGATGGGGCGTCACGCAGCGCTGCTTTCAGTCTGTTGTGACAAGGGAAAGTGTTTGAGTCGTTGTTCAAGGAGGAGATCGAGCAACCGCCGTGGGTGTACGGCCGAGCGATGCACATCGCGACGGAATCGCCCTGAGCTCGTGACGGACATCTTCAGACACTTAGCGGGAGGTGACGTAGTCTACCACGGAAGGACTACGGTATACGATATGTTGTGCGCCGTGCTTGACCAGGGCGCCAAGCTGTCGGAGCTGACACTGCGCTCGTTGCTGATCTTTGCCGATCGAGCGAACCAGCCGGAGATCGCGCTGGAAGCTCTGGCCATGATGAAGGACGAAGGGATCGAGCCCACGGCCAGTGACTGCAATGCGGTGTTCATCGCGTGCGGCACTGCAAACCGATGGAGCGATATGATCGACGTGTACGAGTCGATGCCAGAGAGTTTTCAATCGCAGCTGAACGACGTGGCTCAAACCTCAGTGATCTTGGCACGCACTCGAAGTGAACGTCACGAAATGAAACTGCGTGGACTAGAAATTTTCCGCAGCGATGAGACCAAGTGGCAGTATTTCAAGTGTATCGCGGCGCTGTAGGCACTGCTACACACCCACCAGTACAAGGCTCTGTTCTCACTCGCGAATAACCTCAAGCAGGAGGGGATAGCGTGGACTTCGTACACGTACAAGCTTGTGGCATTGGGGTACATTCGAAGGGGTTCCGTCAAGAAAGCGCGCAAGTTCATGCGTGCAAACTCCGTACGCCCAATGTTACCGCGAACTCATCGAGTATCACACAACGACGCAGAGAAACCCCGCCGTGGTCTGTCAGCTTTACAAGGAAATGATGCAGAACAACAAGGAGCTGTCGCGTTCCGATTGGATCAATGCGCTTCAGCTCACGTTTCAACTGTCGGACCAAAAGCTGCATCGGGAGTTTTTGGTTGCGCTGATGGACAGGTACGAGGCGCCGGATGTGGTTGATGAACTACTCGAATACGACTCGCTACTACTGGAAGACGAGGAACTTTACAACAAAGCGCTGATAGCGGCAGCGAAAGCAAGAAGGAACGGAGTTGTGGTCAAGCTGTTGCGCACGATGAGAAGAAATGGCCTAAGGACAATTGTTTCCGAGGATCGCAACGCAATCATAAAGAGCTGCGCTATTGAGGAGCAGTGGGGTCTGGTACTGGATCTGCTAGCAGCGATGAAAGACGAGGGCGTTGTATTTTTTTTACACGTACCAGTTCGTGTTGATCGGTTGTGCCGCAAACAACTGCTGGACCCGATAATCGACGTGTACAACGGAATGCCGGACAACATCCAACCGCTTCTGAACGCAAAAGCATTGACGGCAGTGTTGAGGGCCCACGCTCGTTCGGAACGAGGAGAACCTCAGCAGCGCACCGATGAGATCTGCAACAAACACAGACAAGCGTAAACAAAGGTGCGGGGCGCAAAATTTCTCTATGAATATGCAATGTTGGCGTTGCTGGAGGCGAGGCAGTATGCCGCCGTGTTTGCTCTTTCTGAAGATGTTAAGGGCACAAGATGGTCTTCAAAATTGTGTCGGCGTGCTGCTGTAGCTCACATGTGCTCTGGATCCATCGATCAAGCGACGCAATTGTTACTGGACCACTCAGTGGAATTCATGCTCCAAGACTATGCGCTAGCGCTAAAAGCGCGTTCTCGCGACAAGTGCTGGGACGACGTCATCACAACGTACGAAGCTATGCCCGAGAGTCTCCGATCTCAGCTGGATGGCAATGCAGCGCACGCTAATACCGGAAACGAAGCGCTCGGATTGGATATATTTGATGTCCATCCGCTAGCTCCGCATGCATGGTAGCGCTGGAGGCCCTCCTTGAAACTCGTCAGTTCGACGCTGTGTTGACACTGGCCGATGAGATGAACCCCCGTAAAATTCGCTGGAGCTCATTTACCTGTAAAATGGTGGCGCTGGCCAATATGCGCAGCGGCTCCATGAGCAAGGCGAGAAAGATATTGAAGAAGAGTAAGCACCGAGTCGATTTCTAGTGGCGCAAAGTGGCATCTGTTCCTGAGAAGGCTGCGCTGAGAAGGCTATTAGCGAGTACCAGTCACGTGCACGAAGCAGCTAGTGTACGTGATGACCATCGTCAAAGTGCAACGAGCGACGCGCAGCAACAGTAGCCAAGGCTCTGAGTGCCAGGATGCTTCCAAGGACCAACAGAGCTTCAAGGAGAGACGACCCAGCAGCAAGGACTACAACAGGAACAGGATCGAGGACGGACGACGCAAGGAGGGTACGCAAGTACTGGTAAAGATATCCGAAGCGGCGGCGACAGATAGCGAGCAGCAGTCAAGACGGCGGCGGCGACGGGGTGAACAAGCGGAGGAAGAGTCGAAGAGAGCATGACATCGAGGATAGCACACATGGGGCGTGGAAGAACGAAGGGGTGAGCGAGGCAACGCTGGAAACTCGCCGACGTGCCACCTCACCCAAGGCAACGACCAAGACCGACGATTGGCCAAGGTGTGCTGGTCAGAAGCCGTTGGCCGGCACCCATGGCGCCCACGCCACCAAGTGATGGCAGTAAAAGTGTAGTCAGTATCGAAATAGCGCTGTAGGGTACAGATCAACCCATACAGTAGAGCCAAGCCAATACACGAAGCAGTTGGCCGTAGCAAGTCGACTAAGGTCAAAGTGCAGTCGAAGTGAAGAGCGCGGTCCGAGGTGACGAGCAGCGTGCACAGAGTCACAGTGCACACGTGCGTCCATCGACGACCAGTACCCCGCGGACACATCCGCCGGAAGGGAGAACCCGCGAGTTGTGCGCGCACGTGGGCACAGTTCACAGAGGGACAGCTCCAGTCAGCTATCGCCTACCTGGGCCCGATAAGAAGCGGAGGGGTCGAGGATCACGTGCGAGCACCTGGGATTGGCGACGTACAAGGCGTTGTGCGTGTTGGATATCGCGTGGAGCGGTGTATATTTGTATAGGTGACGAATTGGCGTTGCCAGCCGCCGAGGACCCCGACGCTGCAGAGCCGCGGACTCGGACAAGGTGCGGACGGTAGCTGCAGAAGGGCAGATCGCTTACTGAAGTATGCTACCGAGATGGGTGACTACAGTGTGGAATGTTATCGTGAGCTCATCGAGCACTACGAAGCGCACCAGAATCTAGCCGAGGCGAGTGCAGTAGCTGTGGAGATGATGCAGAAGAACGCACAGGTTGGAGCCGAAGACTGGCGAAAAGTGCTCCGACTTGCCATCCAGCTTCCGGACCACACGTCCTACTGGACATTACGCGAACTGCTGCGTCTTCATGGTGGAAAAGTTGCGGAAGAACTCCCAGCGAGTCTTCTGCTTCCCGAAATGACACGTGATACTCGTGAGTGACGATCCTTACAGGTCACAGCAATCGCGTGAAGCTACGACTTCGTAGCGTGAAAGCATCAAATAATCGTGAAGTTACGTTTTGCAGTAAGAGCGCGGAGTTTACGCAGTGAAAGAAGAAAATCGATAGGAAATGCAGATGCTCTTTTCTTCTGCCATCGCAGAAGCCGCCTACAAGTGGCGCCCACGACTGTGAGCGAACTGGTCCAACTTGGGCTCGGTCGGCACGAACTTGACGGCAGCATTAATCTTCGCCTTGACCTCGGGTGTGATCTTGCTCACGACTTCCAGCGCCTTCAAGTTTTCCTCGAGCTGTGCCGGCCGACTGGCTCCCAGCAGAACAGTCGACACGTTCTCATTCGAGACCGCCCACGCGATCGACATCTGAGCGAGCGACGTGCCCAGCTCCTTCGCAATGGGCACGAGTCTGTCCGCCATCTCGACGCGTTCGGCGAACCCCTCGGAGAAGGGGCCCGTGGCGAACATGGACGTCGTGTATCGCGATCCTTCCGGCTTCCCGGCGCTGTACTTGCCCGTCAGAGTGCCGTAGGCCAGAGGCGACCACGTCGTGAGCCCAGCTTGTACTTCTTGTACAGATCGAGGCACTCGAACTCCACCTTGTTGCGCTCGAGGATGTTGTACTGCGACTGCTCCACGATGGGGCGGATCAGTCCGAGTCAGTCCGCGATCTCGCAGGCTTCGCGGATGTCCGACGCCAGCCACTCGCTGGTGCCCCAGTAGAACGCCCACCCTTGGTTGATCACGAAGTTCATGGCGCGTACGGTCTCCTCGATCGGGGTGTAGGCGTCGAAGCGGTGGCAGAACACCACGTCCACGTAGTCGAGCTCCAGGCGGCGCAGGGACGCCTTCAACCCTTCCACGATGTGTTTGCGGCTCACACCTTCGTCGTTTGGGCCGCCCTGCATAACACCCTTGGTCCCGGTGAAGAGCTTCGTGGAGATGACGAGGTCCTCACGCGTCCAAACCCCTTCTTTGATGCCCTTCTTGATGGCGCCTCCGAGCAGCTCTTCGGCCTGGCCGTTGCCGTACATCTCAGCGGTGTCGTAGAAGTTGACGTCGTGCTCGAACGCGATCTTCATCATGTCGTACCAGCCATCCACCGTGTACTTGTCGTTGTAGTCCACCCAGGACCCGAGCGACAGCTTGGAGACGAGCAGCCCAGAGTTCCCCAGGAAGCGGTGCGTCATGGCCGTGGTGGAGGAGGTAGAGCTTAGGGCCATGATTGAAGCTTTGTCGTTGCGGTTGGGAGGGCTTGCGAGGAACGAAGCGAATTGGAGAATGAGGGTTGAGAGAGCTCGAGTTGGTGCCCAGGCAGCGCCGTGGATGACTCAATCAAGCGGTTGATCACTTCATCAACTGTCCTTTAAAGTTGAAGTGGCATGCGACAGTTTGGTCGTTGCCTGAGTTCGAGGTTTTCAGCGATCTGTCAGTCTGTCGGTCTGGCAAGGCAGGATGCATTGGTGCTACTTACGCCATTTTTTTAATTGAGCACTCAATTGTTCTCACTTAGCTAATACGATCGCTAACGACTAATACTACGCCGTTGTAAAGTTCGCGGTGGAAACCGTGTGAGCACGGCTCGGAGAATCCCAAGGCATTGGCTTTACCAATGCCGCAAGTTTGGCTACCTAGGCTAGCACCATCGGATGATGCCCATGGGTATCTTTGGCGTCCATGTTGAAGCCCTAGCTAACTTTTTGCCACCTATCGATGTGTTGATCCGCGCGCAAGCTGCCAATGACAACTACCCGGAAAGCCGCCATTGCAGCCGGGGGCTCGCTCCTTCGCTCTGGAGTCTAGACCAGGCCCCACGAGGGGTTCGTCCGATGCCATTGAACGACCAAATACCGAATGGTTGGACCCGGAAGCAGATCAAAACGTCTTCGCGGACATCCGCAACGGTGGGGGGCCGTGGCATGACGGAGCGTACGGCGTCCGTGCTGCTCCAACCCTTTTCCAAGCCCAAGTGGATCGATGACTGCGAGGAGGTGTGGACCTACTATCGGCGGCATGGCAAACAGCCCGATGAGCCGTCGCGGCACGCTGCTTTCACTGCGTTCTCTGACGCGGGCAGACTCCTCCCGGCGGTTGATGTGTTTGGGTCCTGGTTCAAGAAGAAGAAGATCGGCCGAGCGATGCATGTTGCGGTCGAATTGTACAATTCCGACCTCGTGAACAGCATCTTCCGATACTTGGTGGGCCGCAACGTCCAGCTCGCAAGCTAACGACGGAAGACGAGGGAGCTGCAGTTGGGAATCGACCGGCATTCCATTGTACACATCGATTATCATGCTCCATCGGTTGTCCATGGCACAACCAGTCAGGACAAAGTGAAAAGTACCAATCGCCGGTACCACGCCCTCGTCTTTCATCGCTGCCAGCAGGTCAAGTGCCAGATCCCATTCCTTCAGAACACAGCAGCTCTTTATGATTGCATTGCAATCCTCCGAGACGATCAATTTTCGACCATGTTGCCTCGTTTTGCGCAAAAGCTTGACCACCAGCCCGTTCCTTGTTGCTCTCGTTGCTGCAGCCAGCGCTTTGGTGTAAATTTGCTCGTCAACGGGTAGCACCGAGTCGTCGTCAAGAATATCATCCACCACATCCGGTGCCTCATATCTGTCCATCAGCGCGACCAAAAACTCCCGATGCAGTTTGTGGTCGGGCAGTTGACTCGCGAGTCGAAGCGCGTTGTTCCAATCGGAGGGCAGTAGCTTTTTGGTATTCTGCAGCATCTCCTTGTAAAGCTGGCAGGCCATGGCGAGGTTTATCGTTGTTTCAGCGCAGAGGACGTCGATGAGCTCGCGGTAGCATTCGACGTTGTTGCTCTGCATGTGCGTAGCATTCGCGCGCATAAATTCTAGCGCTTTCATGGTGGAGCCGCTACGAATGTAAGCCAATGCCACAATTGTGTATGTGCGCGAGTTCCACGTTTTCCGCTTCTGCTTCAGTTTGTAACTGAGTGAGAGCAGAGTCTTATACTGGTGGGTCTGTAGCAGTGCATTCAGCACCGCGTTACACGAATAGGTGTTCCATTTGGTGTCGTCCATGCCGAGAACGTCGAATCCTCTCACCTTCACATCGTAACTGTCACTTTGAGCGCGTGCTATGATCACCTGGGCTTGAGCCACACCACTCAGCCGAGAACGATAGCTCCCTGGCATCGTTTCGTACACTTCTATCAGATCTTCCCACCGTCCATTCAAGCCGCACGCGATCAACACTGTGCTGTAATCATTGACCATCGGCTCGACGCCTTCGTCCTTCATCATGGCCAGAGCTTCCAGCGCGATATCCGGCTGGTTCGCTCGATCGGCGAATTCGAGCAGTGACTGGAGTGCCAACCTCGAAGTTTGTCGCCTTTGTCGCGCACGTCGCACATCATTTCATACACGAGTCGAAAAGCGTTCGCGCGCGTTCTCAATGTGCACGCCCATTCGGAAAGCGAAGAAGATCAGCAACGCACCCTTGACATCTGCAACAAACTCAAGGAAGCGGAAGCGTTCGAGCTGCGGGGTACTAGATTCCCGTACGAAACCGCAATGTGGTCATTGCTGGAAGCGAGGCAGTATGCTGGTGTGATTGCTCTTGCTGGCGATGCGGAGGGCGATTGGTCTTCGACAATGTGCCGACGTGTTGCTGTAGCTCACATGTGCTCTGGGTCCATGGATCAAGCAACGCAATTGTTAGAGGACCACTCCGTGGACTTTACGCTCACAGATTATGCGTTTATGCTACGCGCGCGTTCTCGCGACAAGTGTTGGGGAGATGTTATCACAACGTACGAGAATACCCGAGACAGTCGTACTAGATAATGAAAATAAAACTAATCCACCACTGTGCGAAACAACACGCCGGTGCGGTATGTGAGTCGAAGTTGTACATGTCGTGTGCGAAAGTTGGTTGCATTCCTTTGGATGAACTCGCCTAAGTGCTTGGACTGCCGTAACTGTCGCAGAACACGTTCGTATTCTTTACGAATGTCGGGGCTGGAAATCCGGAGTAGTCTGCGGTAGTGGCAGCAAAATGCTGAATGAATGCTTGAAATTGCCGTGGGCATGGGGTCCGGTTCTCCGTCCTCGAAGCAGATGTAGTTCCGATCTGTCCACTGGTGGTGAAGTGTAGCGCAACGAAGCACATTCCACAGGCGCCGAATCGCGTACACCAGCGTTTGTTAACTCGTAACTTGAGGGGAGAATTAGTGACGTCCACGATAGGTTGCTTGTAATGAAGATACTCCAGTGTTCCCACATGAGTTGCCACGTCCTTAGTTGCTACGTCCTTGTTGAATGGGGGCATTCCCAGAAGAGGTGCTTCGTAGTTTCAATCGATGTGCAGTTTGGGTAGGGGCATTGTTGTACGTCGGGAATCTGCTACGTTAGGAACCAGAATCGCGATCGCACTGGAAGAAGACGAAGAGCAATCCACATTTGAAGGTCGTCATACACTGGTAGTAGCAGGTGGCGATGGTCTTTGCTGAATTGGGCGAATCGATTTACGTCTGCATGCGTTGTCCCGTTAAGATCGCGGCAGATGGGATGAATGTCGGGATCCAACGACGGGGATGAAGAAGTTGTTTTAGTAGCGGCCGAGGGATAAACGGAAACAATCTTGTTTTAGCAGCTTGCCGGACGCCCACATTCGGGACAAAGCGCAGGTCGATAGTAATGCTGTTTGTGTCGCCCAACAGGTCTTTAATGCGCTCGAATATTTGGGTGAGTTCATTGTACAGGCCTTTTAGCCATCGCTTCTGTCGTTCCTGGGAGAACAAGAGATCTTGCGGGTCCAGTGCTTTCTCTATAAATCGTTCTCGGGTTGGCCAGTACCCGAATTCGAGGTAGATATCTCGTAGACTCCCATAGGACTTCCGATGTGCCAGTTGGAGTCGGTAACTTCGCCTTGGTTCTGCAACAGCTATAACATTTCGCTTCCTAGCGGTTCGCGTTTCGTACTGTAGCAGTGGGTTTTTGGAGAGCCAAATAGGGGCAGCCCATAATGCTATCGTCGCGCTGGGGTGTTTTCCGTGAGATAGCCACTGTGTTTTGTGCCACATTAGCCATGTGGATCTCCACCACTCAGATAAAGCTTCCATTCAGATCAAGCATTTGTAACGGGTCGGCGAGATGTCAAGAAAACATAGAGGGTCTCGTATGGGGATCAGTGGAACCAAGTCGCGGACCGTGGATGACATTAGAGCTGGCCATGGCCGCTCAGGGCTCGCTAACACCTCTTGCGCAAATTGCTGCAGGACCAAGATACGCTGTGTGTGTGCAGATGATGGTGCAGTGGTGCAGGTCCAGCTGACGCTCAGCGAGCTCCGCACATTCGTAACACTTACATGATACAACTAGCGTTTCGTCTATGGCGGCATTGGTAACGCTGTTACTGTACATGTAGATGATGTTCTTATTGTACGTTCTGCAAGTGTTAGGTACCATGCTTAAACGGGTTAGTTGCTACTACCGTCGGTGGTTTATGACACGATGTGGGAAAGGATTTTTATCCGCACCCATGTCTGACCGCTGGGATGGGACGACCCTTCGCCTGACTGTGACTGGTCGCAGTGAACAGGAATCCAGTGACGTGGAGTGTGACATGTGGATAGTGGATGCGCATGGTGGATTTGGCGGGACCCGGTGCTTGCAGTAAGCATGGGCTCACAGGATCGGAGATGTGCCCACCGGATGAGCGCTCATATTCGGTGTGGAGTAACACATCCTGTCCGTCCGCCGACTTCCCTGACCGCAGGATAAGCCTAAGGCGCGCAAGTGCAGCCAGTGAACGTATCCTGGCTGCTACCTGCATTGGCTCCGTCAAGACATCGGACCAACCCCCAAGTTCACCATGCCCACCATGCTCCCCTGCGCCCATGACCTCGCTGGACAAAGTACACTGTTTGCCGGACTGGATCGTGGTGCACCCGGTAGCGACGCACCGGAGGCCAAGGTGCCGTACTGAATGAGGCCGGACCGGATGATCAATTCGGTCTGACCCCTGGTGCCCATACTGGATCGTGACCGCACCAACAACAAGTCCAGTACTGCTGTGTGTGTAGCAGCAATCCAGGACCGGATCGACCAAGAACGTCAAGCGACACAGGATGGCTCACGTGATTAGACGCAGAGGTCCAGTGCAGATTTGATGAGACGCCGTACCCACGTACCTCTGTCGCCAGATGATGAGTGTTGCCGAAGGAACGTTGACGTCGACAAGGTGCCCGATAACCAAGCCAAGTCAAGCATACCCAAGCTCAGTGCAAGAAGATCGAAGTCCCGTGCACAAGGTCGAAGCATATCCAAGACAAGTCAAGCATAGTGAAACCTTTATTAGAAGTCAGTGAAGTGAAACAGATAGCTAGCCAAGCGTAAGATCAAACAGAAACCAATTTGCCGAGGACAAGACCAGCCTTTCGATACGACCAACCGGCCTGTGTCTAGCGCCGTGCGTGGAGGAACAAGCTGCCCGATTCCAAGGAGGCCAAAGCGACGGACGTCCAAAGCAAGTTGGGGACTCACCAAACGGCATGATCCTGTAGCGACGAAGCTGGTGCCTGTCAGTATGAGGACGCCATTCGGAGGACCAAGTGATCAAGTGTGGGGACGCCATTCGGAGGACCAACTGATCAAGTCGTGGTACGCTACCTTGGGGTGCCTACCTGAAAGAGGGGAAGACAAGGGGCGATCGTCGAGTCTGGATTTAGGATCATTCGGAAGACAATGCATTTAAGAAAATTAATTGAGAAACCAATTTGCCGAGAGCACGCGGACGTCTTTCTTCGGGCTGGGAATTCCCCCTGACATTGACGTCTTCAAGAGCTTATACGTGGGATCCGCCTTCGTGCGATCTTAAAACGGAGGACGTTTCGAGGCCTCACTGGTGTTGCGAGCGCTGGTGTAGTGGGGACTCAAAGGTACCAAGGCAAAGTCGGCAGGGACTGGGGTGTCGAGCCCTGGAGTGATCTGTGAGAGCTTTATTTCCAATTTACGTGCTCTATCCGGGCATCCATTTCATATTCCATCCTGTGTGTCTTAGGCGGTAGAGGTAGTCACCCCCGAGACTGAATTGATTGACTACTGTGTGATAGGATTGACTTATATTTTGTATTGTTCCCTCACTCTGTGAGGGTGGTGCGCGTAAGTGAGTGTGCATCCAGGGTTGACCAGTGCCTTGGGTGACGGCTCGTAAGTTGTCTGGCGTATAGACCCCCCCCCACCACCCAAGGGTCTTAAAGAATAAGTGGTGGCTGTATATTTTGTGACGTTTAGCTCGGCATTGTATTTCTGTGTGTTGGTTATACTGAATTGTGGATCTGACTGTGGTCCCTTCGATTCGGTCTGACTTTCTGTTCATTCGGTGTAGTTTGTTTCAGGAACACACCCAGCAGACTCGATTCTGTATTTACAACAACTCACTCGGTGAAGTCCGGTCCGCCAAAGGTAAACGATACCTATAGGGGTTGACACAAGGACACACGCCAAGTCCAAGCGATCCTCCCGGCCCCCGGTTCACATCCTGTGCTCCGAGGACTACCGGATTGCAGCGGATATCTCTGGTACTCCGAATCGATTCGGTCCGGCATAGTGCGCTATACACCTGGACGATCAAGGCGTTCACCTGCCTCGCCTCATTATCGTTTAGATGATATGTGATTGGTAAGATAGAAGCCACGTTGCTTGATCAGTACACCATCAGACTCGCCCGACTAGCTCGGCTCTGACTTAATTTAAGAATGAAGATGCACTCAACCTTTAAACTCCTCGTGTTCTAAAACTAATTCGCAATAGATGCAAGTTTGGCACTGACCACTTGGGCTACCTGACGTACACATACCCTCAAGTCTCATCTTGACCGTCACCGGCCTCTCCTGCATTCCGCCACGTCGAATATGTTATTGGTTTCGTGTTTGCGCTGCATCAGGAGAGCATACTAATGATCCTGTCGTGTTTTGTGGGTTGTTCTCGCGACAGACGAGTCCAATTGTCTCTACTCGCGCATCTGTGAACGCCGTTGGGTTCCTGGTATCATAGAATGGTTTGCGGAATACGTGCAACCTGCTTTCATTACTGCTGCACCAATTCAAATCATCTACTTCCAGTGTACAAGCTTTTAGCTTTATTTACTACGTTAGCAGACACCAGGCGGTAAATCCATGCTGTGTGCATACTTGGAATGCTTTGACGTGTATGTATGTGGGTGTATGGTGTGTGTGGGGTGGGGGTTCTGTTGTAGCATCATCCTTACTACATCTGGCTAGCAGATGCAGACCGCTTGGGGTCGTACCACGTAGTCAACCCTAAACACCAGCTTATGAGCCTAGTTCTGCATAGTGTTGTAGTGTCTTGCTTCCGACAGAAGATGATATAACGCGGCCAATATGAAACAGGAACCGTAGTTACGGTAGATGGTTTGATGTTTATTGCAGCGGGGCTGACGTAACGTACCGTCAGAGGAAGCGTAATCGGCTCACAGAGTCTGCGCTTAAGATAGTTCGCTCTAATATCTGAGTGTACGAGTCCGTACACCTTACGGACTCCAAGAGTCAACTCTAGTCTCTTCAGTATAAATCTCAAACAGATGTTTTTCTCTTTATCGCGGCTAAGCTGCTGTACGGTGTATATATATATCGTTCACTATCTAGCATAACGAATCTTAGTCAAATGCGCTTCGTAACCCTTCGGGTACTCTAGGGTAACAGCTCTCGCAACGATAACATCCGCAGCGAATAGTTGGCTTCATTTATGTACAGAACAAATCAAGCGGAGCCCCGCGAGCGGGGCTCTTGACAAAAGTTGAAGCCAAGCCCCGCCTCGCTTGCTCGGCGTGTGGTCCACACACGGTCTTGTAATATGGAGGGTTCACGCAGTCCACGTGACTTGCCCAATACAAATCGTAAGTGAAAACGTGACATTATGCAGCAGCGCTCTAAAAAAGCGGGCACGGTGCTCCATAGTTCAGGGATCGTACTTAGTCGCTAAGGGGGCCAGAAATGTATACTAAGTAGTAACTCTGACGAAGTTTTCACATAAGCACGAAGCATACGATACACAAGTGGACTGATAATCACTAGGTGGCGTTTGTAGGACAAGTGAACGCAGTGAACTCAATAAATGCAATATAACCCTTGTGAATGCAATAACACCATCGAAATGAAAACTAGCCAATAATAAATGAAAAACAGACTTTTTGACCATAAATGGAAAGTAGCCGCTAAAAAAATGAGAAAAAAAAAACGCGCCCCCTGTACCAGTTTCTGGAAACGAGCACGTTGTTTTCAGTGATCCAGAGGCAACTGTCGTGCCATAGTTTGGCGTGAAATAACCTCGGATAAAGGACCGTGTCCCCATAGTACAAAAAGTGGCACGGTCGCACCGCAAACGTAGGTGGCCTCGCCCAAGCGACATCTTAGGTTGAATTGGGCACTATCGTCGCATGGGCTGCAGAACCCTCCTCGGTACTCATGCTGTCTGCTAATGAGTTTGAAAAAGTTTCACATCGAATGTATCCAGTACTTCTAGGTATATCATCTCCAAATAACGTATCTATCTCATGAAAGCCGATCGAACTCAGCGCATTATTTTTTTTACTGTTGAGTGTACCGCACCAAACACAGTCGTTTTTTTGTGGCGGTAGGTGGACGAGCTTACGCCATGTTTGTTTGTTTTTTAAAGTAAAATGAATATAACACTGAACGAATTATTCGCCCACAAAAAGCATTTGAAACGCGCCTATTTTGATTTTTGAACTCGCGTTGAAACGCGCCTATTTTGATTTTTGAACTCGTGACTTCAGTTTTCAATCGTGGTTCCACCTGTCTAGGAGAGAGGTCAGTGCAGTGCAGATTCGTTTCCATCAATGCTTTTGACTTTGACGGACATGGCTACGCTACGAGATGTGTGGAGTAGGTTCCTTTCATTATATTAATGGGATGCAGCAATAAGCCCCACTACTGGCTTTCATTCCTCAACTTACGCAGTCGAGCGCACCTTCACCTCCCCTGGCAGCTTCAAATCGAGATGGCCAAGACCAAGAACACTTTGTTCGCGAACGTCAAGGCTCAAGAGGAGCGAAAGCTCGTCGACAAACTCCGTGACATCGGCCTGGGCCAGTACATTGAGTTGCCTCAAATCGCCGTCATGGGCGACACCTCCAGCGGGAAATCCTCGCTGCTGTCGGCGCTGTCGGGCGTTTCCTTTCCGTCCTCCGACCAGCTCACGACGAGGTGCCCCACGCAACTCGTTCTCACTCGCGCCGACGCTTTTCGGGGCACCGTTCGGCTGGTTCGCTTCCAGTCTGGAAGCTCCGGTGACAACGATGACGGGGAGGAAAAGGCTGACCTGCAACGCCTGGAAGACGTCCCCGACGCCATCACCAAGCTCACCCAGAAGCTGGTGGACGAAGGCCAGTACATCAGCGACGACCAGATCGTGATCGAGATGTGCGGGCCCGACCTACCGAACCTCACGCTCACGGATCTGCCGGGTCTGGTGCGCACGGTTGGCGACCACGAGGACCAGAGTATCATCCCGAGGGTGCGGCAGATGGTGGACCGGTACATGCAGCACGAGCGCACCGTGATCATCGCGGTGGTGCCGGCCAACGTGGACATGCACAACACGGAGATCTTGCAGGCGGCGCAGGAGGCGGACCCGAACGGGACGAGGACCATCGCCGTGGTGACCAAGGTGGATCTGGTGGACACTGGCGCCGAGCTGGCGGTGCACGAGCTGCTGCTGAACAAGAAGAAGCGCATGCACCTGGGCTACCACGCAGTCAAGTGTCGGAGCCAGCGCGAGTTGACCAAGGGCACGAGCATCGAGAAGGGCGTGGCGAACGAGTTGGCGTTCTTCGGTCAGCACGAGTACTGGCGCAAGCTGCCGACGCATCTGTGGGGGGTTCCGAGGCTGAGTGAGCGGTTGGTGTCGATCTTGCAAGACAACATTCGTCGCTCGTTGCCGAAGGTCATCGCGGAGATCAGTGCGTTTATGGCTGAGACGCAGAAGACGTTGTCGAGTCTGGGCACGCCGTTGGAGTCTCCGGTGGCGCAGCGTCAGCAGTTTGGCAAGTGGGCCGACCAGTACTTGCGTTTGATGGAGGCCGCCATGTCGGGGCAGTACGAACTCCTCCCTTCATCGTGTTCTACCTCAGAGCAAGACGGAGTGGTGGATCGATCCCAATGTGATATAGACGTTCGACTTCGTGCGGTGCTTCGAGTGGATGAAGCTCAATTTCAAACAGCAGTGGGTGATTCGAAGGATGATGCCATTGGAGGTGGCCCGAAGAAAACACAAGAGCAAGTCGCTGCTGGGGATGCTGTGCAAGTTAAAGTCGGCAATCAGTGGCGATGCGGACGCGTGGCTGGAGTCGACGGAACTAGTATCTGGAGTGCTGAAATTGACACGTTCTGGAAGTCCAAGGATCAATGGCGCTTTGATGAACTTGCACCGCTCAAACGGTTTATCCGAGAGAATCGAGGCGATGAGCTGGCCATTTTCCCGTCGTACCAGGTATTCTGCAACCTGTTTCGGAAGTGCGTGGACAAATGGGTCACGCCGACGCAGCAACTCGTGACGGCGTACCAGGATCAGACGAAATTGGTCTCGGACCACGTGGCTGGCGAGCTTCGGGCTACTTCACGAGTGGTGAATTTCATCAAAACTGCGGCTGCTGGCGTACTTGAGCGTGTGGTCGAGGCAGCTAGACAAGAAGTGAGCAGCCTGTTGCGAGCTGAAGCTCGACCGTATACCCAAGACGAACGTATTTTCGCGGAGCTGGACCAGCAGCGCCTGCAAGCTCTTCAGGATCAAGTGAAAGCCGCTGCCCCAGTTGACCAGTATGGTAAAGTTGTGCTCGCAGAGGTACTGAATGCCGTCGAAGCCGTTGCACTCGCGACAGAAGATCGTGAGGTGCTGGAGATGCACGTGGCGTTGCAGGCGTACTTGGACGTGGCGATGCCGCGCTTCGTGGACGCGATCCCGATGCGGTTGAACGACTTGGTGTTGCGCAAGTTTGTTGCGGAGATGACGAACGAGCTTAACAGCTTGACGGACGAGAAGCTTGCGCGCCTGATGCAGGACCCGGAGCACAAAATCGCCGAGCGGAACCAACTCAAGGAGGAACTGGCCTGCCTGGCCAACGCCAAGAAGGAGATCGAGCTGGTTTGTTGAGCGGTGACCGGACACCAGATTGCAAGCCCAGCAAAACAAAGCAAAAACTACATGTAGGGAGTGCGAGACCAGGCTAATAGCTTTGGAATAACCAGCCTGCCAAATCGACGTCCAGTATACTTTTGTCTTACAAGTTACTGACGTGTTTTTCTCAACCAAACAGATACATTTACATGCCCTTGATGAAACGCCATATCGTCATACACAGTGTGGTGGGATGGTCAAATGGTAACGAGTGAGTTCCGTGCGATCCTCAGCGTAACGTGGATCAAAGCGTGGCAGATCTATTGAGATAGGAATTGAGTAAATGAAAAGTATGCAAGCTTTCGTCCGGGCGTGAGCCGCTTCGCCGTCGTTCCAGACGCCAATGCTCTTTAAGGCGCTCTTACGCTATCGCCGCGACTGCTGCCAACATGCACCATATCGCCGCTGCCGCACTCACCATTGTTGCCAATGCGCTGTTGGAGTTTTCGGTCGAAGCAGTGGTTGGCTCGGGGGTTTCAGTCGGCTCGTCGTTCGTCGAACCTGTCGTCGAGCCCGTCGTCGCTGTGGAGGGGGCGTTGTAGGCGCTGAAGGCCATTTTACCCAGTCTCCAATCTCAGCTGGATGGCGAGGCACTTGGTTGGGTGGTTAATGCGTACGCTAATACCGGGAACGAAGCGCGCGGACAGGAAATTGTTATCCACGCAGCGAAATCGGCGTGCGTGGAGGGAAATAATACTGCGGACGCTATCGTGGATATGAATCCATCAGCTTGATGATCTTCTCGTAACACCGTTGGCATGCTGTCGAATGGACAACAGAAGCGTGGAGATCATTGGACATCACGAAAGGCAACAGGTTCTGCAGTAGCTGTGGACACTATACGAGCGCTTCCGTCTCCGTGGTGGACACATTTTCTGTTTCCAGAAATGAGGTCGCTGATACTCTCGCGCTCGTTGAAGACCGTGCTGAAGCTCGCTAGTTGCGGTGGTTTCGACAACAGTAGAAGGTTGACTTCGCGACGGTCTATCTACTTCGGAGCTGTTAATTCAAGTACTACGTGGTAAGTTTCAAATAATGAAGTCCAAGCTAACATTTTTTTATTTTTGAAACAGCCGCAGCATGGCCGGAATGTCCGGAATTGTTAAACGCCCATCGCCAATGCACATCGGGCCTACCATCATCTCCCAGAGCTGGAATACAAGAGCGCTCCATGAACAAAATGCCGCAAGCACCACTGACCCGTGATAGGGGATGCGTCGCCAGCCCCTCGTACAGTACAATGGCAGATTCCCCGTGACGCGCAAGTTCGTGGGCACCAATGCACTTTGGTGCTCAAAGCCCACTTGCCCCTCTGCGCACTTGTTCCGCTGCTTCACCTCATGGCGAGAGCAAATCCCCACGACAGCTTCAACTTGGAGCGCATGTCGACGGCGCAGTCCTCACAGGCGGCGGCACGCTCCGCTCAAAGCCCGCGGAGCAATATTTGTACATGTAGCTCCGCTGTTGCTGTTGCCACTGTACTTGTTCCCGCCGCAGCGATGACGATCTTGCGCGTCCGGCGTTGGTGCCACACATCGCCACACTCGCAGAAACTATGCGGTATACTCGTCCAAGTTGCAGCGCCTCCAACTTCAACCGCCAGGGGGTCCACTATTCAGCACCTCCCAGTACACTATTCACACTTGCTTCGGACTCGACGAGACCATTCCGCAATCCGCGCGCTTCAACCTCCGTCCGGCCGGCCCAAGCACGTCAGCTAGATGCTGTCCGCCCGCCTGCTGCGCCACCAGCTCCTGGCCACCGCCGCGCGCGGCGCCAGCGGCGCGACCGTGTCCGCGTCCGTGCGCCGCCTGCAGCAGGCCGCGGCCCCGCGAGAGAAGCTCTTCGACAAGGTCCTGGTGGCCAACCGCGGCGAGATCGCCGTGCGCGTCATGCGCACGTGCAAGAAGCTGGGCATCAAGACGGTGGCCGTGTACTCGGAGCCCGACGTGAACTCGGTGGCCGTGCGCATGGCCGACGAGGCCGTGTGCGTGGGGCCCGCGGCCTCCAGCCAGAGCTACCTGAGCATCCCCAAGATCGTGGAGGCCGTGCGGGCCACGGGCGCGCAGGCCGTGCACCCGGGCTACGGCTTCCTGTCGGAGAACAAGGACTTCTGCGAGGCCCTGGAGGCCATCGGCGTGGCCTTCATCGGCCCGGGCCACGAGGCCATCCAGGCCATGGGCGACAAGATCGAGTCCAAGCAGCTGGCCATGGACGCGGGCGTCAACACGATCCCGGGCTTCCTGGGCGAGATCGACACGCCCGACGAGGCCGTCAAGGTGGCCCGCGACATCGGCTACCCCGTCATGATCAAGGCCAGCGCCGGCGGGGGCGGCAAGGGCATGCGCGTGGCCTACAACGACGAGGAGGTGCGCATGGGCTACCGCCTCTCGAAGGAGGAGGCGGCCAGCAGCTTCGGAGACGACCGCATGTTCCTCGAGAAGTTTATCGAGGACCCGCGCCACATCGAGATCCAGCTCATCGCCGACTCGCACGGCAACGTGGTGGCCCTGCCCGAGCGAGAGTGCTCCATCCAGCGGCGCAACCAGAAGGTCATCGAGGAGGCGCCCAGCGTGCTGCTGGACCCCGAGACGCGGCTGGCCATGGGCAAGCAGGCCGCCATGCTGGCCAGGAAGGTGGGCTACGTGAGCGCCGGCACGGTCGAGTTCCTGTGCGACAAGCACAAGAACTTTTACTTCCTCGAGATGAACACACGCCTGCAGGTCGAACACCCCGTGACGGAGCTCATCTCGAAAGTGGACCTCGTGGAGCAGATGATCCGCGTGGCTGCGGGCCACGAGCTGCCCAAGGAGCTGCTGGGTGGACCCGTGAAGATCCACGGCTGGGCCATGGAGAGCCGCGTGTACGCTGAGGACCCGCTGCGCGGCTTCTTGCCGTCTATCGGCCGCCTGCTCCAGTACGAGGAGCCCGTGCAACTCCCCGGTGTGCGCGTGGACTCGGGCGTGACTGAAGGCAGCGACATCTCCATGTTCTACGACCCCATGATCTCGAAACTCATCACGTACGGCAAGGACCGGTCCGAGTGCCTGGATCGCATGAAGACGGCGCTGGACAACTACGTCATTCGCGGCCCGGGCAACAACGTTTCGTTCCTGCAGGACGTTTACCGACACCCTCGTTTCGTGAGCGGCAAGATCACCACCAAGTTCATCGAGGAGGAGTATCCCGAGGGCTTTGAGGGCGTGAAGTTGACGCTGGCGGAGACCGAGGACCTCCGCGTTGTTGGCGCTATCATGCACCTGAAGAAGACCATCGCGAGCAGCCAGATCTCGGGCCGTATTGATTCGTCAGCGCATCAGGAAGGTGTGGCTTCGTTCGACTCCCTCAACCCAGACGAAGTGGAGTTCGTCTCGGACCAGGCGGGTGTTGTTCCTCGCCTGCGTGCCATTGCTGCCGGCCTATCGTCGCAGGACCTGATTGCGCTAGCGGAGCGCAACGATCTGAAGAATCTGGGTGCTCAGCTGTCGGTTAGCATCGATGGCCCGTTCGGAGCGTCCGAGCCCGTTGTTGTCGTGGAGGTCGAGGTGGAGAACAAGCGCCGCCGCACGGAGACGTTGACGCTGGCGTTTGTGGAGAACAAGTGGCATGTCGTGGGCGATGTAGACTGGTCGCTCAACAGCCCGCTGTTCAAGGCATCATACTCGAAGCAGAGCGGCGCGTCGAACGCACCGCTGACGTCTCAGCTGCTGCAGACGCTGCCCGAGGGGTTCAAGCTCCAGTTTCACGGCGCCGTGCACGATGTGGTTGTGCGCAACGAGCTGGAGGCCGCCTACGGCAAGCACATGCAGCCCAAGCCTGAAGTCGACACGTCCAACTTGTTGCTCTGCCCGATGCCCGGCATGCTCATTTCAGTTGCCGTCGAGGTTGGCGAGCACGTGGAGGCCGGCCAGGAGCTGGCCGTCGTGGAGGCCATGAAGATGCAGAACGTGCTGCGCTCCGAGAAGAGAGGCGTCGTCAAGAGCATCGCGCGCGCGGCTGGCGACTCGCTCAAGGTGGACGAGATCATCCTCGAGTACGAATGAGCGAGCAGCAGCATTGCAAGCAGAACATTGTCACTTGGTACCTGCATACTGAGGTATACGCAGACAAGAAAACTAAACACAGTTTGTATGTGATCAACACGAATTGAATTGAGCTTGACCAGCGGTCGGCGATCTTTGGCTAGTTGTGACCTCTCGTTCGAGTCGCCGTATCCTCCTCATTCCGACAGCTATGCGTCGAGTCACCTGGGCATCCTTGCTCCTGTTCGGAGGCTGCGTCTCCGCCGAGACTGCAGTGTACAAGCTGCACACAGATTCGAGCTGCAAGTCCGCGCCGACCATCATCGGCTTCCAGGAGTCGCCACCTCCGTCCTGCTCGGCCATCACCACGTGCTCCAGTGTCAACATCGACGGCGAAGATCTGTACTGGGATCGCGCTTGTGCTTCGAACGAGTACGATGTGTTGTCCGAGTCCCTCTACGGCAGCAAGCCCTACGTGGCCATGGAGATATACGAGTCGGGCGGCAAGTGCTCAAAGTTACTCTCCGGTGCGGCGTTCCTGGCCGATGGCAGTTGCCTGACCACCGACAACGGCGTCTCCAGCATGAAGGTCTCTCTATTCTCCGACGGCTCGGCGAGTTTCGAGACCTACCGCGGGGTGAGCTGCAGCGGCACGGCCGCAAAAATCTCTCAAGTCTCCAAAGCAGCCCTCACCAGCCACTCGTGCCAGGAGGGAGCGCTCAAATTCTACTCGAGCGACGCGACCGCAACCGCGACAGCAACAACGACGACGACGACGACAACAACAACAACATCGACGGACGGCACGGACAAAACCATCTCAACGACAACTTCACAGTCAGCGCCACGTTCATTCAGTGAATCCGTCCTGCTAACTGCAACGATGACCGCGACACTGGCCATGGCCATCGCGCTGCAGTGATTCGCCAGACAACAACGCGTGCATGTTTAATCCAATGAGCAAGCCTAATAGCAACACACATTGACTCTCTCATCATTGACAGGCTTGTTGGAGTGCGGACACCACCTCGTTATCGGCTTTCCATGTCGCAGGGCGGAGACATGGGAACTGGAATTCGGGCGTCTCGCGCGAGTGGGGAAACTTGCGCTGGACGACGACCGGTGGGTGGGTTTCAGGGATGTTCTTGTGCGCCGCTGCCGTCTGCGATCGCCGGAACGCTCGGAGCTGCTGCTGCACCTTTCGTTGAGCCATATCTCGATATTTGTCGTTCTTGTCGTGTATCCGATCCAACGCCCGCGGCGTGAAAGAGAAGTAGGGCGAGAAACAGTCGACGCGGTTTAGAGCTATCAGCTCCACCGTAGGTGAGTCCGCGACGACTGTGTAGACGCGCGTTTGTTGGCCCTCGATGAACATCTCAAAGCCGAAAAAGCCGGCGCTATCCTCGGTGTGGAATGGCACACGGGAGCGCACCGCATGAACCTGCTGCTTCCACGAGTGTGTGCCGCTCGGCCACCGATGCCGACGCTCGTACTGGATGTCCACCTCAAGTCTAACACGACCAGAACGCACAACGTAGAAGGCGCCAACCGACTCGCCTTGAGTGTAGAGGACCTCCCCCCTCTGGAGAGGGACGTCGATCGACACGAGCTCGAAGAAGTGCAGCTTGCTCTCCACACAGTCGCGGAACAGTGTCACCTCCGTGTGCAGCCAGTTGACAAGGTGTTTGCGTCTTCGCGTCTGGCACCTCGCAAGGGTTTTGTGGTAGTCCTCGGCCATTATCATGAGGACTTCACACCCTATCGGCTGTGACGACGAATTACCAGGTGACGGCGTAACATTTCCTGCAGGAGCAGCCTGTACATCAGCTCCGCGAGTGGCGTTCTCGAGCTGAAGCGCAATGTCACCAAACGCTGCGTTCTTGGTGACGGACGCCACCTTCTGACCGTCGATCAGAATGTACACCTCGCCACTCAGGACGAGATAGCAGGCATCACCGACGTCTCCCTTGCGGAAAACATACTCGTGTGGACGGAAAGCGCGATACTTGGCCAGCTTGGCGATCTCCGTGGCCTGGTTCAGGTCCAAGAACGTCGACATGGACGGGATCTTCATGATCCAGCGGGCGATGCACTGCAGCTCGACAATGTTCCGTTCGCTTGGCTCTTTAGGGACTCCTTGCTGGAGGATCTCTTCGTCCGTGACTACGTGGTCTGAAAACCTAGGAAAGAAAACCTGGAAATCTTTCCGCTCCCGGATCCACGCCGGAAACACCTCGCGATCTCCGGTCAAAGGTGCAGGTGCCGTCGTGGAGGACGACGTCCGTGGTTGTTCTTGCTGGTTTTCTTGCTCTCTACCGGTGCTGCCGCCGCTGCTACTCTCAGACTGCGTTCGAACCAGCGGGAGCTTGCTCTCTCGACGCATAACGCTCCTGCGCGGAGACGCCGCTGTCGACTGTCTGGGGGAGAGCACTGGAACCGTACGCGGCCGCACAATGTCCACTAGACTCGTGTATGCGTGAGTGACTTCCCGAGGGCTGTTGCGGCCGCTGCGTTCGCGAGGGGAACTGAGTGCATTGGCAGAACTGTGCAGCGCCTTGAGCTCGTTGACCCCCGTTGAGTTGCTGGTGGCCATCATTGCCGCAGCAATCGCCGACGTCGCGCGGGCTGAGGCCACCACGAACTTGGTGTAGACATAGATGGGATTCGTCGACTGCGTGACGGGGCCCCTCGGCGTCCCTTGCTGGGGTGGAGCCATCCTGGACTCGATTAATTTCACCGCCGGCTCGACAATCAATCAGCTACTGCCGAGATCCCAGCGTAACGTCGAGTGTACCTGTACGCAGTCTCCATTGTAGTCCAGCAATCTGGTCGCCTATATTTGATACACTCGTCCTCGAAAGGATCTCATCTCCTGCTGACGTACTTACTGGCTTCCTATTGGTGGAAATTTGTTAGGTAGACGACAAAATAAAAAGCCAGCTTTCATAACTTGCAAAAAAAAAAAAATAACTGACGCAGCCATGCTGATGATCTTCTCGGTCGACTCGCGGCACCACGGCGTGGGGCCCGTCAAGTACGCGTGGGACCCGCACGGCGACTACGTGGCGTCCTCGGGCACGTCTCGCGTCGCCCATATCTTCGGCCGGCGCGGGAAACTCGTGGATCAGATCGTGCCGCCCTCGCCGAGGTGGAGAAGATATTTTGCATCTTGGCCGGTAAAATAATAATCGGAATTGATTACTAATTTATTTTTTCTATTATTGTGTATTGCTTTTAGTATGTGTACGTTACTGGAGTGGAGTGAAAATGGAGACATTCTGGCCATTGTGCAGGCCAATTCGTCGTCGCTGGTGCTCTGGGAGCCCAAGAAGATCCAGCAGCATCAGTTGGTGGACTTGCCCTGCAAGGACGTGAGCTTCATCAAGTGGTCCAAGTCGCCCAACTCACTACTGGTACGGTAATTTACTTACAGCTTCAACTGTCGGTAGATGGTAGCTAACATTACTTGTTGCTGTTGAAAGCTCGCCATTGGTACCAATCGGGGCCAAGTGTATATTTACGACCACGCCACGGGCACCAAGACCCAAGTTGCCAGCAAGCACAAGCGTCGGATTTTATGCGGAGACTGGAACCTGGAAGACAAATTTGCCTTTGGATCGGAAGATCGGCAGATTACTATCTGCTTGCCGTCGGGGCGCACATTTGACCAGGTTAAGATCAAGGCCTCTCCTCAGAGTGTCACGGTGCGTGGGATTTCAACTCTATCTGGTTAAGATGTACTCAAGTGCTAAACTATTGTGCCTAATTTGCTCAGTTTGGGGGCAAAACGGAGGATAAAGACGCCATACTGTCGGTGAACATGGGTGGGAAAACTATTTTGCTTTACGACCTGAACGAGCGGGAGAACGCGCTGGAGCTGGCCTTTCAAGCGCGCTACGGCAATATCGTGTCGTATCAGTGGTTCGGCAACGGCTACATCATTGCGGGCTTTTCGTCGGGTTACGTTGTGATTATCTCCACGCATCTGAACGAGATCGGCCAGGAGCAGTACTGCGCGAAGTTCCACGAGCACTCGCTGCGTGAGATCGTGTACAACGAGGCTAATGGGACTGTGGCAACGTGCGGAGACAACTGCATCAAGGTGGTGCGCATGAGCGACTGGAAGGAAATTGCCGTGGAATACTTGGACAGCGAGCCCACAGCTCTGTCTTCGGCTGGTGCTGCCGCCGCTGGATCTGGTACCGGCGGAACTCCCCCAACGTCGTCATCGTCTATGCTCGCGGATCTGTCGGGGCCTAACAGCTCGGGCAGTGGATCTATGCAGGCGCCCTTGCTGTGCTTTGAGGACCTGCAGTGGACTCCTGATGGGCGCATTTTGAGCGTGAGCTCGCACAATGGTTGTTTGCACAACTTCATGATCCTCAGCTCGGCGCTGCGGTCTTCGTTGTTCGACCTCGACTCTCCTTTTGCAGCAGTTCTGAAGCCCATTGCACCCTGGACGATGCTGTTCACCATGGGCTTCATGGTCATCGCCGTGCTACTTGTGATCAGCATGCAATTCCAGGTGTCATGCATGGACGTCATTCGTGCTATGACGGGTTTTGTTGAAGGGTTATGAGTCGTAATACAGCGGTGCAAACCATTGACCTGTATGATAATGCAGATGACAGTGGTGCAATGTTGCCGTTCGGCAGATATTCATGCAGTGAATTTATCCCAAACTTGTCCTATTCGTTTCGGTCAGCCCGCGATACCGCCGCGCATGCGTCTTCGATCACGCTCACTAGGTATCGTATCGATAAGAAGCTTCCCACCGCGAAAACCTCGCCAACTCATTCAGGGCACTTCATCGTCCACCCCTTGCGCCCTTACCCGACCAGAAGTTGTTGCTCATCCCCCCGATACTCACGTAACGTGACGGCAGTGTTGTTTTGGTTGGGATGAAAGTTCGTTTCTCGTCACAGTTTCACCAGAACTCGACGCCTAGACTCACGACACCCGATGAGGTGTGGAGGTGAGGTGGGCCCATGGACGATAACGGACGGCTATTCTACACATTGGTCCGCTGCCTGTCTGCCTTACGTCAGTTGGGCTTTGTCACCTCCACACCAGCACCTTACGTCCCGCGACGACAGTGAACTCTAATACACGCGAGCTCCATGGGTATTTGCGAGCGCCTTCTTAACGCATGGGACGCCGTCCAGATCGAGCTCAAGGGCGAGTACCCCCCAGCCCGCGTGCTGGCGCTGAATGAGTACACCAACTCGACGCCATGGTGGCGCATCGTCGCGTTCGTCGTCTTTACGCCGCTCCCGTGTCTGATCTACATCTGCCTGCCCGAGACCGTCAACCTCTCCCCGCCCTACCTCGGGATGGTGAGCAACAAGACCTTCTTCGGCCGCTTCTTCCTCTCGTACACGATGTGGTGGCTGCTGCAGATGCACATGATCAGCGAGCGGATGCCTCTGCTCTCACTCTCCAAGAAGCAACTTGTGCTAAGTGCGGTGACTGTGGCGGCGTTGTCTACAGGTTTCGAGCTGCTGTACGCGTAGTGGATCGGCTTTCCAGTACCTTATACTATTCACATGATGGCGGTACCCTATGTGTCGCTCATGTTCTTCGCGTTCGCCATCATTTGGTACCCGCATGTGCGCAAGAACTGGGGACTGTTGTGGAAAATTGCAGACGCTGTATTGATCTGCGTCTGCCACGGGCTGGTAATTATCGGGTATCCACTGTTCTACTTCTTTTTCCAGAAGATGCACGGCGTTGAAAGTACCGCATTTTCGCTGGTGTTGCCACTGTTGAAAACCATCTACCGGGTCATGTTCTACTACTTCTGTCGCTCTGCCAGTGGCGAGCGAATCACGATCGTTGTGGTGTTCAATGCCGACCTGGTAACGCGCTGTTTGTCAACTTCTGTATGCAGTACCAGCCTTCGTGGACGACAACGATTACTCTCATGTTTGCCAACGCAGCGCAAGTGGTGTTAATAGTCCGGGATATTGACACTATTCGCAAAAAAATTGCGAAGACTGCGAGAAAGATTGTCGAACTGCGGAGGAACGACAAGTACTCTTCCAAACTCCCTGGAGAGAGAGTGACCACCTTTCGAATGCTGCCTCGAGCCGCGGACATCTTCCAGAGATACAAATTCGACGTTGACAAGGCTGGTCCCAAGAAGCTCACAGTTTCCCAGACGAGCGATGTGAATACCCAGCTTTGACACTGCAAAGGAGTGGTGCCTGAAGAGATTACGGCCGTCCGACTCGGACCCAGGGCTAGTGCCACGATCCAACCGATTGAGCAGAACTCAGAGCGCGAGGTGCACGAGCCAGCCGCCCCAACTGTCCCCAGGACTAAGAGCATGGAGGCCACGCTTTCGGAACTCGAGCAACTTGAGCGCAAGTACGCGAGCTTGGTACGCAAACTCATGTATGCATCAGAGTTCTCCATCCTCACGGCATTCGCGGAAGTCATCACGCCCATCGTGTATTGTACTTATTGGCTTCGACCCAAACGGTTGTGCTCCTGTTCTCACTAACTTTCGCCGCCGTCAGCGCTGTATCTGTTCATCGTCTTCCACATGCCCAACCGCGACTACTACTCGCAGATCGCTAGCATGGACTCGGCGCACCTGGCCAAGACGGTGCTGAACGTGCTTCTGTACAGCCTCGTGGAGCTCACCTCCTTTATCGTGCTCACTCAGACACTCAAGAGACGACTCGACTTCTCGACGCTGCACCAGCTTGCGTTCGTGCTGGACAAGTACATGATCCACGTGCAGACGGCGATTATCTTGTGGGTCTTCTACACGACGCAGATCTCCCTCGAGCACTACGGTATGACGTTTTGCACCATAACCGTTTTGGGTTAAGGTATATAACTGTATCCTTGTGCATCAATAGGCACGGACTATACTTTTAAGTTCGCATGGCTGCATGGCAACTCGACGACTGCTTAATTGAATTGAACCGCTTGATCTGGTGGATTGACAGGCCCTTAAAAAGAAACTCGTATATTTTGAGTTTTGATCTCCAAAAGTCAGGAAAGTGTAGTAAGCTTCGTATTCAGAGGTATTAGCTCTCGGCAGAACCATTTTAGGCGTCTACTTCAAGAGAATCCTCAGCTGTTAACTGCAAAACCACCGCCGGGGTCTTTTTTAGATGAGAGGTGTGCGCCTGTAGCGACATCGAGTCGGGTCGTGGGGAGCACGAACTAACTCCTACCGATATTTCGGTCGAGTCGGGCAAAATACATCGGGTGGACGCCACACCCTTATTTCTGGGGGAACCTGGAGAGGGGGCTAACGCGTGTGGAGGTCGGAGATGGGGATTTATCGCTCTCTCAGAAGCACGTGGGACGCATTCCAGATCGGACTCAAAGGCGAGTACTCCCCGGCGCGCGTGCTGGCTTTGAACGAGTACACCAACTCGACTCCATGGTGGCGCGTCGCCGGCATCATTTTCTTCACTCCACTGCCCAGCCTCATCTACATCTGCCTACCCGAGACGGTCGACCTCTCCCCGCCTGAGTTAGGAATAGCAAGTAACAAGACCTTCTTCGGCCGCTTCTTCCTCTCGTACACGATGTGGTGTCTGCTGCAGATGCACATGATAAGTGAGCGAATGCCTCTACTATCGGTCTCCAAGAAACAACTCGTCGTCAGTGCAGTCACTGTTGCAGCCTTTTCAACGGGTGTGGAGCTGCTCTACGCGTGGTGGATCGGCTTCCCAGTACCTTATACGATCCACATGATGGCGGTGCCGTACTTGTCGCTCATGTTCTTCGCCTTCGCTATCGTCTGGTACCCGCACGTTCGTGATAACTGGAGCTTACTATGGAAGATAGCGGACGCCATTTTGATCTGCGTTTGTCACGGACTCGTTATCATCGGGTACCCAGTGTTTTACTACTTTTTCCAAAGATGAACGGTATCGAGAGTACTGCGTTCTCGTTGGTGCTACCGGTGCTCAAGACGCTGTATCGGGTGATGTTCTACTACTTCTGTCGCTCTGCTAGTGGCGAGAGGATCACGATTGTCGTTGTGTTTAATGGTGATCTGGTCAACGCACTTTTCGTAAGTTTCTGCATGCAGTACCAGCCCACGTGGGTGACGACAGCCATCCTCATGGTTGCCAACGCGCTGCAAGTGGTCCTAGCAATCCGCGACATTGACAGTATTCGCAAGAAAATCGCAGATACAGCAGTGAAAATTATGCAGCTACGACAAACGGGTAAGCACAGTTCCAAGCTACCCGGAGCTCGCGTCGCCACCTTCATGATGCTGCCTCAAGCCGCCGACATCTTCCAGAGATACAGCTTCGACTCAGTCAAGGCGGGTGTGAAGAGAGCGCAGAGATTTATCATCAGCCAGACGAGCGATGTGGGCAAACAACTCCTACGCAGCAACCAGATAATACCCGTGGACAATTCGATCGTTCACATCGGTCCGAAGACTAGCAGCATTGTTGCAGCCCTCTCAGAACTGCAGCTGCTCGAGCGCAAAAACGTGAGTCTCGTACGTAAGCTCATGTACGCGTCCGCGTTCTCCATCCTCACAGCATTCGCGGAAGTCATCACGCCCATCGTGTACTGTACGTGTCACTTTCTGCACCGCTTATTGTGGTCGTAAAATATTTGCTAAGCGCTGTGTTCTTTGTTGCTTTTAGCGCTGTACTTGTCCTTAGTTTTTCACATGCCCAACCGCAACTACTACTCGCAGATCGCGAGCATGAACTCGACGCACCTGGCCAAGCTGGTAGTAAACGTTCTACTGTACAGTCTCGTCGAACTCGCCTCCTTTGTCGTGCTCACTCTGAGACTCAAGAGACGACTCGACTTCTCGACGCTGCACCAGCTTGCGTTCGTGCTGGACAAGTACATGATCCACGTGCAGACGGCGATTATCTTGTGGGTCTTCTACACGACGCAGATCTCCCTCGAGCACTACGGTAAGGTGCCAGAAGATCGTCGTTAGAGTACAGACTAACAGCAGTGTTGTGGAACTGCGTAGGCACAGACTACACTTTCCAGTTCGCGTGGCTCCACAGCAACTCGACAGCGTGATCGGGGGCATGGTACTGAATCCGTACTCACCAGCTAGCAAGTACAATAACTATTTATCAGCACCGCATTGGCGAGGGTATCCAATGAAGACGAAGGGCAAAAAGTGTATGGATCAATCAATATAAAGTGAATACAAGCGCTACTAGCGGTCAGCTCTTCTACCCGAGCTGTTGTTCATGATCTTTTGCAAAGCCCACTGCGACAAGCAGCCCTTCCGACGAGCGAGCGTGTCCGTCCCTCCACCGCCGCTTGGAAGAGGGGCTTGGGCAGGGCGTCTATGCGAAACTGACCTCCCCCTCCGTCGCAGCTTTATCCGATGTTCTGGATGCCTGTGAGCTGCAGCAAGTAGCCGATAATCCATCCGCAGGCCGCGGCAATTGTGCCGTTAATCGCCATGGAGCCGCCCGACTTCCACATCTTCTGGCCGACGAACTTGCCCTTAACCGCGCCCAGCAGGAAGAGCGTGACGACCGTGAGGAAGCACGACAGGTACAACGTCGTCTCCGGGCTCATGTCGATGCCCGGGATGAGGTTCACGAGGTACGAGAGCAGCGGGATGACGCCGAAGAGCATGAAGGAGACGAAGGTGATGACGCCGCCCATGAGCGGCGAGTCGTCCTCGTCCACGGGCATGAGGTTGAGCTCCTCGACCATCATGATGTCGATGAAGGCCTCCTTGTACTTGGCCAGCGTGTGCACCACGAGCAGCGCGTCGTCCGTGGAGATGCCCTTCTTCTCGTAGAGCTCCACCATCTCCTCGATCTCGCCCTCGGGGTAGTTCTCGAACTCCCAGAGCTCGCGCGAGCGCTCGTGGTTGGCCAGGTCGGCCTCGGCCTGGCTGCTGAGCATGTCTCCGAGCCCCATGCTGAGCCCGTCGGCCACCAGGTGGGCCAGGCCGATGATGAGGATGACCGAGTGCGGCAGGCCCGAGCCGGCCACGGACGTGACGGTCGCGAAGGTCGTGATGATGCCGTCCAGGCCGCCGTACACGGCGCTCTTGATGTGCTCGCCGCCCGTCATGTGGTTCTCCTGCGCGTGCGTGTGGCTGCCCATCTCCATCTTGAGCTGGTGCAGCAGGCGCGACTGCTCGGCGTCCCCGCGCCCGAAGGCGTTCTTGACGTCCACCATCACCTGGCTGTAGCTCGTGCTGCCGTAGTCTATGCGGCTGCCGGCCGAGCCGTTGCTGTTGATCCCGGTGGTGCTGTTGCTCGTGCTGCCGTTGGAGCTCATGGTGGTGGGCGATGCGTGTGTGTGTGTGTGTGTGTGTGTGGAGGGGCTGGGATCGCCTTCGGACCGCGGATTAGATGGCTGGTGTGCTTGAAGGCAGATTCGCGAGTGAGCTGCTGCGGTGCGATCCAACGTGTGCGGGATAAATAAGAGTCTCTTGAGTGAGACTCTCGCAAATAAGAGTGGGGCAGTTTAGAAACGATAGAAACGCAGGCAGAAAGGGCACGCGATTAACGCTTTGCATGCTGGGCAGTGCAAGAAGCGGGTCAAAGTGCCGCAGTGAGGAGACCGCGCGTGAAGCAGGCGGACGACACGCAGCGAGACAGTTTTCGCTGCAGCCTGCCAACGCCGCCTTCGTTCGCGCTCCTCGGGGGAGTTCAGTACGATTTACAGTGAGTTAGAGCTTTTTTAGGCCCTTCGTCTGAATTCCTCGTTAGGTCAGCAAGCCGTGCAGTGCCGGTGTCTTGGTTGCTGCGATGAGTTGCAGCGAGAGTGTGTCACAATGCAGTTCCTCGACGGCGTGAATAACATGGTGTCGAGAACAAACCGGTGGCGCAGAGCGCCGCACTGGAGACCACGCCTGACAGACAAAGGGCGGACCTGAATAAGAAGTGGGCGAGTGTCTGCTGCCACATCCCGCTTCTGTGATGATCTCGTTGGCGGAGGTAGCCAGCTGGGCTGGGCTACTAATCCTGGATGCTTATTCAGAGTGCGCAGAACAGCGCTCAGTTCGCGCAGCGCACTGCAGACAGGACCAGGGTGATTTGAATCATTCCAACGCCAGAGAGCAGCACCGGACTGCCTTGTTGGGGGTTTGAGCACCTTATCGGTAATGCTTGTGTCCGTGCTTGACGACACTTGCCACGCGCTGCTCGTGCGTCGAACCAATTGCAGTGCTGCACTGCAAAACTTACAACTTTTTCACAACTAAGTTGTGTAAGACTTGTGTTAAAAATGATACCCTGAGTAAAAGAAGTGAGGTTAGAAATAGGTCGTCACACACCAAAGATACTGTAACGGACGCTTCAACTCTTCAACTCGAAATCTTCGCCCACAAGGCACGGCGACCACGTATTTCTCTGTCTCTGTCTGTACAGCGATTCCTGGCTTTGGTTTTTCGTCACTCATCGCGCTGAATCTGCTGCGTCCAGCGACGCAGGCGCGCTCTGGAGCCAGCATTGCTGCTGCCACGTCAAACGCAACGTGGGACTCGCAAGAAGAGCGTAATGATTGCGATTGTCACAACCATCATTCCAGGGAATGCTTATCGCGTACGTCAGCAGCATTCGGCGTCATTCCGGTGGTCCTGGCCACCCTCCTTGGAGAAGCTGCATTAGTGTACGGTAGCCTGCACTCGGAGGTGGCAATGCTCACTAAAAAGGTTGCGAAATACAATGCGCTTCCGACTTGTAGGACTTGTCGGGCAAGCATGAAATGTACCAGCTCCATGCTGTACGTAGACTTCAGATCAATAAGTGCAGTCCTTTATCACCCCTCGCACGAAAACTTCACTTCCCATACATTCGATAGAATGAACAGCAATTTGGTAGTCTGCTGCTATTTCGAGCGCTCGTCCTCCACTTACTTACAGAGAAATGCCAAGGATAAGCCCCAGCGAGCCCCAAGTCTATTCATGGCTCACCACCACATGACCAAAGTTGGGTGTGATCGGCATGTTCCTCCTCCCCGGTGGTCTGAGCTCGTTGCTGCCGCTGCTATTGGCTGTCTGGCCTATTTGGGGCAACCCCACCCTTCGGATGAGACGTCAAGGCACTTGGTTGGAGTCGAGGGAGTCTCCATAGTTGGCACGCCCAACGCCCATCAAATTCCGATCAGCTCTGTGGAAGGCAACCACCAGCGTGCAGCGCGGGCTTGAGTTCACTCGGCTTGTGGCTCGTGTCGTGTTCAGACCAGCGCTCGCTTCGCCCCAACTAATCAACCAACAAACATGGCGTCGTCACCTCCGCGTGCGAAAACGTCTCCGGGCAAGTCGCCGCCTAAAGCACCTGGAAGCCCAGTGCACCAAGCGTTCACGGACATCAAGTCCTCTTGCGGTGAACAAGTGGATTCCCGCAAGGTCACGGCACCCGTGACGGTCTTCGGTAGCGGTACTCGACCCCGAACGACTAATGGCTCCAAGTCTCCAGGCCCCGGCGCCTACCAGATCCCGTCATCTATCGGCAAGCCGGTATTGTCCACGATGGTTCAGGCCCCAGCGTGCTCCATCAGCGGGCGTGAAAAGTTCGGCTCCACCTCTGACCTTAAGTTGTCGGCGAAGTTCCCGGGCCCCGGCGACTACACCACCGCCATCGTCAATCCACGCGAACGAGCAGCCCCCAGCTATTCTCTTGGCAAGAAATGGTCCCCCATGCCGGGACAGAAGAAATTCCCGGGTCCAGGTGCCTATGAGACCACTCCGACAATTGGCCGCACCGTCCTATCCACGCAGAAGACCAACCCGATGTCGTCATTCCCCAAGGTTGAACGAAAGCCACTACGCACATCAAGCACGGCGGACGTTGGACCTGGCCAGTACGCTGTCGTTGTCGAGGCTGTGGGCCGGCAGGCAGTATCGACGCTCACGTCAGCAGCAGCGTACTCCTTCGGCACCGAGTCGCGTACTAAGACTAGCCGCTCGACCGCTGACTCCGTCCCAGGTCCGAACTCGTACGAAGCAAAGAGCTCTGTTGGCAAGCAGGTGGAATCCACGTATCGCACGGCTCCCAAGTGCTCTATGTCTGGCCGGACCAAGTTCGGCAGCCACTTCTAGCCTGATCAACGAACCACTATGGTAGAACTAGTCTAGACATCGCAGAGAAACAACGACAAAAAAAGAAACCAGACGACCGAGACACGAGGCAAGCTCAGCATTCTTCCCAAAATGTATCTATCTATCAAGGCACCCTTTTGGTCGCATAGCATGCCACCGCGTGCTCCAGTTGCCTAGATCTCGCTCTTGCTCTCACATCACCACAAACAGGAATGAAAAAAGAAATGTCCGGCGCCTTACTGACTTAGAGCAGGCTTCTTTTCTTCCTCGTCCTCATCTTCATCGTCCTCGCCCTCCGCCGCATGCTGCATCTTCCAGGCACGAACTCGTTCGAACTCGTTGTAGTGCTGCTTCCGCTTCTGGGCGAAGTTAGGGTCCTTCACCAGCTTTATCCCTTCCGCATCGCGCGCTGCAAAGCTCAGTCCCCCCGACGCCGACGACACGCTCGAACTCTCATCGTCGCTGCTGTCCCACTCACTTTTCTTCTTGTCCTTGACGTCCTGCAGCTTGGACTGCAGCTCGTCCCACTAAAAGTTTACGAGAAATATTTTACAACCATTAAAATAAATTACCAAAGTTATAAACCGGTAAAAAATATTAGCTGAAAATTACCTGGATTGGCGGCTGCGCCTCGCGGCCCGAGAGGCTGCGGGCGGGCGAGACGCCTCCGTGCTCGTCGCTCTCGGCGTAGTAGTGGTAGGGCGTGTTGGGCTCGTCGATCTTCATGCGCGTGCCGCGGTCCAGGTCGTGCAGAGCGATGGTCTCCTCGTCCCATGTCACACGCGCGTTGGCGTTGGCGTGCGCGTGGCTGCGGTCGGTCACGAGCGCCTTGTGCTCGGGCGCAGGCTTGGGCTTCTCCTCCTCCATGCTGGTCGAATGAAGGGGATCTGGTGCGAGTCCAGAGATGGTACGATCTAGTGTACTATTTGTGAGAAATTGGGGACAGGAGTAAATGCACAAGCTTTAACAGAATAAGGTGTAGTTTGCTTCAACTTGCTCCAAAACAAGTCAGGTTGTAGTGCCCTGCAACGGTAAGATTGGAGAAATCGGTGCATACCGGTACGGTACAGTTGACATGCACAATACTAGAGTGCGTTGTCGGTGTTAAGAAGGCGAAGGAATGAGGTTGGATCGTTGCCAAGCGCGACCTGAAGTGTAGGACGGAAACTTTGTATTCGGATATGCCACATTTACATGTGACTTTCCGCCTCGACATCATCATCTGCATCTGTATTCTATTTGATGTCTACATCGAAATAAACGTACGGGGGATACAGCAAACGGATGCTGGGAAACAGCTTGGATCATTGTGTACAGTATAACTTACGCTCCCGATGGTCTTACGCGACCTCAAAAGCAATAAACATGGAGCATTTCGCATTGAGATTTTATGAGCAACGCGGAAATGGCTTCAGTGGGCGACAACGTTACAGTTTAGAGCAGCTTGCTCTCTATCTTTTGAGGTTTTGACATAAATCATAAACAACTCTTTTCAATCAGAACAATCGGACGCTGTGCATACCGTATACAGCTAGCGGATTGCATTAATCGTGAGCCTTCCAGCTTCGTCTCTATGGTGCCAAACCGTTGACGGCAAACTTGCCAAGTTTATAGCTTTGTGGCGTCAAGTTGGTGGTACTGTATAATAGACAACTGCGCCCGTCACAGTCCATGTGGTGAGGAAGATGGTTGCGTGTTTCATGTTGGTTCGTCGCACACTACGGAATCCACCGCAGTCCACGGATACGATACATGTACAGCCAAATCTCGCGACGATTTCGCAGCTGCAGTGGCAGAACAACTACCGGTAATGCGTGTACCGTAGGCCCAATTCCATGACACCATGAGTGCGAGTCGAAATGGAGGTCATCTTTCGTTCCATCCGGCACGAGAGCAAGCACAATCACCTACGGCCTCTCCTCACGAAGGCACGATTCAGCGATTGTGCCGACGCCGTGTAGCGGCCGATCCCAAGACGTACACTGTACACCGGATACCTATATGGTAGTAGTATGTTAGCACAAAGTGTACGAATTTGCGTAACGTCTTATCATGCAGCTCAGTGGACAGTCCATTGTGGCGAATCCGTCCATCGACCTGCCGTCTTCGTCAACGCTCCCAGCCACGGCTTTTACGGAATGAACATGTCAGGATACGAAGACACTTTGTGTGCCAACAAGGGTCCTCAGCTGTACGCCAAGTCGTACATCAATGGCGCCGTTGACTTCATCTTTGGACTACAGTCCAAGTCTTGGTTCGAGTCCTGCGATCTCGAGTCGATCGGTAATGGTTCCATCACTGCTAACGGCAACAGCAACAGCTCAAACCTGTCTGAGTACGTCATCAACAACGCCCGCGTATTCGGCCACTTCAACAAGTCGTCCGCTTACCTCGGACGTCCGTGGTACCCGTACGCCCGCGTCGTCTTCCAGAACAGCGAGCTCGGCGACGTCGTTAGTCCTAAGGGATGGAATCAGTGGAACAAGGACAACAACACGGCCAATGTGTACTTCAAGGAGTTCAACAACCGCGGCCCCAGAGCGGGTAAGGGCCAGCGCGTCGCGTTCAGCGGACAGCTTGATGCCGCCGTGCCCATTACGGACATCCTGGGCGACGACTACGAGTCACAGTGGTATGTCGACAAACAGTTCTTGTAGAGTCTCTTTCGCTGTCTCGGCTCCTAGAGTTTTCGTCGAGTCGGGATACATGTTAATCGCCATGTAGCAACTTTTTCAATGTACTGCAGCTCTAGCTGTGTTGAAGTTTTGATACTCTTCACATACAGTGATACCTCTATAAATGACACCTAGTTCGCTCGGTCTAACACGCTGTTTCAGTTAAAGAATTGATCAGATAAAGAAATGGCTGCACTTCTAATGGCTACATTTTCATATGTTCGGTGCACCGTACAAGGGCTTTCTTTACCTGGTACCCCTCCAGCATTTTTGTACTCTTGTTTTGTTTCGTCTTCACACAGACAGAACTTACGGTAGGCGCGGTATTGTCTGTTCCTACTCCTTCTTCTCATTGGTATTAGCAGAATCGCATCCCCTCAGGTTGTACGTGAGTTTCAATACAGTGAGGTTATGGGAATATTTGTTGTCCCGATATCCTGCCACTATGCCTGCAGTTTTATCTTTTGCTTGGTATCTACCGCATAGCCCCTAGTTGTCTCAACATCATAATATTTTAGTTTTTCGTAAAATATATATGTACGCTGCGCTGATTGTAAAATACTGTGGCTAGCTTATTTATCAGTATTTAGTTACTGCAAACTCTTTGTTCCAACTTAGCATCCCAAATAAAATTTCTCTCTTCGCTCGATTTGTTGTGGCGGGAGTAGTGGTAGCAATGGCATACGTGGGAGGAGGCAGGCAAGTGATTGAGAAATATATATATGAGTTTGGATCTATTACTACGGCGTCCATTTAGAGGGTTGAGGCGCCAATAATGGCGACCATTTAGAGAATAAAGAGGTTTTTGATCAGTTATAGAACACCTATAGTGAAATCCATATAATCCCGTTTGCAGTCGAGGAATCCTAACCAGATAGGGAACACATAGTCCACTGATGACGGCGGGCTGCTCGTGCTGGTTGATCATTGCGTTCACCATGTGCTGGCCGCTCGTCATGATGAAGGCGTTGCTGGCAATGATAGCAAGCTGCTCCTGGATGCCTTCCAGACTGGCAATGGGCACCTTGAACCGACCAGTTAGAGGGGTTCATTTAGGGAGGTGCCACTGTACTTCGAAGTAGTACCGTAAAACTGTAATCCTCTATAATGAAAGGACGTGGTACTCTACAACCTGATATCCAGGTACCTATCAGAACTTCTGATTCAGAAGTTGACGTACTTCCCGTCGAACGTTCAAAGTGGTTCCGAGGTAATGGAATGGGTACCCGGTCGTCCGTCGGGTAACCGCGATTTGTATCGGAGTCGTTGCATGAGTAAAGATGCTATTCACTGCTGCCTTCGCTTCTTCGTAGGGAACAAACCAAAAAGGCGATGAGTTCACTATCTTGGCTTGATCAAGCAGCAGTGATTTACCTTTCATCCATTACTGCGGGCGAAATCGCCGCCGCCGACATCACCACACATTTGTTGCGTACGCTTTCCGAGTTTGCAAAGGATGCTGCAAGCTGGTCTCAAATGGATTCACGCATTACAGAAAGTATATTTACAAACCACGATGCTTCACTTCTTTGCCGATGAGATGCAGCCCTTCGCACTGGAGCTGGTAGGTAGCACTTTAGCGCCAAGCATGCGCGTACTGAAAGTTCTTATAGGAGCGACCGGATGAGCGGACACCTCTGTGCTCGACCGATGCTGTAGCCAAAATCGCAGCGATCACTCGCTGCTGCGTCTATCTCTTCCATCTTGTTCTCTGTCGCTCAGCTCCTCCAACGTCAGCGGCGACCGGGAAGACGGAGACTTCATCTCGACGTTCTCCTCAGCCAGATTACCAAGGGGCAACGGGCCGAACGACACCGAGCGGCGACGACTGTCCTTGACTGACGAGCTGGCCTACGAGTCGCTCTCGAAGGACCAGGCACTCACGCTCGGGAGCTCGCCGACCTCGTCCTTGTCGTCTTCACCCGGATACTCCTCGTCCGGCTGCGCAACGCGAAGCTTCGGGTAGTCTGCGGCCTCGGCATCCTGCTGCGCCATGTCGACATCGTCGGCTTCCGCGAAGTCCGAGAGATCGTAGTCGCTCTCGCCGGCGCTGCTGCACTGGGCGTCGGCGTCCTCGTTCTCGTCGTCCACGTAGCCCTCCTCCTCGTAGCTGTAGTGGGGCGATGGTCTTCACGACCTGACCACGCACTGGGCTGTCGATCGAGGATGATCAGAGCCAAGCTGGCGTAGGATAAGACCACGAGGTGGCTAGATTAGAGCAGGTATCCTACTAGAGCTTGTAGGCGTATCTGAGGTCTATCTAACCTCCTCACTCTAGAACTTGAGAACAACCAAACAAGCAAGGAGTTCAAAGGAAGCGCCAGCTTCCCTCGTGACTGTGTTCATTCGAAACCCACTACAAAGTTAACTTTAGTGTCGACGGAATCGACATGGACAACACAACTACGTCGACGAATGCTACCACCGCTGCGGCTGACAATGTGGCTCCGCCAGCGGCTAGCTCAGGAAGGATGCTACGACCGAGGAACCCCACGGCACGAGCAGGCCAAGCCAAGTCGAACAGAGGCAAGGGCAAGAAACCTGCTCGGAAAGCAAGAGTGAGCGAACCTAGTGAACCCAATACCGACTCCACCCTCGTTGGGCTAGGAGGAGGTTTGGCCTTTCGGTCCGCAAACCAGGACATCGAGATCCCAACTGTGGCGCATCCCATTTTCGCTGTTTCAGCAGCGCCCAAGGTGGAGGACATCTCGCATGAGGCGCTCACCCGCTGGGTTGACCTCCGACTGGAGTACGAGGAGATCATGCGGGCGCGCTGTGAGTCGTCTGGTGAAGATTGGAAGTCTGTGATGAGATCGGTGCGGAACTCTTTCGATGACAGTTTCTTGGAGACGCTGTGCGAGACCAAGTGGGAAAAGAAGAAAGAGGACCTGACAGATGAGTTCATTTGGGAGTGGATAATGAAAACGGTGCAGAGCTTCAAGAACATCGCTCTTCCGAACATTGATCAGCTCTTCCAAGGGTAACTTGTGATGTCGAACTTGAAGACCGACGTTGACGCCCGAGTGATGGACTACTTTCATCTGTGCAACACGATCGTAAAAAACAATGGTTTGACTGCGCTTTTCTCGGACGAGGAAGGTATCAAGAAGAAGTGTAAGATCCTGTTGAATTGCCTGCCCAGTGAACTGAAGGTGAGGGTGAAAAATGAAATCGATTTTCGCCTACCTCTGGCCAAGTCGAACGTCTCCGTGCTCTTCAAGATCGTGAGCGAGAAAGCTTTGGAGGTTGATCGAGAAGACTTGGCGTTGAAACGAAACAAGAGAAGACCTTCTGATGCAGAGTCGTCTTGACCGGCGTCGGTCCGACCTGTAAAGAAGGCTCGGATGGTGTCAGACGTCAGGGCAACGCAGGGAAACTACACTAAACCAGCGTCTCGGCCGATATTTCAGGAGGGTTCCGAGCAGAGTGCGACAAGATCGATGTGGGGTTGTTGGGCCTGTGGCGGCAAGCACAAACGGGCCGACTGCCCCAACAAGAACGAAGGCAACTCCATGGCGGGGCGCAAGCCGAAACCTGGGGGGCACCATAATGCTCAAGCGAATTAGGGAGTGTCTACCCAGTGGGGCTGGGAAACCCCGTGTTTTGCGTGTCAATGACGTTGTTGATGTGGAGTATTGTCCAGACTCTGGTGCTGATACATCGATTATCAGTTCGAAGACCCTACAAAAAATTGGTGAGCATGCTGTGCAGTGTGAAGTGATGAAATTGCAAATCCCGTCGAGTGCAAATTACCTGGAGGAAAGAAGACGTGGGCACATCAAATGACGAAATTGCGCTTGTCGCTCGTGACAGCCGCAGGCCCGGTGAGTATCAACAAGCCGGTGACGTGTTTAATCCTCGAGAATGATGATGAAGAGTTTTTGCTTGGGAACGATGTGTTGAAGATGCTTGGTATTGATGTTGGGAGACAATTGGAGCTTCTGGCAGCGCCAAGTAGAGATGATGGAGAGGATGACGATGAGGAACCTGATGTGGCGAATGGCAGCAATGCGGATGATGATATTCGTAAAGCTGTCGAGTTGATGATTGAATGAGCAGTGCAGGAAGGATTTCCCGTGAGCAAAGTTGAACGCCTGCGTACCATCGTCTATGCTTACGACGTTTGGAGGCTGGTACTCGGTGACGACCCTCCTGCGGACGTAGAACCAATGCGCGTGCACATGAAAGCAGGCTGCAGGCCGTTCAAAGCTAAAGCACGGAAGTACGCACCAGAGTATCAAGCGTTTCTGGAGTCGATCAACGACATGCTTGTCAAACTTGGGTGAGAATATGAAAACCCAACGAGTCGTTGGGCTTGTGCCGCATTGCCTTTGCGCAAACGTGGAGGTGGTGAGTTCCGGCAGACTGTGGATTACAAACCAATGAACGCGCAAACGGAGCCCATGGCAGGAGTGATGCCCAACCTGCATGTAGACTTGGAAAATGTACGGGGCAGCAGACACTTTGGCCTTTTCGATTTCATAAAAGGTTATTGGCAGCTACCTTTGGCCAAGGAGTGTCAAGAGCTCCTATCGTACATGACGCACAGGAAGATCTACACTCCACGACGCGTACCTCAAGGCAGCGCAGATGCAGCACTGTACTTCCAGTCCACCATGGAGCGTTGCTACGCCGCACTGTTGTACAAGCATTTATTAGTCTGGATTGACGATCTCTTGCTGTACGCCCCCGATGTTGACACCTACCTGGACAAACTGCAGGAGCAGCTTGAGCTCACGGCAAAGTTCGGTTTTAAGCTGAGTGCCGCCAAGTCCTGCCTGTACAAGCAAGAAGTAAAATGGTGTGGTAAGATAATCAATGGGGAAGGAGTGAAACATGACCCAGAGCGAATTGCTGCTTTGCGAAGTATGCCGTATCCAACGAATGCAGGCGAGCTGCAACAATTCCTGTGTTCTACGAACTGGATGCGCGGCAGTATCATTGACTATGCACGACTCGCTCGCCCTTCGCAAGATACACTAGATCAAGCGATGACTAAAGCCTCGAGACGTACTAAGCGTGCAGCTTCGGGCATCCCAGTCGCACTTACCTCGTCAGAGCGCGAGGCGTACGACGAGATGAAGCGAGCTCTAGCTGAGTCAGCTAGCCTCGCGTTCCCGAAGCCGGACGCGGAAATGATTCTCCTGACTGATGCCTCGGATGTGGGCTGGTCTGTAATCGTCTCGCAAGTGCCTGAGTGGAAACAAGGTGCTGAGATTCAGGACCAGCAGCACGAACTATTGATTTGTCTCGGTGGTACGCTCACTGGTGCTCAGAGAAACTGGAGTATCATCGAAAAGGAGTCATACCCAATCATCATGGCATGTGATAAGCTCAGTTACCTGTTGCTGCGTCCTGGTGGCTTTCGCATGTACTGCGACCACCGCAACCTGATACATGTATTCGCACATGGCAAAGAAGTTAAAAAGCACGTACGCGGGAAACTTCTGAGGTGGGCCATGAAACTAATGGAATACCGCTACAGTATCGAGCATATCGACGGAACCAGCAACGTTTGGGCCGACATGGTTTCTCGGTGGGCCTGTGCGAGTGGAATGCCAAATGTGGCGGTGAAGCGTGTGACGTTGAGACGGCAGCGTGAAGACAACGAGCCTAAAGACCAAAATAGACGCCGCCAACGTATTCGACCATTTAGTGACGGTACTATCGTGTGGCCTACGGTGCAAGAACTGCAGGAGGCTCAACAGCGGCACATTGTGAGCCTGCCTAAACGCTTGAAGCGTGGTGATAACGGAATTCTGTGCAGGGATGGTTGCATTTGGATCCCAGACTATGAGCCTGCCCTACTGCAGCGGCTACTTGTGGTCGCTCACTGTGGCGTGCAGGGCCACAGAGGTCGCGAAGCCTTAATGGCTGTCATGAATCGACGAGTTTACGTACGGAATCTCTCAGCCATGGTCAAAACCTTTCTTGCTGACTGTTTGATGTGTCAGCATGTAAAAGGGGGAAGATTGTAACCAGACCATGGGCTGACACCTTCCGTTGTAAGGATCGAAATGGAGCACTGCACTGGGATTATCTGCATCTAGGAGAATCCTACGGTACCTACAAGTATCTATTGGTACTTAAGGACGATGCGACTCATTTTTGTGAGTTGGTACCATGTGCAACACCGAGTGCAGTAGTGACTGCTGAGGCCATTCTCGATTGGCACAGTAGATTTGGAGCCCCCCAAGTGTGGATTAGTGACCAAGGGAGTCACTTTAAGGATCAAGTGATGATTGAAGTGGCGAAGCGACTTGGTTGCCAGCAACGGTTCACCGTGGCTTACAGCCCGTGGACTGATGGAACTATAGAGAGATTGAACCGAGATATTATTCAAGTTTTGCGTGTGCTTTGTCTCGAAAACAAAGTGGATATTCGAGATTGGCCATATTTTATCTCGGCGGTGCAGTCAAATTTGAATCACACACCGGTACCTTCTTTGGGAAACAAGGCTCCCGTGGAATTGTTTTGTGTTCTACCTGCAGTCTCTCCTCTAGATTTCACTTTTGAGAAAGACACTGAGACTTTTGTCGAGATTGGCATCAACTCAGAGCAGATTCAGAAGAACCTTGACAAACTACGAGTGTGTGTACAGGAGATGCACAGGAAAGTGGAGATAGCGAGGTCGGATTAAACCAGGCGTAATCAGGCGATGCAAAAAGGGCAAGGAAACCAAATTTCGATGTTGGAGATTACGTTTTGAGATCTCGTGTAGACCAGAAACACAACGACAAGCTTTTAGTCACGTGGACAGGCCCGTACCAAGTGGTTGGTTCAGACGAACACTCTTTCCGTGTCCAGCATTTAGTGACTGGTGCGGAGGCAGACGTGCACTCTTCGCGTCTCAAGTTCTATGCGGATGATTCGTTTGAGGTGACAGAGGAAATACGGGAGCACGTGGCTGCTCAGGGTATTGTCCTTACTGTTGCGGAGCTCAAGGATCACCGATGGAACTCGGCCAAGAGATGTTTCGAGGCTCTGGTAGGGTGGAAAGGTCTGGAACCAATTGAGGACTCTTGGGAGTCTCTCAGTTCTTTGTACAAGGACATTCCCGTGATGGTGAAGCAGTATGCGTCTGGTAAGAGCGACTTGGAGTTTGTTTCAGCAGTCGAGCAACTTTAAAACTTCAAGTTGAAGTGCTAAAGTTACCACTGGTAAGGTGTACCGCAATTCGGGTACATGGGTACATTCAAGCAACATTCCTGTAAGGCCAACATTTGATCACCACTCTCAACGGCGTGGTCAAGTCTGGGTGGGGCGGTGAAGTGGGGCGATGGTCTTCACGACCTGACCACGCACTGGGCTGTCGATCGAGGATGATCAGAGCCAAGCTGGCGTAGGATAAGACCACGAGGTGGTTAGATTAGAGCAGGTATCCTACTAGAGCTTGTAGGCCTATCTGAGGTCTATCTAACCTCCTCACTCTAGAACTTGAGAACAACCAAACAAGCAAGGAGTTCAAAGGAAGCGCCAGCTTTCCTCGTGACTGTGTTCATTCGAAACCCACTACAGTAGCCGAGCTCGGAGGCCGACAGGAACGTGGTCTTGGCGCACGTGGCCACCATGGACTGGATGAGGTTGTGCTTGCAGTTGAAGACCACGGTGGCCCCGTCGGCCGCACCCTTCTGCTGCTGCAGCGCTTTGTGCAGGCGCACGCGGGAGCGCAGCGTGCGCTTGAGGTTGCTCAGCAGCACGCGCTCGCGCTGGTCCTCACGGCGCAGCAGCTTGAGCTCGTCCGCCAGGTCCTTGAGCAGCTCGGCGTGGCCCAGCGTCTGCGCCTGCTCCAGGTCGTCGCGCAGCTCGGCCAGCTGCTCGGCGCGCTGGCGCTGGCTCAGCACGTTCTCCACGATGTGCGCGCGCAGCAGCTCCGTCTCGTCCGCCACGGCCTGCAGGCGGCGCGCCAGGCGCTCGCGGCGGCGGCGCAGCATGTCGCCCACCTGTTTGCTGGAGAAGGCCACGCACTTGAGCGCCTTGAGCACCTGCTTGGAGTTCTCCGCCGGGTCGTCCGAGACCGAGAGCTGCGGCAGCGGCGCCATGGGCGACATCCACGCGATGGCGGCGGTGGACATTTGTGGCGATGGGGGTGGGAGGAGGAATAAAGTACTGTAGCGAGACGGACGGAGGGCAGACGATCAGCGTCCAGGAACCCCAAACGGATCAGGAGGCAGCGCGCGCGCTCTGTCTTCGAGTCAAAAGCGGAAGTGGTGCTGGCTGATGCCTGTGCGGTCGAGAGGCGGCGGCGGGCGTTCCGATCATCCTGCTTGCGGGCTGCGGCTACAATAAACGCGCGGGCCGAAGCGTCGTCTTTGCTGCAGGCCGGACGCAATGGCGATTGACTGGCGTTTTGTATGGCGGCCGTTTGACGTGTTTTTTCTGCCGAGCTAAAAAGTGCTTTTTTCTGGCGATTTTTGGGCCGGCCTACTTGAAGTCGCTCCTGGCCCTGGTCAAGGGAGGACGGCAACGGAGCTCCAAGACCAATCGCTTCTGCCTCGCCACATGTAGTAACGCTTAAACAACACTGCTACATGTCCTGGGCAAAGGAGAGGGCTTGTCTGCAAGACGCAGCCACCGCTATCATGGGGGCGCTGGTCTTGGCGGTCGATATGTTAAACTGCAAATGACGGTTGAAAGGATCCTTCGTGACGACAGCACCGTCGCCGGTGATACCCGATCTTTGTTTTTCGTATTGGAGGGATCGCCGGTAATGCTGTATGTACCCTCACTTCCGACATCGGTTTTTTCTATCGGATTTAAAGGGGGATTGTATTTGCTTGGGTTTAAGCTGTATTTTGGCTCATGGAGGTCAAGCTCATCATGGTCGCAGATCCATTGAGAGGCAAGACTACATGTATGGATAGCACCAGCAGTGCGAGACGAGTTTAGCGCACATCGTACCGCAGATTACCTCGCTCCATTGCATTGGCGTTAGCTGGTCTTTGTAGGCCTTCTCCAAAAGCTCCGTCCGTGGGCGGCTGCAGGCTCAGCGCGCCGAACACGACTCAGCTCCAGCCCCAGTAGCATGGGCTAAGATATAGCGCAGGCACTTCGCGCTTGAGCTCTCCGTTTCGCTGTACGAGGCACTGTCGGCGCACGTGCTGGACGCGTCCACAGGGACGTACGTTTCCTGGGTGGCGTCGAGCAGCTTTTTCCTATCCGCGGCGGCGCTGCTCTTCGCCTTCGTCCCGCGAGAGGTCTACCAGGAGCTGGCGGGGTGCCACACCCAGCAGTAGTAGCAGCAGCAGCAGCAGCGCAGAATTCTTCTTGCGTCATCGCCGTGTCTTCATCATGCTTCTTCACACTTGCCCCCGATGCTCCTCACTGCTGCCTGCCAAAATGTGATGAATGGTTTTGGCGCGAAAACCTCGTAACGATCAATATATATTAGCTAGGTCTTCTGCAACCTTATAAATATAAACACAGTAAAACTCAGAAGTAATAAGGAGTATTAGGTGTCGGAAGTAAGGGTACCTACAGTGGTGATCCTGGAACTTGCCAGTCGAAAGATATTAGCGGCAACTTGTACACACTTTCGAGACTCAACCCGAAAACGGTAATGCTGTTCGCTAGGCTGCTACGTGTGTCTGGCTGCTGTCGATCGAGCAGCGACAAACGGACTGCCGCCAAAACCGATCGCACCGACGTACAGCGGCCGGGTTTCCCATTCGGTGGACCTCAATGCAAAGAAATTGTCTGGAGCGCCCAACACCGCGTTTCTTTTGCGTCGATCCGAAACATTCGCAAAAACCATTATAGCTATTTCCAATAACAATTTTGAATATTAAAGACAAAATAATGGGAGTAGCTAGTTTGTGGTCTTGATAATTGTAAAAAAAAACGCTTTTTTAAAAGCGTTAAAAACGCAATATAATATTGCAATCATTCAAGCGCCAGTATCAAACCTTCCCATTTATTACATAAACATTATTTATTATACATGTGTCCACTTCGCACAACATCGAATGGATGTTCCGGTAACCAGGCGGTGTCCCGCTACACGGCGCACTACCCGGGGTTTTTGCATACTTTATCTTTTATATAGGGGTGCTCCTTGTTTAGAATTCACCCCCTTTCGGTTAATGACGGGACTGAACTCGTTATCTTGAAGAATGCCATCGAACTACTGGCGGCCGACTCGTTGAATTGGGAGAACTCGCGGACGTTGTTCGGTTGAAGTCTAGCCCAAAGGTCTTAAGTTACTTGACATTTTTTATTATAGTATCACAAATATTCTAAAAAAAATGCCGAAGAAAACATATTGTATGTTTTAGCAGGTTGTACTACGACAACCCTACAGGAATTTGGAGTCGACAAACCACTGAGACTTGTAGTCGTCGCCCAGGATTTCCGTCATGGCCACCGGCGCATCCAGCTGTCCGCTGAACGACACGCGCTTGTCGGTTGCCGCAGCGGGGCCGCTGTTCTTGAACTCCTTAAAGTACACGTTAGCCGTGTTATTGTCGCCGTTCCATGACTGCCATCCCTCGGGTCGACGACATCTCCGAGCTCGGTGTTCTGGAAAACGACGCGAGCGTAAGGGTGCCACGGGCGACCCAGGTACGCAGTTCCATTGCCAGAACCGAACACGCGTCCATTATTAATGACGTACTCGGACAGGTTCGAGCTGTTGAGGTTGCCGTTGGCGGTGATGGCTCCATTACCAATCGACTCGATGTCACAGTTCTCGAACCACACCTTAGAGAGCTGACCAAAGATGAAATCGACAGCTCCACTGATGTACGACTTGGTATAACGCTGACGGCCGGTATTCGCGTACATGGTATCTTGATAGCCAGTAACGTTGCAGCCGTAGAAGCCGCTTGTGGTCGTGTTGACGAACAGCGCGATGGACTGGCCGAGCTGATTAATTTTGGGCTCGGGGTTGGCGACGTTAAGGTTGTATATTTTCACGGAGCCCGTTTTGAAGCCCAACGTACTCGTCACCGAGTTGCGTTCGACCTTAATCGAAGTCGGGACGTCCTTCTGCGCCATTTTGTGCGTGATAGTCACTTGGTTATCAGCGTACGACTCCGTGTTGCACGTGTATCCCTGCACCACCAGCGGTCCGTTCAGCTTCGGAACCATCGCCTGCTCCTCGTAGACACCCGGGAACCCGAAGAGGCTGTGCTCCGCCGTCGTGTTGGGTAGATGGGCGACGCCCTCCGTGACAGTCTTAAAGCTGCCGGGATGCGCACCTGTGGCATCGACGACGATGGCACCTGTCGGTGGCTGAGTGCGCGCGTTCGGCCTGGTACACTTGGCATCGGCCAGTGCGCTCGACACAAGACTGGCGAGAATCACGAGTGGGGCAACGATTTGCATTGCCGTTGAGTCGAGCTGAGAAGTACGGTGAAAAACTCAAAGTGAGCCTGACACCGTAGACCGTGCTGAAGCCGATGACATCTACGGTGGCGTTCATTGGTGCAGTCGTCGTCCGTCCGTATTGATGTGGGTCCTGGCCGTAATTACACCCTAGAAACCATACCGGCGAGATCCGCCGTGCTTACTCGCAGTGCTGCAAGGATAGAAGGGAAGACCGGGATTGGAGATTGTATTTGAGTTTCACGTAGCGATATTATACCGAAAGCGACTTCTATCACAGCAGCTACGAGTTTTCGGAGTGCGCTTCACATAAAGTTGAGCCAGAAATGAGAGTGGCGTGAGTGTAAATCTGCGGAATGAATTGCATTTTTAGGGAGTTTGCCATCGATCTCGCCACAATGGGGGAGTGGATTTGTTAGCTGGTCATATTGATTAAGGGAGCGCTTATACATTGAAGACCTGCCGAGACATTATATATTAGACACACAAATTGAAGAGATGCAGAGGTTGGCCATTGTGTAGCCGCTGTGCAGTGCGCGGTGGAAGCGAAGTCGATGGCTCCTGCCACGAATCATCGTGAGAGTCTTCACTAAAGGCAATAGCCCCTAATGCCCAGGCCTCCCTAATTGGGGGAAATCCTGCATTTCCCCCAATTAGATTAATAGAGGGACGACTTGAGGATTTAAAATGGGTATGGTGGGGACGATAGTGAAAGTAAGATACAGTCAAACCTGTTTATATGAGGCCCTGTTGGTGACCATCTACTACAATGACTCATATAAAATGGACTCAGTTAAAAAAATTATGTGGTGCACGTAAAGAAATCGTGCATAGTTCGCTGCCGCTTTGCCTTCACCGTAGCCTCTCGATCCAAAGCGGTCACGGTCTGTAAAGCTCTTCGTTCTCTGTCAGTCTGCTCTCCGCATTGCAGCAGAAATGCAGCCAGCTCCATGCAGTGTCTCAGAGCAATGGCAGGTTGAACTGCGGGTTCCTGTTCCTCCTCTTCCTCCTGCTCGTCCTGCGAAACTGCATCACTTCCTGCCGCTTCGTCCACTAGCACATCTGACTCGTGCACAGGAACGTCTTCGTCCACTGCCAGATACTCACTAGCGCTAACAGCGCCCTCCCACCTCGATAGCATCGCCGTTAACTCCTTCATCTCGTTGCTGGATACCTCCTCAATGTAATCCGTGTCAGCACGGGTCCTTCCTAGCATCTTTCCTCCCAAAATGCGAGTCTTGACCCAGCAATTTGTAATTGTCGTTGGCGTCACACCCGCCCAAGCATCAATGGAGAATTGGACAGCTTCCAGTACGTTGAGCTTGCGTGTAATGTTAGCTTCAAGTGCATCCAAACACCACCGCACAAAATACTTTCGGTACCGAGCCTTGAACGACCGGATAATACCTGAATAAAAAAAACACCGTAATAGAGTTGGTTAGTTTAGGCTACACCTCAATATAGATAAAATATTTACCTGCATCCAGCGGCTGTACGGCGGATGTCATGTTAGGAGGGAGGAAGTGAACAGTCACATGAGTCAGGTTTCGTAGAATCTTGTGGCATGAAGCATTGTCGACTAGAAGTAGGACCTTGCGATTGGCGGCCGCCATTCTCATGTTGAAGAGGTGCAGCCATTCGTCAAAAATGACGGATGTCATCCAGGCGTTCTTGGAGAACTTGTACAATATAGATTTACCTTTAATCGCCGCTCCCTTTTTAAAGCACCTCGGGTTTTTGGCCGAACCGATGACTATTGGGTCGAGCTTGTCGGAGCCAGTCGCGTTGCAGCAGAAGGCCAAAGTCAAACGTTGCTTCTCCTTTTTCTTGTAAGTCGTAGCTAGCGTTCGATTAGGCGCTAAGGGATAGAAAAGCGCCGTTTCGTCGAAGTTGAACACATTCTCGGGTGTAAACTGCGCCACCAACTCTTGTAGCTCTAGCCTCGCATCTCGCACTTCATCAGCTTCTACAGCGCCACCTTCGCCGTGTAGCGTATGGGAGCGGATCCCATTGCGCTTCTTAAAGCTTTGAAGCCAGCCGTTGCTTAGCCGGAGCTGCGTTGCATCGATGCCTAAGCGCTCCGCCAGCTCATGCGCCTTCAGCAGGAGCACGTCGTCCGCCATCGCCGTTTTAGCTTCGTTCTGAAAGAAAAATTCCCTCAGTTCCCGCTCGAACTGAGGGAATTTCACTCGGCGCCGCTTGGTCGCACTCAGGTCGACGTGGCTGAAGTAGGAAGAAGGCAGGTTGCGCAGTCGGGCGAGTGTGGCACGGCTGACCCGGGCCTTGAAAGTTGCGTAGATCCACTCGGCGAGCATGGGGTTGTTCATGCCAGGATTCTGCTTGAGCTTTAGGTGCACTTGGAGCTTTTGTTCTAGCGTCAGACAGGTGCGAGGAGACATGACGAGCGAAGAAGGCTTGCGGTAGGCGTTGAGTGTTGAGCAGTGGTGCTTTGAAGAGTATGTGGCCGTGAGCAGTGTGAATCAAATAAACAGGTGAGACCTAATTTGGTCCCCAAAATGTGACTCATATACCTTGTATGCATATAAACAGAGATCATACAAAAACTAAGTGAAATATTTGGTAGCGACAAAGCCTGCATCAAATAAACGGCATGGCTCAAATAGAGAGGATCATATAAACAGGTTTGACTGTAAATATCTTAGGATTGGCATAGCCGGTGCTAATTTGGATTCAACCTATGATATTCAAAGTGTTACGGTTCATCCGCATACGAATTAGCTAGAAACGAATGTCAGCGAAAGAATTATATATCACTAATCGTGATAAAAGTTTTGACTAGCTCTGTAACTTTGCTTGATCGGTAGGGCTTACGTATTTATATTGGCGCCGCTTTACTTAAATTAAGTATGTAATTTATTAACATAGCCTGTGATAAAACTGCTCCTAAACTTGCATTCTTCTGTAGCATCGCCTACAGACCAACGGCCTCTTCCAGTTCGCGGTTAGCTCGCCGTCCGTTTGAGCTTAAATGCTACTTGCCAATACCACCAATTACGGAAATTTGACAATATTTGTGATGAGTGGGGATGGTTTGGGGGTCGATCCATTACCGGAGAAACACGCTTCCACCTGAGTATGTTCCTGTTTGTTTGGGGTCTGAGTGAGCTCGATGCTTATCAAGCCACATAACTATCTGACAATAGCTTGCCAACATGAATTCACCTCAGAACCATAGTATTTTTGTGGGGGATGGGAACAGGTCTTAACAGGGGTATAGTGGGGGAAATGGTCCCCATTTCCCCCAATGAGGGAGGCCTGCTAATGCCATCTGAAAAGGACTCCAACTCCTCGGACTGAACGTCCTCCTCGCTCACAGGAGGTATTTTGCTTACCACGAACTACAGTAGGGAGATCTAACGTTAGTTTGCATAGAGCATCGGAATCAAGTCGTCGCAGCGAAGCTGAATCCTATAATAGCCGACGACACGACACCGGGAAGCAAGCGCCCATTAACCGGGCCAGCGCCGCCCTCTCAAGGAAACGTGAACATCCTTTTGTAACTCACCGACAGCTCAGTTACAGTATCTGTACCGCCCGGCACAGCCCTAATAGTACGTGAGTCGAAATATTCGAGTACCAAATCTCGAAGTAATTTGTTTATTTGTGCACGTCGCTGAGGGGGGGGGGATGTCGCTCCATGTCTTCCGTCATTTAGCTTGAACGTTCTGTAAGCCGCATAAGCTTACATACGGTACATGCGCGCAGAGGTCATCTTAGCGAATCAAGTCTGTAATTTGTGTTGTGAGTCACGCTCCCTCCCCTCACCTACAGTAGTACAGTAATTTGCCTCAATAGCGCAGTCGTGGCATCCAATAACCTGCTGAAACGGGTAGCTGTCTATACCCCAAATCCACCCAATGGGAGGCCCGCTAGCCTCTCCTATGCACTATCTTAAATAATGTATACATGTAGCCATTGCGCTATTAAGGCAAATTACTGTACTCTACAGTGTACCTGCCCTAAAACGTCTTAATATAAAGAGACGAACACCGCTGCTAATGGGAACTGTTTGCTTAGGAGGCAGGACGCAGAGGGTCTCGATCTATAATAGCCAAGATGTTGCCGCAAGTGCGTTTGGGGCGACGCGGGGGACGCAGCAGCGAATTTATTCACTGGATACTTTTCAACCTCATGCCTCACTCTTTTGAGCAACAACCCGTGAGCCGGTGCGACTTGTCAAATTGACGGTTCATCGACGAGGCGGTTCCACTGCCGCTGAAGCAGATGGTGTTTCAGTTGTTGGCTCGCGCGCCAGCGGCACCATGGACAGCGCGCGAAGCATGCGCAGTGTGTTGCTTTCGTGGCCAAAGATTCCAGTTCGGCAACGCTACATGTAGATGTATGCAGTGCGAGCTGACACATGCCTAACTGCATCGATGCATACCTTCGAGGTGCCAACGCCCACTGGTACCCTAGACTTTGAAGGTCGAAACATTACCAACCACTACATCAACGTTTTGCGCGGGAGTGATCTACGTGTAGACACATCACAGAGTTAGCGTTATCCATGGACTCTGGTGTCCGCAGGTATACAACTAGGGTATTTTGCAGTCGGATTCAATCGATCGGTGATGTATATGCTTGTGCTGGTGTGGTACATGTACACCCTACCCTGTACAGTACGCTCGAGCCGTTTTCGCAAAAAGCTCTGCGTCTGCATGCAAAACAAATCAACGCCACATTGACCGCTTGTGGCCCCTAGCTGGTCGCATCTGTCAATCCGTAGTTATAGCAGCTGTCCCACTTACATGTACAGTAGACCTTAAAACGAGTTTGTCAGCGCTCTATCAGACTCTCAGCACTACACGATTTTGCTATGATACACTTGTCGAAGACTGAGGTCGTCCCAACCGAGATTAGCTACTCGCTATTGAAGGTGATCTTCGTTAAATACTTAAGCAAGTCCGAATAGCTTAGCTCGGGGCGTAGGATTGATCTAATCGGTAGTTTGGCGCTATATCGGAAATTTCACAATAGACCTGGGAAAATGCTCAATGACCCAGCACGCTGTACTTGTCGGTCAAACTGGACACTTCTGGCCTTTCTTGGCGCCGATCTCGACATCACCGGCAGTGGCGCCGAGTCCACTTGTGTATTTAAGTAGCCTGGTTAACTAACAAACGACATGCCTGCATACAGTGGAGCTCGAGCGCCCCGCGAAGAAGCAGTCGACAGTTGCCTGGTAAATTCAGCTCAATGAAGCCCAGCCTGCACGGCGTGCGTCTGCTGCTAGCCTGCCGCGAGCTTCGATGCGAAGAAGCGTGACCGCAAGCGTTGCGGACCTCATCCGCAGCATTTTCCGCATCCGTCGCGACATCGAAGGAGCAGGTGCAGGAGGGATGATAATGACGCGACAGTGTTCAGCATCTTAAATAAGTGAGTCTAAGTAGTCTACCCGAAGAGATTAAGCGACTTTGTGTGTGCCATGCACTCGATTAGAACCGAGTATGGTCGTAAAATACTGAGTGACTTCGGAAATATCAAATCTCCGTTGCTTTGTTGCTTTCCCCACCGTTTCACTTTGCAACGAACCAAATCTCTGAGTGGGCACAAATACAACAACGAATTTCGCAATAGATCACCTACTCGGTTTGAGTTCTAGTGTGCTTGTGCGGCCGTCCGATCCTATGATGGACGTACAGTTTATAGCTGGCCGCACAATGCTGCGTTGCGTGCGTAATGCAACTTCGCAGACGAACACCCAAAAGAGCATGTCAACCAAATCTATGTTGACCTCCAGTGTGTCGACGCTGGCCCAGTTCAGCCCACTTTGAGTTTTTCTCCTCACTCCCCAACTCGAATCAAGAACAACCATGCAGATTTTTGCCCCTCTCATTGCTCTTGCCGGCCTTGCGCCGAGCGTGCAAGCCTTCACCTCGTGCAGCGGACCGGATGCGCGTATTCAGCCCCCGGTCGGTGCCACCGTCGTCGACGCCACTGGTGCCCACCGTGGTAGCTTCAAGACCATTGCGGAGGCCGCGGCCCACCTGCCCAACACAATCGCTACGGTGGAGCACACGCTCTTCATTTACCCGGGCGTGTACGAGGAGCAGGTCACGATCCCCAAGCGGAAGGGTCGCCTTGTGGTGCAGGGCTTCACGTGCAACACGATGTCGTACGCCGACAACCAGGTGACCATCACGCACGCTATGGCCCAGAAGGACGTCCCCACCACCGTGACGAAGAACCGTAACGACGCCACCAGCACGCTGCTGCTCAAGGCCAGCGACGTGAAGATCTACAACCTCAATGTTGCCAACACGGCCGGTGATGTTGGCCAGGCCATCGCCACGAAGGTCGACGGCGCCAACTACGGCATCTACGCCTGCAACTTTACTGGATACCAGGACACGCTTTACTCCAACAAGGGCCCGGAGCTCATTGCTAAGTCGTACATTAACGGCGCTATTGACTTCATCTTCGGCCTTTACGCGAAGGCGTGGTTCGAGTCCTGCGACATCGAAGTCATCGGCGACGGCTGCATCACCGCCAACGGCCGCACCAACAACTCCAACCCGTCCGAGTACGTCTTCAACAAGGCAAACGTGTTCGGCACTACCAAGGGCATCGGCTACCTGGGCCGCCCGTGGCGTCCGTACGCCAGCGTCGTGTTCCAGAACAGCAACATCAGCGATGTCATCAACTCGGACGGCTGGCAGAAGTGGAACGGCGACAATAACACGGCCAACGTGTACTTCAAGGAGTTCAACAACACCGGTGCTGGTGCGGCTACCGACAAGCGTGTGCCCTTCAGCGGAGTGCTGAACGCGTCGGTGCCTATCACGCAGATTCTGGGCGACAACTACGCGACCCAGTGGTGGGTTGACTCCAAGTTCATGTAAGTGGGGGGAGTTGATTTAACGATACTAGAGTCAGAGTGGTGCAGTAACCTGCTAAAACAATGCTAGATGTTTCCTTTTTCATACATTGTAGCTGTATACCGTTCTATTCGCAGTTCGAAGAACTGTCGATTGGGGAAGGTTTTTGGATGACATCGAACGACATTCACGCTACATTCGTCACTTCACCCCCGTGCGGATGACATCAAACAACATTCACACAACATCATACAGCACTCAATAGAATCCGGTCTGAATAGATGCGTATTCGCCTCGGAGCTTTCCTTCTGTAGTGTATTCCAGGTTTCACCTTGGTATCACCGCAGTCATGGACCCGATAGCGTGTCGCTGCTAGCGACGGTGAACCCACTTGAGCCACAGGTAATGGGTTCACCACTTCATGGCCAGTCAGATTTCACAGTGTCTGTACCTGGTATGCGGTACGATTCTACATACTAGGAACTTGTATGGCCAACTGCATACTTCTCCTCGTGTCCAGAGGCCGTTGGACGCGGACCCAGTTCACTTTGAGATCTGTCTCACTCTTGTATTTGCCTCGAAGGGCATACACACTAGATCAATACACTAGGCTCAACTTCGTAGCGGATCGCCATCCGCCCTGCCGTGTGTTGGTTCTTCCCTGATGTGATGTCTTCCCCGGGATTCACTACACCTTCTAGATTATGCAATTCTTGCTATTGCACAGATAACGTTATGTACATGTACGTTGTTAGTCGTAGTAATGGCGTCTGTGACAATTACAAACCTCGATGCTGACCTTGAGCACAACTGGTGTCATTACCACATCACTGCATCGTATTAAACTGCATGCGGCTCCAGAGCACTCAACATAGTACTCACTCATTTCATTAGTGTTAAAGCTATCGATTCAATCTGTTCAATCCTGGGTCATAACTTATCCCCTCCTCTTTCAGACACATATTTTCTTCTGCATGCATAGAGATTTATTGAAAATCTTTTGGTCACCTGAGTTTGCCGTGACTTAAATTGTCGGCAGACTGATATTGTGTGAATCCCCACACTCATTGGAATGTGTCTGGATGGATTAGATAAAACATTCCACTAAAACTTCGCATAAACTACTTGACGTTGTTAAGGTTATGCGATCCAAGATGGGAAGTATAGCTTGATTTTTTTTTTCATTCAACATATTTTTATCCAAAGCCAAATCTATCCGCCGGCAATGCGGTGACGTCCTATACGGTGGCGAACGAATTCATTCAGCGGAGACTCAAAAGAGCTGCACCTGGTGTTATGTATTCTCCGGAGAAAAGGCTAAAAGCTACAGCAAAAAGAATGACGACCGTATATGAAATCGGGAGAAGTATAGTTCAAATCAATCGAGATATGAATGGCTCGTGTGGGGCCATTAAAAATCGACACTCGCTTAGGCATTTTATCTACGAAGACTTTGGATGATTAAGCTTGCCTTAACTACATTGCGACCCGCAGAGATCCACCGAGCCCATTTATTACTGTAGAATAATCTTCTACTTTATCCCGTTCTTGTTAAAACAACTGCAAAGTACATTGTTACCAATATTAGTTCAGATCATCTTAATGCTACATGAATGCGGCACGTTCAGTTTAATACTAGATAAATGGCAATAACACACTTGGACGAATCGAAGCTGGGAGTTCTTGTTGTTGTTAGATATTCAGGCGATCCGGACAAAGTCTGTGCGCGGCTGCGCCATGTTTTACCAAACAGAGTTTGAATGCTCCTTCGTTTTCTGTACGCCCCGGATTCCTGTGAGAGAGGAAGCCCGGGCGGACATCGTCAACGCGAAGGACAAACACCCGGTGTATCCAACTCCTACACGCGACCGAGATCGGCTAGACCTCAGTCTTAACTTATCAAACTTGAAGCAAATTGCTGGCTTCATCGGTTTACCCAGCAAGTTCGGTTGGGCAGTTAGCCTGGAAGCGCTAAATGTTCGAATGCACGTTTTTTTCTGTTTTTTCGCCGCCTGTAAGTTTCCGAGCACACCATGCAATCTAAGAAATACGATTCTGCCTGCGCATCAGAGCACGTTTCAGAGGCAGGAAGGAATAAAATTACGCTGATTAGCTAGTTGTTGATAACCGTTCTACTAACTACAAAATAACTAAAGTTAAGGTGCTCGACCAGTTTACCGCAATGTTTGACTTTTTCCGAGGAAAAATGGTCATAACTTTTTTTCTAGAATATGGCTGAGCACAACACATGCAGATGCTTCATTGAGCGTTAGTTTTAGTTCCTTTGAGCGGAGTACGAGTCGGCGCAGTTTTCACAGCCTGAGGCATCTATGAAGCTCCTGTTCTCACGCCTCATGTGACGACCGACCCAATCTACCTAGGTAGCTTGCATAAAGAAGAATTCCTCGCAAGAAAGGTAGCGCGATAAGCAAGGATATTTCAAGTAGTTGTGTTAGGACACTTTAGGTGAGGTAGCTGCATTTATTAACCTCTCCAGACCGGAGCCTCAAAACTTTTTTCATATGCACTATGCAGCATAATTAGACTTGACGTTTGTATATAAATGGATCGGGTTAGCGGCAAGCGAAAGGCTGAGATTTGCAAAAGTGTGTAGAGCGGTGCTAAAGCTGCCGTATACTGCATGTTGTTAGCCAAAGTCACAGAGCTAAGCTGCATAATACCGGTTACCAAGGAAATGGACAGGGCAGTGGCGGAACAGAACATGCGCCCACCGGTGCACCTTGTTCTCGTTTTCTAAAATTTGGAAAATCAAACTTCCTATACAGTTTATCATATACGGAGTTGGGGTGTCACCCCTAGCTGGTAACGCGATCACATTGGGCTGGTAACGCGATCAAAGGATACGCCTCTAAGCGTTTTTTGTTGTATACAATTTTCTATTGAAGCAAGCATCCAGCATCAACAGCTGCTTGAACACACGTCTAGCAGCAAGACACTGCTCATAAACTGAGGTCGAAGGATGCAAGTCAAGATCGGCCTGCACGAACATGATGCAGGTTGAGATCGGCGTGCGCGAAAACAGGCGATTGAAGCTGCACTACAGTGGTAAACAGAGTGCTTACTGAAAAACAACACGCATGGAATCAGCATTATCCTGTCTTTATACAGCCTAACACCAGGATAATATGCAGCTTAATTACTTTGGCAATGTGCGGCAACTTTTGCTCGACGCAGAGATCCGTGGAGTGTCAGGCAAAGCTCTACCATCGTTGTGCTCGGATGGTGTTGCCTTCAATCAGTTTATCATGTAGGCATCACTTGGGCCACGTCTCAATAGGTCGTAGCCGCATCTCGTACATGGCGCTGGGCCGTCATGAAGAGAAGACCAGACGTCTTCAGCCGCACTTTGTCATGCCCGCCTGCAACCCGTCATGAACACATAGGCGACTTTTACGTTTTAGCACTTGGTACTTTGTCAAGGTGAAAACACTAGCTGCCATGCTACCCGAGCATGGCGCGACCGGGAATCCCTTCGCCTAAGAACGTATGCTGTAGGAACTAAGTCGACTCATGGAATGCTAGGATAAATTACATTATTTTTTCAGTGTGGATATACGCTGTTACTTAGAGGCTAAACGGAATAGCTTCATTTCCGTTGACCATACTCAACCATCTTGTGAAATAAGAAGTCTTTCCGCCTCGTTGACACTCCGCGCAGACTTGGACGGAATTGCTCGCCAACACTTCATCTTTGCCCCCGGTGGTGTTCAAACGTTCTTGGCACACTTAATCCAGCTGCGATCCATCATTTTCGTCATCCGGAGCGCAGCAAGGCTCTATGTCTTCAGCGATGTCGATCGCGCCAGTCTCAGTCGTTGTTGTTTGCTAACAACCTGTTGACGAGCCCGCTAGCATCATCAACGGGGCCTGCACAGCATATTCAGAGAAATGTTCAGTATAAGATGCAGCTTACAACACAGTATAGTACGTACATGCAGGATAACATTCAACTTACCCGACTCGCCCAGCGCTGAAACCGCACTTGAATGATGATCAGTTTGGTTGCGTCCGCAGTAGCAGGGTACTCACAGTATCAGCCGCATAGTTCATCCGACTGACGTCGGCGGCGGCAGCGATACGAGCATCACTAGCTGCGCAAGCCGAAGCAGGGCCGAATCCGGGAAGGATGCTGTAGCAAAGTCGAAGAAGGTGAAAAACTGGTTCTGTAGTATGGGTTCCGAGTCGAGAACTGCATACAGATCATATAACCGCCTAAGAGGTTTTTTAGTTAGCATAAAACATTGCAACCATACGAATTGCGTTGGACTCACCCAACGATTCATCGCCACAGATACGTCTACGCCGTTGGTGCTGCTTGCGTCGCCTCCAGACTACAGGTAGAAGTAGTGGTCGTCCAGCCCGTGCCTAGCCTTGCTCCCGCAAGCTATCATCACAGCAGTTAAGCGCGATCTTCCCCGCACAGCTCCTCTGTCGATGTGTGCCCCGCGCGCGCAAATTCTCGAATGAGGCCCGTTTTCAAAAGGCGGCGAGCGGCAAAGTGCTGAACCACTCGTTTGGACTGTCCCAAAAGCCTCTAGCATTATATGCAAATCAGTTGCAGTACGGGGAGCCTGCTAGATCCCATATTTTGAATTTTGGGAAATTGTCCGTCCTTTCCTATGTTGCAAAAGAAAGGCGCGAACAGAAACCCGACAAAATTTAATCTTAAAGTTTGTATATCATGTGGCGAGGGAAAATACACCCCATATAAACTTCAAGTCAAAAATCGCTTAAACTGCATATATGCAGTTTAAGGAAAATCCTAATCCAGCATTATGCAGCAGGCGGGCTGGAGGGGTTAAGACGACTGGGCTTACCAAAAATGTTGTGTGTCCATGGTTGACTACACGAAGCAGGGCAAGAATACGTAGCTATCGGTTGGGATTTACTTTATTTCCACGACAGCTAAGCGCTCCCAAGATTCACTGAAGCGAAGCTGATTAACCTGCAGCATAGTAGCTTTAACGAATTGTTGGTACACTTGGCTGCACAGTCGTAGATGCAGATGCTGCGGCTGCGAAGCAGGCGCAGGAGATGCCCGAGTACATCGTTTCCCTGTAAGCGCATCCGTACAAGCTAGCTTCGAACTGCGAGACCCCCCGGGTCCCCAATAAGGCTAAAATACCAACTGATCTCAAAATATAGTATAATCTTATTGAATGTGTTTTGGCAGTCTGTGCTTTTATTGTGAAAAGCGACCGGAATGACTCTTTTAAATGAGGTAAGGAATGACCCACTTTTAAAATAGTGGGTCATTTTACCTAGTATTTAAAAAAATACTAGGTAGTACTGCAGTATTGATCAAAGTGTAAGACCATGGCAAACCACAAGTGATCTACATGTAGGACCAGTCCTTCCAAAAATACTATTTATATTTAGGGAGCCTATATTGAAAAATACACAGTGGTATACAAATCAAAAGGTAGGAAAATATATTATGACATTCTCCCTGTGAACGAAATACATAAAGAGCCCCTAACATCCGTGAAACTATTAGCTAAAGTTCCGATCGATTACAGTGTGTGATTGGGTAAAAAATACTCCAAAGGTAGTAAAAATAAAATATGGTAGGGGACCATTCAAATCCAGAAAATAAATAATACATCGTGAAATAATGCATATATCGAAGTTTCCATATGTTTCTAGGGAGCACTGCGGAGAGTTAAACAGCATATTTACTCCAAATTTCTCCGCACCGCGCGGACTAAATAAGCGGTTTATCAACTACTCGGATAAGGCCTGCGCAAATTTGCTCAAGGCTTAATTTAGCAAGAACGGGGCGACAACTGCCTATCCACTCCACCGCCACTGAACGGCAGCAACCCGCACCGGGACCGCTGTTATTGAAAGAGGTGATGCCCACGTATGCCTCGCCGCCGTCCTTTTCCGACTTTTCCCACCCCCTTAGATTGACAACGTCGCCGAGATCGCAGTTCTGTAAACGACAATGGCGTCCTGGGACTCCGGGCGACCAAGGTAAACCGACTTCTTGGAGTGGCCGAACACATCCGCGTGTTCGAAGACAAACAGGGAAGGGTTAGCGCTTTGAGTATTCCCGATAGTTGTGATGGCACCATTTCCAACAAACTCAAGATCGCACTCTTCGAACCAGGATCTTGTGTGGAGGCCCGAAATGACGTCAATGGCGCCGCTGATGTAGCAGCTGACATACATTTGATAACCTTTGTTTGCACAAAGTGTGGCCTCGTAACCCGTCATGTTCACTCCGTAGAAGCCGTAGTCGAGGCCATTGACGAAAACGGCAGGTGCCTGGTCACCGCTTTTGAGCTTCATCTGTGGGTTGGCGATGTTGAAATTGTATACCTTGGTATCTTTCTCCGACTTGAAGAGCATGATGCTGACCCGATGGTGGTCTGCTGAACCCGTGGTATTGACCGGAAGATCGTTTAGAGCCATCGAGTGAGTGATAGTCACATGATTTTCAGCGTACGGCTGCGCGTTGCACATGTAGCCCTGCAGCTCTAATCAGCGCCTGCGACGAAGCAAACGGTAAAACTACAGCGTACAGTGTCATATTTTCTTGGGCTAACAGTCATGATGAGGAAAGGGGGGGGGGGTAGAACGCGCAGGTAGAATTACGGAGAGAGAGAGAGCCGAGGTGTCGGTCTTTAGCGCAATCCCGTAGAGTAAGTTGAATTCCCCTGAGATTTAGGCCGGCGCCGTGGCACTTCACTTTAGGTTGCTCATGCGCTTCGGTCCGTTGATGATTCGGGCTGCAAGAGTTGAGACGGACTCCTTACACAGGTGAGTGTATTGCTTGACGGTGTCAGACGCCCACCGCCCGTGTAATTGGATTGTCAGGGAGTCGATGCCTGCGCGGTACATGTGTGTTGCCCCTCCAGCCCTGAGTGAATACGAGCTGTATGCCTTTGTGTTGCTGCCGGAGATACTCGCAACGCGCTGAATGGCGCCGGCGATTCTTGTAGATGCGACGCAGTCGCAGTTGGGAACGCCTTGGTCATTCACGAAAACGACCACGGCGATGTTCTGGGGTAGTGACTTCCGAGCTTTCAACAGGCGCAGCGCGCCAAACACTGAGCACACGACGCGGTGACCGTGGCGGCTCAGCATGCGCAGCGTCGGCCCGCCGCGGTAGTTTATTTTGGAGCCGGTGAACCGAATGTGTACCAAGGCCGCGGCGCTTGTGGACACCGTGGGCGCTCCAGAACAAACCACGCAAACGAACCTCTTCCTTGTGACGCAATCTCGGATCGGCGCAGGAGAAAGAATCCCAAACACAAGACCCCATAGAGCTTGGTTTGAAGGCCGCTCCATGTCGAGTGATGCGTAACAGAGCTTGGGCTGGAGGCTGGAGAAGGGTGCCTTGTGCTGGACTGGGATCTCAAGGGGGCTGATGCCCTTCAAAAGCATGCGAATTTGTGGATGGCCGCAGGGGAAATCTAGCCCGGCAGCTGCAAAGAAGTGCCGAATACCGGTTAGAGTCGCCAAGATGGTAGATCCGCGTACCGGGAGACCCGAGCCGTATCCTTCGTGGAAGCCCGAGATGACGAAAAATCTGCAATATGCTGAATGGCGAGCGTCGGTGAAACGCTACGGCGATGGCACCACTCGAACCCCTTTCGTAGTGACTTGAGGTATTGATCGTACGTCGATGCTGCGACGGAGTGTGTCCTGGGATGGTATGCCAGATCGTCTCCAAGTCTGTCGAACTGGGCGCGGCCTGTGTCCAGCCATGTGTCATAGACGCAAAACGGTTAGTGCTGGATGTACAATTAGATCTCCGTGAGCCTGCATCCGCAATGAGGTTCTCCGGCAACATGCGACGATGAGAAGCGCAGGTTCCACTCGGTTTCTCACAAGCTGTGCAGCCGGATGATGGTTTGAGCTTGGTGATTCCTAGAAGCAATCTTCGTTTGCCAGCTGACGGCGGACGGGTTGTCGATGCGAAAGTGCACGTGGCAGGGAAGCGTTCTGTCACCGCGGCGAGAAGCCGCCCATGAGGCTCCCCACGTGTGAACTGCAAATGCACACGAAAGTAGTTCACTGTAGTTGATATCGAACCCGACGCCAGGGTTATCCTTCGATTCTGTTGCTCCGATTCGTTGAAAGCGTACGTCAGTGCAAGCTCGACAGATCGAACGATGGTGCAGAGGTCATAGTCAAAAGCATCCATTTCGACGATGACGTCCGCAGCGGGGAGCGAGTTGATATATTGTAGTGGAACCCCGTTAAGCGTCGATGTTTGTAGGATGCGTTGTCACCAGTACAGGTCTTCGCGAATGACACTAGTGACCGGAACGATGTGCCAGTGGTGAAGGTGACGCTCCTGTTGGCGAAGGCGTTGTAGCAACGCACGTGCTGTCCGGACGCATGTGGCCACGTGACGAAGGCACCCGAGCAGCGAACGGCACTCCGAGCACCAAAGTGTTGTGGACTCTAATGCGGCTGCGACAATGCGTTCTGCCTTGGCAACCTTAGTAGTTGACATGGAGACGGTCCCGGCTGTCGAGTCGAACATATAAACCGAGCGCCTTCTGATGGGTGGACCAGCTTGAAAACTTCTCTTTGTTGGTAGCTGTCGACCCGAGGACGGAAACCATAGCATAGCGCAAAGATTGGTCCATGTCCAGACAGTTTGTTCCCACATCGCCTGCAACGTTGATGTGGTCATCGACCCAATGATAACAGTAGAAACCGCCGGGATTGTAGATGTTGGTGGTGTGACCGTGGATATGTGCAATAGCGCCACCAACAGCAGTGAAATTTCCAGGGGAGCTGGACCATCCGAACGCTGCCGAAGTGTCGATTACGAGCGCATTATCAGGCGGGAGCCTGCCGCCGAACAGATAGACGTCGTAGCTGTGAATGCATCTATGGCGGAATGCGGACGACACGTCCCCTGTCTGCTCCTGGACTTCGCAGTCGGGGTGACGCGATGGTTGGTGGACGATTTCGGTCGCGATGCTGTCGCAGTGTTCGTATGTTGGTTGACAAATAGCAGTCTGGTCTATGAAGTCCTTTAGCGACGAGTTGACTGGGTAGGATAAGTCATGAATGATACGACCGGTCGTTCGCGGATCCCCATCCCCTTGTCAACCACGCCGAACGGACTAATGTGGACCTCGGACTACAAACCCAAAATAGTCTCGTCCACGACGATGTACCTCCACGAATCTTGTTCTTTGCGGATATTCTTGACAAGGGCATTGTACCGTTCATCTACCAACTTGTGGTTCGGAGGTCGTAAGGTCTGACGCGGCAATGGATGCGTCCACGGGACCCGTGCTCCGGATTGAGCAATGTCTAGTAAGCATGGGAGGTGCCGGTAGCCTTGGCACGAAACCTCCAACACGGCAGGCACCATGCTCTTCTTTGGTCTGTAGTCGTCCACGGTTTGCCCGTGTATGAGCTCAGTTAACGCTGGTAGCGTGATGCGCGTGCGGCGTATGAACTCGGACAGCACTCGCTGGAGCTCTTTGTTCAGCACCCGGCATGCTGGATAGCCGGTGTAGTTGGTAGCTTCAAGCCTACGCTGCTGAGGACGCGGTTAATACGGTCAACGCGGATGATTTCCCATAGAGCGGCGCGCTGTGCAGCGGCGGCAACGTTCTGCCTTGTTGCATTGACTAACGGAGCAGGGCGGAGTTGGCCGCAGCGAGAAGAGTGGGACGGCGCGCACCGCCTCCCGCGTGATGACCGCTACCCATCGGTCGCCACGTCAGCGGAAATGGTGCAACTCTCGGGGTGTCCGGTCGTAAGCGGACCATAGGGCGCAGTAGGCGAGAAATGCTGGGGCAGTCTCGGAGGTCGGGCACTGCCATTGGGCGAGCTCGTCCTGCGTGTGGCCTGATCTGTCGGAGCGGCGATGCTGGGCTGAGGCGACATGGGCCCGGTCTGACTGCGTATGCCGTGGGGCGGTGCCTCAGCGGCGTGGGGCGGCTGAGATGAGTGTGTTGTGCTCGTAGCAGATTGAGTGTACCAGGGCTACAATGAATGGTGCAATGTCTTGTACGACCAGAAAAATGCTCGCTAGCAGATGAGGGCCCAGTTTCAGTGAATTGGGATAAGCAGCTTGCTAACCGAAGCGGCAGCGAGCCGGCGTCGCCTCAGCATACCCTCAGACGGTGTTGACGGTGTTCAGTGCGGGGCATGTGGCCCTGACTGTAGTGCCGCTCAATGAAGTCTTGTAGGTTGCGGGATAGACGGCGATCCCATAAATGTGTGCGCCGCGCATGAGCACAGCGCTCAGCACTACCTCCGTTGCACATGTGTGGTAGTGCCCCGGGCTCCTGGGGGTCGACCGACCCCGGGGAGGTCCACCCGAGTGGTACATGGTGTACCCCACACGAGAAGAGCCCCGGAAAGCCGGTGTGGAACGAACGACGACGTCAGAAGGGTCGACCCCGGGCGCGCCCGGACCAGCCCATAGTGAACCCAAGTGATTAAGCGGACACCAGTAGGAAGCCCATAGTTAAGCGCTTCCCCGGGACCAGTGGCCCTGGGGGAGCGCGTAATTCAGTCTAACTTTTTCCCCAAAGAGCTCAAGTCGCTTTCACTTCAGGAACTCCAAGGTACGAAGGCCGCGGTCACTGGGACCCGCGCTAGTAGACTGTCCCCAGGTAAATCGATAACATCTTTGCCAGGGCTTCCTTCCAGGAAGCCCCAGGCATTTCATATGTGTCCCCCCCCGGAGTGCGGTCTAGCCGGCACGGGTAAGGGCATTCCATATTCTCGGGGTCACGCCCGTGGGGTCTCGCCCCGAAGAGTATTGCAGCCGTCGCCGAGGGAGTCTTGCTCCGAAAGACCTGATTGCATATTTTAGTTGCGTGTTAATTCCGCCCCGGGAACCAGGTAGCGTCCCCGGGTGATTGAGTGTATTCCTACCAAACCAGCGTACTGATAAGGTCGGGACTCCCAGGAGATTCGAAGGGGGTACACAAGGTGAGGTTACTGACTGAGTCCCAGGACCTCTTGCTTTCCCATAGCGAGTAAAGGTCCCGGGAACTCACGGTCTCGGATAAATCCCTCGTCCGGGCGGGCCGTCTATCTACTAGGAGATTCGCTCTCTCTAGTTCCCTAGATCCTTGGTCTAGGAATCGCAACCCGGGAACTGACAGGGTGTCGAGGGCGGAAGCTCAAGGCGCTACATCACACATGCCACACCCCAGGAAACGCAGACAGGGCTCCAAGCCTTCAGCGCTGCGCGGGATTTGGCGCCGGATATGGTCTGGCATGATGGGCACCCGACCTGCGGGAGCGCGGCGCGACGAGGTCAGGGCGCTCCGTGGGGCCCGGCGCACGGAGTTTGTCGATGCTGCTTGCTGTGCCGCTAGTCGAAGCGCGAGCCCATTCAGAGAGGCCTGTCAGTCGGTAGCATGATAGTCGATTCCCCTCACGGCGTCGCAGTAGTTGCGCCACCATTTTGGCGAGGCTTCAGATAGATGTGACATCACCCGGTCCAAAAACGAGTTCCCGTAGAGCCGACCCAGTCCGGAGGGTTGTCTCGCTCAAGGTTGCCCAGGACGAAAAGCTTCAGCCGGGATGTCAAGCGTCGGACATGGTCGAAGAACAGTGCATCACCCAGCGAGGTGAGGCCGCTGATGGCAGCCAGGAGATCTGACACGAGGCGGTTCTCAGTTTTTCGTCGACGACATGCCATTCTAGAAATGAATTGGAGCTTGTATTGGACGACAAGTGGCGGATGAAATGGGTGCGGCGTGGCTGTACCCGTGTGACACGAGTGACGATTGTGGGAGAAAAGTGATGCTGTGGAATGAATCCAGTACCTGACCGCAGATGGGCCCAACTGGCTGGAAGTGTGAATCCTGGGAGTGCACACCCAGGATGTCAAAGTACACTCAGTCCAGCCGCGGACTTTCCCTTACGATGAGTGCCTAAAGTCTGGCGGAAAGTGTCTCTGGCGAATGCATCCCAGAGTACACCTCATCTTGCTGTGGCTCAGAGTGCCCCAGAGGATCAAATTACCCTGAGAATCAACCCACTACCACCATGATCATGCGCAGGAGGCCGCTAAACCCGCTAAAAGTGTGGCTTTGTGGAGATACACGCGAGCCTGCAATGTAGCAGACTTGTTACCCAGAGTGCCGCACGGAAACCCAGAGTGCCGCACGATGACCCAGAGTTCACCCCCCTGAGTGCAGGTGACCAGATGATTCTCTGGGTTTGGATCAAGAATCCAGACTCTCCATACTGAACTTAAGTGTTTCCCAAGCCAACATCCAAGAATCCCCACAGTTCCCCAAAGATTCCTCAGAATTCCCCAGGATTTCAGAAGATGACCCTGAGTGTCACATGATTTTCATGGATTCGAGTCAGTTCGAAGTCAGTCTGCAAGCAAAGTGATGCGTGACCTTGAAGAACCGCTATGGATGCGCAGACTGGATACTTTCGAGGAGTCGAGAGGGAGTCCTGCACCATACTAAACCAAGTCCAAGGACCCACAATTGGCACTTTCGACGCCGTGCGACAATGGAATCGCAAGTCGATCGCAACTTTGGACCGCTGAACCCAAGGTATACTCAAGACAAGACATTTGACCCCAAGCACAGTGAACAGAAGATATTTGCCCGAAGAAGAGAGAGAGAAGTAGCTGATAAAAACCAAACAGAGCTCCTTTTACCCTGTACTGCGCAAGTGACTTCGGCCAAGCCTGCCGACGGAAATCCGGAGGACCCGAGACCACGACCGCGGGACGCTAAGGGCACATCAACGGCGAAGGACAGCCGTCTGTGTGGGCTCAATCAAACTCAAGTCCAGTTAGGTGGTGACCAGCGACGGCCTTGAGCTTCCTGGGGTGATCCATCTATTCCATATCCTAGTTGGGTCACTTGCTGTGCTCGTGGTAGCCCATTTCATATTATTCCAGAGGGTATTCTGGGGTGCTAGGTAGTCGCCTCCAGGATTTTGTATTGACTGCTTGTGTGAAGGGAAGGTAACTGATAGTGACTGTATTTTCCTCCTTTATTGGAGGTGGTGCACGTTTGTGTGAGTCTCAGGGGAGCTAGGCCCCTGAATTTCAGACTCGAGTGAGCCTAGTGTGTGTGTGACCCACCGTCCAAGGGTCCAAAAGAATAAATGACGGATAGTTGTAGTGTTTGTATACTCTGTATTTGTTGGTTTTATCGAGCTAGGAGGGTATTTGGGTAAGGTGTCTTCTGAGTTCCAAGTCCCAGAGTTGACTGAAATCCTGGACCCTGAATTCGTGATATTCTGGGTTTCAGGGGATCTGATTCTCTGGGTTTGCCTTTTGGTGTGGAGGTGCGTTCTGAAGTAGATGTGCGCTCCCGCACTTCTTCGAGGCTACATTTACAACCGGTGGAGTGCCGTTCCGTCGAAGACAAACGAGCCGACAGGGATTACACAAGGTACCCACGCCAACCAAGGAGTGTGATTTTCAGGGTTTAAAGCTTTGCGGCTGCAAATTTCTGGGTCTATCTTCTTGCTGTTGACTCTCAAGTCGATTCTCTGGGTCTACCCCTGGGGAACAGTCTTGGGCTGCGCTATACGAATCCCCCCCTGGGAGATAAAGGTTTCATCGGCCTCGCCTCAGATCGTCGTATGTGTCGCACTGCGACATGGTAGTTGGTAACACAGCTGCGGCTCCAAAGTCTGCTCTGCAAAGTTTACATAAATCGGCCCCCGTCGAAGCTGTTCCATCTCTGTGAGAGGGCAGAAGTGGATGATGGTGAGGCCTCGGTTGCTGAGCCGTGCACTGTACAAAGCCACGAGAACCGGAGGTGACTTCGAAGTGGGTGAGCTCGCGGAGTTGCAGGACGAAAGCCTCGGGGTGGTGTACGCACCTGCGGTGGTTCTCAGGGTCTTGTACAGGCGATGAGCGGCCAATTGATGCGTGCAGCGGATAGTACTCGCCCTTCGTGCGCCTGCGCGGCACCGGAAAACTGGAGCAGCGGAGGTGCTGGATAGCCGATGGGGGGTATCAGTACAGTAAAAAGTGTAATTAGTGTGGGTCCGCTAATAGTGTGGGCGCGCAATTAGTATGGCCCACACTAATTAAAACCCTCAAAAATTGCCAAGAAAACAGTATAAGTTTCAGTATTGACATACAAACATTAAAATTAAATTTCGGGAAGATTTACCCTCACTATTTGAGGGGGAGCAAAAAAAATCGGCCAGGCGCAAATACCGTGGCCCACACTAATTATACTTCTTACTGTAGTGTTGCCGGGAATTGGAAGCGTCCAAGAGAGGCGTGGTGCAGCTGGCATGGGGTCGTGTGCCACCTCCCAGCGTCAGCAATACTCCCAGTGTTGGCAGCTAAGCTTAGGCCGCATGCCGGCGCGGCTCCAGGCACAACCGACTGAATTTGCTCGCTTAAGGCGTTGATCATGGCAAACAGGCTATCCACATTGTCCTCCAGCGAGGCACTCGGAATGCCGCTGTTCGTAGGTGCTGGTATCGCCGTTTGACCCTGCTGGCTGTAATCTTCAAGGAACCCGTCCAGGTTGAAAGCGGCAGGGACCGCCTGCACCTGCGCCATGGTGCAAGGTGGCGCCGGCAAGTTCAGTGGAGTCAAGAGCGGTATGTCGGACACAGCCGGACCCTGTGATTACGGCGAGCCGAGCCACGATGGAACGACGCGACGGTCGCTCGTTTGGACTCGTGTTGACGACTGTCGCTGCTGGAGCCCCAGGCTCTAGAACGCGCTCTCCTTCTCCATCAACATTGGCACGGGCCTCCTGCTCAGTGGGCGCTAAAGGCATACGACCAGCCGAGCGTGATCTGGCTTTGCGCTCTTGCTTTCGCGCCACCGCAAGCGCGGCTCCAGTGACGACTTCTGGGATGCGCTTCAGCTTGGATCAAATGGCGCGCGAGCTCCCGCAAGGAAGACCGAATCTTGGCGAGATTGGCCGTCATGTACAGCAGTACCGGCTGACAGGGGAATCTGTCGACAAAAAACTCGCAGTTGTCGCCCAATACAAGCAGTGTAAGGCTATTAGGCAGACTATCAAGTACTATTATCCTAACCTTAGTAGCAGATCCTACAACAGCAAGCGCACTACAATGCTACGGTGGGCTCGGGAGATCAAGCGCCTTAACGCCGCTGCAGCGGAAGGCAAGGGTACCCACATGAAAGTGCGCAGCGTCGGTACGGCAACCGTTTTGTCAGCTAAGAACGAAGCCTACTTGGCTCTATGGGTAAACGAGCTGCGAGATGAGGGCATCCCCGTGTCTACCAAGATGCTGAAGGATAAGGCTCTAAGATGTAGCCGAGGAGGCTGAGTTACTCAGTTTTAAAGCCACTGATAAATGGGCGGTTGGATTCAAAAACCGTCACCGATTTAGCTTTCGTTGTCCTACGAGACAGTGCCAAATCAGCCACCCCCCCCCCCCCCCGACATAAATGAGATTGCTGCCGACTTGGGTGCGAAGGTGGAGGCCAGCGTTCGTGAGCTCGGTGACACTCGAGTCTACAAGGCGGTTATGTTTAACCATTATTTTATTTGATGCAATGCAGCCGTGTATTTCGTGTACCGTATAATCGTAGTCCTAGGCGACAACCTCCGGACATGGATTATCACCATCTGGTCATTACAACTACTAATTATCAAATTGAAGCTGCCGTTTTATTATTCATCCTCAACATTATCGCTGTCGCTACTGTGACTACCGCTACCGGTATCATCGTCCGAGCTGTCGTCCCCCTCACTGCTACCACTGTCGCTACCGATATCGTCGTCAGAGTCCATTTCTCCTTCAGCTAAGTTGTGCATTTGCAGTGACGCAATAACTGCGTCTGTATCAACCTCAGCACAAGCGTCAATAGCCGGTGGGCGTGTAGCCATCAGTAGCCCCGCGCGTGAGAATCCGCTGACGATTGTTTCACGTGATAACCCGTCCCAACTTGACATGATCCATTTGGTGATGTCCCGCCGCGACGGCCCGACCAAAGCGAAAGGCTTCTCTTTAAATTCGTCCCGGAGAATGGCGACTCTTCGATCGGCTTCCTGCTGGTCATACTGCTTGCGTGTGCTTAGAATATCTGCAGCGAGCTTGCTCCTTTTTTGTTGTCGGGCCTTTTCTCCACTGTTGTACTTCCTAAGTTGTTCGCGCAGTGTTTCAATCCAAAGCGATCGTAGTAAACCTTTAAAAGGTTTATTCCACGAAATATCTGCCGGTTGACAGACACACGTATAATTTGGCGGCACATTCAGTAGGACAACGTTGAGCGAGGCAGCATAATCTTTTACCTCCTTCGTCCAATGCGCGCTAAAATCGTCCCACAACAGCAAGACCTTGTCGTCCGGGTACTCACGGTTGGCAAAATAAACCTCCAAAAAAATTAGAGATAAATCCGCGTTCCACCACGCAGTTTTGTTTCCAAAGATCCGACAGGGAAACGTTTTCTGCAGGGTTTTCACTTCACGCCAAATGATTGTACCGAACCCATTTCTGATCTCACCGTTCTCAGCGCGTCTTGCTTCCGTCTTGGCGTCTGACGTCTTGAATATAATGAATGGGTCGCACTTTACACCATCCGAATCTGCTAAAAGCATAACAGTTGCACGATGTTTGTCTTTATTAGCGCATTTGATCCAAACCGTCTTCGTGCCCTTTGCTGAGATAGTTTTCTTCGGCACGTGTTCAAAATATACAGCTAGAAAGTATGTTAGACGTCTAGCATTAAATCATAATAAGAAATAAAACATTTTCGCACCTGTTTGGTCTGCGTTGAATATTTTGGTGCAGTTTTGTTCGGCAGCAGTTTGAAGTACCAAGGCGCGAAATGCTTCGGCAGCCTCGGCCGCGTCTTGAGGAGTGGTTGGGCCTTGACGCGTTCTTGTGCGCAACGGCAGTCTGTGTCGCCTCATGAACAGCTTCAACCAAGTTGAGGAGGCGGAGAACTTGTCGGGAGCAATAGCAGATTCCTTAGCCACTTCCATTGCCTTTGTTTTCAGCATGAACCGGGACACAGGAATTCCTTCCTTCCTAAATGTGTTGATCCACCGGACGATCTCTTCTTCTGCCTCGAGGCTCAAGACGGTGCCGTCTCCGAGCTTCCGAGAGTTAAGATGGCGTGCTCGGCCAGATGCACACGCTGACTGTATTGAAGCGGAGGCCTTTTTCCATTTGCTGATCTGCTTTTCTTTTGCTCTGTGGTCTTTTCGTGTGAGCTGCCCGTAGAAGTGCAGAATGGTGGCCTTGATGGAGTTGCCCTTGTTGAGAAACTTGAGGACGTCTCGTTTGTCGCCGTAGGCCACGGCAACTCGTTTGTATTGCTTTCGGCGCTTACTGGAGCCTGTGATGCACGGTCGACCCATGCTTCCTTCCCGCGCTGAAGCTATATGCGATACTGCTCTTTTAGAACCAATGGCGCGTAAAAATAACCGATCCCATATGAAAAGTACTGACCAATCGCAATGGCTAGATGTAGTTGTCGCCAACGACTAAATGTCGCCAAGGACTAAGACTATACGGTATGTCGCGAAGAAAACACTGAGCAAAAGAGGTCAAAAGACAATGTGGGTGAAGAACAGTGGGGTATCGACGGAGCGCGCCTCCGTCATGCTGCTTGGTGACAGTGACGGCAACAAGTTCATGCCCTACATTGTCTTCAAGACGAAGCCTTCCAACGACCAATCTATCCGAGACCACACCGACCGACATAAGTGTGGCTTTGGTCACCGTATCTGGAAGGACGTCCGCGAAATTAGACGTACGACAGGGCTGGAGGTATACGGTAATTCTAAAGGTATGAGCTCTGAAATAATTTAGTCATATTGTCTAATTATGACTAATGGTTTTGTAACTGTTTTGCATTAATCTAGGTTGGTGAAATGAAATACTGTCCGTCGAATTTTTGAAGTTCCATTTTGGCAGTCGTGTCCCACAGGAGCCCGTGCTGCTTCTGTGGGACGACTTGAGTGGACACTGGACGGGCCTGGTCAAGAGCTACACGGTGTTCATCAACGGCTTCCTGCTCAAGGTCCCGCCTCACACCACGGTAGCGCTCTACATGCGAAATGCGGTAGATCTCAAACCGAGTACTGTGTGTTAGAACAACGGCGTCACGTCTTTCCATGCGGGTGAACTGTGCGCAGATATATAATAGTGCGCTTTCAAGGACTTTACGGGACTCCCGTCGGGAGCAGGGCTCGGAAAATACAGGTAAAATTATATTGGGTATCTCAGAAAAAATAATCCGTGATTCCATTTCTTCAGGCTCCCGTAATAATATTGTGAAAACCGATTCGTTTGTCCTGCTGAATTGGCCAGTAAAGCGTCGCTTACGGAGAATTTGGAGGATGCTAAATCGGGGATGTCACAATTATAATCGGAGTGTAAATCGTTCATCGCTCTCGTAATTATGTGTAGCCTAGCAATTTTGATCAACATATATCACCTCGGCCCGATACTCGGTAAGTGCAGAGGCAACACCGCGCTTAAATCCGTCGCCTGCATATCTCAGTTACATGTATTACAGCGTGCGGCTTTTCCTGCTTAGTTGTGCTGTTAGTATTGTAACCTTGGCTATAATACCTAGCCAAGAGCGACTGCAACGATTGATGTCTGCGCGGCTGATTTAGCCTACAATGAGCGAATGCCGGTTGCACATCAGACATTCCATCTGGATAGCAAACAAATCGGCCAGCTATGGCTAAACCGGCTGATTAACAAACCTAAATCCGATGCATATGATTTGGTTCTGCAAGTCGCCCTTGTTAATAATCTTGAGTCTAAATCGACGTGCCCCAGTCTAAGTAAGAGTTCGGATTTAGTAAATCGGGGATCATATATCTTAATAAGCCACTAAATCGGCCGATTTACAATCCCACAAGACATTCTAATCGGTTTTCACAACAATAAGTATTATTACAAAGCCCGGAACAGCTCTGGATTTTACGTTGCTCTTTGGTATATAAAGAGGAAATACTTCAGCTAAGTACGGGGGTGGCTGCTGCGGCGACCGGCAAAACTGAACTGAGGACCGTCGTTGGCGGTGGTTGTATCGCTACTCTATTTCCAAGGAACGGTCTGTAGTCTGGATCACTCATCATTTTCTCTGCGTCTTTCCTTAGGATTATGGGTTTTAATAGCGTTCTGTGCTGATGCTCCAATTTGATCAATATTTAGTCTAAATATTTCAAGGTGTAAATTTGCTAGGAATACACGAAGAAATAATTTGACAAGAGTTCAACCTATAGACTGTCCTGTCTTCTTATTGAAGCACAGGAAATTGCGCTAGAATCTACGCCATGATCGCTGCGGCCTTTATGCTGACGACCTGCAGGGACTGACCTACTTCGAGCGGCGCAGCTAACATTTAGGCTGCTTGCGTCTTGGCCGAAAAGGTTTTGGGGGGCGGCCAAGAACGGCTAACTAGAGAATTGGGCAGGTAGTGCGCCTGACAACGGTGTGCAAGTCCGTTGAAGCAAACCAAAATCGTTCGGCTACAAACTACCAGTTAAGCCATTAGCTCTCTAGACAAACTGTACCAACCTACACGATTATCCTGCCTTGGCCCCTGATGTACATGTACTGTCGCCGCATCGAGGTTTCGCGAAAAAAGGTAGATATAGAGCGAAAGTATGACATTCCTGGCTAGTTCGTGATAGCGTTTTGGGAAGTGGGTGTATTTCAACTTGTGTTCCTGGATTTGCATGCATTCTCAGCGTCTTTAGTTAGCCCCCCCCCCCCCCCCCGATCTCTTCAGTCATGTGCGAGTGTTGATACCCTACGGGTTCCGGCCAAAAACCGAATAAGGGACCAGCCGCTACGGCAGCTCGATACGGAAACTCGATTGCGGCTTCCATTAATCACAACGACTCTAGGTCGATGAACTCGCTCATCAACACGCTAACGTTGCAATGTAATTGTAGGGATGAGCTATTAGTATTGCGTGCGGTGGGATCGACATCATCGTTGTCTTAGCGTGAAGGGATGCCGAAATCATCGTCACTGAAACACTTGAAGGGGGATCCCGTCAGCATGTTGACCGAGCTAAAAACAATCCGATGGATGTTGCTTGAGTGGCAGATAAATTAGGTGTCGCAGGTATATAAACTTGATTAAAGAGTATTAAATATAACAGATAATTTGTCTTAATCTCAACCGGATGGATCAATATAGCACCCTAAATTGATTAGGTAACGGGTTATTTAATACAGCAGGCATTTCAACTGCATTTGTGATTAACAATTAAAATCATATTCACCAGGTATTTGATGTGAGAAGAATGGCACCTCAGTGGCATCCGCCCATGGACTCTGGATAAAATCCAGAGAATTGTGTATTATTAGGACAATACGGAGCCGTAAAATTAGTGTTAGGGGCATCTAAAGGACTCTAGCGCAGTACTTTAGTGTTTTAACGGCCAGAATCTGATGAAATGCAATATACTTACTATTGGTAAAAATATATTTTACGGATAACCGGAAAGTCGAATAACCAGTTATTCCGTCAATATAATACTATAAGAAGCCGAGCATGCGAGCCTTTGTGTGCTAGATCCTCCATTCGCATTTGGTTGTTAAACTATACTGTAGAGCACCTAAGGCGATGCTTCGAGTCATCGTGAGGCCCATCCAAGCCGTCGAGAGGGCTCTGAGGAGTCGGGTGGTTACCTGGAAGGTCCAAAACGGACGCGTCTGGACTAGACATTTGTATTGAACCATAGGAAAGAGAAGATAGAACAGATAAGCCCTTTGGGCATCAATAACAGAACGGCTTTTCCTCCCAACCACTCAAGGAAGACGTCCGGGCTATCGGTGAGTACACATAGCATTTGGATAAAGCTGTTGGTAGGATTATGACTGTCGGTGGACACGCCTGCTAGTATTGTAGCGTGTGTTTATCCGTGGTCAGGCCAAGAGTAGAGAAGAAGTGGCCGTGTATACGACGGCGAGTCATCGCCTTGTAGTGGAGGAGGGAGGGCGCACTCTATTTATTCTTCCCACCGGAGTATAGCTCCGGTACTCTCGTATCAAGCCGTGACTGGCTGGGGGCCTTCCTTCCTGAAGGCCTGCGAGGTCTATATTGCGTGTGAGAGCGTGTCAGCCGTTGCTCGTGGATGGTGACGCTGGGTTTTCGTCGGTTGACTAAGCGGAAACACGGTGCACAGAGGAAACATCAACCCGGTGCAAGGGAAAGTTCCTGGACCTTCAGGTTCTAGCCCTAACAAACCCGCCGAGCCTTCGGGCTTATTGGGTGTGGTTCGGTGGGGAGTGTGATATTATATGATTTAGTGCGTGTTCCTACATGACACAGCGCTCGCGTTCACTCGCTCGCACAGACACGCCCCCGCCTGTCGGCGAATGAGCGTCGCGCTCGCATTCGCTCGCCCTCCCCGTGTTCAGCATTTTGGTCTCCTTAAAGCAAGTGGGTTGCATTCCGCAGCCACTGCAGCCCATGGTGGTAGGATCAACCGCTTACCAAATTCTCGGGTGTTCCGGCCCATGACGCTTTGTATGACTAAGACACCGACTATTGTAGTTCCCTAGACAGCTTGCTCAACACGCACACTACGTCTTGTATTGACACCTCATCGTTCCTTAAATGTTTTTACGTTATAAGCTGCTTTGCCTCATTAAGGGTATCTCACCACGGCAAACGCTAGTCGACTATTCAATCTACATAGAGGTACTGCTTCATTGGCTGTGGCAGCCACACCTGTGGCGCTCTTGCGCATTCCTCACAAAGCAGGCTTTGATGTTCATTAAAACAGTGTATCGTCGTGATAAAAGACCAGTGAAATGTCTATTTATCCAATAATTCGAAAGCCTGCAACCTAATTTGTCTCTCATCTTAGCAAACGCCTGTTCACTGACAGGATAAAAAATAACCCTCGCAATAGTAACATTAACATCGTTAGTAGAAGGTGGCACTGGATAATCTCTACACTAAGTTAAGCTTACAATCACAATGTTGGTGCTTAAACCCAGGTAAAATGCGTGTTTGTTTTTGCCCCGGAAAACGGTGTGATAGATGTAAGCCCTAACCTCTTATTCTCTGATTTGCTTCCTGTAAAGAGGGTTCAAGAGGACATAAAACACATGATTATGGGGGGGCTTCGCTCCAATAAATATTTTTCCGAGCCCTGGTCGGAAGATCCAAGAAACCTGTGATCTCGACTCTAACCTAACAACGTCCGCGAGTTCTCCCAATTCAACGAGTTGGCTCGGCCGCCAGTAGATCGTGGCATTCTTCAAGATAACGAGTTCAGTGCCGTCATTAACCGAAAGGGGTGAATTCTAAGGACAGTTGACGTGCACTCCAATACAAACAATAGAAACACGGGTACTGCGCCGTGTAGCGGGACACCGCCTACATCCATTCGATGTTGTGTGGACTGCGGAAGTGGAACATGCATTATGAAATAATGTTTGTGTAATAAATGGGAAGGTTTGATATATGCTTCAATAATTGTATTTTATATTGCGTTATAACAATTATGACCAGAACTAGAAAGTATCATTATTTGATTTTGAATACTCTAGTATTTAAAATAGTTAATGAAATAACTGTAATTGTTTTTGCAAATATTGACGAATATTCATAAAACAGCAGTTCGGGTCGACGCAAAAGAAACGCGGAGCAATTGTTGGGCGATCTCTTTGCATTGAGGTCCACCATACTGGAAACCCAGGAGCTCCAGCCGCTGTACGTCGGTGTGATCAGTTCTGATGACAGTCTGTTTGTCGCTGCTCGATCCACAGCAGCCAGATAGCAGTCTAGCCTCGAATACCCCTACCATAACCGTTTTCGGGCTGTCTCGATAGTGTGTACAAGTTACCGCCAGTTTCTTTTGACTGGCAAAGTCCAGGATCACCATTATCGGCGAACCTTCCATACTGTACGAAGCCAAAGATCGGGTATCACCGGCGACGGTGCTGTCGTCACGAAGGATCCTTTCAACCGTCATTTGCAGTTTAACATATCGACCGCCAAGACCAGCGCCCCCATGATAGCGGTGGCTGCGTCTTGCAGACAAGCCCTCTCCTTTGCCCAGGACATGTAGCAGTGTTGTTTAAGCGTTACTACATGTGGCGAGGCAGAAGCGATTGGTCTTGGAGCTCCGTTGCCGTCCTCCCTTGACCAGGGCCAGGAGCGACTTCAAGTAGGCCGGCCCAAAAATCGCCAGAAAAAAGCACTTTTTAGCTCGGCAGAAAAAACACGTCAAACGGCCGCCATACAAAACGCCAGTCAATCGCCATTGCGTCCGGCCTGCAGCAAAGACGACGCTTCGGCCCGCGCGTTTATTGTAGCCGCAGCCCGCAAGCAGGATGATCGGAACGCCCGCCGCCGCCTCTCGACCGCACAGGCATCAGCCAGCACCACTTCCGCTTTTGACTCGAAGACAGAGCGCGCGCGCTGCCTCCTGATCCGTTTGGGGTTCCTGGACGCTGATCGTCTGCCCTCCGTCCGTCTCGCTACAGTACTTTATTCCTCCTCCCACCCCCATCGCCACAAATGTCCACCGCCGCCATCGCGTGGATGTCGCCCATGGCGCCGCTGCCGCAGCTCTCGGTCTCGGACGACCCGGCGGAGAACTCCAAGCAGGTGCTCAAGGCGCTCAAGTGCGTGGCCTTCTCCAGCAAACAGGTGGGCGACATGCTGCGCCGCCGCCGCGAGCGCCTGGCGCGCCGCCTGCAGGCCGTGGCGGACGAGACGGAGCTGCTGCGCGCGCACATCGTGGAGAACGTGCTGAGCCAGCGCCAGCGCGCCGAGCAGCTGGCCGAGCTGCGCGACGACCTGGAGCAGGCGCAGACGCTGGGCCACGCCGAGCTGCTCAAGGACCTGGCGGACGAGCTCAAGCTGCTGCGCCGCGAGGACCAGCGCGAGCGCGTGCTGCTGAGCAACCTCAAGCGCACGCTGCGCTCCCGCGTGCGCCTGCACAAAGCGCTGCAGCAGCAGAAGGGTGCGGCCGACGAGGCCACCGTGGTCTTCAACTGCAAGCACAACCTCATCCAGTCCATGGTGGCCACGTGCGCCAAGACCACGTTCCTGTCGGCCTCCGAGCTCGGCTACGAGGAGGAGGGCTACGTGGACGACGAGGACGAGGACGCCGACGCCCAGTGCAGCAGCGCCGGCGAGAGCGACTACGATCTCTCGGACTTCGCGGAAGCCGACGATGTCGACATGGCGCAGCAGGATGCCGAGGCCGCAGACTACCCGAAGCTTCGCGTTGCGCAGCCGGACGAGGAGTGTCCGGGTGAAGACGACAAGGACGAGGTAGGCGAGCTCTCGAGCGTGAGTGCCTGGTCCTTCGAGAGCGACTCGCAGGCCAGCTCGTCAGTCAAGGACAGTCGTCGCCGCTCGGTGTCGTTCGGTCCGTTGCCACTTGGTAATCTGGCTGAGGAGAACGTCGAGATGAAATCTCCGTCTTCCCGGTCGCCGCTGACGTTGGAGGAGCTGAGCGACGGAGAACAAGATGGAAGAGATAGACGCAGCAGCGAGTGATCGCTGCGATTTTGGCTACAGCATGGGTCGAGCGCAGAGGTTTACGCAAGTGCTGGACGCCATCGTCAAGGAGGGTGAAGCGTAATAGCTTGTAAATATACTTTCTGTAGTACGTGATTCCATTTGAGACCAGCTCGCAGCGTCCTTTTCAAACTCTGAAAGCGTACACTGCAATGTGTGGAGATGTCGGCGGTGATTTGCTGGTAGCAATGGACGAAATGTGACCCACTTCAACTTGACCAAGCCAAGGATAGTGATTGGAGTATCACGACTCTTTTCGTTTATCGTTGCCAATGTTCGGTTGTACTACTTGTATGCTAGAACACGAATCTGATCACCTTTAGCTCCAGAGGATGGCAAGCGCGAGATACCGATGCCAGAGTGCAATGAATACTACTGGAGCAATGGAGATACGGCACGATCACGATTCATTCATACGTTAGGGTATGAGCCAAGTCGATGAGGTGCGACCATTGGAAGTCAAAATAATTGTTTGGTTAGGACTCGGTCACCGATGGCCATCCACAGGGAGTTTCAGTTGTCCATACCCGGCCGAAATGCCCCCCCCCCTTTTTTTTTGAAAGTCTCCGCACCCGTACAGCACAATTTTTGTTGTTGTGAAATGTAAACAGACGATGAAGCAAAGGCAGAAGCTGCGATATAGCATCTTGACTAGTCCGAACGACTCTGACTCAAAAGTACGGGCAACCATGGCCAATGGAACATGCGACCACGGCTACCGCATTTCGCATGTAGAGAAACACACCCCATGTCATAGGTAGGTTAATTACTGCACTTGAGCCTAAAAACAATGTAAACCCAAAAACTGGGTCACGCGATCATTTCGTACACAAAATTGGCAAGATGGTTGGTCATGCGGATGGCGCGGAGCGATCTCCTCTAGGATGGCGCTTAAGCTAGCAACAAGTCTAGGCGCCATCTACAACTATGTTGCACAGGAATCACACCACTTAACCAATTATCTACAGCGTTGCTTCTTCTACTACCATCGCTGCAGCAGCCGTGTTGTGCGCTCTCTCGAGCTTGCGCGTTGTGGTTTAACCTCTGGGCCCACACCAGGCGTGGCTACTAACTATCACTCCGACGAGGCGTATACCTCCAAGCGCGCGGGGAGGGGGCAGCGCGACGTTGGCGAGCGCCTTCGCGCGCTTGGAACTGGTGGCTCAATGTGCATGCAAAAATGCGCAAAATACCCAAATTAGGGGTGTATCTCTCTACATGCGATCCCACGGATTTTTCTCTCGCATCTCTGATTGGTCTAAATAAAGGTGTATCGCTTAAACCGCTGTAGCGCTCTACATGCGAAATGCGGTATCCGAATTATAGCGGAATGATGAACGCAAGGTCTAACCTCGGGGTGCGTTGAACGCTCCAGTAGTGGTGACCGTAGATTTACGAAGATCATTAGATTCATCTTCTTTCTCTAATGAGCGAATTGCAGTACATTGAAATGTTATCACAAATGAATGGGTATCACGGCTCGGATGGGGGAACCTCTTGGAGCCGAGAAAACTCAAGAAATCTACAGGAACTTCTTGTCGACATACCACTGAGACTTGTAGTCGTCACCCAGGATGTCCGTAATAGGCACGGCAGTATCAAGCTGGCCGCTGAACGGCACGCGCTGGCCCTTACCGCGCCGGGGCCGCGGTTGTTGAACTCCTTAAAGTACACGTTAGCCGTGCCGTTGCCCTTGTTCCACCGGTCCCAACCCTTCGGGTTGATGACGTCGCCGAGCTCGCTGTTCTGGAAAACGACGCGGGCGTACGGGAACCACGGGTGGCCAAGGAAAGCTGCAGATTTGTTGTAGCAGCCGAACACGCGGGCGTTGTTGATGACATATTCGGACAGGTTGGAGCTGTTGCCGTTGCCGTTCGCGGTGATGGAACCGTTGCCGATCGACTCGATATCGCACGACTCAAACCAGGACTTAGACAAGAGGCCGAAGATGAAGTCAACAGCACCGTTGATGTAGGACTTGGCGTACAATTGAGGACCCTTGTTGGCACACAGCGTGTCCTGGTATCCCGTCATATTCATGCCGTAAAACCCGTGCTTGGGGCCGTCCACGTAGACAGCGATAGCCTGGCCGAGGTTCTTGATCTTGGGCTGCGGGTTGGCAACGTTGAGATTGTACACTCGGGTACCATTCTTCGACTTGAAGAGCATGGTGCTGACCAGTTGGTTGCGTGGGCCCGTCATGTTGGCCGGTAGATCCTTTTGGGCCATCGAGTGGGTAATGGTGACCTGGTTGTGGGCGTACGACTGCGTGTTGCACGTGTAGCCCTGCAGCACGATCGGGCCGTTGAAATTCGGGACCACGACTTGCTCCCTGTACACGCCCGGGTACACGAAGAGCGTGTGCTCAGCCGTCGTGTTGGGAATGTTGGCCACACCCTCGGACACAGTCTTGTAGCTGCCAGGGTGCTTGCCAGTGGCATCAACGACGATGGCACCCTTCGGGGGCTGAACGCGCGCGTTCGGTCCGCTGCATTTGGCACCGCCTCCGAATCCGGCCAGTGCGCCCGATGCGAAGGTAGCGAGGACCACGAGTGGGGTGAAGAAGCGCATAGTCCGTCGAGTTGACTTGAGCTGCGAGAAGAAAAACAAAAAGTGAGCTTCATTACGGGAGCTTTTGGTGGTGCGAAGGCCACAGTTGGGTCTTGGATCACAATGCTTGTGTTGCTGGTCGTGTTCGTTTACGGCACAGCGAACGTCCTCAGTCTTGCTACATGTGTGTCGCGTTGTTGTGTTAGGTCAATTGCCAACAGTGTTGGCAAATTGCAAATAGTCGCATTAACATGTAAGATACCCATCTCGTGAGCCTCATTTATTGAAGTTGTTTGTGCTTTCTACGAGGATAGAACAGAAGAGAGGCCTTTGGCGATTGTATCTGTGTTTCCGGCCAGGATCGAATGGAAGTGAGCCTTAAGTTTTGTTGTATTTGCGTCGGCGTGTGTTTCTGACACTGCAGCTGCGATCTTGTCGCGAGATTGGCTCCATGACTTCTATGATTGAGCTTGTCTCTTTGACTCATTATCATACAAGCAGCTGAATGATGAGATTGCACCAACGGCATTCTGTTTGTCATCGAGAGCTACAATTCATCGGACGCATGCTGCCGTTCGCTCGATAACCGGCCGATTTGATGGTTCGACTGCTCAATTTGACGACTGTTGCAATCTTCAAACGCGACGTGGTCTTCCAAAACCCAGCTGCCTGAGGCGGGGTGCAAAATGGAACACTCGGCTGTCCCTGAAGTTTGAACGGTAAACTCCCTGCGTCGCGCTCAGCCAAACTAAGTAAGGCTACTGGCGCGCTGCTAAGCGAGCTATCAAAACGAGCGTTTGAAGCACATAACATGTATTAAAATAATGATACAGCAGATATGTTTGCAGGAGTGATATCGCAAGTTTATCGCGAGAAAGGTTACATGTATGTTTGGCCTTCAATGAAGGCTTCATTGCTTCGCGCGCCATTTCGTGAGTTCTACGATTTTTTTCTCACGTCACAGTACTCTCCCTATGCACGATACGCTATTGCCCTGCATGTACCGATCACAAGCCCATGCAATAGAGCGAATACTGAGCGAGGCGCTGCTAGCAACCCATGTAAGCTTAACACCAGATCTACTGAGAACGAAATAATTGAAGCCTCTCTTCAACGTCCGTGTCGGCATTGGTATCTCATGCACGAATGAAAGCTTCAGATGGCTTCACAGCCCCTCTACAGCGTCCTAGTCTACAATTGTACATGTTTTGGCAGGCATTCGAAGCCGATGGACGTAAAATCTGCGCAATGTTCAGCGAGATGGTGCCAAGATATTCAACCTACTACGTAAATTTATGGTCGTCTTCTGACAAGCTCTACGTACAGTATCACACGCAAGAATTCTAGACTAAATTACGTAAAGTGATTGTTCGAGGCTCATCAGTGCATTCGTCTCTCGAGTTACCGAGAGGATTTCCTCACAAAGATTCAGAGCAGATCTTGGTATTTTTGCGAACATCAGTTGAGCCTCGGGACCCCGTCGGGTCGAAAAAGTAACAACAAAATAAATCGGTTGACTCCCACGCGGGAAGATTGACGAATGAGCCCAAATGGCAACTGCAGTTGTCCCGGGAACACACTGCAGCCAATCAATTTTTGCTTCCTAAAATAACCACTTGTCGTTCCAAAATAGGTTTCCTTCATCTTATAGTAGGCTGCCACACCAATCACACCTTAACTTCGACCCTATCTGTTTTCGCGGGGCTTCAAGCAAAAGCGCGTCGTTTCATAACGGATCATAATGGGACGCACGCCAAAAGCCAAGCGTGGCTGCTCGCACAGGGCTTACTCTCGAAAAAGATCTAAGCGACTCGTCGTGTCCTAACCTCTTCCAACTCCCGCCGCAAGAATGGGCCTGCTGAACCTGCTGCGCAAGCTCAAGAAGGACGACAGCGAGGCGCGCATCCTCGTGCTGGGGCTGGACAACGGCGGCAAGACCACCATCCTCAAGAAGCTCTCGGAGGAGGACATCAGCCACATCATGCCCACGCAGGGCTTCAACGTCAAGAGCCTGCAGGTGGACGGCTTCAAGCTCAACATGTGGGACATCGGCGGCCAGAAGACAATCCGCCCCTACTGGAGGAACTACTACGAGCAGACCGACGCCCTGGTGAGGCTGCTTCAACGTCGTAAATACTAATTAGCAACGTGACAAGCTAATTATTTTGTATGTGTGTGGTTCTTAGATCTACGTGATCGACAGCGCGGACCGCCGCCGCCTTGAGGAGACGGGCATGGAGCTCGTGACGCTGCTCGAGGAGGAGAAGCTCTCGAACGTGCCCATCCTCGTGTTCGCCAACAAGCAGGACCTGCTGAACGCACTGCCCTCGGGCGAAATCTCCACGGCGCTCAACCTGGCCACCATCCGCGACCGCACGTGGCACATCCAGGCCTGCTCGGCCAAGACGGGCGAGGGCCTGCAAGAAGGCATGGAGTGGATAGTCAACACAATGAGCACCGGACGGGAGGCCAAGTAAGACTCAAGTCGGGGCGCAATGATGGAGCAGCACAGGCCGTTGGAAGGAACGGTGCAATGTGCGGGGCTTTGCCGTCTTCAATATCAACAACCCGCTTCAAACACTCACTCACTCACTCACTCACTGCAGATAGGCATCAGCGACCAGCCAGCTATTGCACGCACTCACCCTGCGACTATCTGTAAGGTATCATCAATAATGCCTTTGAACGATAACACCTCCTTGTAGGTTTTTGGCTTGTGCACACCAACGCACTCCACGACTTCTTTTATTAGTGGCTGTTCTGTGTCGAGCATTCGGGTGTCTTTCACCTGAGTAAACCCTGGTGCTACGTGCGATCGCAGGCAGTCGCTTAGGCCTCGAACTCGACGCCAATCTTGACCTGCTCCGCCTGTGCGACGATGTCGGCGATCTTCACGGCCTTCTCGGCGGCGTCCTCCAGGTCGTCGGCCACAATCATCTTAATGCCCGACTCGGCGATAATCTTACGCGCAGGCTCCACGTTGGTGCCCTGCAGACGGATGATGACCGGCTTCTTCAAGCCCAGGTCCTTGGCAGCGGCCACGATACCGGCGGCGATCACGTCGCAGCGCATGATACCGCCGAAAATGTTCACCAGGATCGACTTGACCTGGTCGTCGCCGTCCAGGATCTCGAAGGCCTTCTTGACCTGCTCCTCCGTGGCACCTCCGCCCACGTCCAGGAAGTTGGCGGGCGAGCCGCCGTACAGCGAGATGATGTCCATCGTGGCCATGGCCAGACCGGCGCCGTTCACGAGGCAGCCGATGTTGCCGTCCAGACCGATGTAGTTCAGGTCGTAAGCGCTGGCCTCGACCTCACGCGGGTCCTCCTGGGTCTTGTCGCGCTTGGCGAAGATCTCCTTGTGGCGGAAGGCGGCGTTGTCGTCGTAGTTGAGCTTGGCGTCGCAAGCGAAGATCTCGCCCTCGCGGGTCTCGGCCAGCGGGTTGATCTCCACGAGCGTAGCGTCCACGCCGATGAACATGTTGTACAGGTTCTTGATCTGCGTCTCGAGCTTCCTGAGGACCTCGCCCTCGCCGCCCAGCGCCTTGGCCAGACGCGAGACCTGCGCGTCCGTGGGGCCCGTCGAGATGTCGACGTTCTCCTTGAAGATGAGCTCGGGCGTGGCCTCGGCCACATCCTCAATGGAGGTTCCGCCGGCGGGGGAGGCCACCATGACGGGGCCCTGCGACGCGCGGTCCATGAGGATCGAGAAGTACATCTCGCGGCGCATCCAGACGCGCTCCATGAGGAAGACCTTAGCCACCTCAATGCCCTTCTCGCCCGTCTGCTTGGTCACGAGCGTCTCGCCGAGCATCTTCTTGGCGAAGTCCTCGGCCTGCTCCGGCTTGGTGCACATGTGCACGCCGCCCTTGAAGCCGTTCTTGAACGTGCCCAGGCCACGGCCGCCCGTGAGCGCCTGCGCCTTGATCACCACGTCCACGCCCTCTGTTCCGTCATATCCAATGCAGAATCTTTTGTTAAACTACAAGCTCTCGACATCTATGCACGTTGGGGAGGAGATGATAGGGCAGTAGGTAGATCCCCTCCCCCTTATTAGTTATATTGTAGTTGTTGCACGCACCACGGTCGCCGCGGATCTTGCTGAAGGCGGCCTTGGCCTCGGCCGGAGTGTCGGCCGGGATGCCCTGCGGCGTGGCGACGCCGAAGTCCTTCATGATCTCCAGCGACTGGAACTCGTGCAGGTTGAGGCGGCGCACCTGCGCGCTCTGGCGAACGGGCAGCGACATAAGCTTGGGGTTACGCAGCGCGCGGCCGAACATGGTGGAGACTCTAGCGACGACGACGTGCGGGTGGCTGAAGGCGGCTCGGGAAATGATACCGGGCGCTTCTTGGCCCCACAGAACGCGGGGAGCTCAATTCGGCGCAGCCACGGTACGTGCGAGGATTGATTATTATCAACGAGCTTCCCCGCGGTGGTTAACGCTCTTTTGCGGAGACGGAGCGGTTGGCGAAACGCAGGCCGTGTGGATTGGGCGAAAATCGCCGGAAACTCGGCAATTGGACGAAACACGCCAGTGGGATCCCTAAACCTTGCGCTTCATACTGTACTTGAACTCTGAGGGGCGCATCTTCAAGCGTACAAAAACCTACACAATGTTAAACCGCCATTGAAAACCGGTGATTGGCCGCCGCATCGTCGGTATCTGCTGCCGTGCGCGTGGCGTCATGAGCTCAACGATCTCCAGTGCGCTTACGGGCGGCGCTAGTGTGCAGATCGCAGGCGGAGGCAGCGTCGCGGATGGAAGCGCTTCAGCTGCATTGCATTCCTGAGGCGGAGGTAGTCCGCGACCGAGCGAGGGGGGAGCAGCACATTTCTCAGCTTTGCCCGCGATGCAATCATCGAAGCGCAAGGACCTCCTGTCAGCACCGTCGGGATGCCACTTGAAGCCTCGGACTCCGCGTCGGAGTCAATGCGGACTGTCCTCGATCTCTTCTTGCAGGCAGATTGGAGCGTTTGGTGCCGAGATCGCTCGAACGGTGCAAGGTGTACCATGAGGTACAGTACTGATGTATGAGTACCACATCATTCGATGAAGATGGCTGTATCATCGTTCTAATGCGTGTAGAGCTCAGGCTTGGCTGGGTTGGCGCTACATGTACGTAGCAACCCAGTGATTCGTTGACAGCAACTGACGCAGGACTCCGATTGACCGGGCGAAAAGTTATCCTGTGTGATATCTGTGAACTAGGCTCACTTCGCTTCATGGGTTCTGGGTTCTCTAAAACTCAGAGGTTGATATTGCCGCGCGCGAGTTCGTGCGTGTCCGCCAAGCTCATTATTCGACTTGATCCATCGAGAAAACACCAGCTCCAGCAACCAGCTCACCACGACCAAGATGCAGCTCGCGCAATTCCTCTCCGTTGCTAGTATGGCGCTGTCCATGAACATGGCAGATTGCGCTGTGACCGCTACGGATATCCTAGCCCTCGATATCTACTCTAGCGCTGACTGCGAGGGAGCGCCCGATGCGCTGGTGCTCTGGCCGTCGACGGACTGTACGGAGAGCGGGAGTATCGAATACTGCGAAGAAGCTGAAGAAGGATATCAAGCCGCCAGCTGCGTTTCGGATCCGTACGCTCATACTGCAGAGGTCTTTGGGGACGTGCCCTACGTGCTGGTGGACGTGTTTAACGATACCGAGTGTGGGGTGTACTCGGGCTCGTTTGCACTGCGCGCGAATGGCGACTGCATCGTACGCGGGCAAACCTCGGTCAAGGTTGTGATGAACACCAACGGGTCTGCCACGGTGGAGGAGTACACTGGAGAAAGCTGCAGTGCCCAAGACCTCATCGAAGGCGACCTCGTTGAAGCTAGCTGGTTCGACAGCTACATTTGTGCCGACGAGGGATTCGTGTTCTACAACAACGCATACCCGGGGACGAGCGGCAGCGGCAGCTTAGCCGTTGCTCACAGCGAAGGCCGCCACCATTTCAAGTCTCACCTAACGACGTACCTAGCTTCGCTGAGGATGTAATGGCGCGGTTCATTCCTCCCGGCACTGCATTCGGTTCTACTGAGTTTGAAAAGGAAAAAAAATCAATGAATGCCTCCTTTCTTCTTTCACTACATGTTGCGTGTGGATGTTGTAAACTCCAGACCATCGGCCCACTTTCGAGTCCATATTGGTGGCTGTTCAACAACTTTCACAGCATGGTTCAGCATGTTGTTCAAAACACTTGGTGCCAACCGGGACCAAACAAGAGTTTGCCACGAGTGCTTCATTGCGAACTTCTTGCCTCGTCACACTTGCGACGAGGCAAAGCAACAGATGGCAGCTGTCGACAATACCGGTATCAAACTATATACCGGTAATAAAGAAGTTACATGCAAAGAGCTTCTTCAACGCTTCGAGCATCTTCGCCTCGGGTCATGGCGTCGGCCTCGTCGTTCAACGCCACGCTGGCCGTGTTGCTGGCCGCCAAGTACTGCCGCCAATACCCGCTGTTCCGCTGGCGTGAGGAGGCGCTCCCGTCCATGGGGCGGCGCGCCGAGAAGTACTGCTTCCGCGTGGACATGCTCAACCTGCAGCAGGAGAGCTGCGGCGAGATGCTGCTGGCGCTCATGCCGGCGCAGCTGAGCCTCCTGGACTTCCAGAAGGAGAACACGCTATACAAGCTCAAGGCCCTGCTCGTCACGCTCAAGGTACGGCTCTCCGTGACGTTTTACGACCGAGATACGAAGTATAAGTAGAGCTCTGATCTCTGCTAGTGTCTCTGTTACTGCAGCACCCGTATATCCTACCAGTGCTGGACATCTTCTACTCCAAGGAGAAGAAGGCGCTAGTAGTAGTGCAGCCGTTCGTCGCCACCGGCAGCGTCAAGGACCGCATCTATCAGGTGGACGACCCGGCCAAGCCCTACGACGCCAAGTATCGCCTGGAGAATGCCCACCCGCTGCCGTTCAACGAGATCGCCAAGTACTCACGCCAGATCCTGGAAGCCCTGGATGGTCTGAGGTCCAAGGGGCTGGTGTGCGACCACTTGAGGTCAACGAATGTCGTAATTGATAGCGGCAATGCTCGACTCACTGAGATTTACACGCCGCTGCTGGCGATCGACCGATACAAGGATAGTCGCGAGCTGACGGTGAGTCTGGAGCAGCACATGGACATTGACTTGCTGCTCTTCGGACAGATTTTGTACGAAATGGCTACAGGCATGGAGCTTTTAAGCCCGCTTCCGGAGGAAGGCGTGCTCGAGATGCTGGCGCCGGAGATCGCCGAGGTGCTTGTGGTGATTTTCTATGAGCCAGAGTCATTGGCGCCGCCAGAGCAAGCTTCTTCCTCTATAGAAGTGGACGTGGAGAACAATGGCGCCGAGTTTGATGACACTGCGTCAGTCAGCACCAGCACCGTGAGCAGTCGCAGCAAGAAGCACCTCTTTTTGGTAGATTTGGAGCAGATGCTGGAGGATTTCCCGCTGTTCGCTGCGGCGCGTGACGTGCCGCCGATCCGCACGCTATTCTCCGGGTTCCGTCTCGACTCGGGCATGAAGAGCACCATCAAGTACAGCATGCGCATCAACGCGAGTCGCAGCCAGGCGCACATCGTGCACTACAACGACCAAGAGGCACTGCTGCGTGCACGCCAGCGAGCCGAGCGCCGCGTGTACGAAGAGAAGGAGAAGCAGCAGCAGCGTATCCAGCAGCTCACGCCCAGCAAGAACCCCACCAGCAAGGGCAACGCGTACAGCAGCAAGACCATTCCTTCGAGAAGGAAAACCTACCGCGCCGACAGCTTCCGCAAGCACGCGCAGCGCGCGCTTGCCAGGCCTGGAAGCAGTAAATCCAACGCAAGTGCATCCAGCGCCTAATAGCACTCTAGAAATCTGCATTGAACCAGCGAGGTGTCCTCCAATTTGTCCTCCTTATACATGGCTACAATTGGTGACCAACACTCACCACTGTAGTCATGCCCCGAACAATCGCTGCATGTTCCTTACGGTCAGCCCGCATACTGAGATCAAGTCAAATGAATACCATGCTCTTCCTCAATACAGCACCCTGCGTCAGTGAGCTCGACGTCAGTCCACAATAAGATCATTGGGCAGTCGGCGACACCTCCATGACGTCGTTCCTGTCGGCGCTGCGCGCCGAGTTCCCGGCCCCTTTCGCTTCAGGAAGCTTTGCCAGGCAAAATGCAACGCTTGGAGAGTCTCCGCAGCTCGTGGCGCCGTCTGTAGGAAAAGTTACTGCGGGTCAAAGTTCGACGTTCCGCGACCCTTTCCTATCCTCCGAGAAGTTGTGGGAAGTGTCGCCCCCCACGCACCGCCGCGACCTGCTGAGGGTACTGCAAGTGGACCACGATGCGCTGCGTGCTGCCAATGACCGGAAAGCCGCAGCGGGCGCTGTAAGCGCCGTGGTGACCTCCAGGCGGCACAAGACCCAGGAGCAGAAGCACAAGCCCAAGGAGCCCAAGAAGGACGTCGCGGAGCTGCTGCTGGCGGCCTGTGGCACGCACACGTCGGCCAACAGTGATATTTGCTTCCTAACGACGTTGGAGCTGGCCGAGTCGGTGCTGCAGACCGTGCAGGACAGTCGGGGAGACGCAGACACCGTGCAGGCCCAGCTCTTCGGTCTCGTGGGCGTGGAGGGCATGGACCTCATTGCATTCGCAGTGCAGAACCAGAAGGAGCTCAGTAACTCGAGCGTGACCAAGCAGAAACTGCAGGACGCCCAAAAGATGCTCGAGATGGCCGAGAGGTATGCGGAGAGCGGAGGTGCGGCCGCGAGACCGACGGGGTTCAGCATCCAGACGGAAGCTGAGCAGCAGTTCCAGAGACAGCAACGCAAGGCGCTACGACGAGCCAACCGACAGAATGGCGGTGAGGAGGAGGAGGACGTGAATTGGCTGGAAGCTGCAGGGTACGACCCGGAAGTACTGAGGCTGCAGAAGGAGTTCGCAGAGGAGGAAAGGAGACTGCAGTCGTCGTCGCTGGTGCAGCGGGAGTTTGGCGAGCTTCAGGGAGGATACGATTCTACTGCGGCGGCTGGCCAGCTCATGTCGGCAGGGGCTCTTACGCTGCCCGCGAACACCAAGAGAACGCACTACAAGGGCTACGAGCACGTGTTCATCCCCGCCCACGCCAAAAGGGCGCTGGGCAAGGAGGAAAAGCTCGTGGCAATCTCGAGCTTGGAAGATTTCGCGCAGACCGCGTTCCATGGCATCACCAAGCTCAACCGTCTGCAGTCGAAGCTCTTTGAAGCTGCGTACAACTCAAACCAGAATCTGCTGGTGTGCGCCCCGACTGGCGCTGGTAAGACCAACGTGGCTATGCTTACGATCCTGCAGGAGGTCAAGTCGCAGCTGAATCGGCATCAGGGTGAGCCTGCCAGCAAAGGCCTCGCCAACATGAAAATTATCTACGTGGCTCCGATGAAGGCTCTGGCGCAAGAGGTGGTCACGAAGTTTGGGCAGAGACTGCAGGCGCTGAAGCTGAAGGTGCGCGAGCTGACGGGTGATATGCAGCTGACGAAGAAGGAGATCGAGGAGACTCACGTGATCGTGACAACGCCCGAGAAATGGGACGTCATTACGCGTAAGTCCGGCACGCAGCAGTCGCTTCTGAGCCAAGTGAAGCTGCTTATTATCGATGAGGTTCACCTGCTGGCAGACGAGCGTGGCCCCGTTATCGAGACGATCGTGGCGCGTACGCTGCGTCGTGTGGAGAGCACGCAGAGCATGATCCGTATCGTTGGTCTGTCAGCGACGCTGCCCAACTACGTCGACGTCGCGTCCTTCCTGCGTGTGTACGTTCCTAGTGGAGACGCGCGCATGCAAAACGCAGCTACGAATGGCGGTAAGGGCGGATTGTTCTTCTTCGACTCGACGTACCGACCTGTGCCCCTCGATCAAACGTTCATTGGAGTGAGCACGAACGCAAACTTGAAGGAGGCGCTTGGCTTAAGTGCCGCTGCGCTCTCTACGGTCACAATGAGTGAGGAGGATCTTCAGAAGGAGAAGAAAGCAGCGGGCGCTACCATGAGTAAACAACGCCAGATTCAGCTGATGATGAACAAACTCACTCTGGCGCACTGTCTGAAGCAGGTCCAGCACAACGAGCAAGTGATGGTGTTCGTTCACTCGCGGAAAGAGACGGCAGCTACCATGCACAGCATCGTGGAGCTCGCGCGTGGCAACGAGGAGGAACCGGGCACGCTGGAGGCGTTTTTGCCGCCGCCAGACCTGCAGATGCCCATCAACCTACAAGAGCGTGTTCAGAAGAGCCGCAACAAGGAATTGAAGGAGCTGTTGGGGTACGGCATGGGTATCCACCACGCCGGTATGCTGCGCAGTGACCGAAATCTGACGGAGCAGCTCTTTGAGATGGGCTACATCCGCGTGCTCTGCTGTACTGCAACGCTGGCCTGGGGTGTGAACTTGCCTGCGCACTCTGTTATCATCAAGGGTACTCAAGTGTACAACGCCGACAAGGGTGGCATGACTCAGTTGAGCATGCTCGACGTAATGCAGATCTTTGGTCGTGCCGGTCGTCCGCAGTACGACACAAGCGGTGATGCTGTACTCGTGACGACTCAAGACCAACTCCCGCACTACTTGCGGCTGCTTACGACGGGCATCCCAATGGAGTCGGCGCTGATCAAGGCGTTGCCTGACCACTTGAATGCCGAGATTGTGTCCGGCACCGTGACCAACCTGGAGGAAGCGTGCACGTGGCTCAGCTACACGTACTTGTACGTGCGCATGCGGAAAAACCCGCTAGCCTACGGCATGAAGCTGGACGATGTGAACGAGGACCCGATGCTGATCGCTCGACGTAGACAGCTGCTGATGGATGCTGCTGAGAAGCTGGCAGCGTGTCGGATGATCAAGATTTTGCGTGAGAAGGTTCAGTTGGGGTCCGATCAAGAAGGCAAGATCGCGTTCGCCGTCACGTCGATGGGGCGTGTGGCGAGCCATTTCTACATCCAGCACACTTCGATTGAGACTTTCAACGATCTGCTGGATAGTAAGGCAGGTCAGAAGGAAGGCGACGAAGATGACCTCGACTGGGAGAAGGTACTGTTGGTGCTCTGCAGCAGCAATGAGTTTGAGCAGCTCAAGTCCCGTGAAGAGGAAATGCCCGAGCTGGAGAAACTCAAGCGAAGGTTCTGCCGCTACGACATCCTTGGCGGCGGTATGGACACCTACACGGGTAAGACGAACATCCTTCTGCAAAGTTTGATCGGCCGCGCCCGCGTGTCCACGTTCACGCTCATTTCCGACACAAATTACGTCGCCCAGAACGGCTCTCGTGTCTGCCGCGCGCTGTTTGAGATCTGCTTGAAGAAGAATAGCGCGCGCAAGGCCGAGAAGTTCCTGCAGCTTGCTAAGTGTATCGATCAAAAGATGTGGTGGGACCAGAACGCCATGCTGCAGCTTCCGAATATCCCTCTTGACATCATTGGAGAGGTCGATCGTCGCCAGAACATGATCCTGTACGACGCAGTTGCGGACCCCGACGCCTTTAATCTGAGTGCCAAGGTGAAAAAGTGGGTCCAGAGCGTACCGTTCATCGACATCGACAACGTGCAGACGCAACCGTTCGGAGGCAACATGATCAAGCTGACGTTTGATCTCTACCCGCTGTTTCCCGAGTGGAAAGAAGGCGTCTTCCAGGGTAAGACGCTCGCGTCGTGGCTATGGGTCGAGGATGGCATCACGGGCTACATCTACCACTCGGAGTACTTCGTTCTCCACCAGAGCAGGTTTATGGGGTGGAAGGCAAGAACGCAGACGCTCGAGGTGGAGTGCTATCTCCCGGTGTTTGTTTCACAGACGCAAAAGGATGCCAACTACGTGATCCGTATTCTGTCTGATCGTTTCGTTGGAATCGAGTCCTTCTACGAGGTGAGCTACACGCCGAGTGAAAGCTCTGCGGCTGAAGCCAAGAAGCAGAAGGACGAGATGTACACGAAGCTGCTTCGACTTCACCCGCAGCCTCTGCAGTCTCTGGACGATCCAGTTTACCAGGCGCTGTACGTGGGCAAGTTCCAGTACTTCAACCCGATCCAGACCCAAGCGTTCCATCAGCTTTACCACCAGAATGGGAACGTGCTGCTTTGCGCGCCGACGGGCAGTGGAAAGACTGTGTGCGCCGAGCTGGCGATGCTGCGGGTGTGGAAGCAGCAGAAGCTAAGCGAAGACGGTCAGGCTGAGGCTGACGGAACTTCCGGCACGACTGCAGTGCAGCCACGTCGCGGTCGACGCACCTCCCAGTCGCTGATTGTGTACATCGCACCAATGAAGGCTCTCGCTCGCGAGAAAGTGGTGGAGTGGAAGGCGCGGTTTGAGAACAACGCGCACCTGCGCAAGAAGGTGGTCGAAGTGACGGGTGATACGCTCGTAAATGTCGAGTTCATCCTGAACAAGGCTGACATCGTGGTCACGACTCCAGAGAAGTGGGATTTATTGACGCGAAGCAGCTCGGTTGGTCGCGCTCTGATGTCTCAAATGGCGCTTGTGATCGTGGACGAGGTTCACTTGGTTGGGGAGGCGCCGCGCGGTGCCGTGCTGGAAGTCCTAATCAGCCGGTTGAGACGATTCAAGCGCTCAGGCCCACCCATCCGCGTAATTGGTCTGTCGACAGCTCTTGCAAACGCTGGTGATGTGGGCCAGTGGTTGGGTGGAATCACTTCGAGCCACGCCAACAACCCCGACGGAGGCCAAGTATACAACTTCCGCGCGTCCGTGCGCCCTGTGCCTATGGACGTGCACATTCAGGGCTTCCCGGAGCGGCATTACGTGGCTCGCATGGCTGCTATGAACAAGCCCACGTTCATGGCTATCAAGTCGCACTCGCCAGACAAACCGGTGCTCATTTTCGTGTCGTCCAAGGCTCAGACAAAGCTCACAGCGCTGGACCTGATCCAGTTCTGTGTTGCGTCCGACGAGAGCGGGGATGGAAGTAAGTGCTTCCTGAAGATGGATGAAGCCGTCATGGACTCGATCTGTCAGTCGAATCAGATCGTGGACGAAACGCTGAAACACACGCTTTCGTTCGGTATTGGTCTTCACCACGCTGGACTGGCGCGGAGAGACCGCGAGCTGGTGGAGAAGCTGTACAAGGATCGTCTTATCCAGGTTGTCATCTCAACTTCGACGCTGGCGTGGGGCGTGAATCTTCCTGCCCATCTTGTGGTGATCAAGGGCACCGAGTACTTCCAAAACGGGCGGTACCGCTCGTACCCGTTGAGCGACTTGTTGCAGATGATTGGGCGTGCTGGTCGCCCGCTGCTGGATGACAAGGGCGTTGCGTGTGTTCTCGTCGAAGAGAGCAAGAAGAACATGACGCAGCGCTTCCTGTACGAGCCTCTAGCAGTTGAGTCGTGCCTTGGTGGGAACGCCGCACCGCACATTTTGGCCAACCACTTGAACGCTGAGATTGCAGCCGGGCTCATTCACTCTACTAAGGACGTCATGGACTACCTGAGTTGGAGCTTGCTCTTCCAGCGAGTGCTCAAGAACCCAAGCTTCTATGGAGTCGGCACTGACAGTGTGTTAGCAGACTCCCCTCATGAAAAGCCCGGGAAGCAGAGCAAGCAGGGGAAGCAGCAGAAGAAGCCCAGTAAACAAGACGAGCTAGAGACGTTCTTCCAGCAGCTGATCTCCACGACAACGCACCAGCTAGAGACCAGCCAATGCATCACCACGTCTCAAGCGGGCGGCGTGCCGTCCTTCGAGCCGACGTTTGCTGGAAAGCTGGCTGCATCGCTCTACGTGGATGTACGCACGGTATCCAACATGCTTTCAGCGCTTGAGGTCGTAGCTAACGGGAAGAAGGAAGCGGATGCTCAGGCCTACACGCTGCAGCTGCTTTGTGTGATCTGCGAGTCGAGTATGGAGCTCCGGGACATCCCGCTGCGCCACAACGAGGTCATGAGCAACCTCGTTACGGATCTGTGCGCAAAGGTGAAGTACTCACCAATCAAACACTTGTTCGCCAGCTCGCCCAAGCGCCAGAAGGCACTGCTGGAGACCCACGGCAGCGAGGTGAAGGCACTGCTTGTGCTGCAAATGCACTTGATGGGCATCCGTCTGCCGTCGAGCGACTTTGTGAACGATCTGCGGACGCTGCTCGACCACTTGCCGCGTCTGCTGAGCGCTGCGATCGATCTGTGTGCGTACCTGAAGCTAACGGATCTGGTTTTCGCTGGTATCCGTCTGTCCCAAGCTGTTGTCCAGGGTCGGTGGCCTGATGACGATGACGATGTGCTGGCTCAGTTGCCGCATGCATCGCAATCGGTTTTGAAATTGTTGCGTGGCCAGTTTAAGGTGGAGAGTATTGCTGATTTACAAGCAGCTTTGGGGGTGAAGAGCAAGAAGACGCAGATCATCGAGCGTCTGCAGAGCCAGCAGACACAGCAGCAGCGTGGTCGTCCCAGCGGTCTGACAAAGCACAAGATCAACGAAATGATTCGAGTGGCCGAAGGAATCCCGCAGCTCCGAGTGAATGTTCAGGTGAAGAGGAAACAAGAGCAGCAAGTGGTCGAGGTGGAGTTGACTGGGTTGAACAACGAAGGCGGAAGGAACTTGGCCTTCACTTCGCGTCTCCAGAAGCCGAAGATCTACGGCTTCTACGTGATCTTGACGTCCAAGAAGGAGGGCGCTGGAGAGGAGCTCGTCCATCTGAAACACGTTGCGTGGAAGCACAAGGTTCACGTGTCGCTTTCGTTGCCAACAGAGGGGGCTAGTTACGAAGTGCACGTGCTCTCCGACGCAATTGCTGGCATCGACAGCTCACACGCTGTTCAGGCGTGAAGGATGACCAGAGTGCAAGGAATACACAGGTACGGAGGCACGGAAAGGTAAATGCAAACACGAATCGTTGCAACTATGGAGTTATCTACTTCTGCTGTGTAGCGCTGGGCTCTGTTCATTTGACCTTGGTCATGGGGCCCGTATGCGCGTTGTAGATGGGCTGAGCTGTTGCCGGGGCTGGGGCGGCTACGCTGTCGCGCGTGTTGGAGAGACTGCGCTGATAGACGTTGAAGGCGTTGTGCTTTGCAGGCCCCTCGATGAAGGCGACCAGCTCGTCGCTCATATAGTACTGCTCGGAGGTCTTGTTGACGGAGCAGTCTTCGCAGAAGCAGAGCAGGATGGTGTCGATGCCAGTGCCGTACACGTCCAGGAAGAATGAGGCCGTCGCGTAGCTCAGCACGCCGGTGAGCAGCATGGGGAAGATAGGGCTGCTCACGCTGGCGAGGTCGCCCATGAAGAAGCTGGGCAGGTGCGTGGGCGGATACCGGATGAAGACGAACATGAAGAGCATGCAGAAGCCCGTGATGAAGATCTTGCCGAGGATCATGAGGAAGCGCGCGATGATGCTGACGGTGGCGACGCGCGCGGCGTTGGCCAGCAGCAGTGAGAACGAGTCCTTCATGGACGGGCAGAAGCTCCGGCCTTTCATGGCCATGACGATGAAGGCGTTCTTGTTGAGGAACTTGAGGCACTTCTCGAAGCACCAGAGGAAGCACTTGAAGCACATCATGGCCACCTTAACGACAGCGTTGCCCTGCTTGGCCGCGCGCATCTTCTGGTCGACGTACTCGAGTGCAATACGCAGGAACTGAACGATGGCGATGATGAGGCTGCCGAAGGCCACGGATCCGAAGTGATAGCGGATCGTTCGCCACACCGAGCGCAGCACGGGTCGGGCAGGCACCTGACGCTTGTCCAGCGTCCAGTAGTACTCGCAGAAGGCACCGGCGATGGTGGCGTACGCTGCGGCCTGGATGAATTGACTCGTCCAGAGCAACCCGAAGAGGTGGTAGATCATCAGGTAGTGCATGGTGTCGTCCTCCTTCATTTGCACGGGCACTACTGGCCCAACGTTCGCCCCCGTGGCCCCGGACGCTGTGCTGGCCACGTCATTGAGCGAAACCTTGCCGGACGTCGCGATGTACGCGGCCGCCACTAACCAGTAGACCACCAGCCCGACTGCGAAGAACGTCGGCACGATCGGGTACAGCGTCAGCATGGGCATGGACTGCAGCGCCTTGGAAGCCTCCCGGATGATGCCGATGGCGATGCGGATGCGGCCACACATGAAGATCAACAACAGGAGCAGCAGTACGTCGATCGCAGTGAGGACGTAGCAGGCGATGGCCCAGTAGTGAGCCTGGTCCTCTGCTGCAGTGATGCCTGCAGATGTGATGTACGTCGTGGTTGCGGTCATGACAGCTTGTGCGTTCTCGGACGACACGCCCATGCCCGTCAAACTACTCTGCATGCTCGTGCTGTCGATCAAGTTGCCTTCGTACGCGCAGAATACGGTGACGACGATCTGCATGATGACCACGAGCACGATCACGAGCCACACGAAGAGCCCGGCGCAGTAGCGCAGCAGCACGAGCCAGATCATGCCCAGAACCAGCGCAAACAGCCCGCCGCAGATCAAGATGGGGAACGCAGCCTTCTGCAGGTCGCCCAGCCAGCGCGCTACCATGTACCATTTGCGACTGAGCATCTTGGTCACGGGGTCTTCGGTGGTGGAGCCGATCTGTCGCTCCTGCCGCGTCGACTCCAAGCTCGTGCAGTTCGGTCGCAGATCCGTGACCATTTCAGCGCAAGTCTTGTCGCCGCAGTCTCGGAACGGGTTCTTCGTCTCGTCGGTACCGCAGGTCAAGGGCGTGCCGACCTGGTAGTTCTTCAGCTCGTCGTCCGTGCAGTCGTCGATGCAACGGGCGCTCTCGGTGACCTCGATCTTGGTGAGCTCCACGCAGCGATACAGCACGTTGCTGGAGTTGGTGATGAGCTTCCAGGGCGACCCAGCCTTGTCGTACTCCATGGTGGAGCCGGCGCTTGTGTCGTCCTCGTTCACGGGCTCCTTGTGCATCTCGTAGTCGAGGTACGCGTGCACGTATAGATCGTTGGTCGATTCGGTGAGCAGCGGGCAGGACGAGACGCACACGCCGAACAGCTTCCGAAGCGTTGACGGACTCGCGAGCTGCTTGGTGCTGAGACCCGAGGCAGCCAGGGCCATGAGGTCTTCCGACAGCCGCGGGTAGATCATGTACTTGTAGTCAGTGAAGTCGTAGGCCGGCACGTTGTCGGTCTTCTCCGCTTTGGCGCCGCACGTCCGCCCCATCCAGTCCGTGCCGTAGATGAGTCGCTGCGGCTTGCCGTGCTGGTACCCGACGCCGGCGATGATGATCATGCCGATCCAGAAGACGACGAAGAAGAGCAGGCACAGAACGTCCGTGCATTTGCGGTTGTTGGGTCTGAACGGGTTCGTGCTGGCCAACTCGCTGGTGGTGCGAGTGGTTTTACGTGTCGGGTCTTCTTGAACGTCGTCACCTCCATCGTCTTTGCGCTTGCTGCCGCGGTTCCCCATGGTCAAGGCACTGCTTAACCCCAAGGGTGAGGTGGGTAGGAACTACTGGTACCGTCGACTCGGTGACTTGTCTGGTTTGATGGAAACACGACAATGCTATGCTTGGTGTCACGCCGCAACATACTGCGCACTCCCATTGCAGAGCGCACCAGCCCATTAAAACCACCGTCAGACGCTGGACAAGGAAGACATCATCGCATGCACTCGATCGTTACGAAACTTCACATCAATCAAAATGGCTCAAGTTGAAGCGGTAACTAACCGAGTGCCGCCGCTACGCGGCGGTAATTCTTAGTTAGTTGGCGCTTCGCTCGCAATGCTCGCTGCGCTATTAGAGCAGACTGCCTACGCTTCGCTACGGCAGTGGCGGACCCGTTCCGCTCGCCTCGTCGGCTCGCTGCACTACTCGCCGTGTTATTAGTACATAGTTGTAGGGCGGGCCCTGCGGCCCGCTATAATGCGCGCGGGTGCCTTCGGCGTCCAAGGCTGTCTATGTACGATTATGTGGACCACCTTATTATGTTGTCACGGGCTTCACACGGACGGACACACTGGACGGTCTCTCTTGTAGATGGTTAGGACTAGCCGAGCGCCGCCGCTACGCGGCGGTAGTTATGTGGTTAGCTGCAGTAGATAGGGCTAATTAGTCGGGCGTGTTTGTGTAAAGCTCATTAAGAATCCAAAATGAAATGCAAAGAACACTATGTAGAGTGACTTTTTCCACCGTGACTACGCCGTCTCAAAAATCTGCCTGTACACGATATTCGCTGTGTACGCTCCGTCATCTTCTTCTAACTCGGAGTATTCAATCAATGCCTTGATCTTGGAGCGCGCAGTAACCCGGGAGAGCGCGACATACAGCTGGCCGTGTGAGAAGCAGGGAGACGCCAGGTACAATCCGAGGTTAAACACCATTTGTCCTTGGGCCTTGTTGATCGTCATTGCGAATGCAGGCTGTACCGGGAACTGCTTGCGCCTCAAGCGAAACGGGAAGTCTCGAGCGCTGTCATCACTTATGAATACAATCCTGGGAATCAACACGTCTTTTCCGCGACGCTCCCCCGTCATGATCGTGGCGTGGATGACATGAGGTTTTAGCGCCACCACTCGTAGTCGCGTGCCGTTGCAAAGGCCAAAGTCCGGGTTCAAGTTTCGCATGAGCATGATTGGTGCTCCCACCTTAAGCGTCAGTCGGTGTGGCGGGATACCGTTGATGTTGACAGAATTCAGGACTTCTTGGTCGAAAAAGTTGTTGTCTTGGTCGTCTTGTACCGAATCAATGGAGAGATAATCTTGGGCATCACCTTCCAGGCGCGCAGACACCGCATCGTTAATACGTTGAACCATAGCATTCGTCGTCGTCAAGATAGTACGGCTCGCGAAGTAGTCATCAGTTGCGATGTCCGGGTTATTGATATCAGCGTACATGGCGTCAACCATCCGAGTAAGCCCGATTGGGATAGCGCCTGGCACGATCTCAGCGTCCACGTCGGGTACTTCAGGCGGGTTCTCGACCAACATGTCGCGCGGTATCTTGATATAGTCGCTTCCAAGAGCAGGGTTCACCTCGTGTCTGCCTCCGCCAACTTGTAATAGGAATTCCGAAAAGGCTGCCAGTTCAGCCGCTGTACTTGCGCTGTGGGCCGATCGCACTCGCATATTCTCGGTGTTCGAAGTGCTGCCACAGACATGACGACTTCAGACAGGCTTCAATCGTTTCTGCGGGCGTGCCTCTTGCAACGGCGGGAAGCATTTGCCGAAAATCGCCTGACATACGAACGTTTTGCCTCCGAACGGTTCTTGCTCATTGTCCATGACGTCGCGTAGACTCTGGTCGACAGCTTCGAAGGCGTGGCGGTGTGTCATTGGCGCCTCGTCCCAAATGATCAGACTGGCCTCTTGAATTAACCTCCGGAGCTTGGACTGCTTGTAAATCGAGCAAGTCTAGTATTCATTCAACTTGAGAGGAATCTTGAACGTAGAGTGCGCGGTACGCCCACCCATCAGCAGTAAAGCAGCAATTCCGCTAGACGCCACCGCAATCGCGATTTTCCCAGAAAGACGGACACTCGCGAGGATATGCTTCAGCAGTGTCGATTTTCCGGTACGACCTGGTCCGTCGATGAAGAATAGCTTCTTTCCAACTTGGGGACATTCCACTGCGTCCATAACCCTCTCGTAGATAGCACGCTGCCCTTCGTTTAGTTCGCTGGTACGGTCATGAACACTTTGTAACATGTCGTGGTCATAGCCCTTTAGTTCCCGACGGATAAGGTTGTTTTCCAGCAGAGATTCCAGCACCAAAGCACGATGCTCGCTCAACTGCGGGAGGTCGAAGTCATGTACGGCATATCCGCTTATTTGCAGGTTCTTGTTAAGCCGCTTGAGCGTGTGGAATTGGATGGTATCCACCTTGGTTTGGCCTTCAAGATCCTTGTGCTTTTGCGCGATGTCACGCCAAAGCTCCTCGTAGAATTGATTCCACAATGCCCGAACGTCTGCTACCTGTGAATAAACTAAAATCGTTGCGAACAGCTGGCGCAGTTGCTTCGGCATCTTAAACGGAAGGCCCCGCTCCTGAAACTCCACTACGTAAATTCGTGCCTTTAGACGTCCGATAATACCTTCATCCAAATCCGCCAAGATGGCCTTGAGCTTCTGTTGCCAGACCCGAGCAACAATATCCGGGCGATCTTGTGCGGTTTGGCCCTCGGGGGGCTTCTCTACGATTTCGTCCCACTTGGGATTGCACGTCTTGGTAAGGAACACGTCAGGCTTCCCGTACTCACGAACAATAGCCATCGAGTCTTGGTACGCCTTGTACATGTAGCGCGGGCCACCGACGTGCGAATCTGGAAGGATAACCCGTTTACCGATTTGGCCCAGAAAGTGTTCATCTTGTTCGTTGCGGCTCCGGTCTGGGTGTACCACTCGCCGATATCCCGATTGAATTCAGACACAATAGCTTCTCCTTCACCTAGCGCCACAGTCGTCTCATTGAGCAACGCGTCTTGAACTCCGTGATACTGGTCCGCACGGATCGCCTTCTGATGCGTAGCCACCCATCGCAACTGTTCCTGTTCACACTTAGCTCGCTGGTCAACCACTCATTGCTGGAACAACCGCCCACCTTGGAAAAGAGCCGATTCATCGCAATCCTTCTGGAACAACCGAAAAGCTGTGTGTTCGCGCAAAGCCATCTTCCGTTTCATCCGGTATAGGGCTCCGTCTGCGTACAGGTTCGAATACGTCCATCCTAGGTCCCCGTAGGGAAACAGCAGAGGATACTGAAGAGGATCGTACTTCTCGTCAGTCTCAAATAGACGCAACAGTTGATGGTCCCGCGCGTAGAGAAGCAAGTCACGTGGCTTGGGAACGCTACCATCCGTGACAACAACGGCGCCGACTTCGGAAACAGTGGGCAAGTTGTGCGTTCCCGGTTGGGATGGCTTCGCGTGGAGCTTGTACTCAATGTCCATGAAGGGTATACCCTTTGCCAAATCCGCTCGCAGCTTCTCCCCGAAGTTTAGGAATTGCTGTGCAAACGGATTACACCGCTTCATGATATCCTCGATGTCCTTCAAAGCCACGTTGTCCAGATCAGCATAAATGCTGTTGCTTCGCTTGACACGCTCTTGCATAACCGGAGCCACGATGTAGATCTGTGCGGACTTGGGCTCAGTTCTCTCGCCTGTAGCGCGGTCCGTGTGGTGTAGTACCCCGCGGAAGAAGTGGGCGCGCCTGGTGCCGGAGGAAGAAGGCGCCGGGACGCGAGTGATGGACTTCGATGCGGCTGATGGAACGCGACGCGGATTGATGGGCGCGACGCAGGGCCGAGCTCGACGGGAAAGTCGGCGTGGGTGATGGGCCGTGAGACACGGTGCCAGAATCCAGTGCGACGCGTAATCATCCGACGGGTCGACCAGCGCACCCGGTTCTGCAAAACGCGCCGACCCTAAACCCCGCCGAGCAAAACGCGCCGAGCAAGACGCGCCGAGCAAAACGCGCCGACCCTAACCCCCGCCGACCAAAACGCGCCGAGGTAAGATCTTGATTGCGCCACGCAAATCAGGTTGAAGGACGGCAGTGCAAGCACGACAGAAGTAGGTATAGGCCCAGAGCGGTAGGCTTAGCAAGCAGTAGTACAGAGTAGCCAGTAGCAAGGACATAGGATAGGGTAAGGACTCAGTCCCGAAATTTCTCTGAACCACAAAGACCTCCTGTCTTCTCCGAGGTTCTAGGGGAACCACCAAGCGCCGGCAAGTAGAGCCGCCTCGATATCGCGGCCCCCCCGTCGTTTGCTGGTTCGGGTGCTCACCCCCCACAGACCCGTGCTGGAACAAAGGCACGTTAAACGTATACCGTTTAGATGGGCGCCCGATAACGCGCTGTCTAGGCGAAGGTCCGCACTGGCCTGATAACCGCCGTGCACAAGACCCCCCGTGTAGGCCCGATAACGCCACACAAGCCCCAGGAAACGCCGGCCCGATAACGCCGCACGCCCAAGGCTCGACGCCCTACGACAAGGAACAAGCGTCAACACAAGAACCCCCCCCCCCCAACTCCGAAGCCTGCGAAGACTTGGGCCTGTATTTCGAAGATACGCTACTCCAACAACCGGGAATAATTCGCTCGGCGCGACCGCTATCCAGACGCGCCGAGTTTGTGCGAGATCGCATTCGCGAGATTTCTGCGAGGGCGCTACTCCACATCCGCGTAAGGCAGCATGGATCCCAGGTAATGACCGATTGCGCCTTGGATACGATACGTGTACACGCCACCTTGCCCTGCGGCCTCCTCGTCGTGGGCAACTTCTCGAAATCGTCTATCGCTGGATGAAGCACCGATGGACGTAAAGGCAAACGCCTGATTGTACACCCGTACATTGCGGCGGAACTTGTCGTCCCGGTACCACTCCAAGAGGCGCGGAGGTGCTGCACGAAGCGGAGGTAGTCTCACCCTGCCCCGCATGCAGCAAATGAATTCGGACTCGTCCGGCCATTTCCAAGCGTGACACAACCGGCCCATCGTCGTGGGAGGTAATTTGTGGCGCCCGTTGACGATGTGTTGTCCTCTAACGTTGGCGATCCTGAAATCTTCATGGTTGGCGTGAGCTCGGCGATGCTGAACTGCTCTGCGTCTAGTGCGGTTCTGCTCACACAGCGCCTCGAGTTCTGCTACTGTCAGAGCTTCGCGTCGGGAGCATACTGATCCCGGTCGGTAGCTTGCGACACCGCTCGCTCCTCATCCGTCTGCGAGGCACGTATAGCTGCCATACACTCGCGGTTAAACTCTCGATCTTCCTGCCGCTCTTCTACGGTTTGTTCACTGTGTCGGGCTTGGTGCTGACGACGATTACGTTCCAACTTAATCGATCGATGAGAAGGAGCCTGGCGCACACGCAGTTTTTGCTTTCGGATACGGTCAGCCTCCCTCGCTGCAGCTCGCTGAGAATCCGTCTTATTAGCCCTTGAAGCGCGCGCGCGTTCTCGGATTTTAGCTTTTGTACGCTCCTTCTGCGGTGTAGTCATGTTAGCTCTACGAACCCTTTGACGTTCGGCCTTTCGGGCTCGATAGGCCGCCGCTCTGTCAGCAGAGGAGGGGGTCGACACTGCTGCCTGTGCAGCCTCTGCCTCGGCAACGCGAAGCCCTGCTGCGTATGCAGCCGCAAAACGACGCTGGTGCTCCAGCGGGTCATCCTCCTCCGTCTTGCCTTCCTGCTCCACTGTAGGTTGCTCAACAACCACGGTGCCCGGAGGCATAGGCTCGGGATCACTACTGCCGTCCCCCGCAATGCTGAGAGCTGCAAGTTCTTTCTCCAATCCGCGCTTTACCCGGGACTTCCGTTGCTTACGCTTTCTCCGTTCATCTGGCTCCTCTGTATCATCGGGTGTCTTGTTCACACTTGCATTATGCTCCATGGCTGCTTTGATTTCAGATCGCGTGCGCTGGCGTTTGGGCCGGCGGGCCATGGCTTACTCACTGCGAACACGAAACAGAGTAACGTGACGCGTTAGACATAAAGTCTAAGTACACTGCACATAGCAGTAGTCTTCCATGCAGCTTGGTTTGGTTGGACACCTGCGTACTGCCCGGGGGGTGCGGCTCCCATCGAAGTTTACTATCTCATGGAACGAAGTAACCGACACGAAACACCGAAGTGAATTCGCTCGCAAACGTGCAGTCGGCAAGTCAGGGTTGAGCGCCCCGGCAGTACTGAGGGTCTTCGTGCGATATCCTTTTGCGCATTCATGAGAATGGCTTGGTCGCATGGGCCAAAGGACCCACTACGGCCAGCTCAACCGGTTCGCGTTCGGGTTTGTTGTCAATAGACCGGTGCCAATATAAATTACCAAAATGTGTTAGATTTTGATAATTTACGTTATGCTACTCACCAGAGTGGGCGGTGGGCTTAAACTCTCTGTAAAGGTCCGAATTGTGTAGGACTATAAAAAGTCCTACCCAAATCAGACCAATATTTTCTAAAAACCTCTAAGCACGGCTTCCGCCTAGCGAGGCAACCCCCGCTAGGATGATACATCCCTCTTAGCAGCCCCAGGAACCTCGGACTATCTGTGCGTGGTGGTGGTGGTGGCTTGTGTGGCTAACTAACATGCATACACGCAGCATACCTCGTCGGCGTCGTGGTGCGCCGCGCGTCCCAAATTCAAACTGGGGGCAAAAATGCATTCAGCCTCTAGTGTGGTGCACATTAATAATTCTATAAAAAATATGAAAACATTTATTGTAAAAGAAAAATGTTTTTGTTGCACCTTTTTACTCTTCTTGCGATGCTTCTTCTTGCGACGCCTGCGCGGCCCGTCAGGGATTACTGGAGGGTCCGGCTGGGGCGCTGGACCCATTGTGGTAGCCACCAGTGCCGTACGCTGCTCACGCGGGTCTAGCGCAGGCTTAGGCGCTGGGGCGGTGGCGGGGTGCCAGCGGGAGCACGCGCGGGGGCCATTGGCGCACGCAACGCAACGCTGCGAACACGCCCTGGCCTTAGGATTAACAAATGCATCCCAGGCGAGTAGCGTCTCGCACTTCTGAAGCGGCAGTGCGATGCCGTGCACCGTGAGAGGCGGCGGTACCACCCGCGCCGCGCATGGCGAGCAAGTAAAGGGCTCCATGAGAAATAATATCCCTCCACTCACTAAATACACTTTCAGCCAATCAGGGCCGCCTTCGCTGCGCTCGGCAGCCTAGGTACGATTATGTGGACCACCTTATTATTTGTCACGGGCTTCACACGGACGGACACACTGGACGGTCTCTCTAGTACTTCTCTGGCCCACATAAGAAACAACACTTCAGTTTTCTGGACATAACGTTTTACAAAAAAATCGTTTGGTGACTCGCAATACCTCAACCGAAAGCTGCGCATTTGCTCCGTTTCACGCTATGATTCAAAAAAATCTAGCAGCAGAAAGAAAAGAGAAACAGCCTATTATCTGAAGTCAGTTTTAGGCAACATTAGGTTTTTTAGCGAGGTGCCGTCAAAAATTAGCGATATTAGAAAATAAAATATCACCGTAATCGCGAGTGACTGCTTTACCCTTATGTTTGGTTGTCGATGTTGTAGCGCCTGTTGGAGACGAGCTAGAAGGACTACAGTTTTGAGGTTTTTCTACTCGACATGCGCAGACCCATTTATTTTGGCCAATAGTAAGATGAAACAGTTGATTATACCCAATCATATGTGACATGTGGTTCACATCAAATTGAGGTTTAATGCCGAATGTTGTTTCTTAAGTGGGCCAGAGAAGTAGATGGTTAGGATTCGACCCTTAAAAGGGTGTTTTAATTCTCTACCCCTCATATAAATCGGAGAAGAGATAAAAATGGCCGAGCGCAAGGAGCTGTACCACGAGCGCCAGCAGCTCTACCGCTGCGGGCTGCACGCGCTCAACAACGTGCTCCAAGGTGACGTGCATTGCGATGCACACTTGGGTATTAAAAACGTGCTGTCTCAGCTAAAACATCGCGGCATTTAGGCCCCGTGTTCACTAAATCCACGCTGGACGAGGCGTGTGAGGAGCTGGCGACCAGAGCGGACCCGGACGCCGGCAATGGGCTCATGAACTGGGCCTGGAACCCGCACAGATCCCCATTGGGACTGGGCAATTACGACGTCAATGCGCTGACACTTGCCCTGCAGCAAAAAGGTGGAATGCTAAAACTTAGGCAAAAAGGTTTTAGTGGAGACCGCGGTCTGAACACTTCAGTATTGTTTTCAGGATATGTGATGCAGTGGCTGGACAAGCGCGTTCCTGTGGACGACAAGCTGGTGAAGCTGGACGAGGCCGAGGGGGTGCTGTGCAATGTGGTCATGACCACGATGCTCAGCAGTTTGTGGCTGCAGAGACACTGGTTCGCGATTCGGAAAGTTGGCGGCGTGTGCTACAACTTGGACTCGAAGCTGCCAGCCCCAGCGGTGCGTTGTGTTCGATCACTATGAGACCGTTCTCAATATTTGTTTTTTCAGAGCTTTTGTGTTGTGTTGCAGCCGTTTGAGAGTGAGAGCGAGTGCTACAAGTTCCTGCAGGAGCTGGTGAACACTGGCGAGTGCGAGCTGTTCCTGATCACGAAAGAAGACACGGGAAAAGCACCGCAGACTGAGTGAACGTGGTGTGAGGATCGGGGCCATTATGGTCAAGAAAAGACAAGCTGACACCGTTATCGAGCGATCAAAGTGTTTGTTTTTGGTTTTGGTTTCGCCCAACTTCTCGAATTTTGGTGGTTTCTTGTGCGTGTGCGACTACACAGTAAGTGGAGGAATGAGCCACCTGATGAGCTGGTTCAAGACGCCCGGGTCCGTCATCTCTTGGCGGTGGCGTAGCAGACCAGCGATGTCGTCCCAGTGGAAGTTGTCACCGTTGCGAAGCACGATGCCGTCCGGGTTTATCACCACCGTATGCGGGACGCTCTGCAGTCCGTAGGGTCCGGGCACTTCAGCGTCGGCTAAGCCAAAGTGCATCACGGTGGGTTTCTCACCGTCGCCGTAGAATCGGCGCACGCGGGGCTTCTTGACCCCCTTGATCTCGACGATCGTGTCCAGAAACGCAAGCGTGGCGCCAACGTTTTGGTCGAGGTTCACGAGCACGAAGTTGAGGAGTTTGTGGTGGTCGCCCTTGCTGAACAGCTCCATGAGCTCCACCTCCTGCACGCACGCCTTGCTCCACGTGGCGTAGAAGGTCAGGATCGTGTGCTTGCCCTCGTTGGCTGCGATCAGGTCCATCAACTGCTTCCGCTCCCCGGTCTCGAGATCCACCAGCGTCATATCCGCCGCCGGCTCGTTGAGCGCGCACGACATGGTAATGTAGCTACTCTCTTGGTATTTGCTAGGATCGAAGCTGGACTATGTCTGGAGAGACGCCTGCGACCCTCGAGTCGTTTCGCGGCGTCTAATTAGAAGATCGGGCCATGCTTGTCAAACATGACAACAACTTTTTGCTGTGGTATCTAAAGTTGCGATTCTTTCGCGTTGCTGTGTGGAGATCAAAGTGCAGCGTGGCTCTCCATTAGCCTTTCCTTTCGGTGGGTTACTGTCGCCCTGATGCGCGCTGCGGCAATGTGCAACAACCGAATTTGTCATTGCACCAACACAAAACTTCCAACAACTTCTAGGGCAGACTTGTCGGACGATCTATCTGGTGAACCTTAGTTGTCGGTTGCCGATTACTCCGCGTCCTTGGCGTTCGAAGCTCGTTATCCCAGCTTCTCAAACTTGAAAAAACTTGAAAAAACGCGCGACGCTTTTTGTGTGCGCTTGAACGTCCGAGTTGCCCTAGGCAGTGCCGACCGTGGCCAATCTTGGGTCGGCTCGTGCTCTCTTGCTGTTGCAGTTGAAGACCGCGGCACCAGTCAAACCAATCTTTTTCATGCCGATGTGCTATGTGTAAAATGATGTTGGCCCTTTACGTGAACCCTTTCTCTCTTTGTGTGTATCGCGTGAGTTGCGCCGGTGTTCAGCGGTTCTGAGTGCAACCCTGAAAGCTCTCATGAGCCTGACCAACGTGTTATCATCGTCTCTCAGCGTAGGTATCCTACAGCTTTCCAGGTCGCTGCATCCCGTCATACCCTTGGCGACCAAATACAGGTAAGCGTTTGGCCCTTCCTCTCGAAATTTCTGGCCTGGGTCAATCCATGCTAAGTGGCTTTTCCCCAAGCTCTTCCGCCTTCACATTGCAGATTACTGCTGGGCGAGAGCCCAAGCATGGAAGAGCTCACCGCGATCGACTGAGCGGCACTTCTAGCCGTCTCGGTGGGCGGATTAAAAGCCCCATCTGATCAATGAATGCCATGATCGTTTCGCTGCGCGCTGGAAGCGCACAGTACATGTAGAGGATTCATGTGCTCATACATGTAACATCTCAATGCAAATGTAAGATACAAAATCTACGCTCTTTGGTCGAATTGGTTGAGGTCCCGAATTTCAATGTAATGGTGGAAATCTTGTGCACAGTGTGTATTGTACCACCGAAAGCTTTCCTAGAGCAGTCGTGTCGTTGTGCAGCAGCAGCAGCAGCGGAGGACGAAGTCGTTTCCACCATGATCACGAGATGGAAGCAGGAATGTTAGTCATACAGCAGTGCGCGCCTTCAACGATAAGTGCTGTCATGCCATGCAAGGCTGTCAACGCTGTTGAAGATCGCCGCCCGTCGGTCGATCCACTCCACCCGAGACCTTGGCACGACAGCAGACAGCTCCACCGAATCTTTGTCACTCACTCAGCGATTGTCTCGGCAGCGTCGGGCTCGCCAGTTGGGACTTCCAGCGTGGATGCGTCTGCTGTCACGGGCCTTCGCCTTCGGGCGGCAGCAGCTGGAGCTCAACAAGGCAACGACAGACTCGTCCATGCAGCTCTCCCCTCCACCATGACGCTCCCTGGCTGTAGGGTGGAGTCGGCAAGTGATCCCTTGGCACTGCTGTCACCTTCCAGTGGAAGGCACACAGCATGACAGGACTCACCTCGGACTTTGCCATGGAGCGCGTTTGGTTCAATGCTGCGGCCGCTTCAACCCGCAGTCGACGAGCCCGCGCCAAGTCGATCTGTTCCGCACCGGGTTGCGATGGTGCACCTTCACAGCATAGCCGCGGGTGCATTTCGCTTTGGCTTTGACTTTCAAGCGAGCAATTCCTCATTGCACGATCACCATCTGCGGCATTGGAACCCGAACCGTCCAAGTGGAAAGGCCACCAGCAGGAGCTCTTGAAAGTTCAGCTCGCGTTGAGAGAAGGGAGGACCATGATGGCCCGATTCGGAGCCCGCCCCGGAAGCCTCGAGGGCGCGCGCACACACACGTAGACAGTCCTCGCATATAGTCAGACCAAATCGACCCTCTCACGGTCTCCGCTCCGTTCCCCTTTCAGTGGCAATCGAGCGATCCCCCCATGCTACGCGCGCCATGGCTCGGGGCGCTCGCCCTGGCGACGAGCGGCGGGCTGTCGGTGCTCGCGGACTACTCGTCGGTGGAAATCTACTCGGACGCCAACTGCGACTCGGTGCCGCTGGTCGTGACGCTCGAGCTCACCAACGAGACGTGCACGCCCACGGACTCGTGCAGCGCCATCGAGATCAGCAACTCGTCCTACTACTACGCCGAGCGCTGCGCCACGGACCGCTTCGAGTACACGTCGCAGCTCTTCAGCGGGGCCAAGTACCTCATGATCGACGGCTTCCAGGAGCAGGACTGCCAGTCGTACGTGCGCTCCAACATCTTCCTGGCCGCGGGCACCTGCCAGCTCGCGTCCTACGTTGGCGCGCGCAGCGAGATCGCCACGCTCTTCAACGACGGCTCGGCCTACATGACCATCTACAACGACTCGGCGTGCGCCACCAAGGCGCAGACGTTCGACCTCAACGCGTCCGTCATTCAGGAGCACTCGTGCTACTTGGGCTACAACAAGTTCTACACGTCGGACCACACAGGAATCCTTTCGGGTAGCAACAGTAGCAGTGCGAGCGCCAGCGGCTCCAACTCGACGGCCACTGCCACCAGCTCCCACGACTCAAAGATGAGCGCGGGCGCGCTGTTCGGCATCGTCGTGGCATGTCTGGCCATCGTCATCCTCCCTGCGCTGCTGATCTACTGGAAGCTGCGTCGTAATAAGCGGAAGGAGAAGCGCGACAGTCGCGGACGCGCCCCCGACGTCGCGCTGGCGGTGAGTGACAAGCACTACAATGAGGAGCGATACGCGCCCGAGATGTCGCCCAGGAGCGACCAGCGGAGCACGCTCAGCTCTCACACAGGAGGGTCCACGCCCGCTCTGCGCAGTAACGAGCTGCGTTGTGACCCACTGCGCAGCGACGAGTTGCGAAGCGTGCCGTTCAATAGTGACAGGCACGACAAGCGCAGCAGGAAGCCTCGCAGCGAGGAGCTGCGTACTGGCGGCAGGTTGAGGAGCGAGAGGCTCCCCCGCGGTGACTCCATCGGGCGGAGCGGTCGACTCCACACGGACGAGCTGCGCACGACTCCAGTGCGAGGCAATAAGCTGCACCGCGAGGATTTGAGCAACAACACGATTCACAGCGACCCGGTGCGCAGCGATCGATTGAAGAACGAGCGTCTGCGTAAGGAGCGACAACGGAGAGATCGACCGCGCGGGGATGAACCGTGCAGTGTCCGTAGCGACCGACAGCGCGGCGACCGCATGCCTAGTGACCCCGTACGCAGCGATCGGATGCGCAGCATGGAGCTGCGTAGCAACCGCGCCCCTAGTGACCCGGTTCGGAGCGACCGGGCTAACGAACGACCACCAGTGCACGCAGAGAGACTGCGCGGCCCGGTCACGGCCGACAGCGTGTGCAAGGACAACGCCATTCTGTCGTCCCGCATCCCGCGCGACGACGTGTTTGTCGAAGACTTGATCGGTCGTGGAGGCTATGGAGAAGTGTACAAGGGCACGTATGAAGGACGAGCGGTGGCCGTCAAGATGCTGTTCCCGGAGACGCGCAAGAGCACGCGCCATGTGACCGAGTTCCTGACCGAAGTGAAGATGATGACGGTCATGGACCACCCGCGCGTGGTGGAATTCGTCGGCGTGTCCTGGAACAACCTTATGGATCTCTGTGTGGTCACCGAGTTCATGGCCGGAGGCGACCTGCGCGCGTGGCTCAGCGACTGCGCGGACAACAATTCCCCCGTGGGCTTCGACTACACCAAGGTCAAGATCGCGACCCACGTGGCGCACGCGCTCGCGTACCTGCACTCGCTGACCCCTTCGGTGATCCACCGCGACTTGAAGAGTAGGAACATTCTGCTCAGCGAGAGCCAAGACGCCAAGCTCGCCGACTTTGGCGCGTCTCGGGAGCGCGTGGACCGCACCATGACGGCAGGAGTCGGCACGTCGCTGTGGATCGCGCCCGAGGTCATGATGGGGGAGCGGTACGACGACAAGGCCGACATGTTCTCGTTCGGCATCGTGCTGTCCGAATTGGACTCGCAGCAGAACCCGTACGCGCACGCCAAGGAGAACAACCCGGCCGGACGCAAGATGCCCGAGACGGCCATTCTACAGTTGGTCGCCATGGGCAAACTGCGCGTAGAATTCTCCCCCGGAGCGCTCAAGGGCGTGGTGCAGATTGGCACGGCGTGTACGTCGATCGACCCGACGGAGCGGCCGTCCGCGGCCGAGGCGTTCCGGAAGCTCCAGACGATTCTGGCACAAGAGGCAAAGAGAGCCGTCAACGCGAAATGAACCTATAAGAAGAGGGACACACAGAGCCCCGCCACCGAAGAGTGTGCGGGGCGATAGATCCGCTTCCGCGTTATGAAGGCTCGCTCTTACGCAGCGTATGTATCTATGCTATGCTATGGCTATGGTATGGTATACAGCAAACAATACGTTCGTACGGTCTCGGTAGGCTGCTGCCGAGCTTGCCACTCCTCTCAGGGCTGGTGGCTTATCTACACCCATTGAATAAACCTGATGTAGTTGTACTCTCCTTGTCTTGTCTTGAGCTGTCACCGTATGAGCCGAAGTCTGCGACCCAGACGCTCCATTCTCTCCATGCACAAGATGCACGCCGCCATGCAGAGCAAGACGTAGGCGACGAGAATGCCGACAATGGCTCCAGTGTTGATACCCCCTTTGCTCTCGGACGGTGTGATTGAGACCGTAGCGTTCCTACCAGCCTCGGAGCCTTCGTCATGGTCACAGTTTGGGCTGCCGACCATGTCGTTACCGGTATCGCTTCCGTCGCTGGAGACGCTGCTGTCGGTGGCGATACTTACTCTGGTACTTGTTGAAGTGGAGCTGGAAGCGTCAAGACCGGGGTTTGTACTGGAGTAAAACACGCTGTAGTTCTTGAAGCGCGAGTGAGTCGACAGCACTGAGCTATTCGGCGCGAACCCCATAAACGGAGTGCCGGTGCACGAGCTGTCGTTGTAGATGGCAAGGCTTGCGGTTCCGTCGTCGTGCAGCGCCGCAACGACCCCGTAGTCGCTGGAATCGTCGTATAATAGGCACTCCGCCGAAGCCAAGTACGCTTTGGCGCCCAGGAACAGGTTGCAGTTGGTGGTGAAAGTCTCGATCAGCACATAGCTGGAACCAGCGAACGCGTCGGCCACGAACGTCTCTGGGTCCACGTCTCCGCAGGTCGTGGCCGAGGAGTAGACAACACTGTTGGTGATGAAGAAGACGCAGTCCAGCGCTTCACAGTCGGAGGATCCGACCACCGACACGACCAATGGAGTGCCGGAGCAGTTGCGACCTTCGTAGATAAGGGTGTTCGCCATGGAGTCCGCAGCAATCATCGAAGGCAAAGCAGCAATCAGAGCGATGTGCCGGGAGAAGAGGAACTGCATGCGGTCTGAGGAATCGGAGGTGAATGAGAAGTTCGATAATAGGACCCATCGTCAAGGGTGGACTGAGGCCGGCGATGGAGCATTATGTATCTTGTGAAGGGTGGAATCTTAACGGGGACTTGGAAGCGTCTGACTTCGATCCACTGTTTTCTGTGGTGCTGAGCTGCTGGAAGAAGCTGACGCGGGACGCAGGCCACGACGGTAGTGCACCCCTTCATGTTACCCTATGCTGAACAATTGGACTCGCGAACACACGAGTGGGAGGTGCCTGTAGTGGCCACGGTGTCCGAGANCACTACAGGCACCTCCCACGGTGCTTCGGCGAAATCACAACCAAGGTAAATTGGCAACAATCGTGTGTAGCTTCGATGAAAGCATGCGAGGACGGCGAGTACCAAGCAACATGAGCTTATTGGTACTACTTCATCCCTGTCCTGTCGATAAAACGTTTTAAGTTAAAAAACGAGGAGCCAGTACGATGGAGCGAGCTATCTGTCTGGAAAAGGTTGACCATGTTATCGGGTTATCGAACAACTCGCATTTGAATTCACTTTCATTTTATTTTAATCAGATGAAAGAAGAAGTTGCGGAACTTGCTCTACACGAGGTGAGGAGAGGGATACGCGGTGTTGTAGTAGACGAAGTTGCCGAGTTTTCCCTTCTCGCAGATCGAGTTCTTGAAGTTGCTGGGGTCATAAAGGGTCTCCACGTAAACGCTTCGCTTGTCGCAGTTGTTGCTCTTCAAATACACCGTCGATGTCACCGTCCCATTGGCGTTCAGCAGCATCGTTCTCGAAGTGGCGGCACTTGTTGGAACGCAGTCTTCATTCGCTCGCATAGCAGAGGAGAAGCCTGTGTACACCTGACAGTTTTCGTCAGCATACTGGTCCGCTAGCACGTACGGTACGCTTCCAAAGAGGAACGCAGCGTGCGTGTACTGGTCCGTGCTACAGCTGATGCTGCTCAAAACCGGTACGTTGTAAGCCACCGAAGTTCCACAGGAAGCGTCAAAGCACGTCGCGGTTTGCTGCATCTCCATGAAATCCGGAGTTCCGCCGCAGCCATTGGTCGTGTAAAAGATGCGCGAAGTGACGCCAGCTTCGCCAGTCTGGCTGACGACGCCCAAACCCAGCGCTGCGGCGACGAACGGGAGGTACTGGATAAGCTGCATTGTCGAGAAGCGGGTTCGTAAAAGGTTGTTGCTGCTGCTAGCTCTGTGTCGAGTTGGGGAATGAGAGGAGAACTGGAGTATCGGATAGATCTGTTGGGCTCCCCGCAAAAAAGCATGGATACCAATCCCAACCGCCGGAAAGCGTTCAAGATAAGATAGCATTCACTTGATTGTCAAAAAAACATAACGGACATGAGACCGACAGCCTCAGAACCCATTGCACTTGAAAACGCCTAACGGAGACTGCGACCTTGTCTGAAAACTGGCCAAATCGGCACGTCATCCTTAAAATAAAAACTAGATCTTGGTGCAGTGGATTTTTGCTTATTTAATATGATTGAAGGTGAATGTTGAATCCCCTAAAATATTATTGAAACCTCCACTGGCAGCTTTCGCTAGCATTGATAGCACTTTACAAACGCCGATACTCACAAGTTTTTTTTTTCTCGATAGAGTATGTATATTTGTCTTAGCAACCAATTTCACTACTTCGTATGTACCAATTTGGCCAGTTTTCATTCAAGACTGCATTTTCCAGTGAGCGTTTCAAAGTGCAATGAAGCCGCAATCTCATGTCCGTTTTGTTGTTTGACAATCAAGTGGAGAGTTTTTACCATGATTGCTTAGCTATATTTGGTACTGATATCCATGCTTATTCACGGGGAATTTAAAGGAACTGCTCAAAGTTCTCCAATTTGACACAGAGCAGCCAGCACACACGGAAGTTAGCTACCATTTTTCATAATGCTATATGAAGATTGTTTATTGATATGGAGCGTCACTGCATGGAAGGAGCTAGTCTAGTAAAACCACTCGAGCTGCCACTCGAACTGCTCTCCGTACCAGGGTACGCGTTGTTGTAGAAGATGAAGCCTCCCGCTCCGCAAACGGATTTTTCAAAGTGGTTCGCTTCGATGAGGACTTCGCTCACGAGATCTTGGTCGTCACAACCTTCACCGGGCATAAAGGTCTTCAGCGTCGCGGATCCATTCGTGTGCATTTGTACAATCTCTGAGGCCTCGCCATTGAGTACCAGACAATCGCCAGTCGCGCGGTGAGCCATTGAGCCCTTGTACACTTCACAGTTGCTGTCCTCGAAGACGTCCGTGAGGACGTAGGGAGCCTCGCCGAATATTTCTGCAGCGTGGGTGTATTGGTCCGAAACGCAGTCGACGACTTTGTACTCCGTTTGGCTGTCAAAACCGTTGTCTTCACAGGTTCCGCTGTCGTCCAAGCACACTGCTTGCGGCGTCATGTACAGAACGTCGGGGGTCCCCGTGCAATCGCTGGTCGAGTAAAAGTCGATTGAGCGGATCACCGATGCTGCTGCAGGATAAACGACCATTATCGCCACGACGATAGCGGGCATGTAGTGAATGAATCGAGGCATGGCAATCGTTTGGGAAGATTGAGAAGTGCAGACGAGTGCTGCCTCCCTCCAACACAACGGGACCGCCAATCTCAAGTGCGACGACATGCAGCTTCAACCACGCACATGGGTGTTGCGATATCAGTACCCACAATGCGGCAGATCACTCCATACTCGTGAAAGATATCATACGTTTTATATGTGAATCGTACTTGATTCATGCAACATGAATGCTCTTTGAACACCAACATATTATTAACCGTTTATCTTGCTGCCAAACTGCTAAAATTACATTATTCTCTGCCAGCGTCCTGGGAGATGTTGCGTGATCCACCCCCTACTCAAATGCGCGAACGCCCCCGTTAACCTTACCGGTGCTCGTTCCAGAGTATTCATTATTGCAGTAGATGAACCCCCCTCTGTTGCAGGTGTAGATCGGTAGAGAGGTCCTTGTCTTCACGCGCTACACCCGCGTACTGCTTCCACGTTACCGACCCGTTCGCATTCAGTATGAGCAGTTGGGAGCTCTGGGCATCGACCTTGAAGCACGAGCCGTCCGCGCGATAGGCGAATGACCCCGTGTACTCGTCGCAGTTGTTGTCGTTGAAGGCGTTCGTAAGCATGGACGGCACGCCCCCGAAGACCTCTGCAGCGTGCGTCTGCGGGTCCGAGATGGAGCTGCAGACGTCGTACTCGGTCTGGTTGGAAACCTCCTTGGCTTCACACTTCGAGTTGCTCAGTGCGCAGGGTCTGCGCTGGCTGATACGGAAGTGATCGGGCACGCCGCTGCAGTCACTTCTCGAGTACACATCGGTACTATGGATGTCAGCGGTCGTCACAATCGCGATAGTCGCAGCGACGACCGAGAACCAACAGGCGACGCGTGCCATCGGTCGGTCGAGCTGAGTGTATACAGTAGGAGATGTTGGCGCGGCGCGGTGAATTCGGTAATGACTTACTCAACGCAGCGCGTGCAGGGGCAGCACAGCAAAGATCAAACCCCGTGATCTGGTTTGTACGATGTCAGCTTGAGTAAGGGGCGATATCACACGATAAAATATGGTTTCATGGCCAGAGGTCGAGAGCAATGGCACCGCTCATTACCCCCTTCCTCCCCGTTATGGCATGAGGCTCATGCATCTACCATCGCATGAAGGAACATCGCCGCCGCTGTAGCCATCTCCGTCACGGCCGATTCGGACAGAAAGAGAGAGATGGATCCGTCGAGAACAAAAGGGGGAGGAGCGGTATCCGGACCGGACAACTTCAACTCCCTCGACCAATCACGATGCCGCTCGCTCGACGTCACCCGCCACTTCGAAGCCATCGGCGACCCCTGTCCAGCTGCAGCGCGGGAAGCTCTACACCGCTCGACGCTCGGCGCTCGAGTCGAGCCGATGCTGCTCATTCCCGAAGTCGAGGTGTCCGAGGCACGGCTAGCAGCCCCATGCAGCGTCTTCTCCTGTTCGTCGTGTCCTTCGTGACCGTTCTCGCCGCGGTTCGCGCGGATGCGACTCGCTGCAACTTCACGGCCGTCATCGACGTGGCCAACGCCTACTACCGTGGCTGCGTCGACCTGTACAACGTCCTGGAGCAGTCCATGCCCGTCAACTTCACCAGCACCTTGTGCGACGACGCGGACTGCATGGCGGCCATGGACGAGCTGCGGTCGATGGACCTGGGTGACTGCATCATCTTCGGCTCCACGACGCTCACGTCCGACATCCTCGACCAGTGTCCGGTCACTGCCAAGTCCACGGCGTGGGTCGGCTGGATCATCCTCGCCCTGTGCCTCGCTCTCTTCATCCCGATCGTCGTCTACCGCTTCCAGTACCACCGCCAGCAGAAGGCCCAAGCCCAATTGGACCTGGCCAACGGCAAACTCCGAGTCAACGACGCTCCGTACAAAGCCATCGACTTGGCCGGCACCCGAGTCTAAGAGTTCGGACTGTAATGGTGTTCAGGGTCTGTTAATTTTCATTGCAACTGTGTTGTTCTCGTTCGTTCTCGCTTCCTCGGTCTGAACTAGGTCGTCTGTACGCATCACTTCATATCGTTAAACGTCTACGGTAGGTATCTAAATGGGCTGCAGAATTAATTCTACAGCGACACTTCTTCCGCCTCGAACGCCTCAAGCGCGACCCGGAGCTTGCGCATGGCGTCGATGGCTGTCGGGCGCTGCTTGGGGTCCACGGAGATACACGCGTGCGCGAGCGTCAGGATGTCCACGGGGCACTCGCGCGAGAACTCGACCTGCAGCTCGCCCGCCGCCACCTTGCGCATGATCATGGTGTCGGTGAGCTTGCGGCCGTTCTCCTTCTTGGCGTTGGCGTACGGCATCAAGTGCGTGTCGAGCTCGCTCAGCATGATGCCGAACGAGTACACGTCGGCCTTGCTGTCGTAGTGGCCGCCCATCATGACCTCGGGCGCCATCCAGAGCGACGTGCCGACGGCGTTGGTCATCTGGTCCTCGGACTGCTCGCGCGAGACGCCGAAGTCCGTGAGCTTGGCGTTCAGCTGCGAGTTGAGCAGCACGTTACGCGACTTGAGGTCGCGGTGCAGGATGTTGGGCTGCATCGAGTGGAGATACGCGAGGCCGTGGGCCACGTCCAGAGCGATCTTGACCTTGTCGTGGTCGTAGCCTCGGGGCCGCGTGTGGTTGGTCAAGAAGTGGTTGAGCAGCGCGCGCAGGTCGCCGCCGACCAGGTACTCGGTCACACAGCAGATGGAGCTGAGCGTCTCCCAGCCGATGCCGATGAAGCGGACGATGCACGGGTGCTCCAGCTTGGCCATGACCTTGGTCTCTGCGAACAGCGCGTTGATCTCCACCATGTCCTCGGCGGTCTCAGGCAGCAGCGTTTTCACGGCCACAGTCTCACCGTTGTACGAGCCCAGGAACACCTGACCGAAGCCTCCGCGCGCGAGGAGCTCCTGGATGCGGATCTTGTCGAGCGGGATGCGAGCATTCTGAAGCACCGGGTCGTCCCAAATGCCACCCTTGCGCATGTGCTTCTTCGTGAAGGGGTCGTTCCGGTCCACAGCGAAGAAGCTCGAGGCCGTGCTGCCCTTTTTGCTCTTCTTCATCTGCTGCTGCTTGCCACGGACGGTCGGCTCGTCGTAGTCGATAACGAAGAAGCCGGAGCCCCGGCTCGAGTCCTTCGCCTCCTTCTTGTCGTGCTTACCACGGACCGTCACGCCGTCAACGAAGAAGGTGGAGCCGCGGCTCGATTCCTTCGTCTCGTTCTTGCCGCGGACAGTGACGCCGTCGACGAAGAAGCTGGAGCCTCGGGTGGAAGCCTGCGTCTCATGCTTGTTATTGCCGGCGAACGGGTCGTTGCGGTCAAGAGTGAAGATGCCGGTGCCCGACATGTTGGGCTCTTCCCTCCTGTTCGTTCCGCTGGCAAGCGTTCCGAAGACACCAAGAGGTGCGAGTCTGGACGAGGCGAGCGGCACCGCGCCAGAGTCTCCGAGCGACGAAGCGTCCTTCCTGATCGCGAGCGGGTCCTCTTGGGTCTTACGCTTCTTGGTGGTCACGAACATGGCAACCATCAGCATCACACAAGCCGCGGCCACAACGACACCGGCAATGGCCCCTCCCGACAAGGAGCTCGACTTGTCGGACGTCTTGATCTGCTGAGCCGTGTCGAAAGCGGACGCGTTGCTCGTCGGCTTGGGTGTATGTGGCAGTGTCGGCGTCGCTGTCGTCAAGCCCGACGAGCCCAAAATGACGTCGTCTGACGGCGCTGTCGTTGCGAATTGGTCGGAAGTGCCGGAGTAATCGTAAATGTACGAGTCTGCTGCGTCCTTGGGGCCGTTCTCCATGCCGACACCCTTCTCCAAGTTGCCGGGGGAGTCGAGTTGTCCGTTGTTGTCGCCGCCAGGGACGATGCCGTGCTTCCCCGGGAGCTGCGTAGGCGTTGCATGAGGTGTAGTTGGCGTTCCATGGTTGGGTACCGGCGTTTCCGACGCCTCCGAGCTGTCGGAAGCATCGTCGCTGGTGAAGGCGTCCTTGACCGTGCCTACCCCGTCGTCCGTGTCGTTTTTCAAGGACTCGAGCGAGTACTCTCTCATGGTGGCGGTCGGACGGAAGAAGCGAGACTGGGGCAGACCGGAAGGCGTGAGTGCCCCACCGAATGGACGCCTCGGCCGTACGGACAGCGTGAGAACCCACCTCCGTGTTGTCTAATGCGCGAGGGCCCTCACTTTTGCACGCTGCAGCTCGCTTTAGTCCATCCTGGAAACAGGCTGTCACGCGCAGAGCGCCCGCAACGTCCAACCTCGCCTTGCAAAAGCGACAAGAAAGCACATCGACGCAGATTGCCGCATGGATAGAGCGGACACCTGGCCGCGCTGTTGCAGCTTATCGTCAACTCGAGCTCGATCACGGAACTTTGCCTGTTCCACCATCTGTACGCGCTCGACAATGTGCGCGACTCCAGCTCTCAATGCGGTTGCTGCAACGCTGGTAGAATCCTGGGTACCCTCCAGGAAACCCAATGCAAAGAGCCCAATGGGTCATGTTAAATTACTACGCCTCGAATAAAAGTGTACACACATCGACGACCACACGGTCTCCGCTACGTTGGCCGAGTCCTCCTTTTCGGGGGGAGGGACTACATCATGTAGTACATGTACAAGTAGAACGACGAGCCCTTGACGCTCACCACTGCCTCCTCCTCCGCCGAATTTTTCGTGCGCCTGCCCGCTGCAAGGTTTCGTCAAAGTTTGCGGACATGCAACCCCATCGCAAGAGTCCAATGCCTTGACCATGCACCAAGCGCGCAGCGTACACTTGCATTGCTTCGGGCAATGCTTGGTCGGCAGCATACTCAACATCGAAGGCAGTGCCCCTAGAATATGTATCTGCTGTCTCTGCGGCGTCGCAACGAAAAATACATGTATTCCGGATCTACAGCGCGAACTCCTCTTCTTCGACACCGACGCCGCCACGCGAGGAGATCGTGAGCGTTTCCCGGGCGATGGACTGCAACCGCTCGAATGCTTCCCCCGCTGTCGGCCGGTCCGAAGGGGTCAAGGACGTGCAGGCCATGACCAGGTCGTAGATGCCGCTAGGTGTCGACTGGGAGCTCTCCAACCGCAATTGACCGGCCGCCACCATCTGCAGAATCGCTGTGCCCGGCAGCTTCCGGCCAGTGCCGTCCTCCTTCGCGTGCGAGTACGGCAGCTGCTGGCATTCGATCTCTCCAAGTACAACGCCAAATGAGAACATGTCGGCCTTCTCGTTGTACCTGTCGCCGATCATGACCTCGGGCGCCATCCACAGCGACGTTCCGACACCGGCAGTCATGGTGATGTCGGCACTCTCTCGAGACACGCCAAAGTCCGTCAACTTGGCGTCCAAGTTTTTGTTCAGCAAAATGTTCTTGGACTTGAGGTCGCGATGAAGCACAGTGGGGTCCATTCCGTGCAGGTACGTCAGGCCTTCGGCGATGTGGAGAGCGATCTTGAGCTTGTCGTCGTCGAAGCCGTGAGGCCGGTTCTCTTCCTGCTCAAATCGCTCCAGCACTGTGCGGAGATCACCGCCTTCCATATATTCCGTGACGGCTGAGATGTCCGTCCACGACTCCCAAGCCACACCAAGACACCCGATAATGCGCGGGTGGTCCATCGATAGCATGATCTTGATCTCCACGACGAACGCTTCGACTTCTCTCATATTCCTGCGCCGGTCGGGCAGCAGACGCTTGACAGCCACAGCTCGACCTCTGTACGTGCCCAGGAAGACCTCGCCGAAGCCTCCACGGTTAATCAGCTGCTGAACGCGAAGCTTGTCCATCGGAATGCGAGCATCGAGAATCTCCGGGTCGTTCCACGAGCCGGCCACCACGTCGTCGTCCATCTGACTGCGTCGCCCCCAAGATCTCCGTGCTCGTGATCTCCTCAAAGTACTCGTCGCCCGAAACGGGCACGGCCACGGGCACCGCGTGGCTGTACACGCGGTCTCCGTACTCCTTCCGACTGCTCGTGGTGCCTGTGTAGTTGTCGCCCGTATCATAGCGAGAACGCCCAGGATATCGCTTCGTCCGCCTGTACCAGATGATGAAAGCTGCGATCATGAGCACCACCGCCACGGAGCCCATCACGATGCCAACGATCACAGGGACTGCGATACAAAAGGTCAGCAACACCCTTATTAGAGCCTCCGTGTCGGCCAGCTACGACTCACTCCCAAGGCCTCCGCCATTCTGCCCGCCATTGTTGTTCGACTGGCCCCCGTTGTCCCCGTTCGAGTTCTGATTATTGTTGTTGTTCGACGCGGCCGACGTTGCGGCGGGCGTGCTGGTGACCTGCGTGTTGCCGTCCGTAGTGGTAGTTTGGCCGTCAGTGGTCGTAGTGGTGGTGGTGGTTTGAGCGTTGCTGGTATAAGTCGTCGTGTCCTGATTGCTCGCCGTGTAGGCGTCATTCTAACAGGCACAACCACGCAAAGGAAGCAGGAACGGTTAGCTCGGGGCGTCTCCACAGCCATCCGCGCGATTGGCGCCGGGCGTCCGCCACGGAATCTCGCTCACCTCGCCGTTCGTCGACATCGTGGACGCCACTCTCTGGAGTTCTCGACACGTTTCCGCCCCACACGTCTCGGTGTAAGAAGGCCAGCGCGGAAATGCCACTCGCGCAGGGGAACGAGGCAGCGGGCGGTGGTGCTTCTGGTCTGGCGTGACCGGTGTGCATCCTTGCACCCGGGATCAGCTCGCCAAAGGGCTGGATTTCGGGTCGCGATTTGCGATTTTTGTTGAATTAAACTGGGTTTTTGTATGGTGCTAGTCGAAATATCGCAATAGGGTGGAGCCAGCAATTCCTTGGAGACTCACGCTTTGGTCACCCTCGTCTCATGTGCGTCGAAGGCAAAAGCACTTCGGTCAACGCTGATGAAGAGGTGCATACCTTATTGTTCATAGTGGCCGACTATCTAGTGCTAGGGTGCTGCTCGAGGCAACGCGCTTTCGCGTCCTTAGCGGCGAGCGGCACCAAGTTCGGCGTCACCGTGACAGCCAGTTCCCGGGTCTCGTTGGTTTTATGGCGATTGCTGCCATGCCCGACAGATCACTTTCCTCCGTGTCGCGAGCTTTGACCGCTGGCCGGATCGACCGCTGGCAAATTCGCAGTGTGAACTTTGGCCTTTGGCCATCTTGGTGCTCCATGCGATGGTCTCTGCGGCTGTATATCCGCGCTTCGAGGATTCCATACGAGTGGTTTGTTAGCTATTGACACGGTAACCTTATGGCATCAATCACTCGGCGATGAATAAGAACGGGATCTGCGAACGGAATTGGAGTGGAGCTGAAGCTCGGAAATCGCCGCCCACTGAGGCAAAATGCAACCGTGGACCGTGGACTCTGTAGGTAGGATATCTCTATCTTTGAGTGTACCGCACGCTTCGCCTGCCACTTTGCGATTCGCTAGTAGCAGAACGCCAGGTCTACGAAAGCAGCTGGACGGTAGCGTTGCAAATGACACTTTGCCGAGGACACCACCAAGTCCTGGTCCAGGACGCGTCTCAAGTGGCGCCTTGCACCAAGCATGGCAAAGGGGAATTCACTCCTCGTAACCATGCAACCACGAACAGCAAAGGAGTTGTTTGAGTAGTACTACTTGACGACGGGTAGACAACACTTTGGGATTATGGGTGAACGAACATCTACAGCAAGAACGCACTGATCTCTATTACCGTCTAATGGCGACGGCGGGAGCACTTGGTGCCGCTCGAAGGCGCGCTCGGGGCCTCCGTGGCAGGCGTCGAAGGAGCCTCCGTCGAGACGGAGGTAGGCGACGCAGTCACCGTGATGGCGTCGATACCGCTAGAACCCGACGAAGGACTCGAGTAGTCGTCCGTCTCCGAAGCCGCGCCGACAGAGCTGGACGCCTCGTTGCCAGTCTCTTCCGACGTGGTTGAGACGGAGGGGGCGGTCGTCGTTGTACTGGAGGACGGGGCCTTTGTCGTCGTACTGGTACTCGTCGAGTTCGAGGCCGAGCCGTCGGCTACCGTGGACGCGCCAGCGCCCACAGCGGAAGGCGGGGCACCCTCACCCGAGCCACCCTCGAGCCACACGCAGTCGGTGTAAACCTGCCACGGTGAACCGTGCATTGCGACCCAGTAGATCGTCAGTCGGTTGGCGTTGGCGCACTTGGATTCGTCGTAGGCCATCTTAGCCGGACTGCCGGCGAATTTCGTCTGGCAGTCGTAGTCGAACAGTACCTTGGTGTCGTCACACCAGACCTCGCACGGACCGGGGTGCGTGAAGCCCGTGTACTCGATCTGCGACGATGGCAGCTTCGAACGGGCCGACTCCTTGTAGGTCGTCAGGCCGCAGTTTGGATCGACTGAGCTGCTGTAGAGCTTCTGGTTCTTGGCGATGAACGCGCCGAGAGAGCCGCCCCCCTTCTTGGGGAAGTTGGCCTTGAAGAAGCCGATCGCTCCTGTGGGCCCGTAGCCATACTTCCCGCCGTCGATTTCGCCCCAGACATTGTTGTCGATGGTGCTGCCGTATCCGTTGGACGCGTATCCCTGGGTCCATTGCGCTGCAGGGTCCACGATGTAGCCGTGGCCTTGGACTGAGGGAATCGACGCCAGGGCGGCGGCTCCTGTGGCGATGAGAGCGACGACCTTCATGCTGCTGACCTGTTTGCTGTCTGCTGGCTATTGGTTGTGTTGGTGTGCGGCAAATTGGAGAATGACGACACAGTTGAACGCTGCGTGCCTTCAGTACGAACAGCAAGGGGTTCTCCTTGCTGTTTTATCTGTTGTGGGGGCATCCATCCAGATGGAAGGGTGGCAGGACGTAAAGGACTGAGAAGAAGGAGGGGCTGCAAAGCTGTCGCGGCGATCCCCATCGGTTGTGATGAATGTCGACGTGCTTGCCACGAGACAGCCCCGTCAAGCTAACCCACAGGCCACAGCACAAATATGCCGCTCCAACAAATTGAATGCTGCACGCTCTGCGTTTCCGAAAGCGTGTTCGTGTAAAAGAGGGATTTCAAGCATTTTGGAGGTCCTGTACATATACAGTGGATCGCTGTAGGCTTGAGAATACATGTACAGGGATCCTTCCCGCCAGAAAGACACCGGCTTTACGTATGTATGCACCGATTACCTCTTTGCTCACTTTGTTGACTACATGTACTTCGAAGTATCAGAGTGCGATTGAATCGATATTAAGCCACTGGTTGGAAGCGAATGCTGCCACTGCAAAATAGTTTCTTCTCGCCACGTGGGGAATTTTTGATGGCCGATCAGTTCTTCGACATGTCCTGTCTCACTTTGGATTCATTCCGACAAAACTCCACACTGAGGAGTCCTCATTGAGAAAAGGTATGATTCATTCCGTATGAACCCTTCGTAGATTTCTTGACCAATGCGAGCTCTTTCTGTTTAACTCATGAAGCTGGCGGTCCACAACGCGCGGGGGCCGGAATGATAACACCTCTGTGAGTCCTCGCAAGGTGTGTTCATCGGCATCTGCAGCAACCCAAGGTTTTTGAAGTCCCAGCCCGTGATGGAGAAGCGATCTGACTCAAGGGTAAAGGTTCGTGTGCAACAAACCTAGCGAAGGGATTTCAGCTATCCCAGCACACTATAAACCCACAGCAAGAAGAAACAGCATGTGCTGTACATGTTAATTTACCGAAGAGTTTCAATCCGAGACAGTAGAATCCACATCGTCGAAAATGTAAAAGAGTCTCAAGTCGCTTCAGCTATTCCAGTTGTAGCTCTCCAACAGCAGTGCGTGCACCTCAATTAATCGCGGTACGATGCGTCTAAGGGAAGCGAAGTGTAGGTAAATTGCGCTGCTGTAACTTATGTAAACCTTGAGCCTTTTGAACGTCAACGCGGTATCCGTCGCCTGGTGAAAAGGATCGTTCTCTGCACACGCGAGTGCTGATATCCGCCTCCGTAAAAGCAGATGGGGAGTGCAAAGCTGCAATGACCGCGGGTAGAGGGGATCCCTCCCCTCTCCAAGTCGAAGTCGAGCTGATAGAGTGTAGAGGCCTCCTTCCTGCCTTCCTGCCTGCAGAGAGTTTGGATGCAACATGCACGGACATTCGGACAGCGCACCGACGGGAAGCACTTCCGGAGCTTATACTTGACGACATTTAGGGGACTCACTTAGGACGAACTGTACTGCGGTTGACGGTTCTCGCACTCAATAAATCTAATGACGACGGCGGACGCACTTGGTGCCGCTCGAAGGCGCGCTCGGGGCCTCCGTGGCAGGTGTCGAAGGAGCCCCCGTCGAAATGGAGGTGGGGGACGCAGTCACCGTGATGGCGTCGATACCGCTAGAGCCCGCCGAAGGGCTTGAGTAGTCATCCGTCTCCGAAGACGCGCCGACAGAGCTGGAAGCCTCGTTGGCAGTCTCATCGGACCCCTCAGTCGTCGAGACGGAAGGAGCAGTCGTAGTAGTAGTAGTGCTCGTTGACGGGGCCGTTGTGGTAGTCGGCGTAGTGCCGGCAGACGTCGAGCTCGAGTCGCCAACCGTGGAGGCGCCAGCGCCCACGGCCGAAGGAGGAGAACCCTCTCCAGAGCCGCCCTGGAGCCACACGCAGTCCGTGTACACCTGCCACGGGTCGCCGTGCAACGCGAGCCAGTAGATCGTGAGGCGGTTGGCACCCGAGCACTTGGACTCATCGTAGGGCAGCGTGGCCGGGATGGCCGGGTACTTGGTCTGGCAGTCGTAGTCGAACAGCACCTTGGTGTCGTCGCACCAGACCTCGCACGGACCAGTGTGCGTGAAGCCTGTGTGCGTGAGCTTGGACGCCGGCAGCTCGGAGCGAGCCGAGTCCTTGTAGATGGTGAGGCCGCAGTCGGCGTCCGTCTTGCTGTCCACAAGCTCCTGGTTCTTGGCGATGAACTCGCCCAGCGAGTCGTAGCCCTTGGAGGGGAACGTGGCCTTGAAGAAGTTGAGCGTGCCGTTCACGCCGTAGCCGTACTTGGTGTTGTCGTAGACTCCCCAGATTTCGTTGTCCACGGTGCTACCATAGCCGTTGGTCGGGTATCCGGCGGCCCACTGCGCCGCGGGCTCGACGATGTAGCCGTGGCCCTGAACGGAGGGAACCGACGCCAAGACGGCAGCTCCTGCGGCGATGAGAGCGAGGACCTGCATGTTGCTGTTGCTGCTGCTGACCTGTTTGTTTGTTGCTGGAGGCTGCGAATTCGAGAGTGAGGATTGAAATGAGCTCTGCAGTTCGGACAGCAATGCCCTGCCCACTTCACCTAGCTCCCTCCGACTAAGTCGGTGCAGCAGCGATTCCTGACTAAAGCGAGGTGCCCTCCCATCCAGCCAGCCGGCTGGAAGGTTGGTGACGAAGGACGTAAAGGACCGAAATCTCGACAAAAGTCGGGCCAGCTTGGATGCAAAACGCAAAGCTTTCGAGAGCGACCAGCTTCTGAAGCATGACGGTGTGGGATGAGTTGGCTGCACTCACAACAGCTGGAGGTCATCGTTTTGGTCCTGCGGGGCAGTCTCAGAGCGAGTTGGCTCGGACTCTGCAGTTCGCCAGCCGGATCCACGCAAACCGAGCTGGCCAACTGCCTGGAATCCTTGAAAACCCCCTTCGTATAATACTTCTCTGTTGTGAAGCGTCTGCTGCTCAGGTCTGAGTGTGTCGTTTGGTAGAAGAGCAGCGAACCACTGCTACACTACATAACGGTATCGAGGGTGTCGTAACGCTGCCAAGAGTGACAAGGCGTTGTGGTGAGCGGTATGGGGCATGAATGGAGCTTGCCCCCAGGCACGCGTGCCAAACTTGCTTGAAGGCCCGGCCAACTTGGCATGCTTGGCCGCCAAGCATGGGATCGGCTTCCCCGCTCTTTTACCTAATCTCGATCTGATCGGTCACGCGGAAGCAGCAACAACGAAGGTAAGATGACTGGACGGATCTGCATTCGCAACTTGTTTGGGACACTCACACTTCGCAGGAACAATTCTACACACATTATCATCTTGGCTGTCTGGACGGCACTCAACATGCCCGCTGCTCTTAGTCGCGACGCACGCGCCGACTGCACTTGGAGCTGGTCGAGGTGGCCGCAGTTGTCGAGTCTGTCGTCGTCTCTGTGCTGGTGCTGGACGCAGTGGCAGCCGACTCGGACGAACTCGCAGTAGTTTCGGCCTCAGTCGCAGTGGAAGCTTCGTCGGCAGTGGAAGCCTCAGCGGCTGTCGAAGCGGAAGCGGAAGATGCCGCCACATTGCTGCTACTGGCCGAAGCAGCGGCCGTCGTGGCACTTGGGACAGTCGTTGCAGTGCTGGTACTAGTGGTCGACGACGAAGTTGTAGTGTCTGGGTAGGCTGTTGTCGCAGTCGCCGTTGATCCGCTGCTCGTCGTGGGCGGAGCCGTGGCGACGCTAGAGGAGACCGTCTCGGTCACCGACGAAGGAGCCGAGCCGCTGCCCGAGCCACCGTCAAGCCACACGCAGTCCGTGTACACCTGCCACGGAGCCCATGCACAGCGAGCCAGTAGATGGTGAGGCGGTTGGCGTCGGTGCACAGCGATTCGTCGTACGGGATCCCCGCGGGCAGCTCGCCTGGCAGTTGTAGTCAAAGAGCACCTTGGTGTCGTCGCACCAGATCTCGCAGGGGCCCGGGTGGGTGAAGCCTGTGTACGTGAGGTTGGTCGAGGGCATCGTCTGGCGCGCGCTGGCGTCGTACACGGTGTAGCCGCACTGCGCGTCGATGTCGTCGCTGTACAGGACCTGGTTCGTCTCGATGAACTGGCCCAGCGAGTTGTAGCCCGACGAGTTGAACTGCGCCTAGAAGAAGGCCACCGTGGCGGCCGTGCCGTAGCCGTAGACGGAGTTGTCGATGGCGCCCCACATGTTGCTGTCGATAGAGCTGCCCCAGCCGTTCACGGCGTAGCCGTCCTTCTAGGTCGCGGCCGGGTCGACGATGTAGCCGTGGCCCAGCACTGACGGAACGGAGGAGAGCACGATGGCACCGCAAGCGAGGAGGGCTAGGACCTTCATGCTTCATGTGGAGAATGGGAGAGCGAGACTGCAAAATGTCAAGTGACCTACCCGGGCAATGCTGAGAGATTTATAGGAACAGCATCATTCAACCTTGCGCTACTGTACTGCATGGAGCAGGGATCGCTCGGGAGCAGTTAGTGCGTACGTCCTGGTGAGCTCGCGGTGTCCGGCGATGCGGAACCTTTCATCACAGCGCTGATAACACGCAACAACGCGAGCCTTCGCGTGCACGAGCTGCACACAGGTGGCGAGGAGGAAGTCCGAGTCCATCGGCCTCGGCGCGTCTGGCAGGGGGCCAACACACCACCGGCGTAAAGGTGCAAGATCATTTTGAATCGGCGGTCCGGCATCCAGCAACTTGTCGAGACCACGATGTCGGCATATGGTGCAGAGGAAAGCTCGAACTCGTTGCTGATTGCATTTCGGTGACTCAAGTTACACTAAGCAGACTTGGAGTCATCCGCCAGTAAGTTCCGCTCGTACAGCTGGTCACCTGGTCTGCGACGCTGGCACGGGATTCCGCCGGAACTGGCAAGGCACACGACCAAATTGAGGCCACCAAATCAGTTTTAGGCCGCTATGACCGTGGCGATCTCGCGGCGTTTACTTGGTGTAGCTGACTGCTGAGATCCAGTGTTCGCTTCGGTTTTAGGATATGATCTTAGTAGCATATAGTGCGTCTACCAAACGATCACGGAATTGTGTTGCATCGCTCTGCAGACTGTCATGCAAACGGCCAGTTTTTAAGGTCGCACGTTGAAGTCCAATATTTGAGCAGCTGTGGCTGATCAGAGCAATTTGGCGACACTTTCATGATTTCAGCTATCTTCAGGTCATCGGTGGTTATCAGGAGCAACGAACAAAACTTGTTGTTTGCCGTTTTACCATACTTCTATGAATTTCAACGTTTAGATTAAGACCGCGTTTGCACCGATCGAGATCGGGATCACCCTAAGTAGTCGTGCCATGACAATAAAGGTGTACGACTCTCGTCAGGAAAGCCTGCCGAAAGCTGACTGAAAATAAATATTGGTTTTGGTTTGATTGCTACTGCAGCTATCCTGTTGCTGGCATCAATCATGAGTGCATGGCCCGCTGGATAGCACTTGAATCTCCAATTGAAGGCCAGCGAAAGCTGTATGCGTTGCGCGTTGTAGTGTGATGTGATGTATATGTATTAGTGTCTGGAACGAGTCAATGCAATCGATAACGTTCATTGCCGTTGCATGGTCCTTGGTGGATTTTTGAAAAGCTGATTCTCCGAAGAGTAGTCCCCGCAGTCTCAGTACCGCGGATACAGGGTGTTGGCGATGATGTATCTACAGCTTTGCTATTGTTCACAGGTACAGTATCCGGAGCCCCATCTTAAGCCGGTCTTGAACTCATCAGCATACCCCGATAAGTTGCATGATGGTATCCATCCGTTTGTACAATCTGCTGAATAATCGCAACGAGTATTACATGTAGGCTTTCTTCAGTCGGTCCCATTTTTCAATTTCCTCTCCCTCACAAACACACCTCCGACGGTCCCCATTCCAGAATTTGACGGGTCGCGAGCAAGTGTCTGCCAAGGGTCGACTCCCAGGATCTCCGGGCCCTTGGCCTTCCTGGGGGGAATCCTCCCTAGGGAGCCCAGGAAGGAGCATGGCGGCTGCAGCGACGGCTTGCGTGTGACTATGGCCGACGACGGGAGTCGGCACAGGAGCAGCTCGCGGGCGACGACGGCGATTGCGCTCCAAGAGGGCGGCGACTCTATGGGTCGTTGCCACAGTGGTGGGAGACCCAGACTTCGACCACTCTTTCAAGCTAGCGGCAGGTGACCGCGGATCAAGCGCTCAAGCCACGCCTCCACGGAGGCATTTGGGCGCTGTCCTTCGGGATCCTGCCGTCATCCGATGTTGTTAGAGCCTAGGCTCACGCATCCTTCAGCACGCGCCGGACGAACGCGATCAACGCTCAAGTCAAGTCTCCATGGGACAGCGGCAGAATCCGCACAACAGGAGGTGCAGGGCCCCTGTTCTGTGTCTGCCAACCTCGTGGGTGGCGAGTACAAACCACCTGACCTCGCTTAAGGTCGCGCTTTGCACTAATTTTCAGACTCTCCCACCAGACTCTGGTCCAGAGAGCCCCCTCCCTAGTGACGCTTTGCACAGGTGAGGCCCCCGGTCTTTAGTAGTCGTTAGCGATCGTATTAGCTAAGTGACAATAATGATCCTCAATTCAAAAACAAAACAAACAAACAAACCTCCGACGGTCCCCGCCACTCCACCACCATGCGTCTGTTACTGTGGGTCCTTCTTGCAACAGTAATCACGATCCTGTCAAGCGCCGACGTAGCCTCGTCCAAGGCCACTCCGGCGACAATCAACTCGGATCTTCCCGTCCGCGAACTGACCGCCGAGACCAACACCAATGGCAAAAGGCACTTGCGGGGCGACGAAATGAGGTCGCCATGGACTTTGAAGACGACGACGACTACGACGACGAAGAGCGCGGGATCTCCGACGTTGTGAACCGAATGAAGGCTTCGTTAACGGGAAGCGTTGCAACCCGGATGAAGGTTACGCTAGGGAAAATGCATAGCACCGCGAACAAGAAAATGCAAAAGTTCATGATCGAGCGCCTGTTTAGATGGGTATACAAGAGAGGCGAGACGCCTCTGAGCGTTCGAACCAAGACGATGGGGCAAAAAAACTACTGGTCGGCGCGTACAGAACGTGGTACGAGAGAAGAATGGCAATGCCTTGGAAGTACAAGTAATGCGGACAGCACTGCAGCCTGCGCAGCAGAAGAGGCTAAAATGAAACACAAGGAGGTTTCTCGCTAAAATAGTAGTCGACTACGTTGTTTCGCAACGCTTTCACACAAAATTATACAGTGTAGTGCTTCTACGAGAACTTTGCATCAGTTTTGTTTTTCACACCTTCGAGCACTCGACCCCCCTTCCCCCCGTAAGCTCCGTACGCTCTACCAACCCACGGCGAACTGGAACGGGTAGGATCCTGGTTATTCGTGGCATTGCCGGCAGTCCGTAAAGCAACTTTGTTACGACGAAACGACACCGGTTGCAGCACCCTTAAAGAGGCTTCCGTAACCTTAAAAACGGCTCGGCAACCCTAAAATTACAGATTGCTTCAGCTACCGGTAATTTATCGAAGAGAAAATGACAATAGCGGAATCAACTTTGAGATCGAAATTTGACGATCATACGGTCTCAAAGCGGCCTCAACAAGCTAATAGGAAGGAGCTGCACCACATCAAGCGTGACTATCACTACCACGACGCTATCCGCTGTGGTTCAGCAGCCCGCCAGGTTCCACGGGTACCGCATGCATCACAAAGTAGTCTTAGTTAAAAGCACCGCAAGTTCTGTGTCAGAAGGAGAGAGATGCAGGCGATGCTCGGCAACTCAAGCAGCACATTTACCTGGCGCAAGTATGCCACTTGTTGGCGCTATTTTAGATCAACAGTGCGAAGCCAATCGGCCTCGAGCATGGGGCCATGGGCCAGCAGACTTCATGGTCGTCAGGCCAAGACATCGAGTATATACAAGTGCAGCCTACACCTACCAAGGCCGTCGTCTCATAGCACTGGTTCTCCGGCTAAATGGTAGTTGCTAAAACCTACCCGGTCCAATCCGTCAAGCATACAGTAATAGCCAACATAGCTGTTCAAGCCATATCCACACCATATATTACGCCCTACGCTGCTTAGCTTTCGCTTCTTCCCATTTAGGTTTGGCTGTGATCTCGATTCGCCGGACCGCAACCTTGATCTTCATGTCTGCTCGAACGTGCACAGGCATCACACGTTGGAGTACAAACGCAAGTACCTTACAACTTTCTCCGCACAGTGCAACGTACCATAAGATGCCTCCAGGCATGCTTCGCTGTCACAGTCTTCGCCGCAGCCTTCCACGCACAGCCCTCGCAGCGTCTTCCAGCCACCCACTCGCTGGCTGTCGTCCACATCCCTCCAGTGCTTGGCCGTTGGACGTGGCTACTGATTGTCCAGAGGCACAGGTTAGATGCACTCGCACCCCGAAGCCATGGCAAACACACTTACTTACACGTCATCGAGCAGGAGTAACATGGCGCTTGCTGTTGCTTCTTCGGCTTGTCTTCCACGTTGGATCTTTCAAAATGAAGCACCTTTCGCCGGCCGCGTTGGACAACCTTGACAATTTTACAGTACGAATATATTACCCCAAGTAGAACTTTTGCGGTAAGCTACTCAGTAGGGGAAATGTGTCGTAAATTACAAGGTTGCTCACGCCACTTTAACAGAAATGTAAGGTTGCTCGAGCAGCCTTCTGAGATTTTTTAGGTTCCTATTAAGGTTGCTTTAATCACTTCGCCACGGTGGAGGTCCGATTTTCCGAAATAAATTACAGAGAACAAACATTAGTAGCCAATCATTGAGCGACATATTTTTAAAAATATCGATATGGAGTGTTTTGATTGGCTATAAACAAGCGTAACCCTGTGTAACCACTGAAGATTGGTGTCGGATATTACTACAGTATACGCTTCGAAGCCATCTTGGACGAGTTCCCGCACGACTGGGTCATGACGCGAACGCCAGCGAAAGTGTTTATGGATGGTGCACTTGTTGGTCTGTACGGCCTGGAGCCACCACTAGTAGGAAAAAGGAAAAAGATTGAATGGCTGAGCCTCCCAGCTCTTACCACTACTCTCGGGCTTGAGCCCGTTTCTCATGCAACGACCCGCAGCTCTCAGCTCTGCTAATTTTCTCAGGTACCTAGTCTCAGCTTTCGCCGGGTCTCAACTCTGACCTTCAACTTGGTCTTCAATGTGCATTGCACATTGAAGACCAAGTTGAAGGAATGCACATTGTGCATTCCAACAGTGTCGACCGACGACGACTAAAACGCACGAATAAAGAGGATTCACACAGCGACGTTTGCATGGTTCACATTCTTCCTTCCGTGCGCCCTTCACGATATCAATTCAAAACTATTGGGGTCAAGCAAGGTAGTAGTAGACTACAAACCGAAGGATCTTTATCAAAAGGGGCCACAAATCCATCAGCACTTTATCATTTGGGGCCACAAACCTGTCAAAGAGTTGGACTGTTGCGCAGTACCGTAAAAAGTACCGTCGATAGCCGATTGCTGTCCAGGCGACCGGTACAGCGTTGCAGCACAGGTGCCAAACCGCAACGCAACTCAAGTAGCGGAACGCGTCGCAACGAAGTCTAAGCTAGGCACGTTTTGCGGTTTCATTACAGAACTGCTGCAGATACGTACATGTATCAAACCAATTGACTAGTAGTCCATTACGTACTTACTCCAGGACTTCGTACGACCTCAAAGAAATATCACGATCCAGTAACACCACATTGGATCGCCATCGAGTTTGCTCGCCAGCATATGGGGTACATCGAGCATGCATATTGTAAATTACCAGTAATTATTAAAAATAAGCAATGGCAAACCAGCAACGCATCCGAAACGACTTAAGCGTGCCCAAAATTGTGCAACCTCCGAAGAATGGCTTGAATTACCGGTGTGGAACGTTTGCCACAGGACAGCACCCAGTTGCTTGCATACTCATGCCTTCGCTACCAGCAAAAAATAAACTAGCGCTGCTTGTGTGCCGTCCTAATTGCCTTTCAAGGTTAACATAGGTGCTGCCAAGTTGTAGATCGAGATGCGGTAGTTAATTTAAGTTAGAAATTGTCGCGGTTTAGAATGTTATGTACCCCCTCAGCTCAACCCAATATGTCGATGATGTGCTCGTGCAGGCACTCGTCTACGGTAAAAGTTCCGCGGTAGATAACACTTACGATCGTTGTGTAATTAACCTAAATGCACCTTGTACACACAACTGTAGATCGAGTTACCAGTGACAAGCATTGCCAAAGGGTGTAGCTTCAGCCGTGTTGTGCTGGTACTCAGAGCAAGGCGCCATCGATTCAGGAAATAAAATTAAGAGTCATCTATGATTGCATTAACTACTACGCGATAAGTTGCAGGTAACATTGCCGTAGTCTAAGCTTGCCAAAAGCCGTTGCCCACTTGCTTGATCAACTGTTTCAACCTTTAGCCGTGCATGCAGTTTGCAAATATAGACGGTAAGTAATTCCGATTGATTTGTTGCTGTTCTTGCATTCATTCGGAGCACTTCAAGTCGTCATGCAGTATAGGAACGGTTTCACAGATACAAACTGTTGGCCTAATAAGCAGACCCGGTTGATAGATATCTACAGGTTCCGACGTAAATAATTTTGTGCAAGGTATTTCACTATCGGTGCCCAACAGAAAATGTTGTATAGCTAAAATTCAGTGCTGCTTAGATAGAGGGCCCTTTTCATAAAGCTGAAAGGGAAGGCATGGCAGCAAACGAGAACTCCTGGAATGACATTCAATTAGGAACAGCCTACAGCGACACCAGGACTTTATAGTTCTAGTTACGTGCTTCTTGGAAATAATAGAGGACCTTTTAGAGCTTTCCCACTAAAGAGTTGATGCAAGTGTCAAATTCCGCTACGACAGTTATTCTGCTCAATAGCTTCCTCTCTTCGATGCCTTTGCGTCACTTATTGCGCGTTTTAGCTATAAACTAAACTTATTATAATACTGCAAGTAGAAACGGATCCGAGGAATGTTTTGTTACATGAAGGAGCGTCATAAAGCTCATAAGCGGAAGATCACTGCAACGCTGTACCGGTCGCCTGGACAGCAATCGGCTATCGACGGTACTTCTTACGGTACTGCGCTAAGTCCAACTCTTTGACAGGTTTGTGGCCCCAAATGATAAAGGGCTGATGGGTTTGTGGCCCCTTTTGATAAAGATCCCAAACCGAATCAAAAAAGCTTCATTCCTTTGAGGGGGTCCGCCACTTCACTGATCACGCGTAGGTGGCAAACGAAGACTAGAAGAAGAGGGCCGTGGCCAGGGCCAGCAGCGTCGACATGAGCACAGCCGACACGCCGTTCATGGCCGCGCCGCTCGAGCTCGAGTCGCCGTCCTTGCCCGACGAGGTCGAGTCCTTGGTGGACGAACTGTCGGCCGACGCGTCGCCCGTGCCGCCGTTCTCGCCCACGGCCTTCTCGAGCGTGGGGAACGTCCAGTCGCTGGGCGGGGTCTCGCACTCGTCCGAGGTCGAGTTGCAGACCGTGCACGTGGAGCCGTAGAGCTCGCGCTTGCAGCCGTAGTCCGAGTTGCACTTCTTGACGTTGTAGTAGCAGGCCGGGTTCTCGGCCGCCAGCTCGGCGGGCGTGGGCAGCGGCAGCATGTGCGCGATGATGTCCGAGTCGAGGCCCGACGTCTCGATGAGGCCGTTCGTCAGGTTGTAGTAGGCCTCCACGAGCTTCGTGGCGCGCTCCGAGTTGGCCTCCTCGTCCTGCGGGTTCTCCCAGAACGAGATGCCGTCGATCCACTCGCCGTCGGTCGTGGCCTCGAACTCGACGCCGCCGTCCTGGCAGAACTCCGAGAAGTTGGCGTACGTCTCGCCCGTCGTGTTGCTCACCATGGACGTGATGCCCACGAGGTCATCGATGAGGATGAAGCCCAGCACGCGGTAGGCGTAGGTGCAGCTCACGCCGTCGGGCATGACGCCGACGTCGCACAAACCCTGGCGGGTGCTGGCGCGGCACTCGCTCGTCTTGGCGCTCCACTCCTGCAGGGGGCACGTGTTGGGGAACGAGTACCAGACGTTGTTCGGGTAGGGCGCGCGCGGGTCCGTCTCCTTGGTCGTGCCGCCGATGAAGGGGCCGACCTCGGGCTCACCCTCGTCGCCGTTGAAGTAGTAGCAGGCCGTCGGGAAGCCCTCACCGCCCGAGCTCGTGGTGGAGCTGGGCGTGCAGCGGCCCGAGTCCATGGCCAGCATGGTGCCGTACTCGTTCTGGCTGGCCACGTCCTGGTACAGCGCGAGCGTCTCGTTCGTCTGCGCGATGGCCATCTCGTAGAACACGATGTACGTCATGTCGTTCTTGCGCGTGCAGCGCTCCTCCTCCGAGCGCGTGTCGTAGTTGATGCCCTCGGCCTGCACGTACATGAGCGCGCCCTCCACCGAGGCCGTGTTCACCGTGTCCATGAGTCCCACGTACGCGTCGTTGGCGTCGTCGTAGTACGACGACACGAAGCGCTGCAGCTCCTCGTTCCACACGGGCATGTCGCTCTGCACGCGCGCCTGCACCACGTGCACGGGCTTCATGTGGTACGCGTCCGACTGGGCCTCCTCGGCGCCCGAGCTCGAGCCCGTGGACAGCGAGCCCATGAAGTTGTTGGCGCCCGAGCCGCTCGACGTCGTCGTCGTCGTCTTCTTGGTCGTGGACGACGAAGAAGTCGACGCGCCGCTCGACGTGGTGGCGGCCGACGAGGCCGACACGGTGCCGACGCTACTCGACTCGCTCGACTCGCTCGACTGCGCGCGCGCGGCCACGGCCATGGCGACCACGAGGGCCAGCGTCGAGAACACCTTCATGTCTTTCTTCTTCTTGGGGGGAGGGAGACGGAGGGAGGGGGCTGTGTAATCTGCGAGCTCGAACGCGGAGTGCACGCGAGAAGGCAAATTGGCGATTGACTCCCCCGATGGACGGCAGGCAGCCATGCACATCAATCACAGCCGTTGCGAGCCAGTTCGCGCGGTCCGGCTGGATTCTGAGGCGAGGCAATGGGACGACCGCGGCCTCTACATGCACACGTACCGTACGATCACGGTAGCTGTGTGCCACGCTGCAACCCTTGCTCAGCATGCTGAGCCCAGAATGCCGAGCTGATGCTGCAGCAAGCGCCGAGATTCCCTCTTTGTCTCGCCGAGAGAGAGAGAGCTCGAGCAATGCGGGCTCGAAACTTCCGATCTCCTACCAGAGGTCTCTGCTTATGACAACAGTAAATCGGATGAAGCGGCTTGGTTTCGGACATGGTGACTAACCTTTTCGCCTTTCAAAGCTGAGGCGGAGGCTGGAATCTCTTGTTGGGAGCTGCTGCTCCTCCTCGTCGAGTGCGACTCAAAAGGCGGCGCTCCTGGTGCATCCTGCTGCAGCTGACGATACTAGGCAGAGATGGCATGAGATATGTTTGTCGCCCAACGCGCGCTGGAAGCAGCGTTCGGCACCGTTTCCAAAGTCTCAGCTCCAAAGTTTCGTCAAAGTCTCCAAAGTCTCACTTTGCATTCCGAGGCAGGCAAAAGTATCTTCGGGTGCCACTGCCGACATGACATGGAGAGTGCCCGCTTCTCGGCGCAACAACCCAACAACACCGATGCGCTGACGAGGCAGCAACGCACGTGCCGCCGATGGTCACGCGCAACGTCGAGGTCGGGGCGCCCTGGGACTCCCAGGCTGGGAGGGCCATCCGCCGGCGCATGTATGTAGCTGACGCCGTCTGAGTACAGCACCATGCCGCTAGCCGATCGGCCATCAGTATGTGTACTCAGCGCTTCGCTCGCTGCAAGCAGACTTCGCTTCCGCATCTTTGCCCAGCCAGTTGAAGGTGCTGGGGCGGCGGGTGCAACCTCTGGCGCCGCGGCCATTACTGCGCGCGCTGGACGCACATGGGCCTCGCTGTTCGACTGTGTGGTGCAGACTGCGAGTTGCTGTAAGTCGCCGGTGAGCGGGTGTGGCCGCGGAGTCGCCAAGATGTGGCGGGGGCGGAACGGAGGCCGTGGACAGCCTGCTTTAGTCGCTGCAGCTCGACACCATGACGAGATTAATTGCCAGCGCGCTTGGCGCGTCCATGCTGGCCACACGAAATTGGTCTGGGGGGGGGACAGACCCAAGTCAAGTCATGGCTTTCGTTGATCTACCGGTATTTCGCGTCAAGCGTGGCGACTAGTTCGAGGTGGACGGACGCACAGCCGCCAGCCACACAATGTGATCGGCATCGGAACAAGGCGCTCAACGGCACCGCCACCGTGTCATGTCAATGACATTGTCATGGATGTGAGTCAATGGGTATCGCACTCAGGTGTGTGCGTCTCAGTGTTCGGGCCCGCTTTTCTGCGCAGGGTTTGCTGTTTGGCAGGGACGCGATGCAGCCCACGGAGAGCAACACTGCAGGGAGGTCACCTCCTCGCGACAGTCGAGCATGGAGCGCCGCGGGCTTCGGACGTGAGGATCGGCCAACTTGGCACGCCATGTTGCAGCACTGCTGCAGGTAGGGCGCCCTCGATGCAAAGCTTCAACGTGTGCATGTGCACAGAAGCGGTGACGCCGCAATGCAACGACGAGGGCTCTCTACAGTGTGTCACGCACCGCCTGATACCGTTTCTTGATGATCAACTTGACCCGCAGCACTTCCAGCGCCTTTGGTCTTGATGGGACCGCTCTGCGGTCATCTGGCAACGCAGTTCCTTGCTCTACATGCATGAGGCCGACTCTGCTGTTGCTGCTGCTTCCAGGGAACGCCGAGATTACGCGCTTTCGTTGTTCGTTGGATCAGCCCGAGGAAGCTACAGCCGATGGAGTCATCGGATCAGCTCGGCCAAGACCGCATGTGACGGCGTCGTAGTCTGAGGCCTGTTCGATCAGGCTCCGTTGCTGACTCCGCGCCACCGCAGCTACTCGTTGCCGAGCTCCTAGATAATAATACTGTACTTCGATGGCGATGAGTTGGCTTGCTGCCACGCCTCAGGGCGCTTCATCGCGGCGGCGTTGTAATTGGCTTCCGCCGAGTAGCCTGCAGAAACCTTGCGCCAAGTGGGAACAAGTCGCAACTTGAGAGCGGCGAGAACGGTGTATGTTCTGTATCCAGGTAGCTTCACTGGCGTCGCCAGAGCAGCCTTGATAGGGAAGGAAAGCACCGGGGTCTAGCCCATTGAGCCGACCCAGCCCCGTGTCGTCCGTTAGTACCAGCCAGCTCCATCCCCAGCAACTGCAGCAGTGCAGCCGGCCATGAACGCGGGCGGCAACATCCCACCGCCGACAACTTCGTACTATCCTCCCGTCGTTAGCCAGCCGATGGATTCAATTAATTAAGGTGTCCTACAATAGTGAGGAAATCTACTACTTTGCTCACGTGCTATCAAAAACTGCAACATTAATTAAGACATGCTACGGTACCAACTAGCTTGCAATGCCCGCATTTATTACTAGTAAAAAATAAGTACTGGGTGCATGTATGTACGATGTGGCATACGCATACGGAGCGTCATGTTCTTTGCACACAAAAGTTCATACAAATGTACGCTTAGACGTAATGCAAAATAATGGAATTATTTATTCTCTGCTCTTCACACACTTCATTAATATCAATACCCTTCACTGGTGTGACTGCCCATGTCCGTACCAGCCTGTCCTGCGGGGTCCCAGCCACCGCTGCAGCCTCGCGTGCGAGCAGCAGCTGCAGTTTTTCCTCGACGTGGAGCAGGCGCTGGAGGCGCTGGAGCACATGCACCGCTCCATCGAAGCGGAGCACGCCCAGAACCAGCGCACCATGGACGACATGGCCGTCCACCTCGCGACCGAGATCCACCTCATGTGAGCGGCGAGCAGAGCGACCAGTACATATCTCCGTGGCCAGCGCCGCTCCGTGTTTGAGGGGAAACGGACACGGAGTGTGAGATCGGTTTAATAACACTTGCGCATTACCAGCATTATTGGCAACAATTTTGATTCATGCTCTTTCGTAAGACGATACTTAGCCCCAGAATGCCTATCATAAGACAAAGCGTCTTAAGTTTTCCGATCAACGCGTTTTGACTACATCTTGGTTTTTGTATACCAGTGGCTACATTGCATATTGTCTGTCAAAACATAAGACAGTTTGTCGGACACTAGTTTGCGCCATACAATTGGCCAAAAGTGTTCAGGTCACAGCGGCATCGTTGCCGCGGACGCGGTGGCAACGTTGAGCGCCGAAACGATGCAGTTGCATGGTGCGGTAGGGTAAGTAGCCTCTTGTTCACACACGAAGCGATGTGCCTGTAGTTGGCCGCTGGCAGCAAGCTTAAATATCGGCATAATGACTGCACGAACGCGTGCATGCAGTCCGTGGAGCTGTTCCACTCAGAGGTGCAGCCGTTGTAGGGCACGGAGTTACGATGAAGTTGGCAGACGTAAACTAAGAGGGACAAATAGCTCGTAACGGTACTACATGTACATTTTAATGTAGTAAATTTTATGCTTGAGCGTACATCATAGTAGTTGTGAAGGCGTGGCAGCCAGGGAACGGTGTTGCCAGTGGGCTTCCCGAGATCTTTCAACCCCCTCTTACCTAATCATTACAGTCCAGCAACAAAATGCAACCACGTACTCTGCAACGGCGATAATACCTAGATCTTATACCTACGACGCTGAGGTGCGGAGGAGCTCCACACTGCTGCGCGGGCGCTCGGCGCGCGCCATATCGCTGCTGGGCTCGACCTTCGGCATCGGCGAGTTACTCGGTATCTCCTGCAACTAAGCCATTGCCTGCAGCCATGCTTTTTGTCGATGCTACAGCGTAGACTGGTTTGCGTATGCGCGCTCTATCCGAATCTCCATCTTCTATGTAGTGTTAGTACTTTACTGTAGAAAGGAGAGTTGGCGTGGTGGGGTGAACGACAACAGTCGTTCACCCCAGTAAAGCGAGAAAACATTGCTCCACTACGGGAACAAACGGTCGCATGATAACTGTGCTATGATGTCCTTACATTCCATTCCTGTCTTCTAGCAGGAGGTTAGTGCATGGCGTCAGGATCAAAGGCCCGGACATTTCAAGGGGCATTTTTCAAGTGCGCTGCCTCTAGTAAAGGGGGCAAAATGCGCACACAGATAAATCAGTCCAATTTACGAGCCGAGATGCAGCAACACTCGAGACTACATAATACAATATTAACCAATGAAATTGCTACATTTGATTTGTCGTCAAACTGTCTTACGAATGCTCGACACAAGTGAATGTCAACGAGTTGCACTTCAACGAGAGCTGTCCGGAAACAAGTGCCCGAGCTTAGGTTAAGACTTGTATTGTATTGTGAACGTTAGTGCGCCTTACGCTCAGGGAATAAGTGATCTACACTCTAGGTTAAGACTTGCGTTTATTAATAGTATTTGGGCCATACTGAGCACCGCTTCCCGCAGTGCTTGGGTATCGCCGATACCTGACACTGACACTTGATGGCAGAGGTCCGAAAATACAGAACTATATTGAATTGAGTACGAGATCAGACCGTAATAAAAATTACAATTCAGCAAGGAGAAATAATAAAAATTGCCGCAATATAAATATTCTGCTCTTAAATTTGAGGCATGTTTGGATTATGCCAGCTGCAGTAGCCTTCATCGTCAAGGTCGTATTTCCCGCGACAGGTCATCTTGCAAGTTGCTCGCTGGTGATCTTCGAGCTTTACCAGCAGAATGGATTTATTTCCCCAAAGTGAAACCTTGAAGCTAAACGACCAAAATTCAATGGAAGGGAATGCCTGCGTTACTGAGACCGCAAGGGACTGCTTTCCGGAGAATCGGATTGTCAAAAACCCACCAAGGGCACAATGGACGTTATCCATTCATTCAATACACTACACATCACATCACACTACAACGCGCAACGCATACAGCTTTCGCTGGACTTCAATTGGAGGTTCAAACGTGCTATTCAGCGGACCCTGCACTCACGTCTGGTGCCAGCACCAGGATAGCTGTTGTAGCAATCAAACCCAGCACCAACGTTAGTTTAACGTCAGCGATGCTACGACAGGCTTTCGTACTCACCAGTCACGGCTCACGCTTGACTCCGTCGGCTTGTTCCGCCTTAAGCGCCCCGCTATCACAAACCTCACCCTGAATGCCACCTCCGGGTGCTTTTGGTGGACCTCGCAGTATCCGTTCGGAAGGAGTTCCCAGTCCTTGCCGCACCGTTCCCCCGTCGAAGCCACAATCCCGCGGGATCGAGATCGTGGGCTGTACGGCTCATAGCCCCAGCACGCTGTGGCGGATTCGACGTGTTTCTCGTGGTACCGGCAGTACCCGTGCGAGTTCAACCCCCGCTTCTTCTTGCAGCGAAGACCGCTCGAACTCGCGGTACCCTTGCAGCTCTCGGCAACGATGACCGGGAGTCCCCATAATCCGTCGAGGTCGCAATGCAAAACATCTTCGTCACAGTTGGCAAGTTGCAAAATGACCACCAAAAGCCCATACCCATCTTAATCAAGTCCAAACGCCTCATAGTTTCTCTGAAAAGTGCTCTGGGACGAGCGTCTCTTATTACTCGGAACTCTGTCTGTCAAAGTCTCTTGCGTAGTCGATTCGCGACGCTAACGCTTCACCGAGTAGATGTTGAACCATCTCCACGCACACGACCCCCCCCCCCCCCCCCCGTGCTGTCTTTGATGTACACGGGCAGCTTAAATTGCTTCAGCTCCTGCGCGACCCAGCTCTCCACCTCCGACACCAGGCCGAGCCTGAACTCGATAATCCGCCCAAGAAGAGCACCCCTGTGCCCTGCATGATGGATGCCCTTGCCAGCTCAAACTTCAAGGGGTTTTGTCACTCTTTCGGAAGAATGACGTACGCCCCCCATCTTTGTATGGCAGCGGCACCCCTCATAAACCAAAAGATGGCCAAGCTATTCGAGAGGAACCCGCGCAACGTGCGGTACGCCCTCGCCCTCTCTCCTCGTTCGTTCGATCTCTGCTGTAATATTGACGATCTCTGCCTATGGTTTGTGCTCAGCATCGCGTCGTGGGTGATGGCGGCCGGCCTGTTCGCCGCCTGGTACAAGTACGACCAGTGGAAGGACCGCCAGTTTTCGCAGCAGGACGCCAGCCAGTGGAACGAGGCCATCCTGCGCATGCACCCGCAGAAGCCCAGCAAGTCCAAGACGAAGGGCGACGAGGAATAAGCCGATGAGTGAATGCAACGGCCGTTTATCGCTCGCTGTGTCTCATCGTTTTTTTTCTCTTTTCCCTTCTTCTTCTGGTCCGTGCCGGGTCCCAGAGGCACAACTGTAGACCCCTCTCGCCGCTTTTGAAGCAGCACACAATTCAACTTGCAGGCCAGCAGACAAAAGCAAAGCTTCTTTGACGAGATGACGACGCCGTTCGAGAATCCCAGCAAGATCGCCAACAACGTCAAGAGCGGCAAGTGGACGTAAGTGGCTTCGGTGGTGCAGTAGCTGTGGTTGTGGATGAAAACGGTGGTGATGGTGTGACTGTTGTTTTGGTAGAACCCCTCTTCTTGTTGCCGCTGGCGTGGGAGCTGCCGCTTGGTACATGGCGTCGAAGCGTGACCACGCCGAGCCCGTTTCTCCCGAGCGCGACCCGCGCAGCTCGCCTCCGTCCAAGATGAACAAGTAGCTGGAAGCAAGATTTGGTCGGTTGCCATGAAAGGCAGGGACTCCGATCCTCTGAGTGATTTAACAATTTACTTTTTTTTACTGAAGATCATGCCATTTTATTGTTGTTGCGCACCTTAGTGATGCTACAGGCTGTCGAAACAAAAAACTGTTTTTGCTGTCGCCTGCAGCCAAAACATCAAGAGGATTGAAAACCTTTCAATCAAACTTGATCAGTCGCACCGAAGAGCTGAGTGTAAAGCTTTCACTCTCCTGTCGTCCCAGCAACGCTTACTTTGTATCTGGACCAAGAAGGAGAAGACTGATGTCGGGAACAGCACCGGGACGCGGAAGTCCGCGCCATTTGGAATGGGTGGAAGAAACTTAGCGCGGAGCACGTAGACCTCTATGTCTCGAGCGGCGTGGGCCGGACGCTCATCCGCCTGGAGCACAGCGGGTTTAAATGCTCATTAGCAAAGCCACTGCTGCTGCTGCTGTGCCCCGACCTAAATAACTACAAGGCGTCGATGGCGTATGTGCACGGCGGCAACTTCGCGCTGGCTGTCGGGACACCGGGCCAAAGGCCGTGGCTAGGGGAAGGAGCACCAGCGAACGGAACCCCCTTGGCTCACTTGTCCGCAGGTGTGGACGCGTCTCCGCCGCTTGCACTCGGACGGTTTATCACTGAACATTTCGATACCGTCGTGGACAAGACGGATGGATCAAGCATAGATGTGCTTTCGTTGCCGGACTTGGAGGTGTACGGCGACGTCACCTTCGCCTTGATCAGTTCACTGCAGTTTAGACGCCGCGGTGCTACTTCGGCCGCGGATGATGGTGTGCCCGTCGAGTCGCAATTGGTTTGTGCATTCATCCTCGACCGAATCAAGGGACGTCCTCAGGCCCAACGACATCTCACGATGGGTTGATACCGTCAGCGAAGGAACATCGCAATGAGTGGTAGTGGAGAGCTGAAGCAGATCACATGTAGTCCTACTAAAGTATCCTTCACTACACTGCATAATTAAAAAAAAATGGAGCGTACAGTGGCGTGTTGAATTTGACATTTTGTTGCTTAATGTACAGTAGCACTGGAGCAGTAGTTTGCTACCACGCTATTCACGAGAAGTCATGGTCTGGACTATTCGGCCGATAAAAAACACAGATTCATGTACTCTACATAGTATGACCTGGCAAATATCCCGGCAAAATCTGAATGTGAAACCACGTCGTAAAGGTGATCATGGACATTGCCGACTAAGGGCATCACGAGTAGCAACACAGAGTAACGATGGATTCCGCTCAGTGATTTGAAGAAAATATACTGGAGTACACTTGGTAGTGTACTTGTTGTGAGAAAGTTGCAAACACTGTCGAAACCCCATTAAGCTTCCAATCGCAATAAAGCTGACCAGGCGATAAGCGATGTTTCGGTTTTCGACTATGTATCTTCTTACACTCCGTGTTACATGCAAGTGCCATACTTCCTATGAGAACAACGGTACGTATTATAAACATTGTTTGTAACGTCGGTAGTGAAACACTTAGCTACTGTACTAAGTAGAATTTACGAAAGTGATATGTAAGTAGTTGTGTAGCTCTACTACCGAGCTTCGCTGCAAAAAAGCTTGTTCACAGGTCGAAGACCTGGGCAAAAAACTTGTAACTTTCCAAAACCGGGTACCAAACCGAGTCTCTCTTTCTTAGTAGTAATGTTTAAGCTAATATCTGCCGGAATCGGGTCCGTCGATAAATGCTAAGATTTATGCACATTATTTACCAAAGGTTGATACTAATTGTTCATTCTTTACCAAAACCTGCGTTCAAACACTTACGGACGCTCCAGTACACTATGAGAGCGTCATGGCCTCGCTGAAGGCGTATCAATTTGCGCCATAATCGACCAAGCTTAGCTGAAGATGACCAATATGACTTGTCTAGCTGCAGTCTGCATTTTTTACATGTCAATTTGCTCAATACTCAATCACTTAGCCGAAGATGCCCAACCTCGTGTCTCTCGCCAAACCAACCAGCTCAACTCGACAGTGACACGAGCATCGTTCGTTTGAATTAGGCTTTCTTAACCTGCGTTGAAGCGCCCACTTCCAAGGACTTGGCACATTAACGTATTTCTCATTCCGCAATTTACCCTCAAGTTAAAAGGTCAAGATCAGCGCACCATGCATCTCTCCTTCGTTCCGCTAGCTCTCCCGTCTGATCGTTAGCACACAACATAGTACTAAATGAGCACAGTATACCTTACCTGCAAACTGAATGAAATAGCTCTCTCGTTGCTGGCGTCAACGCAGCCATTGGACGCTGACCAGGGTGTTATTCCCGGGCAGATGCTGTGGCTGCGAAGCAGGCGCAGAAGATGCCCACGTTAGAATCAACTAGAGAGTTCGGCTGGTAGTGCTATTTTAAAATCCTTAAAAGGATTAAAAACAACACAACTTTGGGATTTACTCAATTGTTATCCGTTATCATCGTCCATGAAACCATTCGCCGACCTGTGTACCCTCCCGGAGCAACGCTCCGGGTTGCCTATACCGAATGAGCGGTATCAGTAACTTGTAACGGTGGCTGGCCTCCAGTTAATAAAGCAACTAAGTTTTGAGCTACTACACTTCTGTGACGATGTACTAAGTAAAAGTAACAATTTGATCATCATTTTTCATGCTGTAATCGCCAGCATCGAATCGACAGTTGTAGCAAACTTTCCTTCAAAATCTGCTGGGTACCCCGGGATATTTACCAGACCATACTAAGTAGGGAAGATTTTTAAACAGGTCATATGCAGGTCTGGTCTTTTTTGGTCCGTAGGACCAAAACAGGACCGAAATAAAATTAGCCTCCAAATGGGACCTAAAAAAGAACAGGGTTTTTAAAAAACTCTATAATTGTATAGGTAAACGGGAATTAGATGTATTATGCATTGGAGGGGAAATTGCATAAAAGAAAACCGTGTCAGGGCCTTCAACCTGCTGTCAACCGTTAATTGTCAGTCATGCTGCGGGTAACCCGGCTTGTACGTCGCTCGACTCTAGCTGCCCGGGCCGTCCGACTTGGTCTATCAACTTGGGCTTCCTGGGAACGCATCGATGCTAGACCTCCATGATCACCCCTGCCACCACGAGTTGAAGTTGCCCTGCCACCTCGAGTTGAAGCTGTACGACCACCGCGAGTTGAAGCAGCACGACCAGCGCGACTGGTTCGTGAGATCGACGACCTAATGGCTTCACGACGCGCAGCGTTAACACGCGATGTCAAATCGACCGCAACTGGCAACTCGATCTCCCCCGTGAGCTGGGGCAACAGCTCTGCGATTAGAGATATCGCCAAGCAGTTGCACGTAATGTGTCGATTGTCGATACGAAAGCGGGAATGCTTGGGTGTGGCGCAGCGATGGATGCGTTGAGTTCCCGGTTGAACCGCTCCAGGGGGTTGTTGGTTCGGCTTACCACTCCCAAATCCATGCCATAAACATCCCACACATCGACTGGAAAAATGTTGATCCATGTGCGACGAAAATACTTCCAGAAACGATCCCACCGAACCGCCGAGTACTCAATCTCTTCGGTACGGCAGCGAGACATAATCAACTCGGAGACATAGTTGATTCCGTGGGGATCGACATGAGCAGGTACGATCACGGTTAGCATGTCCAACACGCCGACTTCCATCGCAATCGAGATCTCCTGGGGTCGGATACGCATCTTCATCATGCGTCGTCGGGTCGCTTGCTTGAAGTGAAACAAGCATCCGATGACCCTGGCGTGCGGAAACTGGTAGGTCACTGAATCGATCAGCGCTGCCTCGAAGTCGCAGACAACACTCCCAGGTTGAAGGTGACTACCCGTGCAGTCATTCATGAACCGCATCAACTGGTATAGTTGATGGGTTTTGCCAGTCGTAAGAGCGTAAACGCAAGGCACGAACACGCCACTTGCTGCGTCGCTCACCATCAACACGACACACCGGTAGAACGACCTCGGGACGCACCGGAAAGTTCCGTCGACGGACATCTGCGAGCCCGAATACCGAAGTAACTCCAGCAGTCGAGAGTCCGCCCAACCCAGCACACGCTGTAGCCGCTCGCCCTCCATGAATTCGTGGTGGAACTGGAAAAATTCAAGGTAGTCCCTTGAACCAGGCTCTGCGGTGCAACCTCGACCAATCCATGCACGTTTCCACCGAAATGAACACGTCTCGTGCGGTACACACGTTGCCGGACTTGATGTCGTGTCAGTCCTTGAACAACCGCGCTGTCGTCTCTGACGAAAAACGGCTCGGGACCGCCAACCAAATCTGTTGCGCCGTGTGTGAAAGGTGCATAATCGACAATCGATCAACCTCGGCCTTCATTTCATCGGTGACGTCAACGTATCGGCTTGGAGCTTGGCCCGTCCCTTCACAAGTGTGTGGCGTAAAATTGTAGAACACATCTCGCGCAAAACTGTAGTCGACTTTCCCTTTGCACCCCGGAGTACGTCGGTAAAAGCTGCACCGGAAGGAAATCTTGCGCGAGGACTCTCGGGCTTTCGTGTACTGATGGCCGTTGAGTTGGATGCCGGTGCGATGCGCTGTCGCGACGAGGTCGATTCCCGCATGCCCTTGACGCCCTGACGCAGAAGGTTGAACTGCGAGCTCGTCGCCTTCGTCCTCACTGCTAACAGTCTCCATTTCAGGGTCGTATGCGTCAGAGTCGTCCAAACTGCTGCTGGCTTCGCTGTCGTCCATGTCATAGCGGGAAGAACCGAGAACAAGTCCGCCGGGCAGCCTGGTCACATCCCCTTGAATGGGCACGCTTGAGCCACCGCTGGGTACCGAGTCATCGTCAACTTCAATATCTCGCGGGGGAGTCCCAGTCGGCGAGTCTTCATCATCGCTGTCGTCATCACTGGTGAAACAGGGTTCTCGATCCCCATAAACAGGAGAGAGATAGCCAGCATCGCTGTCAGCATCACTGTCGCTCGCCGACGCTCCTCCACGATCCGAATTGAAGCCAAATTCCCACTGCTGGTCGAATTCACCGTCGCTGCGGTGGCTTGAAGAGGTCGGAGTTGATGCGGTGGTGGTTGGCATCACGACTTGACGCAGAGCAGGGGTTGCAGGGGTGGAGGCGGCGAAGGCGAAGAGCTGGTGGGTTGTCAGAAAAAATCCGAATGAACACAAATTCACACCGTTAGAGCAAATCCCAACAGCAGCTAAAAATTTTGTTACCAGTCTAAACCTACGTAACTACTGGTATGTTTGGAAACCCCCGTTCAATCGCATAATGTTACTATTAGATCGAATTGGTTCAGACAATAAGAGTCCGTCAGTATTCGAACTTGTGTATTCTTAGCAGCACAATCCCACGTAACGGAACTTGGAGCTCCCTGTTCAATCGCATAGTGCTTGAGAATGTTCAGAAATCCAGCCTATAGGAAGCCTTCACTATAGAAAGTTTTCCGTTTTTGTCTTTTCAGTGTCGATATACAACTTCCCAACCCTGGACAATCTCATGATGTTGGGAATAAATAGTCTAAAGATTTAAAATAGACAATAAGGCCGAGTTTTGATGGAATAGTTCCACCATGCAATAATATTAAAAATCTTTGGATGTTCTAAGGGTAGCACCCTGTTACATAGACCACCTCTGTAAGCCTAAACTTGGAATGGCCCAAACTACGATTTAGATCGAGATTTTGAGATCCAGTCTTCAGTCCGGTACACTTAGTACTCAGCAAACTAACGGTGATTTGAATATAACAAACATTGGATGAAGGGGCCAGCTCTGATCAAATGGCGACTACCGCTTTACCGGGCGCCGCTAAAGGGGTGGCTAGCCCCTCCATTTGTCGTCGTTGCCTTTACATAACCTTTTTCAACCGCCTATTCAAACGATAGTAATAGCTTCGTAAACTTAAAGGTCCTCGATACTAAACGTACGAGGAAGATAAATTAATCTAGAAATTATCCTATATTGACCAATTCTTCCTTTAGTACACCGTTTCCATTGTTGTTATGCAATATGCTCTACCACACGGACATGTACCGAATTTCAGACATGTTGTGAACCAAAGTATAATCCCCAGCAGTACTCTAAGTCAACTAGCCCCAAAATACTAAGCTATATCATCTACTACTACTAAATATCACGATATTATATATCAAAGTGAAGAGGGTCTAAAATTAGCGTGTTTCGTAGTGATACCATTTGGGTCTCGGCATCCAAACGAGACCACCGGGGAAATCATACTTATTTCCCGTTCGGTCTCGTTTTAGATGTCGTAGGACCAAAACAGGACCAGACCTGCATAAGACCTGTTTAAAACCTTACCACTAAGTAGAGTACAGGAAGCTGTTCGTTTATGGATTTCTGCGAATGCGGCCGAGTCTAGCTTGAGTGAGGAAACTTGCCGGATGGTGTCTCGTGAAAAGAGTAGCAGCAAACTACGTTTCCAGTGCTACATTAAGCAATAAAATGCTAAATCCAAGATGCCACCGTAAGTTCCACTTGTTTTCAGATTATATCTAACTGACAGTATTTTTCACTCTGTTTTTTGACATGAGGATAACGGCGCGGAACTCTGCGAAGTCGACTGTATCGTTTGAATGTAACACGCGCGTGCACGAATAGAGCTCTTCGTTCTCCCGTTTTTCACCTCACCAGCCACTCTACTCAACTCAAACTCGACGGACAAATCCGCACCAGTGCTCTACCCCTCCTCGTTCTTGCCAGTCTTGCCAGCCCAGGCACAGTCGCCACCGACAACGTCTGCAATGGACCCAGCGCGCGCACCCAACCTCCAGCAGGAGCTATCGTAGTCGATTAAACCGGCAACTACAACGGCAGCTTCCGCACCGTGGCGAGGGAGTGGCCAACATCCCCAACACGACAGATGAACACACGCTCTTCGTGTTCCCCGGGGTCTACCGTGAACAAGTGTTCATCGATCCGTTGAATGGCCCCTTGGTGCTGCAGGGCTACACCTGCGACACCATGTCGTACGCTGCGAACCAAGTGACCATCACCCAGGCCAAGGCTCAGCGCGACATCCCAATGGACTACATCGGAGACCGCAACTACCCGACCAGCACCATGGGTCTCGCGGCGAGCAACGTGAAGATGTACAACCTCAACGTCGCCAACACGGCCGGCAAAATCGGCGGTAAAGTGGGTCAGGCCGTGGCTGCGTACGTGGGGAACGGGACGGACTACGGCTTCTACGCGTGTAACTTCAGTTCATACCAGGACACGCTCTGTGCGATGAACGGCAAGCAGCTCTACGCTCGCTCGTACATCGGAGGTGCTGTCGACTTCATTTTCGGCAAAGTCGCGACTGCGTGGTTCGAGGACTGCGATATCGAGTCGGTCGGAAAGGGGTACATCACTGCAAACGGCCGCTACAGTGAGGAGAATCCGTCCTGTGTTCAATAACGCGGGCGTGTACGGCCCCAGTGGATTTAATTCGACGTATCTGGGTCGCCCATGGCGTCCCTATTCCCGCGTCGTGTTCGAGAACAGCGAGCTCAGCGACATCGTCCGTCCGGACGGGTGGAAGATGTGGAACAACGACACCAACACGGCCAACATTTTCTACAAGGAGTTCAACAACACTGGCCTCGGTGCGGCCACCGACAAGCGAGTGACTTTCAGCGGGAAACTGGACAAACCGGTGCTCATCACGGACACCTTCGGCGAGAAGTACACGTCGGAGTGGTGGGTGGACGCCAAGTATCTGTAAGAGCTCGCGATGGCCGTAGAGTGTGGAGTTGCTCGAGCGTAGTCATGAGGATCAAAACCATGAATACAAGGAAGTCTGTCTGTGGGGGGTGGGGGTGGGGGGGGCAATAGAAGTACTTCCCGTAACACAAAGAAAACTTCAGCATTTCTTGAAACCGAAAATGAATACTACCAGAAAAACTAACAATGGACATAATCGATTTCGTGCTGCTAGCCTTCCCCCACAGTCTGGCTTTGCTGATTACCTTTTCTGGTGATTGAAGTATCTCAAAGCTAGCAGTGAAAGCACTTGGAGAAGGGCGATAGAGGCGAATATGATTCCAAAGTGGCTCCAAATCTCTTCGTACTTGATGTTGTACTCTTGGCCGATGTACTCTTTTACAGTGACGGAACCGAGTGACAACGGCGAGTTTCCAAGCGGCTGACAGCCAATCTGCGAGCCCGCGTTTACATACAACTTCGTGTCTTTATCGTACGTCGCCTCTTTCCAACAGTCACCAAACACAAGTGAGACGAGAATTGACAGTGCGGGGAGATGTAGTAGCACCACCTGTACATGTCCGGGATCGATGCAGCGGGGGAATTGAAACCCGAGAAAAGCATGAAGAAGGAGTTGAGGAGGACGCCCACGATCGCGGCCAACTCGACAGTCGGGAGGGCGTGCACGAGGAACTGACCCAGGTATGTCTCCACTAGCACAAACAGCGACACAGCTACCCAGTACAGCAGACCAGTGTAAATCGAAGTGAAGCCCAGCATCGGGTAGAATACAACGGAGAAGATCAATCCACTTGCGAATGCGTACGGGATCTCGACCAAGAGTACACTGTACGTCTGCGAATTCCGCTCGCGGTAGTACGACGCGCGCTCTTGAGCAGTAAACGGTAGAACGCCTACGAACGAGATGTTTCCTTGGTACATCGCTGTCATCAAGATCACCCCCACGGCCGAGTTCATCCCTTGATACGTCGTGAAGTCTTCCACGACAAGTAGCAGACCGAAGGCTGAGCCCAGACCCAGCGCAATCACGAGTCGTGTGAGGTTGTACGACGGGGTCCGCCAGTATGCCGTAAAGAAGCGTCGAGTCACTAAACACACCTGCGTCCAGGAGCTGGCAGCTCGGTTGTGGTTGAAAACAATCTCCGAGTTAAGGTCGGAAGCAGATTCGGCGACACCTGGACGATTGAGTTGACGCAGGAGGGCGGCATGCTCCTCACTCTCTCGAAAATGGTGCGCGAAATCAATATACCGAGTCACCCGTTCATCCTCCAATGCCTCGATGCCTGCACCGATACACTCGAGCGTCCAGGTTGCTGAATTTCGACCTTGAGATAGACGAGGAGCGCCGGGGATGGATTCAAAGTAGTCGATCAGACGCTCGCCCGTGCGATTACTTGCCAATTCGTTGTGTAGAACGCCAAAGTAGACCATTTCGCCGCCTTGTTGCAGCAGTAGCAAGGTGTCGAAGAGGCAGAAAATGTCGGAGGACGGCTGATGAATGGTGCACACAACGGTCCGACCGCTGTCGGTCACCTTCCGCACAGCGTCCATGACGGTTTTGGCTGCGTGAGTGTCGAGGCCACTGGTCGGTTCATCGAGGAAGAGTACGCTGGACTGAGCTGCGAGCTCGACACCGATGCTCAATCGCTTCATTTGCTCTTGCGTCCGACCGCGGATGGTCTGATCAGCAATTGAACGCAAGTCTAGTAAGTCCAAACACTCCTCCACAGTAGCGCGTTTGGATCGGATAGAAACACCACGCTGTTGGCGCAAGAACGCGCTAAACGTGAAAGCTTCATGGATCGTGGATGCTTCCGAGTTTACGCTTCGTTGCTCGCAGTACCCGGTGCAGCGTCGCATCGTGTTAGTGGTAGCGGGGTAACCATTGAGCAAAATCTCACCGCGAATGCTGCCTTCCGTCTTGCGTCCAGCGATCACATCCAGTAGCGTGGTTTTACCAGCACCGGATGACCCCATGAGAGCGGTCATTGTACCTGGAAGTGCGTATCCACTCACGTCCTTGAGTAAGTTTACCGATTCCTGCTCGATGTTCACCGAGTACCAAAGGTTTTTGAACGCCAGAGTGATCGGCGCAAACGCTTCTCGCTCCTGTATGCTCACCATGACGTCTACTTCCGGTCCAGGTAAGCTTGAAGCAGCAGCAACACACGGTGTCGAGATCGTCGCATAGTGATTTTCCGTTGGTGTTTTGTTGCTGCTGGGCTTGAGCTTCTCCTCAACCATACTTCTACTGCAGGATTTGGGTCCATCGTGGCGATAGAACTCGAGGATGGCACTCGTCGCTGCGATAAAGAAAATGTTGGCAAAGACGAGGTAGAGCACGCCCGCCCAGATCCACGCAGGGCTTGACGGGACGTCGTACGTGAAGAGCAAGTACTTGCCAATGGTCTTGTTAAACTGCTCGCAGTAGTCTTGACCGCCGTAGACGCACACACTGAACTTCGATGAGCGGTACTGACTCACAGCCACCGACCGCAGACACCACGCGAGGGGGTTGATCCAGTACAACCAGGAGAAGATGTTCAGGTTGGGCAACAGCGCTGTCATCGCCAAGAACGACCCGGTCACGGCGGTGCTGACCAGGATCAAGCTCAGTCAGAGGAGAAGGTAAAGCCCGATGTCGGGCACTAAGCCACAGGCCCAGTACACGACGGACCCAAACACGACGCACTCGACTACAATATCTGGGAGGAGGGCCGCGATGTATGCGATCACGAAGGACGTAGAGCGGTAGAAGTTGGCTCGGCGGTGCTTGTAGTAAATCTCCCGAGCTTCCATGAACGTCGGGATCTCGGACGCTTGGCCCACCGCCATGAACACCGCCGACTGGTAGAATATGCCTAGCGTCACCTGGATATTCGCGAGATCAACCTTGTAGAACGTACTACCGTAAGTAAACGCGCCTCCGAGAACCAGAATGCCACGAACAAGCAGGAATTGCCGCCGTCGAAGAGCGATCTTTGTTTGCCAACGGATCGCCAACCACGTGCTGCTCCAGAAGGACCAGTAGAACACTTGTGTTTTTGACAAATATCGTTCCGCGACCTGGAGCCGTTCGCTGTCCAATGGTGCAGCCAGCGCTAATAAGAGGTTTTGGTGCAGTTCGGATTGCTGAAAACGAATCGCAAATTCGCTGGGCACTCGCGGCCACGAGCAAGAGAGGCTTCCGCGTTGAATAATTTCGTACTGTTGCTGCTGGTCGGTGGCGAGATCCAGGAGAAAGTCGGCGATGTTACGATCTGAGGGACACTAGAAACCGAGACTTCGAAAATAGGGAAGTATTTGTTCCCGTGGGCCCTGGTAAATCACTTCGCCATTGTTGAGAAGCAGAATATTGTCGAATAGCTCGAACACTTCAGGTGTGGGCTGGAGGAGGGCCATGACCACCGCCGTCTGTTCCTTCCTAGCAATCTCTCGCTGCCTGAATGCGATGTCGAATGCGGTAGCACTGTCGAGGCCGGTGGTGACCTCGTCCATGAAAGTCGCGAACTTCGTGCCAAACACCATTTCGCCGGTTGTCACGCGTCTGCCCTCACCTCCAGATACCCCACGACTCAAGTCGTTGCCGATCTTCGTATCCCGACATCCTTTCAGTCCGAGCTGTTTAATGACGAGATCCGGGAACCGATAATGCTGCTTAGGTGACAGCAATTCTTGTTCTGGTAGAATTGATGTCGGATCACCACAGCATGCATGAGCGAACTCCAAGGTCTCTTGCACAGTCAGCGATGAAAAGTGTTGGTCACTTTGTGGCACGTAGGCGGCAAGCTGCGGCAACTTTGGGAGAAGATTCTCCCAATCCACACCATTGTACGAGATGCTTCCTTCGATCATAACGTGCTTGTTCATCGGCAGCTGGCCGCTCAGCGCCTTCAGAAGCGTCGACTTGCCCGATTCAGGCTGTCCTAGCACGAGGGTGAGAGTCCCCGGTTCGAAGACAGCGTTTACCCGGTTCAAGATGAACCTCGACTTGGTAATCTTGCCACAGGTGAGTTTGCTGGCTTCGTCTTTGATACTGTTGAGCAGAGACGGCAGCTTGGGAGTTAAGTTGTTCGGTGACCTCGTGATGGTGACTTGAGTCTCAACAACCACGGAAAGCTCGTTGCAGCGTATCTCCATCTTCAGCAATTGGTTTGGAAGCGTTGGCCTCGGCTGAGAACCTGATCTGGGGGGGGGGGTGCGTCGAAGAGAGCGAAATGGTGAGCGGATCTTTACAACAGCAGCGCGTTCGCCCACCTCAGCGCCATGGTCGTGCACACCGCGGAAACAAAAGCTTCGACCACGATGTCCGTTCACGTAAGGTTTCGTGGCGTGCGTAGGAGCCATAACGCTTTCTTCTGCTGAAGTTCTCGCACTCGAATGCCATGCTACCAGAGTCGATCTTGATAGTCCAACAGCATACAACACTGTAAGTTAAATCGTAACCGTGGTCAAACAGGCTAACAGGATAGAAACCACACTCCAAAATTCTGACACGACAAAACCAGCACTCGTCACTACAGACTTTCGAGTAGGCGTCCCAGCGCACGGGGGTTGCCTTTCGCCATACCGTACCAGATGCCCCCCCCCATTCCCTTTATTGAACGGCGCGCGCGGGAGGGGGGGGGGGGGGGTAGAAGACTCACAATCGGGTTCATCTGGGACTGAGTGCCTCGAAGTCGGTTCCACTTGTAGAATGGCCCTCGTTTTACAGGAACCAACACCGGCACCTTCGCCCACCCCAACACCATTGTCGAACGCACTGTGGCTGGAAACGATGAAACGAAAGACGCTCACCACTTCACAACCTTCTCTGCTGCGTAGACGATCAACATCAACCGCTTACTTGCAAGCAAAAAGTTCAAGTCGGGGGTCCATGAGCATCGGAACTCCAACACCGTTCACCGTTGCAGCCGACGCCAATCAAGCATGCTCAGAACCTTGAGCCCAACAACGACAAACCGACAACCGCCATCGCTCGAACCGCGCGATCTCGCCAGTCGCTTCGCGCTCGCGCGATCCAACGACCATTAGCTTCGTTCCTGCCGCAGCATTTGTAGCCCCGTACCGGCACTCCCACAAAGCAGCTAACGACACCAACCACGCCTTTGGTCGTCTTCACCAACTCGAATTTATTCATCACCACTCTCGGCCACTGCAGCACCGGAGCTTTGTGTTAGGCTGGTCACTGTCGGGGGCTATCCTATGCACCGCTATGCTGACGTGACGGCTAGTCAACGCGGCTGCAATGTGCAAAATGGGTTCGCCCATGTGATATCCAAGATCTCACTCCGGTACTCGCCCGCCGGCCTGCAACATGCTGCCGGCAACTTGGCAATGCCGGTCACGCAGTGCCTGCAAAGCGCCACTACGAATCCGCCACGAAATGCCTGCATCCATTTGGGCGGGACTCAACCGTTACGCGGGCTTGACTTGAGTAAAGTAAGTGCTCCTGGTTCGCCCAATCAGAGAGAGTCTGAGCTGCGGTTTTCCGCCAATCCTCTGCCGTGAACCCAACCAGCCGTTGGGTATTCAGTTCACACAGCCGAAAGGTCTCCGGCCTCATTCCGACATTAGCGCCGGCAGGCAGGCTCCATGGCGATCCTGCGCGCTGCAGCGCTGGTGGCCGCACTCGGCACGCTGGCCGATGCGTCCACGGATATCCCGGCCCAGCTGTATGGGAACACGGCCTACTCCCAGCCCACGACCCCCTCGGAGCTCCCCACCGCGCTCTCCGACCTCGTCAACACCGTGAGCAACTTGACCTCCTTCTCGTACAACCTGCAGCGCGCGCTGCTGTGGAGCGCCGGCTGGGTGCGCGCCAACCCCGACACTGCCGGCTCCAGCTCGGCGTTCGACGACGTGTCGAGCGACTACGTGCAGGTGTACGTGCTCTGCGGCCGCACCATGGCCGACGTGTTCCAGTCCGCCTCCGCCTTCGACAACGACACGGCGTGCCCCATCCTGAACTGCAAGAGCAACGTCATCACATACACCGAGGCGAGCTGCGACGTCGACTTTGCGGCCGAGAAGGCGCTCTGTGCGCTGAGCTCGGGCATCACGGTGACGCCCAAGTCGCACGACGGGCCCCTGTGGTCCCTGGACGGACAGATCGACGCCGACAGCTTCGACCCGCAGATCTACCAGTACGCAGGCAGCACGAACAGCACGACGCTGTACATGTTGGCCCAGAAGAGCTCGTGGAGCATGACCGACGACTCGTGCCCTAACAGCGCGACGTTCATCGAGCCCTGCATCAGCGTGGACGCCAGTTCTGTCGAGGAGGACGCGCAGGAGAAGACGTGGTGCGAGCCGGAGATCGATCTCGGGGTGCAGCGCTGGCTGGCGGAGGAATACGCGGCCAATCTTGCGTCCAGTGGCGGGGGCTCGGACTCGTCGTCCAAAGTTTCGTCCACTGTCGCCATTATTCTAGGAGTCCTCCTCGGAATCTTCGTGGTCGGGTGTATCGTCTTCTTCTTCATGTGGCGCCGCTCCAAGAACTGGCACAAGGACGGACTGCACGACAACGACCAGAACACGTTCTTCATGCAGGCGCAGTCGTTCCGCGGCAACCAGCCGCAGGGCGGGGGCAACGTCTCGGGCCAGTACGTGTCCAACAACGGGCCGCACCCGAGTTACGACAACGCCATGCAGATTGAGGCGGTGAACGAGAGCTTCCGCATGCGCTCGCCTGAACTGGCGGCCTTCTGCGACGACCAGGAGCTCATGCTCAAGCGCATCGCGTTCGCAGGTATCATCTACAGGGAGCAGATGTCGAGCGGACCGAACGGAGAGGTGTGGCGTGGAGAGTACGAGGGCCAGCAGGTGGCTATCAAGTGCACAGTTGCGGCTGCAGTCGCAAGCGCCGCCGCCGCTGCCAACGCCAGTCGCGGCTCCAATGCCATGAACGCGTCTGCTCTGGTCAATGACAAGGAGCTCAAGGCCCTCGTGGACTTCACCAAGGAGATCCGCATGGCTGCGTTCCTCGACCACCCGAATATCGTCCGCTTCGTCGGCCTGTCGTGGCGTACACTGCCCGATCTGTGCATGGTGTCGGAGTACGTTGCGCTCGGAGACCTTGCGCACTTCCTTGCCCAACCGGACAGCAAGAGTTTGACCTGGAGGGAGGACAAGCTGCCTATCGCGGCGGACATCTCGAACGCACTCGTGTACCTGCACTCGTTGTCGCCCATTGTGCTGCACCGTGACCTCAAGTCGCTGAATGTGCTGCTGACCGAAGACCTGCAGGCCAAGGTGAGCGACTTCGGCCTCAGTCGGGAGACGAGCTTCGACGAGACCATGACTAGCGGCGTCGGCACGCTGCTCTGGACTGCGCCCGAAGTGCTGCGCGGAGAGCGGTACTCGGAGAAGGCCGACATCTACTCTTTCGGTGTCGTGCTGGCCGAACTGGACACGTGCATGCCCCCGTACGCCTACAGCCAAGGCGGGCGCAAGAACAAGGGCAAGAACGACATGGACTGGGTGCCCCTCATCGCCAGCGGGCGCGCGTCGCCTCCGTTCCGACCTGACTGCCCGCGCGCGATCCGCGACCTCGCGGCTCAGTGTCTCGACCAAGACCCGAGCAAGCGCCCGCCCGCCATGCAGATAGTGTACATGCTGCGATCCAAGATCCCGCCCACGCTGTAAATTCACTCACTCTATTGTTCCAAGCCCACACACAGGGGGCTACTCCATCCATTTAAGCTACAAATGGCATCGCAATTCTTTTTCATGTTCGTACACTGCCTAGTGTCACCGGCTACTTGACGGCTTCAAGTTGAAGTGATCTAGTAGTCAGATCCACCCGAGATGGCTACATCGGCATAATGTGCATGTTCGCTGCGTATTGTTGCACCGTTGACGTTGCACCGTTGACAGCATCCTCGGCTTGCTGCAGTCGAGCACCTCGGCCGCACCAGTGACGATACAGCCATCGCCGTGGCTTGCGCGCAAAATACTCGGCGGGGTCTCGTTCGCGCCCATTGCTGCGACTTGGAACGAGCGGCGCTGCTTCTTGCGTACAGTGAAGTAACGACTGCAGCCGAGCGTCGAGGCAGCATCGCTGCTGCCTGGGCACAGGAGTGCTCATGGGCGTTCAGCAGAGGCCGTTGCTGACGGGTCGAGCCAGTCAAAGTGCACTCGAGCTGCGCCGCTGTCTGAAGATGCAAAACGTGGTCATTGCGGCATCGCACGGCGGAGCAAAAGAGCCGACAGACGTGCGGGCGTCGGCATCGCAGCACTAACCAACCGGCAGGCTGGTACGCAACGCGGGTGTTGTTGCTTGTGGTGGCGAATTGGTGAGGAGAGTCGGTCGTTGCGGTGAGGCGGAGGCCCACAGCAGCAGCAGCAGACACCTCGTCAACCGCCCGACGCTGCAACTCTCTTGATCGACAATGGGGCAGCGAGAACCCGTGAAGCTTGTTATTCTCTCAGCTGGGTCTGGAGTCACAGGGAGCTCCACAGTCGATGCTGGCAACGACACCTCCAGCTCACTACCGGAACGAACGGTACAAGCTCCGTCACCCACGAAGCCGGCGTCCTCTCCGGAAGGATCTTCGGTCACGGACGATGAACTCGGGATCATTGTCGGCGGCAGTCTCATGGTCGTGGTCATGCTCAGCATCCTCATCATCGGCCACCAGAGGCGGCGAAGGATGAAGAAGGACGCCGCGCTGGAACCTTCACCCGGTACACTTGAGGCATCCACCCGGCGTTCTCCAGCCAACAACGCCCCGGGGATGTACGTCCTGGACAACAATTCGTACCTGTCGTCGTCGATTTCGTTTGGTTCTCGGGCGTCCTGCTTCCTGCAGGCAGAGTCGGAAGATTGCGAGTCTTGGAACCACCCCGTAGTGCTGGCGGTTCGCGTCTCCGTGAATGAGATTTCTCTGGACGAACTCGTTGCGCGTGGCACCAACAGCGAAGTATATCGCGGGCAATATCGTGACCAGGTTGTGGCGATCAAGAAGCCGCTCCCGCAGTGGCTCGGAGACCGCAAAAATGTCGATGCCTTCTTCGAGCGGGTGAGGATGTTGACGTCTCCGGCGTTGACACACCCTGGCATCGTGTCGTTCCTCTGTGTGTCGTGGAGATCGCTCGTGTATGTGTGTATGGTGTCTGAGTTTATGGCGGGGGGAGACCTCCGTTCGTTCTTGAGTCGACGACAACACCAAGTGTCTGGAGCGCGCGATGACTTCGCTCGCCGAGGGTTTTGCCGTCAGAAAGTATACCTCGCATCCCAGATCGCGAGCGCGCTGAGCTTCCTGCACTCGCAGGGGCTGGTGCACGGAGCGATACGCTCCCCAAACGTGCTTCTGGATGAAAATCTCAACGCCAAGTTGACAGGATTTCAAGGCAGCAGCGTCCAGCCGCCAGTTGGCCGTAGAAGCCCGACCCACGATGCCGCTGCAGTCACGCCAGTACCACCGAAGCTGCTGACTGCGTCCGTGCCGATAGCAGTGACGGAGAGGATACGACGAGAGCGCTCTCGGATCGGAGCTCTTTGGAGCGCGCCCGAGGTGCTCCGAGGCGAGCGGACGAGTGCTCAAACTGACGTTTTCTCGCTCGGAGTCGTGCTGTCGGAGCTGGACTCGCTGTCGGCGCCCTATGGCTATAGTGGCCGGTTCGGCGAGCACGCCGACAGCTCTGAGCTGCTCGAGAAAGTCGCTATGGGGCATGTCCGCGTGCACTTCGCCAGCTCTGGACGAGGCAGACACGGCCGACGGGGGTCGTCGTCGCCCGCAGAAGTGGTGGACGCCCGCCTTACCGCCACGGTCGTGCGTCTGGGCAAGGCGTGCGTGGCGCTGGACGCCGTCGAGCGCCCATCGGCCGCACTGGTGTCGGCCGAGCTGCACAAGCTGCTGCAGAGTACCGACCCCAAGCTTAGTCGTACGCCGAGCAAGCAAGGACCGCCGGCGTAAGCTCGTCGGCCTTGTCGGCGCCATGTCAAGGCCAACGTGGCGATCTGCCTGCAGCCTGCAGCGTCCCGTGGCCAGCCGTTTTCCGCCAGCTGTGCCAAACCTCATAGATACTTTCGCGACAACTTCAACATGCCATGCCAACCTTAAAGAGTCGGTCGGGTGGCGTGAGTCGCCGCAACAGCAGACAACAACAACCAATAATGTAGCAAAATGTACTCTACACGCCTCGGTTACCAGCTAACTACCAAACGATACTAAACAGCGAGCGAGCGAGCGACATCGGTCGGTAGTTTATTTCGTGGCGTCGGCCCAGCAGACAGACGCCGGCAATTGCGACGGTGGGGCGTTTGAGCAGGAAAGCGCGGCTCCGCTGCGTCCGAAACCCTCGCGCGCTGCGTGTGCGGGGCAAAGCGCTCGCTCGCCGTTCGTGCGGATGTGATCTGGTGGCTCGTGCCGGGAAGAGAACCGCTCGCTATACAATGTATCGTCACCCCGCTCGGCCGAAGCTGAACCCAACGCCCGTGACTGGCATCAGGCCCAAAATCCTCACAAATCCCACCTTGAAAAAACAGTCAAGATGCGGGCTGCACTCAAATTGTGGGTAAGGCATGGGCCATGGTACATCTATACAGCACAAGAGCATTTATATCACATTTTATTCTACCTTGGTTTTACTATGGTAATCCCTCGAAGTACCACCGTCCAACATTTACACTCTCTTCCACTATGACTTCATTTATAGAGCTGATCGGTATGACCAGCACTTCAATCCTCGAATACAATGTGGGTTCGAAATATCGCCGATCTGCTGGCGTGTCTTCATTATCCCTTTGCCCACTCGACCGACCGGTGCAGTGCATTACAGGCAGTGCATGGCCCCCTCTGCGCGCCTGCCAGTCGTGGGCGACACGCCGGTGGTCCTCGCAGCAATGCGCGCGCTGCGTGGGCTCAGGCCGCGCGCGCTGGAGGAATCCGCAGACTCTGGCGGGGGCTTCGACCTGCTGTATCTGATCCCCATCATCCTCGGGGTGCTCGCCCTGGTCTTACTGGTGCTGTGGCTGCTGTGTCGGCGCCCCCGACGCCGGCGCAAGAGCTCCGACAGCTTCCAGGTGTTCGACACGCCGCCCATCATCGAGAGCCGCAGAGGCGCTGGTGGAGACACCTCCGCTGCAATGGCGGACTCGGGGCCGGCCGTGGTGTCCCCCATGGACCCCATGGCGTCCTTCTCGTCCTTCAAGGACCACGACAACTCGACCAAGAACGTCTGGCTCAGCGGCAGCGGACGCACGCTCAACTCTGCGCGCAGCATGTGCAGCAGCCGCAGCTTGACGGCGTCCACCATTGCGGACTTTGTGCTGGGCACGACCCAGCGGGACGAGATCTTCCACGCGCTGCACCACGACGCGAACTTGGCTACGAGACGTCTGGCGGTGGACAAGATCGCCTTCGAGCGCGTGCTGGACGAGAGCTCTACTCGACAGCTGTGGCTCTGCCAGTTCGAGGGCGAGGAGATCGTCGTCAAGAGACTCACGCCGCCCGAGAAGGACGAGGACGCGTTCCCGGCGCTCATGAACTTCGTGCGGGAGATCCAACTCACGGCGTCACTGGAGCATCCGAACATCGTCAGGTTCCTGGGTGTTGCATGGGGCAAGAGTCTCCGCTCGCTGTGCTTTGTCGCCGAGTATCTGTCGAGGGGGGACCTCGCCACGTTCCTGCGTCGAAGCCGCAAGAGGAGACTGCAGATGGTGCAGCAGATTTCGTCGTCGTCGCGCTCGGACGCGTCCGGGGGATCGTCGTCTTCGAATACCGGTACGGTGGTGACGGGGCCTTCCCCGTCCCCTCCTCCGTCATTGCAGAGCTCTGGATCGGGGTTCACACTCACGAGCTGGATCGACGACAAGCTGCCGATCGCTATCGGCGTCTTGCGGGCGTTGGTGTATCTCCACTCTCGCCGCCCCAAACCGATCGTGTACCGAGTACTTCGAGCGAGCAAAGTGGCCATGAGCGACCGCTTCGAGCCGAAGCTGATCGACCTGACGCCGGCTGCAGAGGGAGCGCCGCCAGTGGACCAGGAAGAGCTGGCTGCGGGTGTAGGGAGTGCCTTCTGGACGGCTCCGGAGCTGCTTACAGGGGGAGAACCCACCCAGGCCAGTGATATTTATGCGGTCGGGGTGCTGCTGTTCGAGATCGACTCGGAGGGGAAGCGGCCGTACCAGAGCACGCGCTACTCGCGATCGGGCGAGAAGTTGCGGGCCTTCCAGGTGCTGAACCTTGTCGCCAGCGGAGAGCTGAGGCCTCATTTCGCCCCGAACTGCCCAGTGCAAGTTCGAGAGATCGCGCTCGCATGTATGCGCCAGAACCCCATGCAGCGCCCCACCGCTCGAGAAGTTCTTCAGGGACTGCAGAGTTGCGGCGCAGGCAGCGCAGCGTGATGAGAGTTACCGGTAGTGTACAAGACGGAGGGAGGAAGCGACGCCATTACAGCGTAGTTGAAACAACTAAAGGATTGTAGGAATTGTTGTAGGAATGGACACCAAGTGACGAACAATGAACAGAACGCCGCGTGGTCGTGGACAGCGCGAGGGATAATTACAAGATAATAGCTATGGGAATACTGTAGTTGCTACGCAATACTACGTGAGACTGGGAAGTACGAGGCTGCGCGTAAGCCGGCGTAGAGAGAGGTTCATGACAGCGCCTTAGAATACGTAAGATTCCTCGGCTTCTTCTTGGGCGAAGGCGCGCATGACGAGCTGCATCTGGTACAACGCCTGTGAAGCTGTGGGTCTTGCGTCCGGCTCAAACGCCACACACGCCTTACCGAGATGCACCATCGCTTCTAGAGCTGGAGATGCAGGCGGGGTGAACTCCACGCTGAGTCTGCCACTGGACACGAGCTGGAGGATGGCTGTGTCTGGGATGACTCGACCGGTTTCCGTGATTTTGGCGCTTGCGTATGGGAGTTTGTGCGAGTCCAACTCGCTGAGCACCACGCCGAACGAGAACAGATCCGCCTTCTCGTCGTACCGCTCGCCCAGCATCACCTCCGGAGCCATCCACAGCGACGTGCCCACGCCTGCCGTCATGGTGCGATCACTGCGTTCTCGTGACACACCAAAGTCTGTCAGCTTGGCGCGCCAACTTCTATCTAGCAGGATGTTCTTGGACTTGAGGTCGCGGTGCAGCACCATCGGGTCCAAGCAGTGCAAGTACGTGAGCGCGTGAGCCACATCAAGAGCGACACGACACTTCTCTGCGTCAAAGCCCATAGGACGGTGGTCCACCTCGTCAAACTTGATCAACAGCGCGCGCAGGTCGCCGCCGTCCATGAACTCGGACACCACACACAGATCCGTCAGTGAATCCCACGCCACACCGACAAACCGCACCACCCGTTCATGCTCCAGCGCAGCCTGCAGCTTGACTTCGGCCAGGAACTCCTCAATCTTGGCCAGATCCTTTCTAGATTCCGGCAGCAGCCTCTTGATCGCCACATCTCGCTCCTTGTACGTGCCGCGCAGCACCTCTCCAAAGCCCCCACGACTGATCACCTCACCCGTGACGATCCTGTCCATCGGAATGCGCGCCGCCACAATCGCGGGCTCGTCCCAAAGCCCTCCATGTACGGAACTCGGCCAGGCCGAGTCATTGTTGTTGTTGTTGTTGCTGTTGGCTGTGCGCGCGCTGCTACTGTTGCTGTCACTGTAGCCCATGGCCCTCCTGAAGCTCTCGTGAGCCTCAAACGAGTTGATCCGGCTGCGCGCCGACGTGTCGAAGGTGTCGAGGTCCACTGTGTCATCGAAGCTGCGCTCGAAGCTCTGCCCGTCCTTCCGCACGGACGGGTCGCTGGCCAGGAACGACGTCGACTGCTGGTCCAGTCTGCTGGACGAGCTGTGGCTGCCCGTGGGCTTGAGCACCGCCGGCGGCTGCGAGCTCGTGTTCATGGGCGACGTCATGACGTAGAAGCCCGCGTGCGCGTCCATGGAGCCCGTGAGCCGCAGCTTCGTGGCCGCCGCGTTCACCGAGTGCTGGTTGGCGACCGTGGCGATGCCCGGCGAGAGCTGGCTGGCTGGCGGGTTGGGCGCCAGGTTCACGTACGGCTCGAGCGCCAGCGCCTTGTTGCGCCGGCGCTCGCGGCAGTAGAAGAAGAGCCCCGCGGCGACGAGCAGCACGGCCAGCAGCCCCACGGCCGCGCCGATGACGATGGCGTACGGGAAGTCGGAGGCATCGGAGGAGGAGGACGAAGAGGAGGCGGCCGAGTCGACCAAGTGCCGCCGCAAGCCGCGCGCCATTGTCTAGGGTATTGTATACAACACTTGCGCGCTGCTCGTCTTGTTGCTTGATGGACGCTGCAGGAAGTGCGTTAGTATCGGGAGGTGACGGGCGGCTGTGTTTTTGTTCACCCTCTGAAGCCAAAACCCTCCAGAAAAGCCCGGCGCAAGGCTGCTGCTTGGTGTAAGCACGCCCCAAAGCTCCCGAGAGCATGTGACGTGAGATATGTCTACTGTACGTCGGTGGTTCGCAGCCGTCGTTGTCGTTGGAGAGGAGAGGATGGCACGGACAAGGGTGGAGAATGCGTGCAATTTATAGCGATGGCTCGCGTCTTGCTGTAGTTTTCCTTCCTTCGTTGAAGCGGAAGCTCCTTTTCCGTGGGGTGGGTCCGGACCCTGTCAACGAGACGATCACAGCCCCGAGATGGCTACATCGGCTTCAAAACTGCTGTTTCCAGTCGAATGCTGTTGACCATGAGCACGAGAGCTGCTGGCGTCGCGCTCTCTGTAGCGAAAAACTCTGCGGCACATGTCTTATTGATGCGAACGGAGGAATTGGCGTTGACATGTGAGCAAGAATAGTTTAGCTTTAGGCAGCGGGTCTTTTTGTGTATTTCCCAGTGGATCTGCGTTGGTTGCAGCGAAGGCGGTGAGCAGCAACTTGATCGCCCCCGATAAAAGTTTCACGGACGGCCTGTCGCCTCGTTAAATGGGAAGGGCCCGAAGTCGGTCAAGGACAGCCCTACAGTACTGCAGACTCTGGATTGTGGCCCACGCTGGATGACAACGCCATCCACTAATGGTGCTCCATGGCTCGAACGAAAAAAACTATATACGTGACCTCGTGTACAGTAGTGATAGACTTTCATCCTGGCTAAACATTTGTATTTACCTCTCCACGAAATTTACTACTGCCATCGTTCTACCGTGCTTCGCGTTTTGGCGGCTTAAGCCGCCACCGACCCGTTATAAGCGACCACGCCGGCGTCTTCGTCCAAATCGAAGTACAAAGTGGTGGCGTTTGTCGACGTGTTGATATTGAGCTCGCTCTTCTCGTGGCAGTAGTCGACCATGCCGTCCGTCGGGTACAGACTCTCTAGCTGCACCATGAAGGACGAGACCTTGTTGTAGAGCTTCGTGCCTTTGAAGTTGATGGACCCCTTTGAGCCACCTCTGGCGATGGAGGCCCCAGCGCAGTATTGGTCCTCGTACCACGCAATCTTCGCTAGACGCGAGAGCCCGCTCCACTCCGAGTCTTTGCTGTGGTCGTCCAAGCAGTGCGAAATGGTGTAGCAGCGCTGCGAGTGGCTGAAGCCGAACCCCATGAAGCGGTCGTTGAAGTACAGGTGCATCTTGGCGTCGACCACTGTCAGTAGTGATAGAATCGCCAGCAGGAGCAGCATGGACTTCATACTTGAGGGCTGTTTGTGCGAACGAATAATGAGGACAGCACGTCCCAATTATTTGTCGACCTTGCAAGCAGGTAGGGAACGCAATATCCACGTGATGACTATCAAGTAAGAAAAATTATTGGTTGGGCGGCCACACACAATGGCTGGCATCATCTATTGAGATATCGTGGCTTTACTGATAAGACCAAAGACCATTGTTCGACTTCCACCGCGTTCAACTCTTGTACTTCCGAAGTATCTGAGCTGCACGACCATGGCTGCACGTTCAAGTGGGCAACCGGAAGCAAAGTTGGTCGTGTCGAACTTGTCACCAGCTGGCGACAACTTGCCGAAGATGGAGATCCGATGCAAGGAGCTGTCTGTACTCGTCGAGACTCGAACGACCGAGAACCTGCAAGTGCCGTCCATTGCCAACAGCGCCAAGTCTGCACTGCACCGCCTTACGTCCCGTACGAAATACAAGCGGAAGTTCATCTTGAACCGCGTGAACGCTGTCTTTGAACCGGGGACTCTCACCCTCGTGCTAGGACAGCCTGGTTCAGGTAAGTCGACGCTTCTGAAGGCGCTGAGCGGCCAGCTGCCGATGAACAAGCACGTTATGATCGAAGGAAGCACCTCGTACAATGGTGTGGATTGGAAGAATCTTCTCCCAAAGTTGCCGCAGCTTGCCGCCTACGTGCCACAAAGTGACCAACACTTTTCATCGCTGACTGTGCAAGAGACCTTGGAGTTCGCTCATGCATGCTGTGGTGATCCGACATCAATTCTACCAGAACAAGAATTGCTGTCACCTAAGCAGCATTATCGGTTCCCGGATCTCGTCATTAAACAGCTCGGACTGAAAGGATGTCGGGATACGAAGATCGGCAACGACTTGAGTCGTGGGGTATCTGGAGGTGAGGGCAGACGCGTGACAACCGGCGAAATGGTGTTTGGCACGAAGCTTGCGACCTTCATGGACGAGGTCACCACCGGCCTCGACAGTGCTACCGCATTCGACATCGCATTCAGGCAGCGGGAGATCGCCAAGAAGCAGCAGAAGACGGTGGTTATGACCCTCCTCCAGCCTACACCAGAAGTGTTCGAGCTCTTTGACAATATTCTTCTACTGAACAGTGGCGAAGTGGTCTACCACGGACCTCGTAGCCAGGTTTTGCCGTATTTTGAGAAGTTGGGCTGGCTCTGCCCCTTGGACGTTGATGTGGCCGGTTTTCTCTTGGACATTGGCACCGACCAGCAACGTCAATACGAAGTTGTGAGGCCTGGAAGTGTGTTATCGAGTCGGGTACCTCGTTTGAGGAGTCAATTTGCGCGTCATTTCCGGCAATCTCGAACTTTTGAACACACAATGAGAACTCTGGGTGGTCCTTGGAGCAGCGAGTTGCTGTACATTGCTGATCATTTTTTCGTAAAGACTCCCGAATTCCGACAATCGCTTTGGAGCAGCTCACTGACGCTTCTCCGCCGACAAATGGTGATCACGCTTCGGAACAAGAAGTTTCTTTGTGTTCGAGCCATCATGGCGGTGCTTGGAGGCCTCATCTACGGCACCACGTTCTTTCATGTCGACCTCACAAACGTCCAAGTGACGTTGGGGATTGTGTACCAGACTGCAATCTTTCTGTCCATGGGGCAGGCGTCCGAGATTCCAACGTTCATCAAGGCACGGGAGGTCTACTACAAGCAGCGTCGAGCTAATTTCTACCGCACGGGGGCTTTTGTCATCGCGTACCTCACAGCAGCTTTGCCTGTCATCGTTGGGGAGTGCGTCATTTTTGGGTCGTTGGTGTACTAGATGTGTCGGTTTGTCACGGAGTTTGGCCCATTCGTGGTGCTCCTGCTGAGCATGATTCTATCCAGCGTGGGTTTGAGCGCTTCGTTCTTGACTTTAGCCGCGCTTTCGCCCAGTCTCGATGTGGCTCAACCGCTGTCGACGTTGTCGAATATTCTCTTCAGCGTGTTTGCTGGGTTTGTGGTGCCCATGGCTCCGGACTATTTTTCGTGGTTGTACTGGGTTAACCCCGTGGCGTGGTGCGTGCGTTCGGTCATGGTGGACCAATATCGCTCGGCAGAGTTTGACGTGTGCGTCTACGGTGACACCAACTACTGCCAGCGTTTCAACAAGACGATGGGCGAGTATTTGCTGTCCCAGTATGACGTGCCGCAGAGTGGGTGTGGGGTGGCGTCGTCTACCTTGTGCTGTTCAACTTCCTCTTCGTTGCGATAACGACTTACATACTGGAGCACAAACGCTTTGACGCCGCTCCGGCAAGTGTAAACGGGACGAAATTGGTCAGGAAGAAGATATCTCAGAGGAAGAAAGATCCCTATCAACTGCAACTGGAGCATCAAGACTTGCACGAAGATGGAAGAGCTGGCTATTATTTCAAACTTGCTTCGCCTGGACCAGCAAATCCATTCGCAATGCACTCGATTCACGGAGGCGTCATTGACTTTCACGCGGTTCCACCCAAGTTCAAACCAATGACGTTAGCGTTCGTGGATCTTTGGTACTCGGTTACAGTGAAGCATGAGCCTGTTCACTTGCTGAAGGGGATCAGTGGGTATGCACTTCCTGGCACAATGACTGCTCTGATGGGGTCATCTGGAGCCGGCAAAACGACGCTCATGGACGTGATCGCTGGACGCAAGACATCGGGTCAAGTTCGAGGTGAAGTTTTGCTGAATGGGTACCCCGCGTCTGATCGAGCGATACGGTGATGCACTGGATACTGTGAGCAACAAGATATTCACTCCGACGGATCTACTGTACGCGAGGCTCTTACATTCAGCGCCTTCTTGCGTCAAGACAGCGATATTCCCATTGCTGCCAAGATTGAATCAGTGGACGAGTGCTCGGATCTCTTGGGCTTACGCTCGAACGCTGATCGACTGGTTCGAAGTCTCACGCATGAGCAGCTCAAGCGATTATCCATCGGTGTCGAGTTGGCCGCTCAGCCCAGCATCCTTTTCCTGGACGAACCGACAAGTGGTTTAGATGCTCGCTCTGCCAAAAGCATCATGGAAGGCGTGCGGAAAGTCGCAAACATATTGTGTGCACCATCCACCAGCCTTCTTCCGACGTCTTCTTCCTCTTCGACAGCTTGCTGCTGCTACAACACGGTGGTGAGATGGTTTTCTTCGGTGAACTGGTCAATAAGGCACCAGATCACTGCGAGTGCGGCCATTTAATTGACTACTTCGAGGCGGTCCCAGGCATTCCTCGCTTACCCGAGGGTCAGAACCCAGCCACTGGGATGCTCGAGTGTATCGGTGCTGGAGTGGAAGGATCTAGTGATGAACAATTGACCTCAAATGTTGACTTTGTGCAACATTCAGAAGAGCCCCGAGTATTTATCGCTCATGCGTAAATTCGACCAACCAGGCATCGGTAGACCTGCACTCGATCGGTTGTCGAAGATCCAATTTCAAGCGAAACAAGCTTCAAGCTCGAGGACGCAGTTGTGGTTGTTGACTCGACGATTGTTCACGACGTATTGGAGGACGCCGTCGTACAACCTCACAAGACTCGTGATTGCGTTGGGTCTGGGCGTGGTGTTCGGGCTGTTGCTTGTGGGTGAAGACTTCGGAAGTTACCAAGGAATCAACGCGGCTGTGGGGGTGATCTTGATGACAACGCTGTATCAGGGCAACATCTCGTTCAACAGCGTCCTCCCTTTCACTGCACGGGAACGCGCTGCCTACGACCGCGAGCGGAACTCTCAGACGTACGGTGCTGTCTGGTATTTCGTGGGCTCTATACTTTTCGAAATTCCTTATGCACTCGCGATTGGTTTGGTCTTCTTCGCTGTGTTCTACCCAGTTGTGGGCGTTCCGTCGATTTTAACCGTTTACTCTACTGGATCAGCGTGTCACTCTTCGTGCTTTTGGAGACGTTTCTGGGCCAGTTTCTCGTGTATACCTTGCCAACCCTCGAGCTGGCAACGATCGCAGGTGTGCTGTTTAATTCCTTCTTCCTGCTGTTCTCTGGGTTCAATCCCCCCGCCGCCTCGATTCCAGGAGTGTACAAGTGGTGCTACTACATCTCTCCTCACAGATACGTGCTCTCAGTTCTGGTTGCACTCCTGTTTGGTGACTGTCCTGCAGAAAGTGCGTCATCAACGCCGTTCAAGGATTCGGACCTGCCAATTGGTTGCCGAACACTCGAAAACGCGCCACTGTCGCTTGGCGACATTACTGTCCAGGGCTACGTCAACCAAGTCTACAACATCAAGTACGAAGATATTGGGACCCACTTCATCTGCATCCTCTCCTATATCGTGGCTCTTCGAGTGCTTACTCTGCTCTCACTGAAGTATCTAAATCATCAGAAACGTTAAAAAATAATTTCAATTTGAGGTAAACTAGTATAGTAATTTCCTTCTGCCAGGATGCTGGTGCTGCTCCGCCGCTGCAGTGAGAAAAAAATCTAGAAGAAAATAAATGTTGGCCATGTTCATGCTGTCGTCCCACCACTCTCTCTCGCTGTTCTCGAAAATGAGGTGAGAGTAGAAGCCGAATAGATGAAGTACTTTGTACCGATCACGTCGACATAGTGAAATACGAACCAGGATAGGCCATCATTAAAGTAAAAGGAAATGGAGGAGAGGCTCGATGGTATTCAGCCGTACCTTCTCAAGCACTCTGTTGGTCGTGCACTATTATACAAAATACTCTAGCGAAAAAAAAAACTTACGATGGACACAAGTCAGGTGAGGCTTGCATTGCAGCTGCCCAGAGGAGATTTCGCTGGTAAATGGAGCTTTGTTCTCGTATTTTGTCATGTCCCCCTTACTACTGCTTTGCACCATACCGAACCGTTTGGTCTTGGCGACTTGAGCTGCCTCATTAGGTGATTGATCTCAGCAACGTGTCAATTTCGCTCCTTTTTTTCCTGCTCAGAGGCTCTCATTACCTTTCGTAAAAGTCAGGGGGGAAAATACTCGTGTCACTTTCTGTCAAGTAGCATCCAAAAACGCCACAGTGTGCCATTCTCCCATTTCCTCAAATCGAGCCATGGTCCCGCCACCAGCAGTAGTAGTGACCTACGTCGATGTCCCCATCCCGCCAGCGTCGTCCAAGGCCATCCGCGTCGTGACGGCGTTCAAGGGCCAGATCAGCACATTCATCATGGAGGAGCACGAGACCATCCACGAGCTCAAGCAGCGCATCGTGGACGACATGCGCTGCGACTTTCCTGCCGAAGACGTGACCCTCTTTTGGGCGAAGAGGAAGGACCGCGAGTGGCTCAAGACTCGCGACGGAGACTACCAGCTTCCGCGCCCCGGCGGCATTCCAGACGAAGCGTGGGAGGTCCTGGACAACGCGGACAACGTGCTGGACCCGCAGGCGATGGTGTCCGAGGAGCGATTCGGCTTCCGAGGCGTGAACGATCTCCGGCGTTTTGAGATCCACGTTCTTGCGCTACTCCCAGAGCACCGCGAGCTGTCGAAGGGTATGTTGTGTCTGCCTCCTTATGGGCTCTGTTTACTGTAATCCCTAACACTGTCTCTTCGCTGCTGCATTTACTACGAATTTCTAGGACTCCAGCAGGACGCGCGTGCGAGCAAATTTGGTGTTGGCTGGGCTCGCTTGGCTTGGGAGCGACTGTTGACGAGCTCTAACGCCGTGTTCGGCAACGCGCAGACTGTACCGACTAGCAGGAAGGATCTATAGTTAATGGCTAAGCGATCCATTTCATCTGTTAGGTACTTGGCATGCACCGCGACGATTTCATTGACATGTGAATCCGATTTGCATGTGGTGTTTATACAAATGGAAGCATATTCGCAGGTCGCCTCATGATTACCTGCTTGATCGAGACTTCTTACGCGTTGTGCTCGTTTGCAATAGCCTTGTTGGTAAATTAAAAAAAGTCTCCTATAAACTACCACTCAGACAGCTTTACAATGCCAATCCACTCCTTGCCTTCCTCTGGGCTTAGCTTAAGTAACTTAGTTAGAAGATAATAATTGATCCCCTGCTAGTCACATGATAGAGAGACGCAGGTCATTGTAATCAATTTGTTTTTAGAAGTGGGCTGAATTTATTCACCTTTGAATAGCTCCTCAATTCACCGTTGGCTGGCAGTGGATGCGATGAGTTTCCGGCTAGTCGAAGATGGAGCCAGGGTCGTCGACCGTGATTTCCTCGTAGCCCATGTACGGGCCCTCGTCGGTTGTGAAAACCATGAAGGACGACACTTCCTCGTTGAGTTTTTTGCTGGTGTCGTCTTCAAACGAGCAGCTCCCAGTAGGGGCGTTCCAGCTGGTGATTTTCTCGCCGCTGCACCTGGCGTCTTCGTAGAAGACAATCGCGCTGTGCTTCGGCAGCTTCTTCCACGTCGCTCGAACGGCTCGGTCGTTCCACAAAGACTTGAGCGTGTAGCAGCGCTGGATGGTGTCGATTGTGAACTTCCCGTTGCTCCCGTGGCTATACAGCCACACCTCCATGCTCATGACAGCGGTGCTCCAGAGCAGAAAAATTGTCGTCACGAATGGGAGAGTTGCCATGGTTCGTTGCGAAAGGTGACGCCTCTTGCGTGTTACGGAGCGAAACGGGAAGTGAACTAGCGGGTGCCGTTTGCTGCTGGGGTATCATGAGGGACTAATATGGCGATTGGTACCTCTGTTGTTTCCAGTACTTTGACCAAATTCGCCATCACCTTGTTGCCCAGCGCATTTCCTGCGGATGGGCTTTTGGCTTGCGACGGAGTATAAAGCGTTAGGCTTCAAGCCACCTCTGTCGCCTCGTAAGCATAATAAGCTGCTGAACAATTGTTCTCAATAAGTAGACACAGGTTAGCAGAGAAGGCACATCACGACGCCATCGTTGCAGCGGCAAATTAAGGAATGAAATTCGACTTGCACTCAAATCGAAAACAGAGGGCACCTGGTGCAATCGATGGTCGATTTCCACGAAGAATTGCCGGCCACAAACTTAGCTGAAATCACCAGCATCACTTCAGTTGGAGATCGTTTTCCAGGTCCAAGTGGGGTCGCTTAGACTTCCTGCAAGGCACGGTTTGGACCCAATTAGTATGGTTCAGACAAATTCTGCCTGTGGACTAACATGATCCATCTCTAGTTTGATTCTCAAGACGCGACAATCGCAAGTTGCATTCATCACCAGTTTGTGTGCCAATCTACATGTACACAGCGCATTACGCCTTCCAACTAGGTCTCCATCCGCCTAGTTCTTGATCTCGTTCTTCGGCTGATACGCCGGGTAGTCGTTGTAGAACTTGCCCCCAAGCGCCGAGTTGTAGTACACCTCGTGCCCAGCCATGGGCTCCACGGGCCAGTCATTCTGGAATCGCTCAGCCAGGTCGGGGTTCGTGATGTACAGGCGACCAAAGCCAACGACATCGACAGCACCGCTACGCACGACACCCTCGGAGTTGTTGTTGGCCATGACGACGCCCTTGAACGCGGTCTTGGCGTCGAGCGCCGTCAACGCGCGGCTCTTGTTGGAGTAGCGGAGGTGGGCGCAGTCCCCGTCGAGCACCGCGAGGTAGCCAAGCTTGTGCTTGCCCAGCTGCTCCATGGTGTACGTGAACATCTCGTAGTTGTCCTCGCTGCCCATGCCGCCGAAGCCACCGTTGGGTGAGACGCGAACGCCGATGCGGTGCGAAGGAAACACGGTCTTAACAGCCTCCACCAGCTCCAGCAGGAACCGCGCGCGGTTCTCGAAGGAGCCCCCGTACTTGTCCGTGCGTCTGTTAGTGGCCGACTGGAGGAACTGGTCGATGAGGTATCCGTTGGCGCCGTGCAGCTCCACCCCGTCGAAGCCCGCCTTCTTCGCCAGCACGGCGGACTTGCGGTAGTCCTCGACGATACCCGCGATCTCCTCCGTCTCCAGCGCGCGAGGCGTCTCGAAGTCCGACTCGACGTAGTTGGCGTCGCGCGTGTGGCCGCTCTCGCAGCGCAGAGCCGACGCCGACACGATCTCGCGCTTCTTGTTGAAGCTCGAGTGGCTCTGGCGACCCATGTGCCACAGCTGCATGAAGATCTTGCCGCCCTTCTTATGGACCCGCTCGGTCACGCGCTTCCAGCCTTCCACGTGGGCGTCCGTATAGCACGCGGCCGCATGGTGCCAGCCGTAGCCCTGCTCCGACACGGCGGTGCCCTCCGAGATGATGAGACCGGCACCCGCGCGCTGTTCGTAGTAGAGCTCGTTGTTCTCCGACGGCACGCGGTCGGCGCTGGCGCGGCCGCGACTGAGGGGGCCGAACACGATGCGGTTCTTGAGCTCGAGGTTGTCGCCCAGCTTGAGCGGCGTGAAGAGCTTGTAGTCCGTGGTGGAGACCATTGTCTGGGAGTTTGTGGTGCTTGGCTGTTGTTGTTGTGAGGTAGGGTGCAAGACGCAGAATGAGCAACGCTAGTCGAGGTGGCGTAAGCCCACGTCCACTGCTACATGTAGAAGTTCACGACATGTTACAGGTTGATTCGACACGTGATGCCAGGTTTCTGGGCTGCGATTGGTGCATGGTGCTGTTAACTCCATAGACAGGTCGACGAGGTTCATGTCAACATCCAAGTCGAGTAATCCAAGACGTGCTAGCTTAATTAAGTTAAAGCAAGAAATGGCGAAAATCGAGTGAAGAGACCTTCAGTCGAGAAGAACTACAAAAATGTAACAGAAGATCTGCAGTCATTTAGAGAAATAAAAACATCAAAGATAAAGGATAATCAAAGTAACATGACCGTGGCAATCGAGAAAGCAGTCACCTTGACTTACAAGTAGATTTCACTCGTGCTTCGTATCCTTCCGTTGAGAGCATTCTGACAGCAGATCGTGATACGGACCTCCTCGTAGCTACCAGCGACCAGTGTCGGCCCAGTCTATTCACCCGCAGCACAGCAAACCATAATTATATTCGTTAGTCCTATCAATTCGTGAATCGACAGAACCAGCGCCCAACTTACATGCTAAAGTCTCATTCCACAACTCTTGCTCTGCACAAAAGTCATAAGACGCGTCAGTAAGGGTCCAAGTAGCACTGGGCTTTCCTGTAGTGCACTCACCTCTTGACCAGTTGTCAGGCAGCTTGACGAGGAGATGAATGTCACGGGGTCCATTGTCGTGCCTGTTGGGGAATCCGTAGGCGTCGTCCCCCACGAAACTGAGCGGGTCAAGTTCATTCTCTGGGATCAGCATCTCCTTGACCGACGCGGGCACCTTCAGCTGCTTTAAGAGCTCGTACTCCTCACTCTTAGTTTGTAGCCAGCCACCTCAAGTTCCTCCTTTCGTCGTATACAGCGAAATATTGGCAGCGGGACACGACACCCACGTTTCACGTTTGATCACTTCTTTCAGCTTCACGACGCTGGCATCAGCGCTCACATACACATTAAAGCCGTAGCCCTTGTCGATACATACACACCAAATCGTTTTCAGTGTCATCGCTAGTAGTGCTTAGTCTGGGGGGATCTGGATAAGCATTGTTGCAACAAGGAGTATCGCGTTCTATCATTTAGAGTTGATTGAAGGATGCTGACCGCTTCATGGGTGGGTCTGCATCGTCCAATCGGCTTATCCTTGTGCTCTTTCTCCTTGTCGTCATTTTTCCAGACGCACTAATCTGCGCAAGACAACATTGCTGAGTCAGAGAAGAACAAGAAAATGATTTCGAGTTTCGGTGTGAGTAGTTCGCTCTTTACGAGAAGTGGGGTGGTTGACCGCAAACTAACTCCGGGACAAGTATGCGGATTGAGGCGACATTCACCTCCTCGCCATGCTGCCGGGTTTTTTCCACAAGGTGAGGGCATACTCGATAGCTTCATGCGAGTGAACCCCTAACTAACAGCATTTTGGACTCTGTGCAGATGAAGGCCAACGCTGTTCGTAGTAGAGCTCGTTGTTCTCAACCAGAAACTATAGTGCTGTCTCGAAGCGGACGCTGTTTGCCTTTCAGTTTTCAGGTGAGGTATAGTGTATTGTATTTGTTTAGCGCTATCCTGCCCTAACTAGAGACACCGTTTGCTGGCCGCTTGCTACCAGGTGGCCGAGTAGCATGGCCTACTTTCGTATCCCTCCGCGATGTGCGCACGGTGGCAAGCGTTGTTAGATGGAAGCAGTTATCTTCACTACAACGCATGGCAGCAAATGACGTCAATGAGTCTCTCCCACTGAACTCAAGGATTTAGAATCGTTTGACTAACAGTTTTTTTTGGTTTTAACAATTGGCATGCGAGTGCCCTGGGTTGCAGGCGAGCAGGATTCTTCATTCTTCCACGGACCTGCTAGCTGGTAGCAGCATTGGGGGGGCCAATGATCGGAGACGGAAATGCAGCTTTCGTGACCCGCTTTGAGTTTTTCGCGGTCGGCCGAATAAGTTCGAGAATGGAGGCCACCACATATCCTCGCCAATTTAGCATCTGCGGGACCGGTCGTTGTAGTCGTTAGGAAGAACTAAGTGACAACAATGTACCTCAATTCAGAAACAAACATATCCTCGCCAAGGTACGGCAGAATATTTATATTCTTACTAACAGCTTAGAACCTTGGACGAGGTTTATGGATTTGTACAGATAAGGCGCGAGAAGTTAAGGAGTGGTGTTTTCGTCAAGACTGAAGGTCAATAGACACTGTAGATAACGAATATGGTTGTTGCTGTGTTGTCGCTATACAGGTGGTACTACATATCGTATTTTGTTAGAGCCATTGGACGGATGAGTGTATGATTGTCAGTGTGTCCTTGCAGCCGATGTAACTGACCGCATGTACCATCCTTCCTTGACATGTGTAGTAGCTCAGCTACTGTAGCTGCAATCAACTAGTATTTGGGCGGCGTTAGTTCATTTTTGACCTACACGAAGGATGCGAAGAGGGTAAAGGGTCCCTGCCGCGACAATAAATAAATAACTCCCGAAGTAGTCGGTATTTTATGCGGGACCCCGGGGTCCCGCCATTCGTTTCATTTCTACATTCAATCGCAATATAGGCGCTAAAAAAGCTACTACCGTCTTACCCCGCATATTAGGCATGAGTGCAATAAACGAATATAAGAGCGTGGAGGTGTACTATTCGTTTACAAGACCTATTATTATATATTGAACAAATTCGTGAAGTCTGAAGAAATGGTTACTGCCTTGGTGATTTAGGCATGGCCCTCCTATTCAACTGGCGTGGGTTCGAGCCCGCCTGCTGACGATTGTATGTAAGTAATGTGTCTTTTCTTTGACGGGTGGCTGCGTTGTATACGGAGATGTTGCTCTCCATTTAATTATTTATGGAACAAAACTTTCTTTTTGAGAAGTTCAAAGCAGACATATATTATAAGTTAATGGCGTAGCCATTAAACTCCTTCACTGCGAAGTAGGACCCGGAACGAGCCAGACACACTGTTTTCACGGGGTTGTCTACTGTGTACGAGAACTTGGATACCACCTTGTTGGTTTTGTCGACAGTACTTACTTCCATGGTCCTTCGGTGCATCTGAGACGCTGCGTAAAGCCCCAGTTCACCAGGCTCCTCAGTCCCATCTCGGAATCCGGCCATGCAGTCCGCATCGAAGAGGCCGTCGAGGTCGCTGAGAGTCTCCATGTAGCTCGTCAACTCGGCCACACACTCCGGGAGGGGCGTTCCAATGCCGTGGAGTAGGCAACAGAACAAGCTGGCCACGCGGTCGTCCGGCAGGTACCACTGCGGTGTACTGATGTCGAGCTGCTCCCTGCCGTCCTCGCCAGTGAGCTGACGGTACTGCTTATTCCAAAGTTCCCTATTCACGTCTGCAGCGTGCAAGTCACGCAGCGGTGGATGAAGGGCATCCAAGTCGAACGCTTACTTGGGCACCATACCGCACAACGTGAAAGCACGCTTGATGCTCGGGTGGCTGCAAGATGGTGGTCATGTTTGGCGGCGCCACCAGAACAAAGATGTTGTACGCTTCAAGTCGCTTGGAATCAGCAAACTTGACGTGACAGCCGTAGGAGTCGATGATGTACAGCACCGGTTCGCGGTACAGCTGCGTCTCCATCCTGCTGCAGACAACCTTGCGCGCATGATCCAGCAGAATGTCCGCGCCCCACATGCCAGTGGGGTTGACGTCGACCATGACAGCTGGGGGACACGTCGGCTTGTTCTTCAGCTTGGAGAAGAGGAGGTGGGGTGTCAGCACCTTGCCCTCAGCCGTGATCGTGAACGTCGCGGTGAATCGCCGTTGGCTTGATCCACCTTTCCGTAGCAGCACCTCACGAGAGCCCCGAGTTGTGGTCGTCGACTTTGGCTCTGTCTCGAAGTAGCAGGGCACCTGGTCCATCTTGAGGATGATGCAGGGCTTGATGCAGGGCGTCGTAATGAGATGCTGGGCTTGCTGAATGAAGTCTATTCCGCCCAGCTGTATAGTGTGCGAATGTTCCGGGAGAACAAAGTCTCTTAGAACTTCTCAGGCGGATACACCAGAAGATGTCCGCCCGATGTGGCGTGTGTTCTTTGTGACAATCCCTCCCGGGTCGTTTGTCTTCGAGCCAAGGAGCTCCGCCGAGTTGGTGAGTTGTCGTATACTGTTAGGTTTCCGAGCGGGGTGCGATACGTACTTCCAAACGTAACCCCTACGACTCTGGACGATAACCACAAATACAGAGAAATACACAAATACAAATATCCGTCACTTATTCTTTCGGACCCTTGGACGGTGGGTCACTACTCCGGTCAACTAACGAGTCGTATCCAGGGTACTGGCCAACGCTGGGCGACTTCAAACGTGCACCACTCCCAATGCACGGAGATTAAATAACCAATATCAATACCCTACCACACAATAGGCTTTCGGCCAAGTCCCCGGCGGCGCTACTCACTCCGCCCAGGATGTAATCGATAATATGAAATGCAGGACCTCGCTCGGGGCAAGAATACAGCTGCAACTAGGAAATGAAATAGGCGGATCACGCTGAGACGCCTGTACGCCTCAGTCACCTTACCTAACTTGGGCGTACTTACTTCAGGGAGAGATCCAACCACGGCCGTACCTAGCCGCGGTGCCCGGTCGTCCTGCACTTCCTGCTCTTCTTGGCGGCTTGCGGGTTTCAGGGGAAAACGAACTCTGTTTATCTTTTATCTCTGCGGCTATCTTCCTGCAACCTAGACATGCATTCTGCTTTTCACTTGATTTCACTATACCTTGGTTTACGTCGACATCCCGGCCGAGCCAACATCCAGTATAGAGTCGTGGGTACAAATCACCTCCATCAACGTTCCACGGAATCTTTGCCCATCCTTGGTCGGTCTCCCTGGTCGGTCGGAAACATCTTGACTTGAGTATACCTTGGTCGTATTTTCCAGACTTACCCCCGGCCAGAGTCGCGAAATGAGTTAGCGACTCGGCCAGGGTCGCTGGTCGATGCGCGTCCTGGGCGTGTCTTCGCCGGGTCCCAGATCCTTGTACTTGTCCCGCAATTCACGTCATCCAATCATTCCATTTCAGCCAATCACACTGCGCCCAGACGAAAATCCAGTGTCCATTGTGTCAACCGCCCCTCTGATCTTGCTGGATCACCGAGGCCATTTACCCAATTGATCGAGCGGGACTAGACCACACGATCCAATGTCTGGGCGGAGTGTTGCCAACCGTAATGATTCGCCCGGACTTCCAACGGTCGCGTCCCTTCTGTGCAACCTCTCCCAGCCAAATCTTTCTCAGCCACGTCTGGGGCCATCAGTCACTCGCTCAGGCTTGCCACGAATTCTTCGCTGCTCACAACGCAATCTGCCATCTCGCCACAAGATGCCCACGAACACCTCCGACACCTCGTCGCTCCCGCTTGAGCCGCTGCCTGTGGCGAATTGCGTGGCGGGCGGCAGCACCAATAGCTTGAGGGCCGACTCGAAGGCCGGCAACATGTGCTCCTATAATCAAAGCCTAAGCGACAGCCTGCTAAAGAATGGTATCCAATACTATAGAAGTGTGGGTCGTTGGGTTATGGTAAAAGAACGAGTTACAATGAAGTTAACATACAAAACAACGCTTTACGTCTTCGTTCAAACAGAATGGAAGCAGAGCACAATAATTTCAGCGGGTCTTAGCCACGTGCACGAGTTCCAAATCACCAAGGTCAGATCCACGTCCACGTCTCCAAATCACCAAGGTCAGATCCACGTCCACATCTCCAAATCACCAAGGTCAGAGTATATAAACATTTACAATGTGCATTGGGATACGGCAATACAAGTACTGTACAGTTTGGACAGCAAGGAATTGGAATGCCAAGGTACACAGCTACATTTGCGTTAAGAAAGCATAGATAGCAGTTCCTCTATCAAGCAATTTTGCTTTTCCGGACACGAATCTAATTTTTATTACGATATTCACGTCTGTATCGTGGGGACCTCGTACCTTAGTGGTTTATCTAACCACTTGTGGTGCGTCGCCTCTATTAGCAGCTGCAGCACTGATGCTCAACTAGTCCTTCAATAGACCACAGGCTAAAAACGTAAAATATTCGCGAGTTATAGCTTTGCAACTTAGATAACCAGTGCTATTTCCTGGACAATTCTGGCTGGCACGAACCCTTCAGTTATTGTAATATTTCGATGTAATTAGTCTAAGCAGTGATATTTTCAACTCTAACTCGGTCACTTTCAATTGAACTGACGACATGTCAGAAAATTGGATAAATACGAATCATTTCGCATTATTGTCCATAAAATACATTAGTATCACTAAATGAAACAATTGGCGGGGACCCGGGCTCGGACGGGGGGGTTGACCGGTATTGTCGGGATTATTATGGGACCAAAAGCCACCAACTGCCACCAAAAGTCACCAAAATTAACCATGTCCTGACATCTGTCCGGGGACCCCCGACAAATATAACAGCCAATAGGAGACAACATTCAGCAATCTCGCCAGATGCAGCAAGTGGATGCCAACAAGATCAGCGACCGCCACTGCGGTGGAGGCACTGCGGGCCCGCAAGCTCGGACGGTGCATGAAGTAAGTGCTGCAAGATGTGTGCGGTGACCTATGCTCTTAACTATTCGATTTGCTTGTGCTGATATAGCAGCATACTCTAGTGGTGATATGAAGCCGACTACTGAGCGGGACACACTTACCACAGCTAGCCGTATCAAGTGGCTGCTCAGAGCTGCTGTAGCCTCTGCTCTGACTAGTGCTGTGGCTAACAAGAACAGGGGCGAGGACTTGATCGTGCTAGGCATCCGGCATCACGGTTGGACTAGATCCACTCGCGTCGATATGGTTTCGCGACTCTGGCGTCGAAGCTGGCGCAAAGAGCAGGCAAGCTCATGGAAGCCAACGTACCGTAGACGATTGAGGTTCACTTCGCCGGCGTTCTTTCAGTTGGGGATCGACTCCAACTCGTGCTATGTGAAGGTACATACTCAATTTCAAATGCGTTGTGGGGTGTGCTTATTACTAAGATACTACTACTTGTTGCATATTGATGTAGACGTTTAGCTGGCGGCAAGCGGATTTATTCAGCATGAAAAGAAACTGGTAATAGACTGCATTGGTGCTGTTGGGTCCACATCCACGCTTTCGTTTGTTGCAGCTTGCGCACGCTGGGCCTGTTGGCCGTGCACTGTTGAGCGTTTGACTGTGTACAAATGCAGGTGGTACAGGTGCTGGGTTTGAATATACACTCCCGGATACCGGTGCTGCTGTTGGCACGTTGCTGCCTTCTTCTGCTTCGAGTAACCTGCTACACACTTCCGTTTGTGAGAGCCATACCTTTTGCAGCGCCTCGCTGTCTAGACAAAGATGGTTAGTCATGTACTGCTCGACCGATTGCAAGAGTGGTGGTGCATAAGCAGTATCCGCAGCTTTTTGTTTCTCAATCTCGCAACCTGCACGAGCCAACAAAGCATAATAGCGCTTCTGACGGCGGCACGTTACATTGTCTGTAGCCCGCCAGTCCCTTGGTTGTAAGCATGCTGTCATACACTAGATCAAATAAATCGAGATTGCGGTCTGGTAAGTCAACAAATACGGGAATGCAAGGAATACCGCTTTCGATGAAGAAAGGTAAGCATCATCAATTTTAGAGAACGATCGTCCTGTAGAGCACTTGTACCTTGCATAATACAAAATGGTTTTGTGTTCGACATCATGGACAGTTCGCTGCAGATATTCCTTTACCTTCGGCGTGCACTTACATCCTTCTGTGGTACAAACAGGAGATCGACCTGCATTCAACACCTCTGGAACCCACGTGATCGTAGGCAGGTTGAACCAAGCCGATAGCATTGCGTTCTTCTGCTTCTCAGGGTACGCTATTGCAGGAGGAAAGCTCTTCGTTGCGATCGCATCTCGTATTGCAGCACGAGCCGCACTCGCTGCCATCTTTTTTTACTACCAGTAGTAGTAACTTTTCTTAGATCTATTCCTAGCTGGCGGCTTGTGGCGGGCGGCGGGGCCGCCCTTCCGGTGGCGGCAACCCCGGTCAAGCCGGTTGGACACTTGGTCGGACAGTTGGAATTTTGACGGTATGGTCATCAGGTCCGAAATTTTATGGTATGGATGTACTGTACCTAGTATACCGGTATGTTGGGTGCATTACTTTGACGTACCTGTATATTTCAAACTAATCAGTATTTAACCGGTACTAATGTCGAATTTTGTACCTCCACTTTACTGACTACAGTAGGAGAACCTCACCGATTTGCCTGCAGGTACGTCCGGATCGACAATACTTATCGAATGTAGTACTAGGACCCCTTGGTATAGAGAGACAAATGTCTCTTAAACCCAAGTAAAATTTTGAGTTCGTTTTGAGGTGAGTCCCCAGTACATATGTCTCCCCTACCCCTGAGGGATCAAGTCAATGTAAGTGGGGACTTCGTCTTCAACGATTAGAAGCAACGAAAAAAGGAAAGCTTCTTGGAAGAAGGAGATACGAAGACGAGCACTCGCTCGGTGCACATCAGAGTGGTGTTAGACGTTGACTAGCGTACAGTTGTGACGTGGAGGACTAAGGTGCTCGACCAGTTTACCGCAATGTTTCACTTTTTCTGCGGTAAAATGGTCATAACTTTTTTTCTAGACATCCTCTCAGAAATTTAAAAATATGCCGCAAATCTACAGAAACTCGCCTACAACAAGGTGATCTTGTCGTGGTTCTAGTGTTTTGCAAGCGAGCTATTGTGAATTCTGGCCAGTATGCCGATTCGGGTCGGTTTACCATATGGGTTGAAATCGCTGAATACAAATTTCAAGTCTTTTGGAATCGACCGAGACGGCCTGAGCGACTTCTTATTTCGTACTTTATTGAGTACATAGTAAACTCAAGGCAAATCAAAATCTCGGGCGGTTTGCTGGCGATTTGGCTCGGTCGATTCAATCAATCGACTTCGGAAAGTTCGACTAGAACGCGCAATACCTGCATCAAGGAAAAACCAGGATGCTTTGACGAGCGCCGGCCAGTTTAGCGCAGCGAAACATATTGGGGTTTGTATGACAAACCATCCCCCATTACAGAAAACGCGCAATGTGTTACAGGAAGAGCCAAAATCTGAACGCTCTTCACCAAAATGCGTACTTTTTTCACCACAAGGGCCAAGGGGGATGCTTCGTCATACATACCCCAATATGTTTCGCTGCGCTAAACTGGCCGGCGCTCGTCAAAGCATCCTGGCTTTTCCTTGATGCAGGTAGCTCGCTTGCAAAACACTAGAACCACGACAAGATCACCTTGTTGTAGGCGAGTTTCTGTAGATTTGCGGCATATTTTTAAATTTCTGAGAGGATGTCTAGAAAAAAAGTTATGACCATTTTACCGCGGAAAAAGTGAAACATTGCGGTAAACTGGTCGAGCACATTACCGCCTTTATTGACTTAATTAATTCCAGCATACGTAAAAGCGTGAATCTGAAAGATTTAATGGGGAGTAGGCGGTTTTGACACACATAAAACACGACACGGTCAGATGTAAATGCAGTAAACGGCAGCAAGCTTCCTACGGAGCAGGACTCTCCAAAACTTTATTGTAAATCTGAAAGGTACGGGCATTATACGAACCCTCCCAGCATTTGTAATTGGGTGATATTAATAATATTTGAATAATACACTTTCATTCCGGGACACTTCTCAAAATCCACATAATGATCAGTACATGGCTAAGAATTCAGAAAAAATGCTACTAACAGTAAAAACTGTTGTTTTCTTTGAACAGCAATTGTATCTGTACACGCGATGTCTAGCGCTGGTCACAATGGTTTATTGTGAAACAACGTCAAGGTAGTCGACCTGGGCAATCTCTAATCAACATTTATTCCTGCCTATGGATCGACATCTGGTAAAGTTTTAGATTAACTGTGCTCTGGCGACTACTGTAGAATTTAGCATCATCAGTCAAAAATCCTCTGCCAGCGGACTTTTATCATATGTATTGTTAATAATTGGGTCAATATAATATTGTATTTGAACCGGGGGCGTCCAATAATAAAGATTTTTATCGGAAAACCATATATTTGCTGTACTGCAACATTGTTTTCCGCGCGTTGAGCTTTTTCATAAATGTCTTGTCAGGAATGGCGCAATGCGAGTGAAGAGACCAGACAAGCTTCACTTTTTTTTAGCTGGACGCAAAACGGTTCGAGCTGGTCCGTAGTCGGTCTGGGAATGTTACGGCTGTGGTTCGCAGCAATTGCCCATCACCAAGCACCAAGGCAATCACTTTCAAGTAGCCCAGGCAATTAGGTTCTCTGATTGCTTTCATTTGAGAAGAACTACACAACGTAACAGAACATCTGCAGCCGTTGAGAAGACAAGAAGAACAAGAAATTTTTTTAATCAATAACAGGATAAGCAGAGTAACATGATTGTGGCAATCGAAAAAGCAGTCACCTTGACTTACAAGCGGATTTCACTCGTGCTTCTTCTCGTTCCGTCGAGAGCATTCCGATAGCAGATTGTGATACGGACCTCCTCGTAGCAACCAGCGATCAGTGTCCACCCAGTCTACTCACGCGCAGCACGACAAACCATATACTCGTTAGCCTCTATCAATTCGTGTATCGACGGAATCAGCAACCAACTTACATGCTAGAGCCTCATTCCGCAACTCTTGCTCTGCACAAAGTTAATAAAGATCGTCAGTAAGGGATCAAGTCGCACAGGGCCATCTAGTAACGCACTCACTTCTTGACCAGTTCCTGGGTAGCTTGACGAGGAGATGAATGTCACGGGGTCTCCACTTTCGTACTTGTCGGGGAATCCGTAGGCGTCGTCCCCCACGAAACTGAGCGGGTCAAGTTCATTCTCTGGGATCAGCATCTCCTTGACCGACGCGGGCACCTTCAGCTGCTTTAAGAGCTCGTACTCCTCACTCTTAGTTTGTAGCCAGCCACCCCAAGTTCCTCCTTTCGTCGTATAAAGCGAAATACTGGCGGCGGGACACGAAACACGCAATTCGGTTTTGATCAATTCCTTCAGCTTCACTGCGCTGGCATCAGCGCTCGCGTCCAAGTCAAAGCCGTAGCCCTTGTCGATACATACACACTAAAATGCTTTGAGTGGCACCGCTTGTAATGCCTGGGGTCTGGAAGAAAGGAAAATAATCAAAATCTTGCGAAAGGAACAAAGTAACAAGAAAGTCAGATTCCATCATTAGAATCCGGTTCCTTGATTTGTTCCGAGTTCGTCAGTTCCGTCCAATCGCTTATCTTATTGAGTGAAGTTTGATACTCCTTTGCAAGCTGCGGCTTTATTCTTCATTCTTCCACGGATATTGAATGAAGAGGCGCGCCGAGCGCGCCCCGCTCGCATAGTGGCAGCAGGCTTCGCCAGTCTGCCAGTCGAGTAATTTTGCAACTGAAAGAAAACCCTCTCAAACATGTAATTATTGTTTTAGCAAGTACGAGAGAAGTTCAGATCGCCAGCTGTGGTCTGGATAGTGCAGGCAGAGAGCTGCCTGCCAACCATACATAGCGCGATGACGACACGAGGTCGAGGAGTGAGGAGTCGAGGACGCAGTCCGAAGACGAGCTCACTTCCTCTTTTGCCTCCAGGTACCGAGCACGGATCTAGAGTAGTAGGCATAGGAATAGAGGATAACCAAAAGAGTAATACATTGTAGTGAGCTACCTACTCTGTGTAAACTGTTCATTTCAACACGTCAAGTTCACGGAGGAGAGCTTCACGCTGGAGAAGGAGAGCGAGAAGCTTGCCAACATCTTTGACAACAAGACCAAGCGCGAAATTATGGCGCTGGCTAGCGGCAGGGTGGTCAACCACGTCAAGTCGACCCCAGCCAAGACGGCTCCAACAAATCCGAAGGGATCCGTTCTGGGCAAGCGAAAGGCCGCAGACGGTCCGATCAACGACATCCACTACAACTTGGGGTACATGAAGTGCCACTACTGCGCAGGCGCGCACAACGATCGGGATGGCATTGGCCCACACAAGATGCTTGACTGCCCCGCGCGTCGCGCAGACAGGGCTGCGGGTGTGTTTCGCCGCAACGTGTGGACGTACCCAAGCCGCAAGGCTCGCAAGGAAGTGCACGAGCCTACACCCAAGATGAAGGGCAATGGAAAAGGCAAGGCCAAGGCCAAGGAGCGTCGTGAAATCCCATTGGCTGAGTGCCTGGCCAAAATCGTGGTGGTAGACGCGTGCGACGCGCAGCAAGATTCGCTGTCCGCGACCCCGGATGGGTACACGGGCCCGTCCCCAAGCAACTTTCAGCAGCCTGACACGCCGGGAAAGGGCGCTGCGCCGATGAGCGACGAAGACGAGCCAATGGAGAGCGTCGTCAACGCCGTGAAAGCTGACGCTTCGGGCACGGCTCCAGCCGCCGCTAAGCAATCGGACGACGACGTGGACATCGAAGGACAGCCAAGCGAGGGCAGCAATCTAGAGATTGCCGAGGCGACGAAGAGCTTCGCCGGCATGCTGACTGACCTCGAGAAAAAGGTGCGAAGTTTGTATCCATTTCTGTTAGACGATGATTCGTATCTAACCACAAATTCTTGGGTACTTGACTCAGGGTGCGGGCACGGACTAACCAGCGAGGCAGCGCGGTTTGTGCAGAAGGAGCCCAAGAACCAGTACATGTTTACATTCGCACAGGGCTCTAAGCATTCAAATACACATCTTGGCATGATAAAATTGTATTTGCATGGTCCACAAGGAATTAGACCTTTTCTGTTCGAAGATATTGCGTTAGTACCGGCCGCTACCTCGAACATTCTGAGCGAGTTCGGGCTCAGGCGCGGTGGGTACCAGATATTTGGTTCCCTAACTGGCGAGTACAAATTTGTGTTCTTTGCCAATGAATTAGTGTTTCTTGCAAAAGCAATTAACGGGGCATACTATATACAGAATAAAACACTGCAAGAGCGTCAACTGCTGTGCAACGCAGTGAAACAGGAGCCCTGTAAACCACTAGCTCGCCTAGGTACTGAGAGGTTAGAGCGCACACTGCAGGAGCGGCATGTTAAGCTGGGCCACCTTAATAAGGATGCATTAATTGCAATGTTAAGCACAAAAGTGGTGGCTGGAATGCCAAAAATTTTCGCGCCAGGTCTAAGATAGGTCCCATTCTTTTGCACAACTTGTGCAGAGATGAAGAAGAGGAGAATGTCCTACCGGAATGCGAAGGGCTCGAGAGATGAGAACCCAATGAGCACCATTCATATGGACACAAACGGCCCCATGAAGACCATAGGGGTGTATGGCAGCTGCGGGAAAATCAAATACTTCCTGAGTATCATTGACGACAACACGTCGTGGCGCTCGACCTACGTCCTACGCAGTAAAAAAGAAGTCTTTGAGAAAGTAGAGGAGCTACTTTTGCAGCTTGAGCGTGAGAGAAAGTTCACGATTCGTCGGATCCGGTCCGATGGAGGAACTGATTTTGTGAATGCAGCCTTTAAAAGCTTCTGTAAAGGCAAAGGCATCGTATTCCAGACATCCAACGCCTACAGCCCCGAAGAAAACGGAGCTGCAGAGCGAGACCACCAGAGCAAACTGGATAGAGTTCGTTGCGCGTTGAAGGACGCAGCTATGGAACACAGGTGGTGGCCAGAGGCGCTCATGTACATGACTTATGTGCAGAATCGCACACCCATGGCACGTTTGGGAAACAGGACACCGTATGAGATGGTGTATGGGGAGCCTCCCAACGTGAGCAAGCTACCTGTGTGGGGATGTGTGTGCTTTGCGCACGTTCCTGCCGCCCTAAGAAAGGACAAAAAGCTGTCTGCTCGCGCCGTAAAGTGCCGGTTTCTCGGAATATCTGAGGAATCGAAGGGTTATAGACTCTGGGACATGTATAACAACAAGCACATCTTTATCGCGTGATGTGCTGTTTGATACGACCAATGTAGCCACCATGGTTCAACGAGCTTTCGGTCAGGCCGAAGAGCCCCTAACAATTGAATCTGCCGCGCTCGAGCCACCCGCAGCAGAGGGAAACCAAACACTAGCCACCGAGTCTACGGAGGCAGTGGGAGCTGAAGCACTTGCCGACGGGTCCACGGCAGTAGTGGGAGCTGAATCACGAGCACAGGGGTCTACTGAGGCGGTGGGAGCTGAAGCAGTTACTGAAAACAGTAATCCAGCAGTGGGAGCTCAAAAGAAACGCGAACGTGTGGGACTCGTCGATACGCCACAGAGGCGTGAATCCCGCCCACGTAGAGAGGCCAAGAAGCCGAAGAGATACGCGGACTATCAGTGCTTCCAGGCGATGCTAGATAAGAACATTGCGCCGGACATACTAGAGCCCAAAGTGCCGACACCACGGTCGCTCAAAGCAGCCTTAAGTGGACCTCATAGAGAGCAATGGAAACAAGCTCTGGAACTTGAGTACGACTCCTTGATCGAGAATGGGACGTGGAGACTCGTAAAACTGCCACCCGGACGTAAGGCTTTGCCCTGTCACTGGGTACTAGTAGTAAAGTATAACGCCGTCGGGACTGTCGAGCGGTTCAAAGCACGCCTCGTAGCACAGGGCAACCACCAGGAGTTTGGGGTAGACTGTGATGAGGTATACGCACCCGTGGCACGATTTGAGCCGCTGCGCCTAGTGCTGGCAATAGGGACGATATTAGACTGTCATATCCACCAGATGGATGTCCATACGGCGTTCTTGAACGGCACGATGGAAGGAGAGCAAAAGATCTACATGAGGCAACCTCACGGTTTTGCGAAGCGAGGCCAAGAGCACTTGGTCTGTGAACTTCTGAAGAGCATCTATGGCCTGAAACAAGCCCCGCGCATCTGGTATAAAGTCCTACATACCTTTTTGACGTCGATGGGTTTTGCACGCTGCCACACAGAGTTTTGCATCTACGTGCAAAAAGTGGGAGTAGATTGGATCATAGTCGTGGTCTATGTCGATGATCTAACGATCATGTCGCGGAACATGCGACTAATTGATGGGCTCAAAGCCGAGTTGTCAAAACGGTTCAAGATTAGAGACCTTGGCGACATTCACTACATCCTCAAGATGGAGGTAACTCGCAATAGGAACCAGCGTGTGATGATGATCTCACAGCGCAAGTACATTGCAGAGTTGATTACGAAGTACAAACTGGTCGATAGCTCGCCGGTGATGACACCGCAAGCACCTGGCCTCGTACTCGAGCCAGAGACGAACATGAGCGCAGAGCAGATTGCTGCGCAGCCTTACGACTACAGAGGCATTGTTGGATCACTCCAATATTTGGTCCGTGGCACACGACCGGACATCGCCAACGCGGTTAGAGAATTGAGCAAATTTCTGTCTTGTTACAACCGCACGCACTGGGAAGCGGCTAGGCGAGTACTCAAATACTTGAAAGGGACGTCAACGTACGGTCTGTTTCTCGATGGAAAAACGAGAGACGTGACTTACGAAGTGTACACTGACGCAAGCTTCGCGTGTCAACCTAAAGAACGTAAATCCGTAACAGGGTACGTAATCCAAATGGCCGGAGCCAGTGTGTCATGGTGTAGGAGCAAGCAGGGAGGCATGTCGCTCTCTACTGCTGAAGCTGAACTCATCGCACTAAGTGAGGGAGCTAAAGAAAGTGAGTGGTTGTGGCACTTGCTGGGAGAAATGGGGTTTCCTCAAAAGGTACCAGTGCAGGTATGATGTGACAGCAACGCTGCCATCAGCATTGTGAAAAATCCTGGAAATCACAAAGCAAACAAACACATCGAGATCCGCTACCTGTTTACGAGGGACCTGGTTGAACTTGGCCGCCTCAAGATAGCTTACTGCTCTACAACTGAGATGACTGCGGATATTCTCACTAAAGCTCTCCCCACAAAACACTTCCTGAAACTAAGAGAGAAACTAGGAGTGCGAGATCTGAAACTTTACCCTAGTACTTAGTGGGAGTGTTGAATGGAGAGGCGCGCCGAGCGCGCCCCGCTCGCATAGTGGCAGCAGGCTTCGCCAGTCTGCCAGTCGAGTTATTTTGCAACTGAAAGCAAACCCTCTTAAACATGTAATTATTGTTTTAGCAAGTACGAGAGAAGTTCAGATCGCCAGCTGTGAGGCCACCACATATCCTCGCCAAGGTACGGCAGAATATTTATCTTCTTACTAAATGCTTAGATTGGACGAGCTTTATAGATTTGTACAGATAAGGCGCGAGAAGGTAAGGTGAGTGGTGTTTTCGTCAAGGCTGAAGGTCAATAGACACTGTAGATAACGAATATGGTTGTCGCTGTGGAGGTTGTGCTACATATCGTGTTTTGTTAGAGCCATTGGACGGCTGAGTGTATGATTGTCAGTGTGTCCTTGCAGCCGATGTAACTGACCGCATGTACCATCCTTCCTTGACATGCAGAGACTGCAGGTCTCTTTGAGACTGACAGGAAGCAACAGGTCAGTATCTGAACATGACATTCACCGACTATCTGGATATGACATTCACCGACTATCTGGACATGATGTTCACCGACTAATAGGGAGTTTCCACGGCCATTGTTCAATTTACTGCCAAAATCTCGAGCAGCAACGATGCAGGAGGAAAGGAAGGTGTATGTAGGCGTAGCATCTCGCTGGCAAAAGAAACTGCACTCGGAGCAGCTCGAGCTCCGTGTGGTGGATGCACTCGAGCATTTGGTAACTGTTTTCTCCGATCGAGTGGGGTGTTCTGTCGACCCCGCACGCATTTCAGCGTACACGACGTGCGGACTCGGCGAGGGTGGGCAGTGGCTCGGAGAAGACGAGTGTGAAAGGGCTCTGAAAGGCGGCGAAATGCTTGACCTGCTGAAACAAGTAGGAGATGACGCTTTCAAGTTCCCCACGAGCCCCCCCGTTGGCGAGGAGCTCGAGATTCACGTCGTCCTCGATATCCCTGAACCCAGCCTCCGTAAAGGTGTGTATCTTTGATCGCTTGCTCTAGTTTCTTGCTTGTAAGTACTGACCAGGGTCGTGTCGTTCTTTGTAGAGCATTTTGTCCGCGGGCTGGAAGTACTCCTTGCGTTCGGGCTTCTCCTGTTGGCGGTGTACCAGCGTCTTTACGGGGGTAATACGGCTGAGGACCTTCTGCTGGCATTGTGCTGCGTATGTACCACTGGAGCGTAAGTTAATCGTGCGTTGTGTTATGCCCCGCCACGAGAAGTATTCACGAGCGAAGCTTTTGTGAAATGTTTGCAGGCGACGATATACGTGAAGCTGCGGAAGCGGTCACCAGCGTCGCTGCAGTGGTGTTCTTGTCCAGTCACGAGCTGAAACACGGCATTACCTGGACTGCCGTCGGGACTGTACTGGTCGAGGCGGCGTACTACACGGTCCACCTGCTGTGCGAGTTGTTGCCGAAACTACGCCCAGGTGAGTTCGGATTCCTAGCTTTACTGCTCCGGCGCATACAGACAGCGTATTCCTCTTGCTCACCGCTGCAGATGACGGGCTCCCTGCTGCGGATTAACACTCCAAGGCCTTGTCATGGCTCAGAGCGGGCCTAGTCGTCGCCGGGCTTCTGCTGAAGGCTTTCGGCGGTTCACCGCATCATGAACGCCCAGTTCAAACGCTGGCTAAGGCTCTGTACCACTAGGTGCACTTAGTCGGCTAGACGTCTGCAAGGAAGTCAGAATTGAGTGAGGTTGCGTTCGTGCATTGTACTCCGTAGTATTTCAGAAAATAAATCGTTGTCTCGAGCTTTTACACAGCTCAAATGGTTGCAGTCTTAGTTGTAGGACTGTAGTAACCCAAGTTGTATCCATCGCAGGGTCGTTTTTCAAGTCGACCGAGTTTGAAATAGTTGAGTCGTTTCGTCGATTCACCAGGTCCCCGACCAAGCCTTCACCTTGTTCAAGCACTGTCGATACAACATGATGCAGGATGTTGGTACCAAGTCTGGCGGTGCTCGAGCTGTGGAGCGCGTGAAAGTTTTCTGTCGCGTGCGGCCCCTCCTGCAGCGCGAGCGTGACGGCTGGAGCTACGAAGAGTACTGCCAGCACTTCGGGGAAGACGATCAGCCCTTGGATGCGGGCGATACACAGCAACCTGCCATCGATTCCACGCCCGAGAGCTCCGACGATGACCCAGCCACGTTCATCACGGAAAAGGGGCGCAGGATCACTGGGTCCTTGACGCCGTCGCTCACGATGCAGCCGGACGGCCGCAGCGTCACGTTCCAGGCGTCAAACGCAGCACACGGCGAGGCTCGGCTCTTCCAGTTCGACGGCAACCTCATCGAGACTTCCGACCAGCAAAGCGTATACGAGCGTGTGGCTGCGCCTATCGTGGAGGACGTCATGGCCGGATACAACGGTACCATCTTGGCGTACGGCCAGACGGCGACTGGCAAAACCCACACCATGGTCGGGCCGGGGGACTTGGTGCACGGAGACCAACGCGGCCTTATCCCACGCGCCTTGGAAGACATCTTCATTCGAGCCGAGAAGACTCGGTCGCAGGCAAAGACGACGGTCGCGCTGAGCTACGTGCAGATCTACTGCGAGCGCATCTTCGACCTGCTGGAGCCTGACACCGCGCCCAGCAACATCTTGGTGCGGGAGGACGCAGACCGCGGCGTGTATATCGACGGCGCCGCTGCGGTTCACGTGGCCAATGTCGAGGACTGTCTGAACCTCATGGAGAGAGGCAACGCGAATCGCGCCGTCTCCAGCACCGAGATGAACGCACACTCCAGTCGTAGCCACGCTATCCTCATCCTCCGAGTCGAGCGCAAGGAGTTCGCCCCGCCACCGTCTTCAAGCGGAGCATCGAGCAGCAGTACGCAGCCTGTTATTCGGTTAAGCAACCTCTACCTCGTGGATCTTGCAGGCTCCGAACGCGTGAAGAAGGCTCGAGTCCACGGTCGTCATATCAGCGAGCTCAAGGCTATCAACCTCAGTCTTTCAGCCCTTGGTAACTGCATCTCCGCCCTCAGCAAGCAGTCGCAGCAGAACCAAGCGAGTTACCACGTGCCATATCGGGACAGCAAACTCACACGATTGCTGCAGTCCAGTCTAGGAGGTAACGCTAAGACGGCTCTGGTGGTGACAGTCACGCCCGCTGTGTCAGAGGCACCGGAGACGCTCCAGACGCTGCAGTTCGGCCAGCGCGCCATGCAGGTCGCCGTTCGAGCTCATCGCTCAGCCTTGTCAGTACTTGACTATCGCACGCTGTATGAAGAGATGCGCCAGGCACTCGACGAGGAGCAGCAGCGTTCACAGCAAGCCGAGGCAGCAGCTAGTGACGAGAAGGCTCGAGCTGCGATAGCAGAGGAAAAACTGACGAAGGCGCTTCTTCGGGTCCAGCATTTGGAGTTCGAGCTTGAAGCAGCACAAACAGCAACCAGACACTCCACGGCTTCAACAGGAGGTGAGGGTGACGCAGGGAGCGACGTGGAGCGCATGAAGCTGGAGCTTCAGCAGCTTGTAGCGCGCCACGGTCAGGACATCGCACAGGTGAAGTCCGCTTGCGACCGGCAGATCGAAACGTACAAGCGACTAGCGCAGGAAGCTTCGCAGGAGTGGCACGAGGTCGAAGGAGAACTGGCGGGCGAGAAAACGCAAGTGCTTCACACGCTGCAGGAGCTCAAGGAGTTCAAGCTCCGCTACTTCCAGCTGGAGGAGGACACGACGGAGCGCATCGCTGAACTTGTCCAGGATGAGCGGGACCGAGAACGGGAACGAGATGCCGCTATGTCGAGAGTCACCGCCTTGGAGAAGGAGCTCAAAGCGATTCACGCGAAGGTTCTTCAGTTGTTGTTGATTGCTTGCTTGCTTGATCCCAGTTTTGTCTTGACAGTCGTGTGTCTTGCTTCCATTGCAGATGGTGGAGGGCGAATCCCAACGAGAAAAGCTTCAAGACCAGATCGACACAGAGTTCGTGCCTAAAGAAGCGGTACGCAGAACCTGTTTAGTAGCTCTGCAATATCTTCTGGCGACGTAGCAAAGGACTTACCTGAATACGTTTCACCGTTCCTAGATCCAGCAGATGGAGGCGTTGTACGAAGGAGCGATTTCCAAGCTGCAGGCGCGAGTCGGGTGTCTGGAGAACAAGTCGCTGAGTCGGAGACCTAAAACACCCAGCAACAACAGCAACAATAGCACAGCCCCAGGACAGCCGCAGCGCTCGCTGCCTGACGTCAGGAAACCAGGAATGGCGAACAACCGTGCAGTGCCCAAGATCGGCCGACTCATCCCAGGATCCACAGCAGGTTCAGCCTCACGACTTGGCTCCGGTCCCAGTGTATCATCACGGATTCTGCAATAAACCCCCAAGAGACACAGCGTTTGCGCACGTTTTCGTACGAAGTTGCTCGTTGAGCCATATATTGCGTAACAGGAGTGGTGACGCCCGCAACGAGTAGCAACACTTCTTCGATGTGACCAGCGCTTGGTCTTGCTCGGCTCCGACCAAAACAAAAAGACCCTACAGACTGCGGAAGGGGTTTTCCGGGTCGTCCAGGTCGTCCTCCTCCGGGTCAAAGTCCTCCACGGCCTTGTACTCCTCCCACGAGTCCTCCACGAACTGCAGGAACTTGATCAGCGAGTCGGTGGACGCCGTGTCCTTCTCCGCCAGCACCAGCAGCGGGTGGAACGTCTCGCTCGTGAATTCAACGCCGCGCGTTTGTCCCTGTCTCATGAGCTCCGTGGCGACGTCGTACTCCCTGGCCTTGACCAGCTCCACCAGCACCGGCATGAAGGTCTGCTCCACGGGGCACACGTCGTCTCCTCCCAGCACTTCTCTCAGGATCTCGGTGGCCTCCTCCACCCTCTTGGCGTCCAGCAGGGCCGTCAGCAGTCCGTCATAGGACGGCAAGTCCAGCACCACTGCCTGGTTCACCGCCTCATCATACAACTATAAAAAATAATAAACATCACACAAAAAGTATCATTACGTCACTTCCAGAGCTCGTAGAAGAATGAAAACAACGTGAAAGATCGTTAAACCCGCACCTCCATGGCCTGGTCCAGCATCCGGAAGCGCAGGCACGCGTCCAGCACGTAGATGGACGCCAGCTGCGTGTAGTCGTCGGGCTTGAGGCCCGGCGCGCGGTACACTCCGCGCAGGAGCTCGAAGGCGCGCAGAGCGTGGCCGCGGCTCTTCCGTTGCCTGGCCAGCAGCAGCGCCAGTCTCTGCAGCAGCTGCGGGGCGGCGGGTTCTTGAAGCTGCGCCAGGAGGCTGAGCGCCTGCGCGGGGCGGCGCTGGGCGATGGACAGCTCCAGAAGCGACAGCGCGTCCGAGTCGGGGGCGGCGCTGCTCTTGGGGGCGGCAGCGACAGCAGCGGCGGCGGCGGCAGACGACAGTTGGCGAGCAGAAGAGCGCTGCAGCGAGAGGAGGCGGGTGGAGGCGGCGGCGGAGCGCGCGGGACGGCGGAGCGCCGACGCCAACAAGCGGAGCGGCAGACCGGTCATGTTGATTGTCGAGTGGGAAAAGTTGTAGGGTAGTGATGAGGGGTTGACACACCGTTTCGGTGCATTGAAAAGTTTGTGAGAAGCTGAATGCTTTCCGGTGGTGCACCTTCGCTGTCTTCAGATAGGTAGGTAACTTTCAATAAGATACTGTAGACGGTGGATAAGGGCAACGTCAACGGGTGCTACTGCTTTCCAAAGTAGATAAGGCGCCAAGGACTCCGAGCACAGAAGAGAAGCGGAGAATACGTGTAGGCAACACGCTTAGTTGGGGATTCTCCTTATCGAACATCGTACCCATCCGCCATGGCCAAAACTACCGCTGAAGTGGGCGATGATCTTCGTGCCCTCGGTATATCACCTGAGCTGATTGCGCTAGTTGAGGGAATCAGTGTACGGTACACTTGGACTGACGACGACGAGGTTGTTTACGCCCGCTTCGTAAAACTGCACTTGAAGCCAAGACCACGTCAACAGTTTTGGAACATCCGGGTCGATCTTCTTTCGAAAGATGCTCTCCAGGAATATTGTGTGGAGCTGGCTGACAGTAACTATCAAGTCTCAGACCATCTTTCTCGGCAAATTGAGCCGTGCTAGTTGTGCGAGTATTGCGGAGAGCTTGCGCAGCGCACTCAATGTAGATGTATGCCTTTAAGTCGAAGTTGCATCAAGAAAAGGAAGCTGCTTTAGGACAGATGATTCAATGCACAGTACGACTCGCACTACGAGGGCACACCGAAACACACGAACAAGCGCAACCAAGAAAAATCGAAGTGCTCAAGGCAGAAGTCACTGAATTGAAGGCCAACTTAGCGTTTGAAAAAGTGTTGGCCGAGATGACGAGAAAGAACTTCCAGCTCGTTCTCGCTGGCATCGCCCAAGCGCGCCAGGAGGCCAAAGTTGCGGCATTGAATTTCGGGGTAGTCTTCGGCGAGATGAAAAAGCGAGGGTTTTCCCATCTTCTACAAGAGATTGCCGTCGCAAAGCAGCATACCAAGACTGCTGAACTGGCCAAGCGTCTGCAACTCATTCAAATGGAGGCACAAGAAGCTGGCATCGATCTGGAAAGTATATGCGCGATGCCCGTGGTTATGCCGCAGGTGGTTCCAGTTACGGGCGACATCTCGCGATGTTCGGACAGCATTACGATGGCAATCCCGGTTCCGAAGGAGCAATGATCTCACCTGGAACTGTGGCCCCATTTGTTACAGTACATGGCCGTTTGCACCACCCAGCAGCGAAGTTAAGAGCACTATAGCGGCATTGTGCGATGCAGAATTTCAGAACTTGCAGGTTTAAAGAAGTTTGGGGGTTGTCGTTTTCAGCGGAAATCTCCGTTTTTGTCAACCAAAGATAGATGATAAGATAGCTCAAGGTAACGCTGAGGTGGCATCAACCAAAAACAAACAGCACAAGCTCGTCAGAGCTCAGTCAATCATGGTTGCGGTTGGCATACAACTCTTTCGGTGGATGTGTGACCTCGCCACACTTCTGGAATATCCGAGCGGTCGATTCCGACCCCGGCTCCAAGTTCTGTGTGGAGCTGACTCATAAGGCGACGAAATTCGCGGTACCAAGTGAGCTTGATCCCGAGTTTGGAGCGAAACCTATCGTCGATACGCTAAGTCAGCGCCGGTTCACTCCTACGATGATAACGAAAACTTCTCTGGAATTTAAGCCCGAGTCTGGGTTCACACCTAGCTGTCAGGCTGTCGAGGAATCTGTGAAATACGCGTGTCAAGTTCAGACTGTGGTGCCGTATGTGCAGGCACAACTATCTCAAGAAAAGGTAAACGCAATTCGACGGCGCTTTCAATCCATATTACACTGAAGTCTCGCCATTTGAAGTTCCGGAAAAACTTAAAACGCTCACTTCGGAGGTATCGAAGGTCAATCAAGCGCAACAGGCCATTAGTGGACACTGAATGGTTACCTCTCGACACCTTCACTGCTCCAGCAAGCACTTTTGAAACAAGAATGTGTAGTCCAAGAGCTCGAAGCTGCAATTCTAACAGCTAACCAAAAGCAACTATTTCTCGAAGGGCAGCTGAAAGGGGCAGTCTCGGAAATCGCGGACCTCAAACGAGTAGTTGTATTTCAAGCGAGAAAGATTGAAGCATTCGAGATTGAAGTCGCTAAATCCAGGGCCCGGGTCCATTATGACAAAGTGCTCATTGAGATGACGAGAAAGAATTTCACGCTCGTTCTTAATTAATGACATTGCCCAAGCGCGCCAAGAGGCCAAGGCAGCTGCGCTAAACTACAGGGCCGTCTTCGTCGAGATGAAAAAGCGAAGATTTTCCCGTCTTTTGGAAGAAATCGCTGCCGCGAAGCAAGATGCCAAGGCTGCTGAACTCGCCAAGCGTCTCCAGCTCATCCAAATGGAGGCGCCAGAAGAGCTGGAATCGATCTGGAAAGTATATGCGCGATGCCCGTGGTTATGCCGCAGGTGGTTCCAATTACGGGCGAGATCTCGCAACACTCGGACAGCATTCCGATGGCAATCCCAGTTACGAAGGAGCAGTGATATCACCTGGAGCTGTGGCCCCACTTCGTAGAGGATATGGCACCAATAATTGACTTACATAATGACAATATACTCGAATTCCAGTGCATATAACATGCGGTTGTTGGTGAGTGAAGGTCTTCTTGTCCAGGGTATCCATTCCCGCGACCACAACATATTTTACCACCAAGCACAGCAGTCAACAACAGCCATGGTTGATCAGGACCGAGTCCAACGGTATCGCGGGTGTTTGGCGCTGCATTTTGGCGTTAACTCGACAGTGAATCAAGCAATCCGATCAATGCTGGGGCAAGGGTCCGCCAACAACCAGCAGCCCCGTTTTGCCACGCTGCCTGAGGACGAGTGGCACGTGACGCTCGTAACCAAGGACGAACTACGAGCACTGACTGCTGACGCTGTACAAGAAGCGACAGAAGAGTTATCCACCCGCTGCTTCGCGATCGGATTGGGCGGGGGAGCAGGAGCGACTAAGGACCTGAATCCAAGTGGAGTGTACTTTGTCGTCTGTGTGTGGCCCAAAGCTCAGGCCTTTCGAGCCAAGTACGGCCTCCCACTGAAGGATTTCCACGTGTCCGTGTCGACTGCCAACCGCCACGATATCGACAAGACCAGTTACGCATTGCTCGATGATAATGGCCTGAATCTGTTGGAGAAGTCAGCGATGGAAGCATTGAGTCGCCAAGTGATGCTGGAACAGAAGCCCGAACGCGCCGTGGAGATCGCTACGCTGTTGTGCACACGGTTTGGTGGCGAGAGTTCGCGTGGGTGGGTGCGGCTTGCTGATGCAGCATTACTTACAGGCCGCCCGAAGCTTGCAATGCTCAGCTATGCGCACTTGATTAATCGGATGGTTAATGGAACACTCGAAGACCAAGAAAGTGTTGGCCGTGGATATCCTCTGTGGAAGCACTGCTGCGTACAAATTTCAAAGTGTGCGGAGTTAACGGAATGGGGTGCAGTGTTCGTCGACGGAGAAGTTGAACAAGTGCCTTCGAAGTTGCGTAGTGTTCTCTGTACGCCGTGGAGTATTTCAACCTGGGTGGCAATACGAGAAAGTGCTCGCAACACCTCCGCGTCTCTCTCGTATCCTTCGAGGGAAAAAATCATAACACCTTACGCTGCAGTGGGGGATTGTCTTGCTGGATCACCGACGCAGTATACACTTCCCCGGTTCATCCGATGGATCGTACCTTTCCAACTGGCTGCGATGTCCACGCCTCGAAATCGAGACGACATTCGGTGCCTCTGCTACTCGCTGCACATTCGTCATATCGTTACTCTGACCGAAGAGGAACCGTTGCCCGCAGCTTGGTTCGAAGGACTGCACAACATCAAGAACACTTTTCTCCCCGTGACAAATTACCACGCGCCCAGCATCCCGCAGATCGACATGTTTATGCGGCTTTGTTGCGTCTCCTCTACGGCACAAGCCCCTGTACTTGTTCACTGTGGCGGAGGAAAAGGTCGCGCTGGCACGATGATTGCGTGCTACCTCGTGGCATTCGGCTTCGCTCCCCCGCCATCAGAGCTCTTACAGAGCAGCACTGATTCAAACGATCGGTGGTTTCAGCCTGTGATGACGGCAGCGGAGGCTATACAAGCTCTTCGAGCAATGCGTCCGGGCAGTATCGAGACAAACGAGCAGGAAGAGGCCGTGAGTGCGTACTGTTCGCTGCTTTGGAAACGTCGAGGCGTATTCCCGCCTGAACCAGTTCAACCGCTACCGAGTCGTCCTGAGGTGACTGGCAAGCCTGTCGAGACGACAGACCTACTTGTGCTGTGTGGAATTCCGGGGTCAGGTAAGAGCTCATTCCGCCGAGCGTTGGTCAAGCGTAGCATCGCCTCACATGCAGCGCCTAGTACGGTTCGAGCGAACAACGCTCTTTATCAGCCTTGGATAGAGATTCACAGCGACGAAGTGGGTCGTAAAGGATGCGAGAGGAGCCTTGGCCAGGGAAGTCTGCGTCGGGCCATCCTTGATCGCTGCAATGGTGTCGCTGCAGATCGGAAGAAGTTCTTGGGTCTAGCTGCCACTTGGAGCAAGCATGCGACTGCGATAGTGTTTGACATCCCGACGAAGCTGTGCGAAGCGCGAGCTATGCAGCGCGCCGACCACCCCACGTTGCCGCCTGGTCGTCGGGTAGGATTCGCAATCCGTCAGCACTCCAGCACTTTCGAGTACCCTGACCTGGCTGAAGGTTTCGAGACGATAGTCCGCATCACGTCCGTTGAGGCCGCGCTCGAGTTAGTGGATATGCTGTCGCCTCCGTTGCCTCTGCTCAAGTTCCCGCGAACGGCTCACCTCATCGACCTGGGAGCCGCCACAAGCGACGACTTGGTCACGGACATTGACTGCGTATCTCTCCCGGCAGATGAGAACACGACTATCGTCATTACCGAGAAGGTGGACGGCGCTAACATGGGCATCTCGCTGTCAGCGGACGGAGCTCTCGTCGTCCAGAACCGCTCGCATGTCGTCAATTCGGAGACGCACCGGCAGTTCCGAGCTCTTGACGAGTTCTTGAGCGACCACCGCGCTTTGCTGTACGAGATTCTGCACCGTGACTCGCTGTTCTCCGGTCGCTTCATCCTCTACGGTGAGTGGCTGGCGGCAACGCACTCCATCGCTTACTCGAGGCTGGGTAGTCTATTCTACGCCTTCGACCTGTTCGACCGCGAGACTGGCGAGTTCTGGGACCGATCGTCGCTCAAAGAACTGCTGGCGATCAGCGCTGCGTCTTGTGGCGATACCAACGCCATCCAACTCGTGCCCAAGCTCTGGGAGGGGCGCGTTCTTCCTCCTCGAGACGAATTGATCGCCTTGGCCCAGCAAAGTCCCTCGAAGTTCTACGACGGCCCAGTTGAGGGCATCTACGTAAAGTGGGAGCGTCTCGGCCGCGTCAAAGAGCGCAGCAAGATCGTCCGCAGCGACTTCCTGGCCGGAGATGCCCACTGGAGCCAACGCCCCGAGGGCATCCGCTTCAATTCGATGTTGAAAAATAGCGACGACTTGTATTATAACAGTTAGAAAACACTTAAGTTGTTAGAGATACGTAGACAGGACACCAATGGTACAATGTACCCAACTTACCCATCAACCTTCCGGTTCCTAACCGTTATGGCAGTCGCCGATCCTCACAACCGCATTTGAAGCAGACAGCAGCCCCAAGCACCAGTATGCTCTCGCGCGTCCTCCGAGCTCGCGGCGCGTTGGTTCGCGCGTCTTCCAGCGCGCTGGCGGTGGCCGCCGCCCCGACGCGCAATTGCGTCGCGCGTCGCCAGCTGCTGGCGGCCTCCTGCGCGCGCTGGAACTCGTCGACGCCGTCGTCGTCGTCCCCCGTGACGTCCACGCCGCTCGCTGCGGCCGCCAAGGACTCAGACGCTGCTGCGGACCCCGCGGACAGCGTGAAGATCGACCTGGGCACTGTCGGCGCCGAGGACGCCAAGGTGCTGACCATCGCGGACGTGCTGAACGCGCGCGAGCAGGAGCTGGCCACCAACAAGGCGCTGTTCGACTTCGAGGAGTGGGAGAGCATCGCCGGCACGGTGAGAGAGGAGAGAGAGCGCTGTAATTGAAGGGCTTTGAGACTGATGAACGTGTTGTGGCTTGTAGGAGACGGTGCACGACGCGGTGCTGACAATGGTGGAGCGCAACATCGGCTCGCTCATCGTGACGGAGGCCAAGGAGGGGATCGTGGGAATCGTGACCGAGCGGGACATTTTGAAGAAGATCTCGCCCCGGACCGTGCTGAGCGAGGAGAAGTTCGTGCACGACGTCATGTCCTCGCACATCATGTGTATCCACCCGTCCACGACGGTGATTGAGTAAGTGGACGTTATAGTAGTTGGAGGTGCTTTTGTTTGATGTGCTTTGAACTGAGCTGACGGGGTTTGATGTTGCTGTGTTTTGCTAGTGCGCTGGCGACCATGACGAAGGAGAACATCCGACACTTGGCGGTGGTGAACGGCGACATGACTAGCGCTGTCAAGCGAGGATCCGTGCAGGAGGAGGACATGCGCTGCGTGCTGTCGATCACGGACATCGTCCGCGCGTACGCCGAGTTTGAGGCCTCAAAGAACCAGGCGGTACCGCAGGAAGCTGCTGCGGCGGATGCGGCGGCGGAGACGACTAAGGAAGCGGACGAGACCAAGGCTGCAAAGCCTGTTGAGGCTGCTGCGACGACGACCCCGGCATCGGAGGCCACCAAGTCAGAGACCGCCGAGGCTGCGCCGGATGCTGCTGCGGCGACCACTGCGCCCGCGTCCCCCGTTGTGACTGCGGCGACGCTGCTGAAGAAGAAGCACAAGAACATCAAGCTGATTCTGAACACCCGACCGGAAGACAACGTCACTGTGGCTGAAGCCGTCGAGGAGATGGCCAAGCGCAACTTCGGAGCCGTTCTGGTGGTGGACAAGGAGCAGCGTGTGCTGGGCATCTTCACGGAGCGCGACTACATTCGCAAGGTGCTGTTCGAGCTGAAGGACCCGACGAAGCTGCTGGTGACGGACGTGATGTCGTCTGTGGGCTCAGTGCTGCAGATTGAGGACCCACTCGAGAAGTGCTGGGACTTGGCAGCCACTTCCAACTGCCGTCACTTCCCCGTGATCGGCGTCATGCGCCAGGATCGCGAGAAGGAGCTCGCCGGCATTCTGTCGATCAAGGATATCGTGCGCGAGATCTCGAAGGACCACCACGCCACGCCCGGTTTCCGTCTGATGGAGTTCTTGAAGTCCAAGATGAAGCCGGAGCCCAAGGCTGAGACTAAGGTGGAGGCTGCGGCGGAGTCGAAGCCGGAGGTAGCTTCCGCTGCGACGACGGATGTCAAGGACGCTAAGATCGCTGCGCCAGCAGATGCCACTGCGACTCCAGTCGAAGAGGTGAAGACGGAGACTCCTGTGAAGGGTGCTAGCACTGACGCTGAGTCTGCGAAGGTTGTGGAGGAACCTCAGACTGCTTCACCTGTGAAGCTTTAGGCACACAGGTAATACGTAGCTCCTGTAGATATCTAGCTCCTAGAAACGAACAGCTAGCAGCGTGACAAGGTACTACAGAATCTTGCAATTAAATAACATTGCTGCTAACTAATCATCTAGTTGAACGTTCCCCCAGGAAGCGGGTCCAGTGCGGCCTTCCTCGTTCCCGCTCGCGGCACGGACATCTTGCTCTCCGCCTCGGAACCGCCACCGGAGTACGTCGTCCAGTTACAGTAGAGGTCCTCGTTCCAGTCACGATCAGTGGGGTCCTCCACTTGAACGGTTTGGCGACGTACGCCCAGCGTCCCCAACACGCGCTGCGTAGCTCGAAGAGCAGCACGAGGCTCGCCGTTCGGCAGAATGTGCACGCTGGCAGCGAAGTTGCCTTCAGTTAGCATCCAAATGTGCAGGTCGTGGACATCGTAGACGCACGGCAGCGCGCGAATACGTTTCTCCACGACGCGCAGGTCCAACGCCGGCGGAGCGCCCTCCATAAGAATGTGCACACTGCGCGTGAGCACTCCGATCGTCGTGCCGAGCACCAAGAACGAGAAGAGGATCGTGGTGATCGGGTCCGCCATCTGCCACGACGGGTTGTACCAGATCAGTCCGCCGGCAATGCACACGCCCAAGCTCTGCACAAAGTCGCCAAGCGCGTGGATGTACGCCGCGCGCACGTTGATGTTCTCGAACACGGACGACTTGGGCGCCAGTCCCTCCGACGAACACGCCTCCGGCTCCTCCACTTCATCAATCAGCGCCATGGCGGACATGGGCGTCCGCACCAGATCCTGCATGCTGGGGCTCTGCTCCACGCCGCTCTTCTCCTCGTGGCAATGCCCGTGGCTGTGGCCGTGGCTTCCATGACTGTGTCCGTGTCCGTGGCTGTGGCCATGACCGTGACTGTGACCATGTCCATGGCCTAGAATCCTCATCAGCACCAAGTTGATACCCAGTCCGAACACCGCGACCAGGAACATGGCCTTGCCGTCCACCGTCTCCTCTGCGTCTGGTCGTCCTTGGTCGATGATCCTCCTCACCGCCGTGAACATGAGACCGATAGCCAGCACCCAGATAAGCACCAGGCTCAGCAGAGCGCCGATCACCTCGGCGCGATGGTAGCCGAAGGGCATGGACGCCGACGCCGGCAGCTGCCCCAAGGACATGGCGAAGAGCGACACGAGGAAGCCCGCAACGTCCGAGAGCAGGTGCGCCGCGTCCGTCATGATGGCCAGACTGTCGGCGTAGTAGCCGCCCGCGAACTGCACGCACATGAAGACGAAGGAGCAGAGGCACGCCAGCTGCAGCTTCCTCATGGCGGACTGCGCCACGTCCCCCTCGTGGTCGTGGTCATGCTCGCGCTCATGCTCGTGCTGGTGCTGGTGCTTGTCGTGCTCGGGCTTGTCCAGCGTCACGACGTGGTCGTGAGTGGCGGGGGTCTGCAGCTCCTCCATGTCCGCGGACGTGTCCACCGTGATGCTGAGCTTGGGCAGCGGTGTGCGCTGCGGCTTCGTGGCGGGCTCCGACTGCTGCGCTGGGCCCATGGTCTGCAGTACGCACAGGGGACGGAAGATTGCCACGCGTGACGGCCTGGACGAAGTGGGAATGGAGCTCCCGGGACACGCCGACGGCGGGAGAGCGAGGACAGATTGGCGCCGGTCGCTTAATCGTTGGGCTTTGATCACCTGGGGAGCTCTGATAACGTTTCTGAAGGGAGGGTAGAAGATGACAGGTTTTTGGCCATCATGAAGGACAGGAAGGTGACTGGTTCTGGCTACTAATGCTGAATACATTAGTTCTCAGAGGTAAACGGACGATTTAACGCCGGTGACGAGCTCATGGGACAGCCTGGCCGAGCGGCTGGGATGGCCACATGCGAACAGCACACGCACACATGCCCCGGAGGATCGCGGCAGTCGTTGCTGCTGGCAACGAGGTCGTTGAAGCCGAGTTCAAATCCGGGCCGACTTCTGGGAAGGCGCTGCCCAAACGACACCGAGCTGGTGTAGAATTCTGTAATAGACTCAGCGCGAGTTACTGCAACGCTGTCGTGGACACTCGAGTCGGGATCGCCAATTGAAGGTGGACGCGAATTATAGTAACCGCACTGGTTTCATTGTTATTGTTGCAAAGGTGCAAATAGGCATAAATAAATGGTGGCGCGCGTCAGCGAGTGTCGGCTGCTTCCGTGCTGTGGCTCCTGAGAGCTGGAGCTGCCGCGCAGCAGCAGCTAGATGAACGAGAAGAAGAGCGCCTCCGACGTCTTGCTCCAGCGGAAGGCTTTAGCGAACACGACGAGCGCGTTCGGCATGCGCAGTTGGCAGTACTGCAGGGCGAACCCGAAGCATGGATTCGCGGCCAGCGCCTTGGCGAGCAGGCACAGCAGCGCGTACAGCAGCATCTTGCGCAGGTACTCGAGACGCAGCATACCCGGGTGGCTGCTGCGAGCCAGCGACTTGGTCCTGACGGTCTGAAGGTCGTGGGACGACACAGTGTGTTCCGAAGCCGCCATCGCAGCGGTAGCCTTGCTCGGAATGGAATGCGCGATGGTCTGCATGTTGCAGCTCTGGTTCACTTGTGGGCTCGGTCTCCGTTGCCGTTGTGAGCGGCCTCCAGACCTTGCGTGCTGCTCGATAGCCCATAACCGACGAATTCGGCGGCAGCAGCGCGCGCTATCGTCGCTGTGGTTCTTTGTCGCTCATACAGAGCGCCAGTCATCTGCGTTCGGAACCATTGAAGTTTGTCAAACGTCGACGAAACAGCATGGGCGCGGGCGCGTCACGACCGAGCTACCGCCGAGTCATGCCCGAGCTACCGCCGAGTCATGCCCGCAGATCCGGAGCATAGCGACTCTGACACCGACGCGGTGCCGGACACCCTCACATGCAATCAAAAGAAGAAATAAGCTGCCCCCTCCAGAATCCCATTGCCAGTATCTTTTCGGGCCACGTAAATGACAAATCACGCAAATTTTGGTCTCTTTGGTCTCAGCGATTATAATTACAGTAGTATGATCGGGTTCTGAGTTGCTGTTTTTTTTTCTCGGAACTGCCGGTGTCAACTTTTTGAGTTCAAGCTTCTGATTGGCTTATCGTATCTTCAACTAAGTTCGAAAAAACATTTAAACACTCGTGGAACGAGGTTAGGGAGCTGTTAAGCCAACCTTTTCCATATACTCATCCAAAAAAATTACGACGAGCTAAGGCTCAGAACTATTGCCTGTCTAGATCAAGCACAACTTGAGCTCGAAATCGTCCGTCTAGTTTTTCACTCGTACTTCATAAGAGGGATAACGTAGATTTTGGTAGCTGGACGATAACTGGACCCAATGTCCTACTAAGTACGAAAGATGGGAGGTTCTGAGCTGTTTTTACTTCGAAGCGATTTAGTTATTGGTTTGCCATCCTGTTTTTCTTTCGTTCTATCCAAATGAAAAATCATTACTACAGTAAACACTTGCCCATTTACCGTGACTTACAGAAAGAATGATCTCGGTCTTACTCGATTGGCACTCAAATTGGCGATAATTATGATTGGCTTCGGTTCGAAGTGACATGTCCAAACCCACCGTCCGTGGTCACCAGCACGGTCTGGAACTGCAAAATTCTAGTATATGAAACGGTGTATCAGTGCGAGTGGTCAGTACAATAGTACCTAGATTGTTACGTGCTCCTAAACTCTACCGTAACATAGAAATGACTATTTAACTTCTTTGACCAACGTGTATATAATATTTCAACACATAAAACGTTGCCCCACTTGGTTTACCCGATTCATGTTTGTCCATGTTTTCCAGCTGCACATTCAGCTAATCAGATCCCTTAATTTTATATTAACTTGGAAATTTAATACATTTCTGAACTTCCTTAGTGAGGTAAAATATTTGTTGTAACTTGTTTAAACTTGATTTAACCCGACCTAGTTTTGAGTTTTATATTATCCGTTTATGAATGATATACATTAAGAAATACGTATGCGCTCCATGAATAAAGCAGTGAAAAATAGGAGTATCATATGCAATTCGCCTACACGGTGTGTATTTGCAAAAATATTACACTGTGTATAAAGGGTGCTCTCGGTATTATGAAAATAACGTATAACGGACCCGACTTGCAATTATTCTACCAGAGAAATGGTCGCGGCAATGCGCTTATAACGGACTCGACTTATCATTATTCTACCGGGGAAATGGTCGTAGTGCACGGGGAGTAGCGCAAGAACGTGGATCTCAAAATGCCGGAGATCGTTCACACCTCGGAAGCTGAATCTTTCCTCGGACACCATCGCCTGCGGGTCCAGCACGTTGTCCGCGTTGTCCAGGACCTCCCACGCTTCGTCTTGAATGCCGCCTGGGCGGAGGAGATGATAGTCTCCGTCGCGAGTCTTGAGCCACTCGTGGTCCTTCTTCTTCGCCCAAAAGAGGGCCACGTCCTCGGCACGGCAGTCGCAGCGCATGTCGTCCACGATGCGCTGCTTGAGCTCGTGGATGGTCTTGTGCTCCTCCATGATGAATGTGCTAATGTGGTCCTTGAACGCCGTCGCGATGCGGATGTCTTTCGACGACGCTGGCGGAATGGGGTGGTTGAAATGCAGATTTAACTGTTTGGCTTGGGTGCTTGTTGTTGAGGCAGTGGGATGCTCTCATTGGTGGCTTGGTGATAGATAGGCGGACTTGAGGCTTAACCGACTATTGTGGCGAAGTGGATCCGCGAAATTTGCAGATCACGGGGGTCCTCTTGCACACGGCGCCCGAACTGCTGACTAACGGAGGGGGTACTCCGATCTTCCGTGAAGTTGCTGATCCTCACCTTGTGTACCCGTCGGTGGGCTGGATCGCTCTTCGGGTGATCTCGAGAAGACGCGCTTGGGGTTGAGTCTTGGACTGTCTGGTGGACAGCGGGAACTTGTGGCAGCAACGCGGATATGCTTCACGCTGTGCCGAAGTAGTTGTGGCGGTTTCGATCTGGGGTTGTCTAGATCGACACTCGCCGGCCAGGTGTGATCTTGGCCTGGGGTTGCCTTGTGGTCGGTGTGTGACCTTCCTTTCCTTTCCTTTCCTTGCTTGCCGCTTCCTCTAGTGGTGGGTCGAAGTGAGGGTTGACGGACGCTGGGCCAAGCTATCCTGGCGTCCGAGGTTCCTTGATCTTGGGGTGTAAGTTGACCTGCGTAGCGTCGGGTGGGCCAAAGTATATCCCGTGCCTGGTATTGCGAAGGCGAAGACCACTTGTGAAGAAGGAGGTAAAATCAACTCTGTTTAAAATGTTAGCTTGTCCTAAGTCCTTGTCCTATCGTTCTCCTGCGTTCCTGCGCTCGTGCGGTCTGTGCGCGTACTCTCTAGCTCCCTTGAACGTTGGTGGTGTCGCTGGCTCTCTGCCCGGTGTCTGCGCAATCCGTGCGGTCGAGATCATCACTCTTTCTCCAAGATCGCGTCATCCCCGCCAAGATCGATATCGTCGACTTGGATCGATTACGCCGGAGTTTGGCTCTCAAGCACCTCCAAAGATGTTGTTCACCTTGATGTTGCCCCTTTGACCTTCTTGCTGGTTACTATCGTGCCAGACTACGCATCCCCACGCTTTGCCGATCTTGGTCCACACTGTCGATCTTGGCCATCTTGTTGATCTTGGGTATCCGCGCGAAAATATCTCCATCCACTACACCACTCTATCTGCAATTCGATCTGACCGTACACGTCAAAACTAGCCTTGACGGATCAGATTATGGTGGCCATCTGATCTAGCTTCCTCCATCCACCCTCCGTGTGCACGGTGTAGATGTTAAACGCAACCGTCACCAGCACCAGTACTAACATCAAGATGGTCACTCCTTGCTTCAACCAACGATACCAATCTGTTCATGCGTATACTAACTTAGTCAAATGCCGGCAGTACATCCGTCTTCAGTTCCAGCAAACACGGGTTACTTACCACTTTCTCCCGCTCGCGGTTTACCACTCACCCTAAGCTATCTACCGTCTCCTCGTTCAAAGTGGTTGAGCCAGCTTCAAGGCTTCCTGGTGGCTTCACGGATGGCGCTGGCTGTCGGAGAAATAGTGGTCCTGACCATCGGTGCGTCCTGCCCTTGGGGCTGGCTTTGTGGACACTGCCGACGATGCGGGTTAGTACATTGTTTAGTTTTATTTTAGTGTCATGTCCTGTCATCATCAGCACCCCGGGAAGCAAATTCCACGTAACAATACTTACCCCCTGGTGGTGCTGCTTGTGACGTTGTGACGTGCGACGAAGATGTGAACTCATTGGGAATTCAGTTCCGATCCTGAAGACCGTTAACACCGCGTCTGTATTGTCCAGAGTGGTTTATCTGCTTGGGATTATGCCTTGCGTTGCCAGGTCGAAGTCTCTGTCATCTGTAGACAGTCTCGCGCCGATGCTTCTATTAGCCAGAGTTCCCGTCGTTGTGGCCGTAGGAAAGCCCTACGCCGAGGTTCGAAGCTGAATCAAGCCGCCGATATCCGCGCGTGGATGCGTTGAGAAGGCAAGAACGCAGTTTGTGCCCACAATGGAGCACCCAGTAATACCTTGACTGCTTGCGAGATCCATTGAGGCGAGGGGGTGCTGGCTGCAACAAACACACCAAATGGTGGAAAACCCAGTTTTCTCGGCAGAGTGTACCGGTGGGTAGGCTAAAACATCAGGGCTATGTGAGCATTTAACTTTTTCTTGCAAAACGCTGCATAATGCATCGTTTTACACATTTCGCCCAATCGAAGATATGCATTATATTTTGAGCAACTAGTAGTGTAATCAGAAATGGCTACAAGCGATGCATTATACAGATTTTTACAAATCTCGCCCATACATATTTTATGCACCGATCCTCTATGTAGCTGTATTTGGAAGACCGGAAAGCCTTGTTAAACGCTGCACAATGCATCGGTTTGCAAATTTATCTTTATTAACCCTTTTTTAAGTATCCTCTTCTTACACTAGGGAATATATTGGGAACAAAAGGGCTAAGAATTCGGACTTTGCTGGACATCGAGATTTTGAATGTAGAATTTACGGTATCGTAAAAATACTCTACTTTTACCCCTTTAACGCTACAGCTTTCGATATTTATCAATAAATAAAATATACATAGTATTTAACTCATCGGCACAAAATATCACCCAGAATTTTGTTTGCAAATTGTTTAGGACTAATACCATCCCCATGTTCTTAGCTATTTAAAGCATTTCACAGCTTAACCGGAAAAAAAATAAACCATTTTTAAAGTACAAAATATATTTTAATTTTCCAGTAAAAAACGTTTTTATAGTACAAAATATCTTTATTTAATCGGTTAAACCTTGATTAGTAGTTAGATTTATTGGTAGGTATGTTTTGCTAGTTTGTAACTTCTAAATTTGGTAAAAATTGGACTAGGCTAAATTTCGCGCGCTTCGAAAGGTCCGACTTCGTCGAATCATACAAAAGTGGGCAAGCCGTAAAAAGAAAAAAGGGGAAAGTGTGTTTCTGACTACATTAGTTTAAATTATTACGTTTTTATACGTGATTGTGTGATAGTATAATACACCTATGATTATGCCTTTACAAGTACCACCCTTAAAATCTAGAATAGAGAACTTTAGTTGTTGGAATATCTCCGGGTTTGTAACAAGGAAAATCTGAATAAAAGCCGGATAAATTACCAGCGGATATTCCAATACTCAAGTCCAGTGGAACAACGCAACCCTTCGTTGTCCCACTAGAACATATTTTTGGACCAAGTCATTTTTGTTCCAAAACCTCGCCTTAGTCCAGGAACTAAAGTTCTCTAATCTGAGATAGTGCCCCACGCGTTGACAGACGCCCCACCCTCTTAAATTTATCCGTAAATTTGAGTTCAAGGTAACATTTAGAATATGTTTAATAATTTTAAAATTGTAAGTTATTAAAATTTGTATACCGGTGTTGATTTTTTGGTGAAAACAAACCATTAAAAACGAGCGTTTCGATGTGTTTGTAGTTGGACATCCTTAGCGCTCAATTCCCTTAAAAAAAAAACCATATGAGTGCCAAGTCTTTTTTGGTCCTTTTTTGTGGTTCAAGGACAAAACCACCGACTTAACCCAATGTTGTCCTTAAATTGAGGGGAAATTTGTGCCAAGCTTCACGATTTGTTTTAAACTTACTTTATGTAAGCTATAGTTTGAAAGTAGAACCAAAGTTAGAACATAATTTTGAAATACTTGTACTTTCGTAGTTTAGAGAAGTACGTTTTTGTAACGCACTGCTCAGCAAAAGTCATTTAAATATGTAACGGAGGATATTTATCAGAAGCAGCCTCAAAATGAGCGAAAATTGCATCTGCAGCCGCAAGATTACTAATCACACTAAGCGAGCGTAGCAAGCTTAAAATTTTTGGTTGAGTTTTGAGGCAATTTGAGAAAGCACACATGAGACGGTTTCAAACGAAATGATAACTATTAAGCGCTGTTTGGAGTTATCGAGATAATTGCGATCGAAGTTAACCAGTCAATTTTCAGAAATAACCAGACATCAAATTTTCGAAAGCGAAAATCACTCGTAAAAATCTAAAAAAAACTCCCTTATGCGATTACTTTTAGCACTGTCTTTTTGATAAGATACTATACATTCTATATTACCGGTCATTTGCAACCCGGGTTGTATTTCACGCATCTTTGAGCACTGATTGGCTGTTTGCACAGTTTCAGCCACACCTGCTGCGGATACGGCACCAAAAAGATGGGGTGAAGTTTGCAACTGTGGTTGCGCGTACGGTAGCAGATGCTGGACAGTTTTGCTACCCGACTCCCATTCAAAGAGCCAGTCCCGGTAGCAAAACGAAGCGGTAGAGAACTTCTATACAAAATTTAAGTTATTGTGTACTGGTGAAGGGTTGCAGAATCGTTTAGCAAGACCAGGCACCATGACAAGTCGCTACAAGCCCGAGCTTCTGACGTTCATGCCGTTCAAGGGCAACGTGGAGTACAGCAGCACCCGTAAGTTCACCCTTGAGGAGCTGCTCCGGATCACACCAGACCACTTGAGCCGCTGGTTGAACCAGCAAGCGTACGGCGACCCAGCTCCGACGGATGATATGCGTCCTGTTCATCGTCGTTCGAGCACGCTTGAGTTCACTAAGAAGGCAATCTCGTCACTCATGCCGCGCGCCAACTCAACCTGGGATCCAGTCACGGAACGCGGCAATCCGACTCGCTCTGATGATGTTAACAAGTTAATCAAAAGGGTGAAGTCCGACGAGAGGGGATTGAGTCCAAAGCGCGCCGCTCGGTTGAGCTCGACGAGTTCATGAATCTCCTGCGAGTTGTGCGAGCACAATGGGCTGACAACGACACAGCATACACGGTTGGGAGTGTACTGTCACTTCAATGGCACATTTGTGCCCGCATTGACGACATGATGAAGCTGCAGTTCAGCAACTTCTCGCCCGATACTCAATACCCCTCGACACAGCTGTTTCAGATGAGATGGTCCAAAAACATACACGAAGAGCGCGATGCCCCCGAGCAAATCATTCTTGGGAGTATGCACCCGAAAATGTGTGCTCTGCTAAAGCTCGCTGTGTATATCGAACCAACGGCAAATATCGTGCGGTTGGACTTGTGTATGGAAATCCAAAGGAGGCGCTTTTTGGGGAATATGGTGAAAAACCAAGCGTTTAAGAAGTTGAAGGCGGGAAAGCTCGGCACTCACAGTCTTAGCAAGGGAGCTGCTACGTTTGCCACACGCAGTGGTATTTCAAAAGACTTTGTGAACCGACGAGGCCGGCGGCGGACACGCAAAGGCATCGTCGATGCCTACATTGACAATACGCAACCGTATCCTAATGCCCGGACTGCTGCTGCTCTGACCGGACCCGCCGGACCATGCTTTTACACACTAAATACTGGAATTGGGTGCATCACGCCAAGTCTACTGGTTGATCAATTTGCCCCGAGAGTCAAACAGCTCATGGGTGAGCCGATTGAAGCTACGTTGGCGTTACCGTTGTTGTGGGCAGCGATGCAACCGAGCGGAAACTACCAGTACGCGCTGCTGCCCAGAAAGCTGAAGCGAAAAATAATAAGCGCGTACACAAATGCGGGTGGTAGTACAAGTGTGAACCCCGTTCATCGTGAGGAGTTTTACGTTACTGGTGATAGATCGCAGTTTAATCTCGTCCCAATCAGCAGTAATGAGATCACTGAACAAGCCACTGAAGCACCCACTAAGCAACCACGACTCGGAGGCTCGGTAGGAGGAGAAGGCACGCGCTGTGAGTTTGCAGCTCTCCACTCCCAGGTAACAGCAGGGCGTCGCTACATGACGGAAGTGATGAACGAAGTTCTACAGTCACGCCATGAACATCAGCGGGGACAACAACAAAACCAGGCAACACTGAGACGACTAGTAATCCACTCAGCTTACAGGAGAAGTACCGTTTCCGAGGAAACTCCACGCAGCGCAGCAGCAACGTCAAGCCCACAGTGAGCGTCACCAGCTAGGCTCTCGAAGCGCCCAAAAGATTTGAACGAACTGTGGCATGAGTACCGAATCGGGTGTGGTGGACTGAAGCCAGCGAAAGACTTCACAGCTATTGAGCAAGGAGCAAACAAATTTTCATACTCGCGGCGGAAGGTCTTTTGGGATGCGGTGTCCAATCTGGTTCGTGCAGGCTTCACTAGCGATACAGCGGTTGACAAGGTTTATGCTGCATACGGTAGACAGCTTTCGGTGTCTAACATTCTAGTAGCCCTGCGCAATGATAGAAAGCGCGGTGGGCATCCACGTCTACGTGTGTAGAATAACAATCACACCACAGCCACTTCAAGCATGACATTTTAACCAATCAAAAACCAGTTGCAAAATGAGTTGCAAAATTTGCCGGTATTTCTACAGTACGGCTACTTCTACCAAGTAGACTCAGTCCTGGCTTGGTGTTTTATCGACTTGGCAAGTAGCGTTATGGGATGTATGCAGTTGGATGAATTGGATACATTCCCCTTCCAAACTGATTATTGATACATCACTGACACGAACTAGATTGGATTCAGAAATTCACTTTTGAAGGGGATTACTATCCCGCCAAAAACTCTACTTTTTCGGCGGACGCGGGATGCTCGTCGACTGGTAGTGCTCCCGCCACCGTTCGCGTCGCTGGGAAGTACTAAAACGTTTACGCTGCTCCATTTCTTAGTGCTAGTCGGTGACTGATGAGCGACCCTGTGGTGTCTGGTTATGTGTAGATACGGCGGGCGGACGCCCGTTCACCGTTCCCTGATAGCACTTCAATGCCCTCACATAAGCACAGAATTGAAGTATGCGTGTATCCACCGTCGGCCGAGCGATCGTAGAGCGCGTTTAAGTACATGCAGCCTTATCTTAGCACAACCGATTCGCTATCAAACGCTTGATCATGCTGTTGTTCGTCTACTCAGCCCGCGGTACGAAGAAGGCGAGGTCTGAAGTTATCGTAGTGACGCTGGATGAACTGGATCTAGGTCCGAGTGAGTCCAGACCCATGGATCATTGGGTTGCGCAGCCACACCAGACAACAGCAAGCGAATGTCTGCAGTCGTCAAATCTCAACGAGGATTACGGCCGGTCGTGCGCGGGATAGCTTGTGGCTCTAAGGGGTATGGAATGGAGATTGGTCGTGGGCACCGATGATGGCTAGGACACGTAGCTCTAAAAAAGGAAGAGAATATACATGACCTAGAAAATGAAAGGGAGGAATACATGTACCATACTCATCCATACTCCGAGTATGAGCCTTATCGGGATTGAGCGGATGATAATGAACAGCACGTTTCCGTCGAATGGAGGGGAACATTGATGAGATCTTTGGATATGGAGTTTGGGTATGAGATAAAGGTAAGTTTAAGCTGCAAGCGTCTTGTTTTTTAAAGCGTGGGGCTAGTACGACTTGTCTAGCGCCCAATGAGCACTAAGAATAAATTATTTATTGCTGAAGAGCATGGTTAGATGCAATCCATGATATGGCATCCAATGCTTCCGATGCATCTTTCGTTCATCTAACTGCGTGCATCCAACAACGCTATTGGCGAGCGACATCGTTACGCGCAAATTGTTCTATGGGGGGAAGGGGGGCTGTTGCTGCTGCTATTACTCGCTGTTCATTGACACTCAAGCAACGAGCGTGGTAGCTTCCTCTGTGTGTCCTGCGCTTGGTCAAAATCTGGACAATCATAATTTCTACAGAAATTGGGAGTCTGAAAATGAAGAAATGTTTCAGACAAATTCCACTCCTCAAGGTTACTATATTGTTTTAACAGAGATTCTCGCCACGAGATGCGACGGTACCCCTGAACATCTGAGACCAACTAAATCCGCACTTTACTGAATCGACCCCAAAATGAGCCAAACCACGGCCAAGTACTAGTAAGGACTGTAGTCGTCCGTAGGACCGATAGACTAGCTAATCTACGGAGATATGAGCACCTACACGGTGCACACGTGTAGCCGCTTCAAGCGCGCCCATGCAAATTGTGATAGTCGTTAATCCATGGCACTAATATTTAACAACACAATCGACGATACATCGTACGTTTTACGGTACAAATCCGCATTCGTGATTAGCGGTGCGGCTTTTCGTTGCTTCTTGATGATCTTTTAGCGAAGTACCGCCATCAAAATAGCGGGAAGTGAGGTGCATTTTATCGGTGGCACTGCGCTCCGAATTCCTTTGTAGTAGGTGGCTACATTGTTAGCTTATGGACCCGTAGAGGGAGGACTACTACACCTTTCTTGCTCAAACTTCGTCACTAAACTTTATGTGCCCTGAACTCTAGCTGTGGGCTTTTGCAGCTCCATTAACCGAGGTGCCAATAAAGTAGAGCGGCTCGTTCAGAGGAAATGACGTTTTTATACCATCTCGTGGTGATAGCGTTTCGTATTTAGGTTCGCAAGCACGGGGTTGTTTAACGCGATCTCTTTTTTTTATCTGTAATTAGGCATAGCTTAAGTCGGTAATTTATGAGGATGGTTTATATTCACAAGGGTATGTTACTTCAAATCATGCAAAACTTAAATGGTTAAGCGCTGTAAGATAGAGATAATACTTTAGATGTATGCTTTAACCTTTTGTTTCCAGGTCGAACGCGTACGGGTAGCATGGGTACAATCCTACCCGTACGCACGGCCTTCGATAGTTTTATATGGAAGTTTGTATCAAATTCCATAACAATACAGGGATACAAGGCCGGAGATTTGACGATCTTAGCCTACATTTTTTAGGGTTTTGATGCAATCCTAGCTCATATCGTGTACCTGAAAGATATTTCAAGCTCTCCATGCGATTCTCTTTCTACCCAACTAACCGGTTTGTCCATGGCACCTCTGTGTCACTCAATACAACAATTTGGTGATTTTATCGATTTGTTCAACTTCCGACTACATTTTGGACACGATGCATTGCACAAATTGAGCCAGAAAATAGTTTGTACACGCTCCGGGCATTCTTCTTTCCATTCGTCTAATTTGCTTGTTTATCCGGGCTCTGTAGCGCTCAGACTTTATTTTCAAATTGAGCCTACCCGTACGCGCGGGAGACTCACTCTCCTACCTCTGGAGACAAAAGGTTAACCCTTCTAGCCCCAGACCTTATTCTGTATCCTACAGAATAAGCATGAGACTTGATTAAAGTATACTTCAAAACCTGTCAAAGATTTGCTGTTGGAAGCCCTTTCGCATCTTGCGGTCAAGCGCTGGGTACATTGTGCACAGAACAGCTACGAAAGTGAACAAAACATGCTCAATGTATCCACCATATGCCGAAATGGCGAGCTTCTATTGGTCGTGGCGAGCGTAGAGCACGCTAAAAACCTGTTACATGGTAATACCTTGCAAGGCTGCTAAGGCAGCATACTTCGGCTCCAGCCACCCATCTTCGGCACGTCGCGATAAACGCGGAGGAAGAAATCGCCCTGTTCCTAACTGACGTAGTGAGGAGGAACTGGGCGAAATTCTTCCTTGTGCTTGACATTAGCGCATCATTAGATTTCTTTAGCCCACCTAACAAGCTTGTTACGATTGTCTCTCTAACAACACCACGGAGCTTGCATGCTCAATAGCCCGTAATGACACGCACTACACACGGTTCCTCTTGTACGAAACAGTACAATATATGATATTCATGCCAACGTCTACTTCTTCCTTTACATGCGCACGCTCTTCAATGTTCGCGCCAGCCGTGGGTCATCTTCGCCATTTTGGCAGCCTCCGCTTTGCTCTGTAGCCTCCGGCACTGCCGCTCCATTCCTGCCGCTTTCATCGGTAGCCTCCGTCGTAGCCTCTGTCCCTTCTTCTGTAATCTCCGGTGTAACCTCATCACGCGGAGAGCTTCTTCTGTAGCATCCGTCGTAGCATCTACCGCTTCTTCTGTAGTCTCCGGTGTAGCCACACCATGAGGAGCGCTTCTTCTGTAGCCTCTTGAGTAGCCACTGCATCAGCTACAATATAGCGGTAGACCCGGCTGTAGCCGGCTTCATAGGAACCGATGAGGTTGTGCGCTGACTCCGCAATCGATCTGCCAATCGGGCCACACGCGAGAGCTCATAGCGTCGTCTGGGTCGGATCACCAGGTCTGGTAATCAACATCGCAACGTAGAATCAATATACCACTAGTACAATGCTACAGAGCAAAGTACACGCTCTCGCTTACCTGTAGATCACAATGGCGCTCATCATGATCGTCTTCGGCCATGGTCCTTGGTCACTTGGGTGCGCTCGACGGGCCCCAACAAAGCTTGCATTGCGACGTCTTGAACAGCGCAGTTTTGGAATGAAGGAAAGTACGAGTGGCTGACACGCGGCGGTTTTAGGCTTCCACCCGAATTTTCAAACCTGTTGGTGGTTTATACTCGTCCGTCTATTACCGCGGAATAAACCCCGTTTATCTTCCCATCGCTAATCTAACAGGAAGATGTGCACAATACCGGCTATACAAACATCCATATGCGAAGTTCGAAAGAGAGGACAAGTTTGCTGGATATTGTGCCCTGTGCCAATGCTTATTCTGTAGGATACAGAAGTCGGGGTTAGAGGGGTTAAGAAAGGCCTCGCAAAACGTAGCTATCCTACCACCAGTAACACAGCGTTTACTACAAACAGTTATTGTGCTTTGCAAACGTTTTGTCGTTTTGACTTGGAGCTCTCCTCGATTTATAATAACTCGAGGTCGATTTAATATAACGAGGTCAAAGAAAGGGACAGATCAATCTATTTAAGCTGGCCAATAACTCGAGCTACGACAAGCCAAATCAGGGCTCGAGGTCGATCTCCTGGCAGATTTGAGTAGAACGAAGTCGATCTACGGCAAATCGATCCCTTTTGCGTTTTCAAAAGCGCAATTCGAGCCGATCTATAATAAATCGAGATCGTCCACGCTACCCCCTCTGATTTGTGCCTGGATTTGTGGACCGACCTTCCTCGATCTAGCAATAAAACGGGGGGACATTTTATCTGCAAAGCACAATACAACAACTGATATTATTTACAAACTTGCGTAGTGATTAGCGTCTATTTTCAATTTTACGCAAGGGACATTGATTCTTAGACGGAATTGGTTAGACAATCGTAAATTCGTATGATGTTCGATAGGATATTGATGACGTTGGATAGGATCACTTGACCGCTTTAGTTGCCGCAGTTGCCCTACAGTGTCAACTACGAAGTGCAACTAGCAGTGCATAGTTAGCACTGAAGCGGTCGAGTTCTTGCCTCAGTACGCACACAGTCTCGCCGTTGCGTGGTCACTAATTGCAGCCAAACAAGTCGTTTCCACTACTATCCAGTAAGACTTGGCTGTGACTCACAGCCCACAGCCTGTGAGCTTAGCCCTTCATGGTGAGTGCTCTAATGTAGCCCAGCTCAACTGTTCGCCCAATTGCTCCTACATGTATCGCTAAGTAGACTCAGCAAATGCGGCACTAACCGCATTGCTAGGCTTCGACAAGCTGCAGATCTGTCCCTACTTGAGCCCAACTACCTCATGTACTCTATTGGCTGGAATACAGTGGGGGTCCACTTGACCCTCTCGAACTAACACACGCGCCAACAGTAGATTACCGGCGGTAAAAGCCGTCGATTGTACAGTAGTTCAGGGCTTTTCAGGAATCTTTATTTAAATGAACGCCTGTGATTACTTGGGAGAGTCTATTACATTTTGTGCACAGGCAACTCGAAGGCACCAGTCTTGTAGGCCTGCATGCGCACGGCCAAGTCACTGTAGAGCGCCTGCAGCATTTATTCCACTGCCACCTCTGCGCGCAACGTATTACACTGCCTTGAAAATGCTCTTGAACGCGAGGCGTGCCTTGTTGGGGTATGCAAGTCCGAGTAGGAACGCTTGAGCGCGCACAGGAAATTGGTTTGCTACCCATCATGGTCGTGTGAATCCTGGTTCGACAACTTGTCTAACGGATTCGGTGCGAATCACGATTTGCTAGTGTAGCCACACAATTAAATAGGGAAGCGAATCAAGACTTTGGAAAATGGCAGACACGGTGTCTAACGCAAATTCAGATGTGGCCCACATTGTCATACGAATTTTGGGGAATGATTCTTAGACGGAATGTTTATGTTAAAATCAGTCTAATTAAATTATTTTCTGCTTTCTACGCGCTATGCCACTTCCGATTTTATATTTGGTTAGATTTGAGACTTGATTGGTCTTCAAACGAAATTTCCTCGTAACTCCAAATGATCTACTTACCGCGGTCTCATATCTGAAATTTTCTACATCTCCTGCATTTGTAATAAGGTCATGATCTTTTGGTAGGGGGTTGTGATACGAATCTATCACAGTTGCCGTGAATGACCTGATGACCCATGACACTTTGACTGGGCTTGAGTATGGTGCGATATAAATGAGGTAGATTAAATCTACTAGATTTACGGCAACTGTGATACGGACGAAATCACGATCTCGTTGCGACCTTTCGCTACGGTATAAAAGCGAAAATGGCGATAAATCAAAAGACCACGCACGACGAGAACGATGATACACAGGGGCGGACCTACATACAAACTAGGGGGGAACCGCCCCCCCCCCCCCCAGATTTTGGGAAGACATCACACTTACCCCCCTATTTCTGAGCTGTCGGATCGACGTACTCCCCTATTTTTGAGCCGCATATCCCTGTTTTGGCCCGGCCCCCCCCCCCTCAGATTTTGGTTATGGGTCCGCCCCTGATGATACAGACGGCGCGAGCTCCGTGACCGGGGCCTTTGTGGCGGCCATCAAGACATCGTGGGCGAGGCAAGGGCGGCGACGTGCACCAAGAGCGGCGCCGCACCAGCGGTGCGAGTAAGATGGCTGCAACTGTCTACTCTGCGACGCCAATTCCTCGCGGGGGCCATCACCAAGGACTGACCCGACTTCTTTGTGCTGCTCTTGCTACAGCTGCTCAACGTCGTGGGCTGGTACGACGAACTCAAGGCCGCGCTCGAGGCCCATGACATCCGCGACGGCGTGCACAAGGCCATCAACACCACGCGGCTCATATAGGACGACCCCATCACGCTGTCGGCCGGCTCGGCCGTGCCCGCGGACTGCGACCTGTGCGAGGGCAACCCCGTGCAGATCGACCAGGCCGCGCTCACCGGCGAGTCCTTTCCGGTGACCGTGACCGCGGCAACAACGCCAAGACGGTCGTAGCAGCAAGGTGGAGGCTGTGGTGTCGGCCACTGGCGGCCAGACCTTCTTCGGCAAGACATCGTGATGAACCTCGAGGAAGAAGGCGCCGATGCGGACTCATCCGAGTACATACACAAGCTGACAAGGAGGTGAGTAATGAGCACGCTGTGGAGATTTTTTATGGGGTAGCTGCTATTGTTTTTGCGGTTTTCTTTTCTATGTGCGAGCAACACTCAAGGTACGAAATCACAGCACGATAGACGTATGGAGTCTCGGCGATGCCTTTTGCATCATGTTAGTGTTGGGGGAGCCTTTCAGGAAATATTCGCGGTAGAGCACACGTGGTGGAGCACTCGGTCTCGTTGTGGCCCGCGTTGAAGACTGACTGCAGGGGGGTATGTGCTTGTGTCATTTCCGAGACGCAACCAAATAGTTCGTAATGAATCGAAGAGAGCAGAAAAGTTGTCGTGCTGCAGACATTGCTACAGTTGACTTCGCGTGCTACGGCAAATGTCCTAATCAAAATATCATGTATTCCAACCAATCACAGAGCGTGACCAATCGTGATATGAATCATATCACATTCTACCTCTGCACTGGTACACCGTACCCATTCGTAGGTACAGTACCAGTTGCCTCACTCATTTTACGCTTCGACTAGCAGTATAGAGTCTAGATTAGTGTTTTTGGGTTACTCGAAATACGCAATACAGTGACATTGACATTACCTCTGCATTCTAACTAGGTCGTCTTCGACTTGGCTGGGAACACCTGTGGTATAAAACGCTGGTGCTGGTACCGGTGGTGATTGCCGTGATAAGGGAGAACTGTGGCCTGCGTGATTCAAGGGCGTGGCCCCTGCGGGGCCACATCCATGAAGCCGCAGTTCACTTTCTGAAGCTGGGGCATGGGGCTGTTGATGTCGATGTGCATTTCCTGCCTCTGTCTGAAAGTTGCCGTTGAACCTGCTCGGTCGACATCCTTCTGGCTCGTGTAGCACGAAGGTTGCGCAGTTACGCGTTATTAATTCGTTGGGAGCTGTCGTCCACCCCCTCATTCTTCGGGTGTTCCCAGTAAAAAATCTTATTGTGCTTTCCAGATAAAATGCTGCCCCCTTTTATGGCCTAGTTTGAGATGAGGCGGTCCACAAATCAGGGTACAATACAGAAGCGGTAGCATGGACGACCTCGATTTACGCGAATTGCGCGTTTGAAAACACAAAAGGTATCGATTTGCCGTAGATCGAGCTCGTTCTATCCAGATCCACGAGGAGATCGACCTGAAGCCCTGATTTGGATTGACGTAGCTCGAGTTATTAGCCGGCTTAAATAGATCGATCTGTCCCTTTCCTTGGCCTCATTTTATTAAATCGACCTCGATTTATTTTAACTTGAGCAGAGCTCCAAGCCAAAACGACAAAGAGTGGTGTAAAAAGCGACAAGTTATTGGTTGAAGCATGCTTTTTATCTGGACACTTTGTTTGGCATCTATGGTTAATAATTATTGCCTCTAAAGCCTCGAATGATTCGTTTACCGGTACGCCTCCAAATAACGGATTTTTACGAATAGTGGCCGGTCTGGTATTTTTATTGGCTTAGACAGGGGGTCTACTATTCGTAAGAGGGCTTAGCAATATCGACGCCAACCTGCGCTTCATCCATCTTGGCATGGTTTTACCGGGGATGCTGCATCTTCACTCCTCCCCCCGCTGTGCCTGAAACGTTCATCCGGCGAGTACTCTACAGCATTAGAACGACATGAGATCGTGTGAGGTTCAAGTAGACCCGGGAATTTCATTACTTCTCTAAAAAACCCTTTATTCTTGTACTCTGGGGGTCTTCTAAGCGTAAAAGTCCGTTAGTTTTTTTATTGTTTTTATACCATGTAATCGATCTTCACTTATCGTGCAGCAGCAATGTTTCCAGTCTGCTCGCAATCTCGTTAGCATCTTCGGTCCCCGTGTCCAGGACAAACCCGGTAAACTGCTTCGCATCAGGTGCCTGCACAGATTTCGAGCTGAAATGCATTGGCACGTGCCGCATCATTGTTCGCGTCAACGTTCTCGACTTCGGTGAACTCGGCAGGGGAATGGACACACACCATCCACGTTCATCAGCGTGCATGCCCATGAAAACTCCTTCGCCTTCGGTAAACGATCGCCACACAACTACCGATCGATCGTCGGTTAGGTAACGACGAACAACTGCACGCTGGAGTACCGACACAGTTCTACCCGAGTTGAGGCGGGTGGTAACTCGAAACTTGAATGCCGACGTGTTTTCAGGGCTTTCGATGCCGTCGTAATGCTCACGATCCTCTTGGCGATGATCCAACTGCGCCACTTTCCATGTAAACTTACAGATGTGTTTGAAGTCAAATGGCATCACGTGCTTATCAGCATACACGTAGTACCCGCCGTCTCCTTCCTCGTTCCACTTCCGTCTCGGTCCGTCCCAACCTGCATCCGTCGAGTCCAATCCATACGCCTTCAACGCTTCGTCGGTGTGAGCATAGATGGCATCCAATTCGTCTGCAAAAGCCTTGTAGAACTCCGCGTCGGAAGGCTCCAGACGAATCCGCTTCTGTTTGTAGATCGCATCGCCCGTGTCGTCCACAATACTGAGACGCTCATGCATGAAACCCTTGAACTCCTCAATCACATTCGCTTGAGACTCGACCGCCTGGATTAACCGACGCTGCTTCTCCTCGGCATTCAGTCGTGCCTGCAATTGGCGCTTGGCCACCATCTCCCACGCCGCCGATGCGACGGACCTCTCGGCGTCTTTAATCTTCTTGAGCGCCACCTTTTCTTCCGAGAGCTCCCCCACTTGTTTCTGCAGAGTCTCCTTCTCGGCCCTCCGACGTTCGCGGTATGCGCTGCGTCGCTTGCGGTCTTTCGCTCTCTCGAGCTCCAGCTTCGTAGCGGCGTCCAGAGGCGTCTTCTTCAAAGCAGCCGAAGTACTGGACGGCAGAGGTTGTGGAGCTTCCTCATGCTTCGACACAGCGTCGATGGGTAAGGCCTCGTCGCTGTTCCCATCGCTGGCCAGTGTGCGGAGCGTCGGGAACGTCGGCAGGTCGAACGAGACCAGGAAGTCTTCCACCTCGGCGAGGAACGCGGAGTCTGTCGCCATCGCTGCAAAAGGCGAAATGGTGACGGAGTAGTTTTGCGTACCAAAACTTACCTAATCTTGCAGTAAACTTAGGAATGATTGTGCAATTTGTACGTTTTCTGCGCCATGCATCACTTCGACAGTCGTGATCGTGATTCACGATTCGTGAACCTGCTTCGCTGGCAGTGCTGTTCACGAGAGGAAGGAACTTGGGCTTCTTCTTGAGTCTTTGTTCACTCACTGTTACCATTCATCACAGTATTCGCCCCCGCTGCACGCTACAGCCTGTACAGGTACCCTGAACCTTACTTGCCCGTGACGACCGAGTTCTTCTTGGCATAGCCCAGCTTTTGGAGCACGCCGCGGATGTCGTCCAGCACTGCGACGTTCTCGATGGTGGCCGGTACACGGAACGGGGCCGAGTTGGCGACAGCTTGGATCGTAGCGCGCATGACCTTGCCCGAGCGTGTCTTCGGGAGAGCGTCCACGAGGCCAACGTCCTTCAGGCAGACAAAGCTGCCCATCTGCTCACGAACGTCGCGCACCACTTGCTCTATGATCTGGTGTAAGGTGGGTCGGGCATCAGCAAGCAACACGGTTAGACCGAGATCTCAAAATAATAAAGACACACAGCTGCCGTACCTCTTCCTTCGGCCGATCAATCTTCTTGTCAATCACCAGAAGCGCGACCGGGACGTGCCCTTTGAGGGCATCGGCGACTCCAAACTGCAATTGACAAACGATTCTTGTAAGGCCACTACATGTATGTATCAACACTCAAAGGCATACATACGTACCACCGCGCATTCCACCACTTCGGGGATCTCAATGATGACTTCCTCGATTGACCCCGTCGTGATACGATGCCCCGCAACATTGATAACATCATCCGTTCGCGACATCACCTACAGGTTATACCACAACACACCTGTCAGCTGATACTAGAATTATACCAACACTGACAAGTAACTCACGTAGACGAATCCTTCGTCGTCGATGTGTCCGGTATCCCCCGTGTGATAATAGCCTGGAAATCGCTTGAAGTACTTGGCATGGAAGTCATCCGGGTTGTTATGCAACGTGGTCAAAGCACCTGAACAGCAAGGGAACGACCAAAAATGTCAGCTAATACTCGCGTGCAAATTTGACGGTTTGATGAGGAATTAATCACGGACCTGGAGGAAGCGGTAGCTTGACCACAAGCTCTGCGTCTTGCTCTTCATTCTCGTGATTGTGGCCGTGATGTTCGTAGTGGTCAGCATTATCAGCCGTCAGCAGCTGAACATCCCATCCTGGAACTGGGCGGGCTACCGAGCCCACCTTGATGCGGGGGTAGCCATCGTCCGTAACATCGTCATTTTGCATACCAATGCACGGTGCTGTGATCGGCCATCCAGTCTCCGTTTGCCACCTATTCAAAATACACCAGCAATCGTTAGATGCGTCCCCGGTAAATGCTAACCACGAACCAACGCACCAATGGTCGATCAGCGGTACTCCAAGCTCCTCGGAAAAGAAGTTGAATGTTTTCGGATCTCCACGCTCGCCAGCCACGAACATTGTCCTAAGCAATGCATCCACGAACGACAAAAGGAGTGGAGGTTAGCAGCGGGCAACAGAGTGCAGCTGTGCGAAACATGATGCACATACTTAAACGTCTTTCGGATCTCTTCCTTCTTGCCCCTCAGCAGCAAGGCATGCGGGTCTTCTTTGCGGATCGCTCGCAAGGCGGTAGGCGCTGTAAACATGGACTTGATGCCGTACTCCGTGATCAGCCGCCAGTACGCTCCAGCATCGGGAGTTCCAACAGGCTTTCCTGCGTACAGAACCGACTGCAATGACAAGACAAGTTAGTCCCGAGATAAATCAACAAGACATCGCCCCAAACAAACGCAACGTACCGTGCACCCGTGTACCAGTGGACCGTATACGACCAGCGAGTGGCCAACCGTCCAGCCCATATCCGACGCCGCAAAGAACGTGTCATCCGGAGTAATGTCGAACACGTTGCGCATAGCCCACTTGAGCGCGACGGCGTGGCCACCATTGTCTCGCACCACACCCTTCGGACGCCCCGTCGTACCGGACGTGTACAAAATGTAGAGCGGATCCGTCGCGAGCACAGGTACCGCGTCAACGGGGCTGCCCATGGCCATCACATCTCTCCAGTCGACATCACGCCCCTTGGTCATGGGAAACGGGCAAAGATCGCGCTGCACCATGACGACCTTGCTGGGCTTCCACGCCGAGCGCTCAATGGCGCCGTTGAGCAGCGGGCCATAGTCAATGATGCCCTTGGGCTCCACTCCGCAGCTCGCAGAGATGATGATCTTCGGCGTAGCGTCCTCGATTCTGGCCGCCAGCTCCAGCGTCGCAAAGCCGCCGAACACTACCGAGTGCACGGCGCCGAGCCGCGCGCACGCGAGCATCGCCACCGTCGTCTCCAGCACCGCCGGCATGTAGATCACCACGCGGTCGCCCTTCTTCACGCCCAGCTTCTGCAGCCCCCCAGCGAACGTCGACACTGCAGCACCAAGAACACACACAATCAGAACGGATCCTCCACGTTGAAGGCAGCAAGAAGACCGACCTTCTTTCAGCAGCTGGCTGTACGTGATCGTGGTCTTGGTGCTCGTGAGCGGGCTGTCGTAGTGGAAGGCCACGACGTCGCCCCGCCCGTTGTTCACGTGCACGTCCAGCGCGTTGTAGCACGAGTTCATCTCGCCCCCCGTGAACCACCTGGACGATGGGCCCCGCGTCCTGCATGCAAGCGGCTTCAAGTTAGTACTAATTCCTACCCTTATTCTTGAGGCGGAGCGTACGTGTCGAGCACTTTGGACCAGGGCTTGAACCACTCGATGTCGCGCGCGGCCTCGGCCCAGAACTCCTCGGGCTTGTCGAGACTGCGGCGGTACTGCTCCGAGTAGCTGGCGATCGCCCTGCTGCGCGCGGGCAGGCGCAGCGGGCGCGTCACGAGGCGCTGGCTGGAGCGCAGCATGGAGGACGCAGAAGTGATGGTCGCGATGGCGGCGCAAAATGCGGAATGACCAGGAGCGCGTGCCAACTTCAAGGTTGGCTGCTGCCACCGGAGATACGCTGTACCACTGAATGTACAGCCGGACTGTAAGTACTGACGTTGCGTTTCAAGAACCCCGTTGCAGCGAGGATATCTACGGTATGCCACTAGACTCCTAGCTAGCTTTGGTTCGGCGGAGTGTCCGCAGTGCTGGCGCTAGGCTGGCTGGATGCTATGGCTCGCAATGTCGACAAGACTTGCTGTTGGGCTCGCCCGTGGAACTTGAAGCTGGTTCCAACACATGGGCCCAGCACCGCCGCAATTGGACCGCAGAATGTCAAACAGCGATGTCCGCTCTCCAGGAATCTCCATTGCGGGTATGCAAGTAGCAGGGCGACGTGGGTGCCTTGCGACCGCAGCACAGAGAATCGTCAAGCAAGAGAGCACTGCGCTGCGGTGCTTGCCGTTTTAAGCATCTTACCGCATTCCTCTGAGCACGAAGCGAGGCGCTGGTGCCGACACCGAGACGATGCCTTCGTGCAACACATCTCGCAGCAGCAGCGCCCGCAATCGCTACAGTTTGGATGGGATTCACAACTCGAGGCCATGTCAAATGCAACTTCAACTTGCTCAAACGCAGTTCCCATTCTCGTCGCCACTACTGGCCTTCCTCAATGGAGAATCCTCTTGCGGCATGTACCAGCACAGGCTTATCCAAGCTTTACTCTTTGCCATGGCAATCGCTTCTACTCTGCAGAATGCAACGCTCTATCTACCAGTATACATACAGTATACACCCTCCACGCGTTGTACCCATGTTGTATACACGGCCCGACGATTGGCGTCACTTGGGAAGATCTCCTGGAAGCGCGCAATGATCATCCGCGCCGTTAGCGACAGCGAGAGCGACGACGAGCTACACGCGTCCTCATCGGCGCCTCGCCACTCCGTGTTCGACCCACCAGCCACTAGCGACTCCTCTGTCAGCGGCAGCGCTGCTCGCGTTGCGTGGTTCGCAGCGTGCGGGGCGCTGGTGCTGCTGCTTCTAGTGGACTTGGCGGCCGTCTTGGGCTCGTCCAACCCGTCGGTGGACACGTTCGCGCTGCTGCCTGTGCTGGTCACGACAGTGCTGTACCGAGAGACCATCATTCTGCCTCCCACGGCCACGCTGCTCAACCAACTCGTGGGCTTCGCGCTCGTCAGCGCGTGGATCTACTCGAGAGAGAAGAGTCTGGCGGCTGGACACACATCGCAGTGGCTACGCAGCGCTCGCTACGGGCCCTGGACAATAGTGGTGCTGCTGTGTCTGGGCCACGCGGTGTCGTGTCTCTACTTACTATTCGCTCTGCTGGAGAGCAACGGAGACCGCGCCAAGTTCTGGCTCGGGCGCAAGCATTCCGGCGCCAAAACTGCGCCGTATGGACGGGCTTAGTGGCCAGCGGGGGCTTTGCTGGCCGCTGCGGCGATCTTGGATGCTTCGGGGTCTAGAACTTGGTCCAGGATGTCTTTGATGGAGTTGATCTGCATGTTGTCGGCCTTCTTCCAGAGCTTGTAGTTCTGGTGAGCTTGGTCCAGGATGGTTTTGAACTCGGGACGGAACACAGCTTCGGCGACCACCTCGAAGAACGGCAGGATGATGAACTCGAAGAAGCCGACCTGGTTGCGGGCGCTGTTCTCGCTGTTGCGGTTCATGAAGGGGGAGATGTCCATCCCGAGCGTGTGCTCGTCGTCGCCCTGCAAGAAAAACTCTTCGATAATGAGGTCGGACCAGCGCGCGTGCAGTTTGAGGGCCTTGGACGAGTGGCCCAAGTCGGCGCACTTGATGACGATCTTCATGAGCAGCATGGGCGAGTGCTCCACTTCTGAGTCTTCCTGCGAGATGAGTGCTGTCTTCAGGCTACCCACGAGCTGGAGGTGGACGGTGAGGTCTGTGGAGAGCACCATCTCCACGATGGCCTTGCGCACCTCGCTGTACTGCCCCGGTGACAGGCCCACGAATATATTGAAGAGAGGGTCTTTCGTCAGGACAAATGCTTCGGCGAGGTGCATCCGCTCCAAGACAGACGAGTCGCTGAATTCGATGGCCAGGTCGCTGCCGCTCTTGATCATGAAGTTGTTGTTCTTGCCAGGGTGGCGAAAGTCGTGAATGGCGGCAGCAACGATCGCTGCGAACACCTCTTGGTAGGTGAGCAAGTCCTGTAAGTACCCGTTATCCATGACCGAGATGAGATATTCGACCGAGCTGACAACGTCCGCTGCGTGGCAGTTGTTGTGCTGGAGAACAAGTAGCCATTAGTCAGTCGTCAAGTTACGAAACAGAAGCCGGAGATAAGCAACATGACTGAGTCCCGAGCAACTTACGTAAGGATTCCGGTGGTAACCAATGTCCAAGAAGTGGAGGAAATTGGCCAAAGTGCTCTTGTTGACAGAGCAGAGCTCGAAGAGGTTGTGCTGCTCGAAGGCGATGTACGTGATGAACGTAATGGGCTTGTTATTCGTCATCTGCGCCACCCTGTTGGAGCCACACGATAGTTAGCGAATCCGTCATGAGCAATGCTATCGGCAGTGACAAAGCACACGAAACGTACTCGAACGTGTCGACACTCCAGCCATCGCGCTCCATCAACTCTCCGACTGCATTCAACACCTCGTCAGTCGGTGCAGTGACCTCTGGATGCAGTCTCATCTCGACAGAACGAGTAGGACTCGCTCCTCCTACGGAACCCATTGACACACTAGAATTACCGGAGCCCGCCGTCATGCTCCGTTCGGATTCCCTGACCCCACCACCGCCGCCGCCGTTGCTGCTGCCAGAATTTTCGGCGCTGTTTTGAAAGACCGCTGAGGCTCGGCGGTTGCGTGTGTACGACTTGTTGGCGAGCACTGTGGTGGCCCAAGACTTGATGTCGCCGTCCAAGTCTCCATCTCGTTTCATCTTGAGCTGCTCATGGATGTCGGGTGCGAAAAGGTTTTGACCCTTTCGCATGAGTAGAGTCACGATCCCGTCGAGATTTTCGCGTAGTTCTGGTGACAATTCTGTTGCGCGCTGCAGGGCCTTAAGGTCCAACAGCACTTTGGCCATAGGCGAGTCGAAGTCTAACGGGGGACTGCCGTCGCCGTGTCCGCCCACGCGCTCTTCCAGCATCCGTTTCAGGCTCTTGTTCTCGTTGAGGATGATCTCTTTTTGGAGATGCGAGGCCCGGGCGCGCTCCTCGACAATCTTGGCGTGGAGGAAGTTGAGTCGGAGGAAGCGGTCCGTTTGCCGCACACGAATCACCAGCACTGCCGACACACACACGAGAGTGAAGACAAGCAGGAACTTGTTGACGACGAAGATGGTCGAGCGCGAGTCTGGGTATTGCAGCGACACGAGAATGCAGAACTCGAGGTTGATTGAGAAGGCCAAAAGAAGGTAGTGGAACGCGTCCAGCTTGAACAGCGGAGCCACGAGCAACACAAGCAACGGACGCAGCAGATTCATATTCAGATGGACCATCGGAATCGCCACTACGCCCATGCAGCAGCATAGATCTGAGTAAGCAGACTAACCACATTGTCAAGCCCCCAACGATTTACAAGGAAACGTACCGCGGTTTATGTAGGAGAGGACAAGGTCCCGACCGGCAGACTCGAGGTTGCGGTAGATCCACCAGTCCGTGGAGCCATCCAAGCTCACAGTGGTGGCATTGATCGTTGAGTCCATGGCCGTACCGGGGCCGTCCGCCGGTGCGGATGCATCAGTCCAGCCAGAGGTGCCTAACGGTTCGTCATGGAAAGCAAGCGAGAAGAGCGAGTTCAAGTCCTTCATGAAGAAGCGCGTGTAGTCGTCCGCTTTGATCAGTCCCTGGCCGAGAATGCCGGCAGCGAAGCAGTGGGCGATGAGGCAGAGCAGCGTCTGCTCGTGGCCGAGGAAGTACCGGGAGCGACAGCACGCGACCAGAGTCGGCACGGGGATGTAGATGAAGATGGAGGAGACCCAGAGGCGCAACGTCGACGCGGCGCGGACGTCCGGATCGTCGTCGTAGTAGCCGACCCAATCGGTAATGGTAAGCGCGATCCAGATGAGCCAGCAGACCAGACTCGCGTAGAGCGCCGGGGCCAGGTTGGTCTCCGTGTAGTAGGCCTGGAAGTCGAGCTCCACGAGCGGGTCCTGCGTGAACGAGTTGGTCACGTAGTGGAAGCCATACTTGTCCTCCATGGCCTTGGTGAGCTTGTTGGCCTCGCTGCGGTCTGCGGCCGAGCGAGGGAAGATGAGCGTCGACACCGGCACGCCCAGCGAGCTGCGCCGCGTCGTGGCCATGGAGTCGCCGGTGCTGCCCAGCGGCGTGGGCGCAATCATGGTCGAACAACAGCGACGCAACCGAGCAAGCAGGTGTCTTCAACTCAGCAGCGACCGAAATGGCCAAAGCAGCAGGCGTTAGCTCGGGCATCGGTCGAGTGCAGTCCACTGCAACGTGTAACAGACCCGGCGGAGCCATTTTCGGCTCGCGTCGTTTCGTGTATGGCTACACAAAGCCCTAATCCGCGAGGTACCATCACTTTCGGTGGCAAAAAGAGTGACCTCGGTGGCGCGTCGGGGCCGGTAGCATTGTCACCACGTGCGGGAGAAAAGGGGGACCGAGACAAAAACACAAGCCAAACCGCCCCAGGACCGAAAAAGGAACTCGCTCTCGCCCTCAGCGCCCGCCCGCCGTCCGCTACTGTAGTCGGAGACCGAGCGCAGCAGCATGGAGACGGAATGCAAGACGCTGTGGATGGGGGACATCCAGATGCACTGGGACGAAACCTTCATCTCGTCCCTCTTCGCCTCGGCCGGTACGTCGGCAATAAGAAAACCTTTTCAAGCTCACTTACTTTCCTCACTTCACTTCACTTCACTTCACTTCACTTGCCTAACCACAATATTTTTTCTTATCTATGTGCATTTTTTATTTTTATTATTGTTTATTAGGGGAGCAGCCGGTGGTCAAGTTGATCCGTGACAAGGTGACGGGGTACCCGGCGGGGTACGGCTTCCTCGAGTTCCCGACCCAGAGGGGGGCGCAGCAGGTGCTGGACACGTACAACGGCCAAGTTATCCGTAAGTTATTCACCTCTCTCCCCCTCCTCCCTCCATGCAGCATGGCTATTTTTTTGTTGTTGCATTGATTGCTTAGTAACAATCTGATAATGTTGTGGTGGCTTGTTGCTCGACTAATGAATAGCCAACACCATGCACCGCTTCCGAATGAACTGGGGCGCCGGTGGCCGCCGCATTGAGACGTCGGACGATCACTCGATCTTCGTGGGAGACTTGGCCCCCGATGTGACGGACGAGCTGCTGCTCAGCACGTTCAACTCGCGCTTCACCAGCGTGAGGGGCGCCAAGGTGGTCATGGACCCCGTCACGCGGATGTCCAAGGGCTTCGGCTTCGTCCGGTTCGGCAGCAAGGAGGAGGCTGACCAGGCGCTGCAGACGATGAACGGCGTGTACTGCTCGTCGCGCCCGATGCGCGTGAGCGTGGCCACGGAGAGGAGCAAGTCCCGGCAGCAGGGAGCCTTTGGAGCCCCTGAAGAGGAGGGAACCAACACGACGGTGTTTGTGGGAGGATTGGACCCTTCCACGACGGAGGACGAGCTGCGCGCCCGGTTCGGCGCTCTGGGCGAAATTGTGTCGGTGAAGGTGCCGCCTGGACGCGGTTGCGGATTCGTGCAGTATACGTCGAAGGAGGCCGCGGAAGTTGCTATCACGCAGATGAACGGCACGGTTATTAGCGGCGTGAAGGTGCGGTGTGCGTGGGGACGATCGGCTGCTGCGCGTGCGGCCAACCACAACAACTACTACAACCAGCAGCAGTACGGCCAGTACCAGGCCGGCTACCAGGTTCGTGATGAAGGCATTGTGTGGATAACGACTCCGTATTGCCAGCTCTGACGTTGCTCACTATTTTCTTCTTCTTGTTGCAGAACTACTACGGCTACAATGCCGCTTACGGCTACCCCCAGTACCAGCAGGGAGCTGCCTATGGCTACGGTGCCTACGGCCAGTACGCCCAGCAGGGTAACCAGTCTCAGGGCGGGTACCAGCAGCAGTCGCAGCAACAGCAGCAGCAGCCTGCTGGTCAGCAGGCACACCACGGCCACTACGGCCACCACCAGCGTCAGCAGCAGGACCAGCCGCGCGACTTCACGCGGCCCGACGACATTGAAGCTATGAACCGCCGCTACGCCTCCCAACGTGCGTACCAGGTACATACAGTGTTGTTGCTGTTGGCCGTTGGATGTGAACTGCCGCCATTGTGCAATTGTGCTATGATGTGCTGTCTAATGATATTGCCTTCTTCTTACTACTGTTGACTACGTAGAATATTCCTCCGGCTTCTAATGCGTCGTACACCGCGATGGGGGCTGACGTTGCGAACGGAACCGCGATGGCTGGATCGATGTAGGTGGTGGACCAATGGGTTCACAAATGGAGACTATGTAGTCGCGGATGAAAGTAGCTGGAAGAGGAGTGAGAGCACACGGGAGTGGGGAGTGGATCCTTCATGCGCAAAACGAAACAAGAGGTGACAAGGGCATTGCCAGATAAAACGAGGACAGCGCAAGTGGGGACGAGGACGCTTGGAGGAGACTGGTTCGGTGTGCAGTGGAGGTCGGAAGAAGAAGCAGAAGCGAGCGAGCGAGCGAGCGAACGACATTTATTGGCACGGTGGGGCAAGCGTGAAATGCTGATGAAGAGTTTCTGTTTTCGTTTTCTTGCTTTTCTCTTTTTTGTTTTTGTTTTATTGTGTGTTGATGTATAATGGCACGTGAGTTGTGATCAAACGTTGCGTTCGTTCATAGTCACCAGAGTAAACTTGCAGGCCACTGTCTCGTTCAAACTTGTTGGTCCTCCCCCTCAATTATTCCGGCATTGTCACGTCCGACTTGGCTGGAGGCGACTGAGCCAGCAACTTGTTGCATTCCTCCACCGCCGCCTGGAACTGCTTCAGCTGGTCGTTCTTGAACGCCAACTGCTTCTTTAGTGTCTCCTGATGCAGCAGCAGCTCCGAGTGGTTGGATTCGAGTCGCTGCAGCTCACTTTCGGCGTCCTCCATTCTCGGTGAGGAAGGAACTCTGAGTTTGAAGTGTATCCATGAGGTCAATTTATAGTCCCAAATAAAACCCCACGGGACTAAAATATCGTCATAAAGTTAGTGCGTTGAGTTCCTCGGCTGTGCATGGGGATAAGCGATCTCTGCGGGTTCCGAGGGCCTGCCACAACCGGCGACGAGATCACTGATGATACCTTGCGGTTCTAACCTTGCGTGTATAGGGTCCGATACGAAAGCAGCAAGTGCGAACCACTCTGCAGAAGCGTGCGCATAGACTTGCAAGTGTTTCGTGGCGGTGCGCACGTCGGCGCTACGCTTCATTCAACTTCCCGAGTGAGCATCGCCATTACGGAATTGGGTCAGTCTGCAGCGCTCATCGCCTCCACTTCCGAGTTTGACTTGCAGAAGAAGAGTTGACCGCTGTGCCGAACTCTCCTCACTATGATGCAGTCGACTCCCCGGCGTGGGAGTACGATGGAGCCCATCCACTTCACCCCCGTGCAGCTCTACGAGAACGAGCGCGAGGACCTCATCAAGCTCGCGCACCAGCAGTACAAGGAGCTGTTCAAGAACGTCCGGTTTGCGCAGGCCAACGGGTTCGCCACCAAGGTCAGCGCGTTCGCGCGTACGACGCGCGCCACGGTCTGCGCCGAGACGAAGATCCACGCGACGATCCCGGAGCTGGTCGACGTGTTCCTTGGCGACCGCACCAACGCCGCTATCGGGTTCGCCCAGTCGCAGCAGATCTACCGCTTCTTGGCGCCTACAAAGGAGCACCCGTACCGAAGTTGCGGCATGCGGTGGTCGCTGTGGCACTCGCCTTCGAAGCTCATCCGCCAGCGAGACATTGTGTACCTGGAATACATGGACACTTTTGTGGACGAGCGTGGACGTCGCGGTTGGGCGCGGATGACCCAGTCGCTGGAACACCGCAGTTGTCCACCTCTGATGGGGTCACACAATGTGGTTCGAGCGTTCCTGCACTACTGCGGCACGGTGTATACGGAGACCGACAAGCCCAATATCCTCGAGGCCGTCACGTACTACGATGCTGACACACAGGGCGTTCCCCCTTGGATGACGAAGATCGTGGCGAATCGCAAGGCCAAGAACCCGCACAACCTTGAGCACCTCATTCGGTTGGAGCATGTCATGAAGGAGGGGGTGGAACCGCAGGAGACGCGCGTGAATGGCAAGTTTTGCGCTGGCTGCAGCGCAGTGTTGCCGAAGTGGGGACGGCACCGGAAGTGCAGAGACTGCAGCGAGGTAAGTGAGGATAGTGGTGCAGTTGGGACGCGTTATTCGGCGCAATAGCTGACACTGTTTGGTCTTGTGTGGGCTGTGGTGCAGCTCATCTGCAAAAGCTGCTGCGACGTCGTTTACTGCGCGATTCAGGGGCGAAAGAAGCTCAACCGCATCTGCGTGCACTGCGTCGACGACTTCCTGGCGCGAACCAACCGGCAGCTGGAGCTCACGCTGCCGTCCAGTGGGTCGTTGCACTCGGACAGCGTGAGCACCCCCGGCAGCATCAGCGGCCGATTCATCTCCATCGACAGCGCCGAGGTGAGCACGACCGGAAGCACGACCCGTACGTTCACTGGCTTGCCTGGCATTGTAGCGATTGTAGAAAGTGAATGCTCATAGTTCTTACAGCTGCCGACTTATCGTTCAGGTTCGAACCGGGGAGATAGCGACTCCAGCACGGCAGGGTCCGACAGCCCACAGCCGCAGAAGACTGAAGAGATCTTCCACAAGGACTTGGCAGGCGAGAAGCCCACGCAGAGAAACAGAAGCCGTCATGCCTCGACCGCCACGGTGGACTTGTCGTATTTGAAGAATGTTTAGCGTCTTGCAGTAAATGGTTGATACATGTACGCTACTGTAATGCATTCTGTCATATCGTGGTGTCCGCGTTAACGTAGCGCAGTGAACTTTGTGATGCAGGTCGCTCTCTTAAGCAAGCCATTGCTGGCTGGCGATTGCAGGTTGACAGTGTCAACTTGACACTTGTGTCCATGGATAGAAAAAGCAGGGCACGATAGCTGCACGACATCCTCCTGACTCAAGGTCTTCCGACTTGAGGAACGAGAGTCCGCCACCGATCACGTGACCAACTCACATATTACGCCATGCTTCGATTGAGGCAGTAAGTTGGTTCTGGCACTCAAAAGGAAGCGAGAGAGCTGGATGCAGGTATCTAATATCCGCCAGACTTCTACGACCTCCGTATCGGCTGACATGGAATCGAGCTTCTGCCACGACCGCTTGTCAGGCGCCTTCCAGTCATCCGCGTCTCAATAGTTGAAGCCTGTCGCGAAAGCTGCGACCATCAGCTCTGCAGAAACGAGAGCGAAATCCCTATGTCGCTGCTCGAATTCAATCTCGCTGCTCATGTCTTGGTTGCACTATCCTATCCTGCACTGACGACCATTGCTCCGCTGCGGAAGCGAGTCCAACAGTATTCGACAGCGCTGAGATTCATGTCGAGAATTTCATGCGTGACTGACCCACACTTCTTGTCGAAAGCCCCTCATGTATCCGAAGGCCGGGGCTCTGCGCCCCGCAGCGTTAGTGCCGGTGTGTAATGACGCAAAGTGTTGGACAGAGAGTACAGCTCCGCTCTGTGCTGGAAAAGGCTCGGCCACTGCCAGCCAGCGTCTTGTTTTGAAAACAAGCTTTGGTTTTTGTCAACAAAACCCACCGACTGTGTTGTGCACACCGGAGCGAGCCGGAAGCCTTTGCGCCGTCGACTTCACCGACGCGAGCGTCTTCTCCAGCGCTCGTTGCAACAATCGGCGATGCAAATCGCGTCGCGTTCAACATAGAACTCGTGGCGCGCTCGCCTACGATTTCTCGTTCCCTCCCGGCGAGTACGCAACGTCACTGTTCGACCCATCTGCCGGTCGGTCGGTGGCGCGAGCGATGCCACCGAAAGCCCTCCCGCACAATAACGGAGCCCTTGATCATCTACTCTACCTACATGCATCTACACGACGTGGCCCCTCCATCGAGCACGCTTTGCCGCCAACGCCCGACTGTAAGCCTGAATCCTGTCGAGAAACGCAGCCAGCGATGGTCGCAGGGTCACAAAGGGATCACCACGACGGACGAAGCTGCATGCTCTTGGCTCGCAGTCCTCGAGCGACTCCTGTCTCGCTTCTGTCAGTGCCGGCGGACCAACTGTTGCGAACAACTCGACGCGAGCACATGGCGCATCACCGTCAAGTTGACGCGCTTTCGATCGATCGGCCCGTCTAGGCCGGCAGTGTTGGCTCCCATCTGGCCGCTTCTCCTCTCCTCGAAGCTGCCATTCTCGCTTCGGCGACTGCAGGGAGATCGATCGACTTGACTTGAGTTGGCGTCCGCTGATACAGTAGTCGCGCGTGGCCTCAAGCAATTGAATTGACAGCAAGAATGACGACGCACGAGTACACGTACTCGCGGTCACCCGACCACCCGTACGCGATGGAGATGCTGCCGCTGCCCCAGGAGGAGCTGGACGGGCTGCTCATGGACGCCAAGGCGGCGTTCGACCAGCTCTTCTCCGCCGTGCAGACCGCCGTGCGCTTCGGCAGCGACGGCGAAGTGTTCAACGTGGCGCACCGCACCGCCGACTGCAAGTCCATGGCCATGTGGACGACGTCCGTGCTCTTGGGGACGGTGGAGGAAGTGGCCGCGCTGTATCTGGACCAGGACGGACGCGTGCCCATGGTGCTGGACTCCGCGCGCTCTCGACGACTGTACCAATTGGTGGCCCCAACGGCTGAGAGGCCGCTGTACGGCGCGTCAATGCGCTGGTCGCTCTGGAAGCCCCCGACCAAGCTCTCGGACGGCCGCGACGTGTGCTTCCTCGAGTACATGGACTCGTTCATGGACGTCGACACGGGCCGCCGCGTGTGGGCGCGCGGCATGCGGTCCATCAACCACCTGTGCTGCCCGGCCTCGCAGCACCCGGACGGCCCCGTGCGGACGTACATGCGCGTGTCCGGCATGATCTTCAGGGAGACCGACCGTCCGAACGTGCTGGAGCACGTGACGTTCGTGCACATCGACGGCCGGGGGCTGCCCAACTGGGTCGTGCAGCAGGCCATCGCGGCCAACAAGAAGGCGTCCGACAACCTCAACCAGGTGCTCAAGATCATGCGCCAACTCAAGCCGCAGCAGGCGCCCGGGTCCTCCAGCTCCTGTTCCTCAATCGACGGCGACGGAGAGCGCGACTGCAAGGCGTGCGGCGACCGCGTCTCCAAGTGGACGATCGCCAAGCGCTGCCGCTTCTGCGACGCCATCCTGTGCAAGCGCTGCGTCGAGATCTGCTACCACCGCGCTGACGTCAGCGGCAAGAACCACCGCATGTGTCTGTCCTGCGCCATCTACACGGGCTCGGTGAACCCCACGAGCCGCAGCCTGAGCGGCCTCGACTACGGCCGCTCGCGAACGCGCGGCCGCAATGCAACCGTCTCTGGAGAGCGCACGCGGCCCACGTCCGACACGAAGCTCGGCGGTACGTACGCGTCATGTCGAAATGCTGACGTGTCGTTCATCCCTGTATTAATCTCTATCTCTGTGCATTCAGCCTTCACCAAGCAGAACAGCCTGCCGGCCTACGCGCTGCACTCGAGCGTGTGCTCGGAGGAGGAGCGACCGTCGATCTCGCTCACGGACTCTGTCGGCAGCGGCTCCCGCGACGACCCGGCAACAGTCCGCGAGCGCTTTGAGAACCTGCACCTGTACAGCCCCACAGCCAGCAGCGCCAACAGCAGCTCGGACGGCAGCACGCAGTCGAACGGGGTGCAGCAACAGATTCAGCAGCCGCCGCAACGGCCACGCCCTGCGCGGGTTGCACGCGCGCTCACGCTGGACTTGGACTTGGAGCCGCGCCGAGCCGAGCCCATCGACCTGTCGTATCTGTCCGAGCTGGTGACGCCCCGCGCTGGAGCAGCGAACACCCGCCGCGTCGATATTTAAGCCAAGCACCAACCCAAGTACCAACAACCAACCGTACCTATCAACCCAAACGAGTCAACACCAAGTATCGAGCACGAAGGGGAATGGAAAGTCGAATCCACGCACGGACACACGCAGACTCCGAAAGAAGGGGCTACAGCAGTGAAGTGACCTCCCTCCCTCCAACCCAAACGCCCAAGAGCGTAGTAAATACATGAACCGAAATACACAAGCCACGCAGAGATGGCCTATTAACCTCAACGAGTGCCTTTAACTTTCTTAGCTTTCTCTTAACGCCTTCTTCTCGATGCCAAGACGTAGTGGAAGAATCGAGCTGTGTACAGATAGCCTCAAAACAACACGCTGCTTAAAAATCATGCAAACACACGTTATCATGTACTTAGTTAACGAAGTTTTGTTTTCACAGTTTTGGTAAATTTGGCAAAGGTTTGCTAAATTAGATGTAGGTACGTGTGTATTTTTTATGAATGAATAGACTCAGAAGAGCACGTTGTTGCGCCAAATCTACCTCTTCTGGTGGTTCACGAAGCGCAGCGCCAAGAGCCCCCAGATGCGGAACAGCGTGATGCAGCCGATGACGATGGCGAAGTTCTGGCCGATCTCGTCGTACTTGAAGCCAAAGTACGACTCGGTGTACTCCTTGAGCGTCGTGTGGCCGATGGTCGCCGGCGCGTTCGCCATGGGCTGGCAGCCGAGGTCCGAGCCAATGTTGGTGTAGGACTGCGAGGCCTCGTCCCAGGTCGGCAGCGTCTCGCACTTGGTGAAGCACAGCGCCACGAGGATGCACATGGGGAACTTCTGGGGCGAGATCGTGTAGAGCCACTGGTAGCCCTGCGGGATGGAGGACGCCGGGGGGTTGTAGCCCATGAACATCATGAGCACCGAGTTGAAGAGCATGCCGATGATGGCCGCCACCTCCTCCGTCGGCATGGCGTACATGAAGAACTGGCCCAGAGACACCTGCATGAAGACCGTGAGCGAGATGACAATCCAGAAGGGCACGCCCGTCACGAAGTCCGTGAAGCCCGCCAGCGGGTACAGCACGATCGTGAAGAGGAAGCCGCTCAGGAAGCACCACGGGATCTCCACCAGCGTCGCGCCCAGCCAGTACCAGAACGCATTATAGGTCTGGCTTGCGCGCTCGCGATAGAACGACGGGCGCTCGGAACTCGTGAGCGGGACGACGCTGTTGAACGCCATCATGGACAGGAAGAGCGCGGCCATGAAGACCATGCCCACGCCCGAGCTCAGACCAGAGTACGACGCGTACTCCGGGTTGATGAAGACGATGCCAAAGATGAGCGCGAGGAACACGGACATGACCAAACGGGTCAGCGTGTAGCTCGGCGTGCGCCAGTACATCTGGAAGAAGCGGGTTCATCTGCGTCATGGATCCGGCAGCGCGCTTGTTATCGAACACGATCTCGGGCAGGTCGGGCGACGGGACGGTGATCCCTTCCTTGGCCATGTTGGCCTCGAGCTGCTGGTTGTACGAGCTCTTGTTGAAGTGCTCGGCGAAATCCAAGTCGTCCGCGGCCGAGTTGTTGACGCCGGCGCCAATGCACTCGAGCATCCAAGTGGCCGGATTGTAGTCCTTCGGTAGCGGGGCCACGCCGGGGATTCCCTCAAAGTAGTCGATCAAGTTGCGGCAGTTCTTGCCCAAGTCGCCGTAGAACACGGTCTGGCCGCCACGCTTCAGCATTAGCAGGCTGTCGAACAGGTAGAACACTTCAGCCGACGGCTGGTGGATCGTGCAGATGATGGTACGACCAGAGTCGGCCACCTTGCGAACGCCGTCCATGATGAGCTTGGCCGACCGCGCGTCCAACCCACTAGTAGGCTCGTCCAAGAAGATGACACTCGGCTGAGCTGCGAGCTCCACGCCGATGGTCAAGCGCTTCATCTGCTCGACGGAGCTGCCACGAATAATTTGGTCGGCGATGTCCTCGAGTCCGAGCATTTCAATGCACTCGTTGACCGAGTCGTACTTCTTCGAGTCCGCGATCGACGCGTCCTGGCGCAAGAAGGAGCTGAAGGTCAGCGCTTCACGAATGGTGGCACCCTCCGAGTGCACGTCCATCTGCTCGCAGTAGCCCGTGCAGCGGCGGATGGCCAAGTCGCTGGCTTCGTAGCCATTCAGCAAGATTTTACCCGCGATCTTGCCTCCAGTCTTGCGGCCAGCGATGACGTCCATTAGCGTCGTCTTACCAGCACCAGTCGAGCCGATCAAAGCCGTGATCGATCCAGGGACAGCGAAGCCGTTGATGCCCTTGAGCAGTTCGAGTTCTTCCTTCGGGTTGTGTGGGTCCGGCACCCAGTAGTGCAGGTCCTGGAAGGCCACCGTCACGGGCACGAAGTTCTTCTCGTGCGTGTTCACCTGCACCTCGACCACGTCGCTCGTCTTGGCAACGCTCTTGGGCGTCTCAAGGAGGGCGTACGATCCGTCCTCGGCAGTCTTCTCCGACACGTCCACATTCACTGGAGCCTCGTACCGAAGGTGCTCGAGCGCCAGGTACGACAAGAACATGAAGACCACGTAGATGACCGCCAAAACAATGGTGCCGTACGCCACCCACTCCTTGCCCGTGTCCATGCCGAACAGCTTGAGGTAGTACTCGCCCATGGTGACACCATAGTCCGCGCAGTAGTCGATGACTCCATACACGCAGACGTCGAAGGCGCTCGAGCGGTACTGGTTGATCGACAGAGCCTTGAGACTCCACGACATCGGGCTGATCCAATGGGCCCAGATAAGGTAGTCGGGAGAACGGTGACGAACCCGACCATCACCTTGAAGTGCGTTCGACGGCGCCCATTTGCCTTTGGCGCCACCCATTGTGCCTCACAATCGAATTTCCCTCGGAGCGCAAAGATGGCAGGCAAGCGCAAGGTGACCGCTGGGTCGGGCAAGCGGCCCAGCAAGAAGCGCGTGCAGTTCGCGCCCCCCCGTCCTTCCGGCGGAGCACCTCAAAATCACCCGGAAGCTCATGCCCCTCATCCGCGCCGAGCGGGCCCCCACGTCGACCGACTTCAAGGAAGTGGCCGCTCATCTGCAGCCGACTCGCGACTACCGCACAGTGCGGAAAATCTACGAGAAGTACGTGAAGGGCGAGCCATGGAGCAAGAGCGGGCCCGCCCCGGAGCCCAAGCACGAGCCCATCCGGGTCAACATGGAGCTCCAGAAGCTGCTCGCCAAGGAGTCGGATCTGACCCTGGCGCAGTGCGCCTTCCGGTTCGACATCAAACCGTCTACATTCTACTCCATTTACAAGAAGGTTGAGGCGCTGCCGCCTGAACGGACGGACTACTCGCGCGACAACCCCAAGTTCTGCCCGGACTATATGTTCCAGTTTCAGCTACCGCGACACACGCTGCGCATCGAGGCGTTCTCGTTGACAGACCTCGGGGGTGCTGGGGCGCCTCTTGGTTCTGCTGAAGTTGAAGGTTTGCATCACGCTCATGCTCGACTGGAGGCAGACGATGGCAACGTTCGAGCTGCCGCTCGTGAAGAAGCTGCTGGCCGAGCAGAAGAAAGGGGCCCAGATCAGGATCCTCGTGCCGAAGAAGCGGAGCAAGGTTCAACACATCAAGGCAAGTAATGCTCTCTCTTAAAGTTGCCTTGGTTGTCTTGTGTTAACTCTGTTATTGCAGTTGATTATTGTGGACGATGTCATGTCGTCGAGTGGATCCGTCAACCCTTCCTTCCAAGGATTAAACCTGTCCTATGAGAGCATCACCTACCACTTCATGTTTGATGCAGGTAACTTGTGATGTTAACTCTTTGTTTGTGCACTGTTGTTAACCTGTTTGCTCGCTTGCTATGTAGTCCGGAAGGATCTCGAAGTCACCGGTCAAGGAGGCCCTGTTCATGGAGATCGACGACGAGTGGGTCAGTGAGCAGGAGGCCCTCACCACGGCCGCTAAGCAGCTGGCGGCCGCCCAGGCCAGCGAGGGATTCGCCCCGGAAGAGCTGGTTAGCGAGGAGCTCGCGCCCAAAGAGCTGGTTCTCGGGGAGTTCGTGGACGAGGAAGGGGGCGCCATCATCGAGGAAGAGAAGAAGGAGAGGGCCCACAAGGCCAACGCGGCCGATTACAACAGGCTGAAGCTGGCCGGCATCTGTGTGGAGTGCAGGGCTGGAGCTCTCGCCGACGGTGAAAACCTGTGCATCGCGTGCCGGCACAAGAAACAGTTCAAGTATTATCAGAGACTGGAGGAAGGCAGGTGCGGCTACTGCAACAAGAAGAAACCTGCAAGCGACAAGCACTCCGCGTGTGCTGCATGCAGGGAAAAATGCGCGGCTAAACGAAGCGAGGCTATCCAGTCGAGAGAGTCTGGAAGTGCGGGACGTGCCTCAAGCGAAATTGCGCTGAAAAGCCTGTAGAGCTTGGCGGTGGGCTCTACAGTAAGTACAACCTATGCCGCAACCGCGCACAAGAAAGCAACAAGAGGTGCGATGCCAAGCGCGCCGCACTCGGCATCAAGAGACAGAAGATGCCCGGACAGTGTTGCCACTGCCACAGGCCGTGCGCGACTAAACCACCGAAGAAGGGCGGCGGTCTCTACTCAGAGTGTGACTGGTGCCGCATCCGAGTCCGGGCCAAGCTGGACTTCAACACCACGGACGGGATCCGACAAAAGCAACGTCCACGCCGACCCGGCCTGTGCCAATGCGGGAACTCCGCGAAGGCCAGGGACGGGGGTGGGTTCTTCAGCTGCTGTGAGGAGTGCCTCGAAAAAACCTGCCAGAGGGGGAAAGCGAGGTATTGGGAGAAGAAGGCGGCGGCACAGCGCGAGGACGAGGAGAAGGACGAGGAGGAGAAGGAGGAGAGCGCGGGCGAGTACGAGGAGAAGGACGGAGTGCATTTCTAGGCATTGTAGCGTTTTGCGCGTCTCCGAGTGCTCTTCGAAAGCACTCGGAGTTCTTTCGAAAAACACAAGTTGCCGTTCCGACTTGGTTGCAGTATCCAACGCAACGAAGTGGTCACCGTTTTGCCCAAGCATCCGCCGTGCACAGGACCCCATGCGCCCCCTCGCCGCGCTCGGTATGCCCACTGCAAAAACACACGGAGTTCCGTGCAAAAACACAAATCTCGTCCGTGGTCACTATGAAGCCAGCAAAGATAATGAAGATCAGGATGGACATCATGCACAGCGGAGTCGCGATGTTCTCATGAGAGCAGACCGACGACAGGAAAAAGAACCACATGCCCATGGCCAGGTTCGACAGCAGCAGGATGAGCTCGAAGATGATGAACAGCCCTGCATTAGCCGCGAAGCCACACAGCCAGTACACGAGCGAGCCGAAGATGACCGTCTCCGCCAGCGACAGCGGGATCCCGCTGATCGAGTTGGCCAGGACGTAAGGCGACGTCCGGTAGAAGTTGGCGCCGCGCTGCTTGTAGAAGATGTCGCGGTTCGCCATGAAGACCGGCAGCTGGGACGACTGCCCCATGGACAGGAACATGACGGCGGAGAAGAGCACGCCCGTGACCACCGACACTTGCGTGGGGTCAAAGTCGTAGTAAACTGTGCTGAAGAGCAACCCCATGACCATGATCATCAGCAGCCGGCCGAAGATGAAGGCCTTGCTGCGGAACGTAATCATGATCTCACGTCTGAAAAGCGTCGCTGTGCTGTCGAGGAACGAAAGCTGGAACTTGGGCATCGGGTCCATGTTCTCCTTCACCGTCTTGAACAGATCCGGGTCGTAAGGCGCCTCCAGTGCAGTCAGGGTGTCCCGATACAGCTCAGACTGGCGGAAGCTGTCGCCGAATTCTTGAGGCAACCGCGGTGCCTTGGACCCCTGCTCCACTTCGTAGCGGTACTGCTGCTTGGTACCGAGATCAAGCAAGTAGTCGGCGATGTCGCGCTCCGGGGGGCACTTGAAGCCCAGCGACTCGAAGTAGCCCTCCACCTTGGTGCACGGGCCATGGTACATGAGCTCGCCCTCGTTCAGGATCATGACGTTGTCGAACAGAGCGAAGATCTCCGGCGACGGCTGCAGAAGAGCGATGACCACCGTCTTGTGCAGCTTGTGGGCGATGCTACGCTGCGTCTTGATGATGTCGAACGTGGCCGCGCTGTCGAGGCCCGTGCTGATCTCGTCCATGAGCGACACGAACTTCATGCCGAACTCCATCTCGCCAGTCGTCACGCGCTTGCGTTCGCCGCCGGAGACTCCGCGGATCATGGCGTCACCGACGATCGTGTCCTGGCAGTTCTGCAGTCCGAGCTGCTGGATGACCACGTCCGGGTAGTGCTGGAAGATGGTCTTGGTGGCCTGCAGCGCCTCGACGTTCTCCTTCTCCGAGGGCAACGCTGAGTTAAACTCCTTGCGCTTGGTGATGTCACCCCCGCACACCTGGTACGCGAACTCGAGCGTCTCCTTCACCGTGAGCGGCGCAAAGTGCTTGTCCCGCTGGTCCACGTACGACACGAACTGCGGTAGGCGGTCGAGGATCTGCTTCCGAGGCACGTTGTTGAACGAGATGTCGCCCTCCACCGTGATGTTCTTGGCCTCGGGGAAGCGCGCGCTGAGCATCTTCATGAGCGCCGACTTGCCAGATCCCGGCTGGCCGAGCAGCAGCGTGATGGTGCCGGGCTTGAAGACGCCGCTGACGTTCTTGAGGATCTCCTTGCGCACCGAGCGCTTCTTGGGGCCGGCGACGGTGTTGGGCAGCGTCGGCAGCTCGTGCTTGGAGCCGTCGTCCTCCACCACCACGACGTCTGCAGTCACCGAGAGGTTGTTGAAGCGCACGTCCATGCGGGGCAGTGAGCGTCCCGTGGTGGCCTCCAGGTTGCTCAGCATGAGGTCGTGCAGCGCCTCGGGGCCCTTGGCCATCAGACCCTTGCCCGAGTCGAAGGTGATGGCTGCATCGCGACCCACTGGCGTTGAGACTCCCATTGAAAGCTGCGTAGTGCGCAGTGCGAGGCAAATTGAGGAATGGTACAATAGAGCTCAGGCACGCGTGAAGGTTTGTTTGGTTCATGCTGTTGTTCCATCGTTGGGTGGTACGGCATGATTACCCTGGAAGCGGCACTTGGGTCTTGGCACAATCGACGAATTCAGCGCGCTGATTGGCGGAGAGGCGATTATGTGCGCTTTCGGGCTGCAAAAGTTTACTTTGACTGCGTTTTGCCGGCAATCCAGCTCGCCTCGACTTCAGCGCAATCTGAAGGTGGGGGATCCATCCGTCGCGCGGATTGTATTCATGTCGGCCAGTGGACCTTGGCAAGGCTCCAAGATCTCTAAGGTCTTGGCCTTCCAGGGAGGGAATCCCCCCAAGGGGCCCTGGATGGAGACGGCGACAAAGGGCGGGTGCCAACTGGTATCCGCCCGAGAAGAAGAGCAAGTAGTAGAAGAAGATGATGAAGAAGTGGAGCATCGGCTCCGACGATCTGGCCTCGTCCAGCCGCTACAAGGTCGGTGTGACCTCCCTGAAGACTGAAGACGCGGTGGGACGGCTGCGAGGACGGCGGGTGCCAACTGGTGCCCGATTGTGAAGACAAGGTGCGCATGCGCAGCCTGTTTGGTGGACGAAGGGTGATGAAAGCTATCGAGGTCCACGATGCATATTGTCAAGTTCTATGTGTACGCAGCAGCGTACTTTTCTTAGCAGTCCCCCTTGGGGGTTGAATAGTGCGGATAATGCTGCAGGCTACCTGGCGATCGCCCGGGTGGGACGGGTATTAGAAGTTCCTCAGGTTGCAAAACTTGAAAGTAACACAATACACCTCAACCTTATTTCTGAAGGTTCCGGGTTGCGACGATCTTGAGGATACAGCACGCGATGGGCCAGTAAAGAAGAGACCGCACGATGCCCAAATAGCTCGCGTGATGCTTGCTACCTGTTTGGGGGTGCTGCTTACGCTTTTCCCTTAAATGGCCTGTGACATCAGCATGTGAAAAAACTATAGTATTGCACGTGGTTATCGGTGCTTGATCCAAAATGCAAAATGGAACTTGAAAAGGCTCAGTTGGCTGCAACATTTGTTCATGTCGTACTATACAACTCTATACTCGTTAACGCAAGACGCTCTCACGTAAAATTACCGGCATCCCTTTGTCATCACATACTGCTTGTTATGGCATACAGGCTAATATTAGCCAATCAATGGCATTTTCACCTGAGCACTTGTTATGGCATACAGGCGCTCCTCGCCTACTACCAATTACGCTCAGTTGCGGACTGACTCGGGCGGCCTCGCCTGCCAGGCGGAAAGAGGAGGAAGCATTAAGGTACTCGGTGACATCGTCACCGGCTGCAGAGAAGGTTGAAGTTTTTGACCACCTCGTAAGCACGGCAACATCCGTGGACCACCATCACTCTACAGTACCCAACCGAACGTTCACCCAGAGCTGGAAGCGCGGACGCGCTAGCACCGAGCTGCTGTACGCAGTGCCAAGCGGAGCAGACAAGCGAAAAGCCCAGACGATTGTATTGCCACCGCTCGGTAAGGACAGATCCTCGCTAAAATTGCTGCGGAGTTTGAGGAAGAAGTGTGGCTAAGGGCAATAGAGCTCGGATACAACGCCAGTCAAACAGCGACTGAGCTTATTGTCTACTTGCCGTTATTAAGGCAGTAGGCCAAGCTGACGACTTCGACGAAGAGTTTTACTGCTAGATAAATAGATGCACAGGCTTGCCTTGCATTGCTCCAAGTGTAGATCGAGTTTCAGCTTGTTTGTGAGGTTAGGGTAAATAGGTGTAGGTGGGTTGTATGTGATGACAAAGGGATGCCGGTACACCTCTACAAACATGCACGACGCCTGCACGGATCTACACCGTGTACGACCGGAAGTTCTCCAAGTAGGCCAGATCGCACAGTTTGTTCTTGGAGTTGGTCGGAGTCGTCGGTTCCCGAGTGGCGGGAACCGTCTCCATCTTCTTGCTACGAGACTGGCGGTGGCCAACTTCAGGCCGGTTAGTCTCGGGCCTGGCATCCGTCGTGTGTCTGCGAGGCATCAGTCCGAACCTGGATAAGTGAAAGTCGATGGGCTCACTCTTCTGCCGTTGGAAGGGTGGACACTCCCCGCGTCGCTCTTGAATGGGCTCTTGGTTCGAGCCTCCTAGTTTCTGTGGTGCATCGGGTGTGGTGTGTCGTCTCGGGCGCGGTCGAAGGTCCACCGTCGAGAGGTGGAAGTCGATGGGCTCAGCGCGGCGACTGCTGCGCGGCTGCTCCGGCCGCTTCCTGGTCTCCTTAGCAGGGGAATCAAGGTGTTCCAGCTCCAGTTTCCCGGTCCTGTCGATCTCAGCGAGGTGCTCAACGGAGACCGGAGTCAGCGCACTGTTAACCGGGTCAGCCGCTGAGACGCGTCGTCCGTGCTTCCGTGGCGCGGGTAAACTCGCCTTGTACTTGGCCTTCCGCAGGTCCACAGTCGACAGTTCCAGCTCATTGGGCTCCTCCGACAAGTCCAGGCTAGGCTTCGCACCGGGTAGAGCGTACGACCGCGACTTCCGATCGGTGGCTGTGGCGTCATGGATGGCCAACCGCGGGGTCGTTCGGGTGAAATCGCACATGTACAAGGGCCGGTTGGAGGCGTGCAGTTCCGTCGCGTTGGCCTGACGCCTGGCGATCATGTACTCGTCCGTGGAGTGCGCTCTCTGAAGCTGCCGGGCGCTCAAGCCCCTCCCGGGACGCGTGACATCGCACGTACGCGCAGTGGGGGCAATGGCCGAAGTGTGGCGCCGGCGACGCAGATCAACGGGCGGCAGCTCCAAGTCGACGGATTTCTGTCTAGACCCGCGACTCGACACTCGTTGGTCCTCCGCCGACAGGAATCCCGCTCTTGAGCTAGAGTTCGAGCTGCGTCCGCGGCTGTGGTTGTGCTCCCTCGCGGCTTTAGACAGGGAATCGATGAGAGCCGCTGCTGGGGCGGAGTTCTTTCGACTGAGATGAGACTGACGGCGGGGCGAGCGGGCCTTCTTGGCCTCCGGGTGCAACCGACTGCACGACAGACACGCGTGCTGCTCGTGGAGCACTGTCACGGACTTGTTGCTCGTAGCGGCCACGTAGCAGTCCTCGCAGACTTGCTGTAAACAGACATTGGATCCATTCATTAGATAATGCCGAAGATGTGTGGATGGAATTCAGTGAGGGCCTACAGTACGCACCGTTCTGCAGTAGCGACAGATCTCCTGCGTCACGGAGCTGCGGGGCGAGCTCACCACGACACCATTGCAGTTGACCATGACTGTATTCAGTATCTGCTGCTCGGCTAATGTCGAAGTGAGCGAGTGAGCGATGGAGGGACGGCCGCGTCGCTCTGCCACTGAGATGCAGAGGAGAGGGAGCGTCGGGGCTCTGCGCATACCAGGACCAGGCCCGTTGACAGCCGGCCCGGCCGCCATGAGCTTGAGCGCAGCCCCCGTAATGCTGGCGTGCTGCAGCGGAAAACGGCCGCCCGCCGCCAAAGCAGATGGCTCGCGACACTCGACCAGGTGAAGCCGCTGCAAATGGAAATGGCCGCTCAAGATCCTCCTGGGATCGCCCCAAAGCTCTGCGTGCGGGTGGTCAACATCAACGACGAGTCCAACGGCGGCGCATTGCAACGCGAGCACCAAGATGTCGGCCTTGCGATGACTGACTGACCAGGATGAAATCGCACCCGAAAGAAGAAGGCGCTGACTATTACATGGGTATATACGATAGGTTTTGTACTACAAATATGCTGTTTGTACACTAGTGCGAGCACTTGTCATGGTTGTCGCCCGTGAATAACCGTTCAGCGAGATTCAACGCAGTCCGGCAGATCAGGTGGGTTCTGTGCTGACCAGCCATGGTGTCGCCGATGGAAAGTATCTTTTTGTATCAGGTTAAAGAGGTGACTTCCTCACAGATTGTATGCAGACATAAATTAAGTATATTAGAACTTCAGAATCAGTCAACCTTGCGCCACCTGCTTCAACGGAATGCCCAAGTTGACATGCACTGCAATCCGCAATCGCCGCTTGCTTGTCCTTGCGACGGATCGACGACTGCGAGTGCAATGCAACGCAGCAACTTCACTTTGTCTACATACAACGAACGAGGTTGTATTGAATGGCGTTGAGTCAGTCACGCTTCGTGATCAGTCAGCCTTGTCGAGCTGATACTGTAGGAGAGACCGTCGTCTTCCTGCGAATATTTACCAGAGTATCTTTCTTGCTGGGCTCACCGAGCGTCCTTGAACGCGCGCAGGTAGTCCAGGTCGATGGCTCTTTGGGTGCTGTCCACCGGGTCCTCCTCCTCCTTGGTCAAGTCGGCCATGACCAGGCCGTCCTTGACGTTTCGCACTGCAACCGACTGGGCTCGTCGCTCCGCCCGAATCCGGCGTGGCGGCGCTGTAGCGGGGTGATATCCATTAGCCCCGTTCACCTGGACGGCGTCGTAGTGACGCCGCATCTGCAGCAGCATGTGGGCGTATGAAGCGCCCCTGCGTCGCTGCCGCTCTTCTTCGGTCTCGTTCTGCTTGCGGGGCTGCACTTGGGGCAGTTGGATCTCCAGCTGCTTCCAGTCCATCGGGCTGTCACCCTCCGGCGCGCTCGCAGCACAAAACTTTGGCGACTTTGAGCTCATCTCGAAGTAATTGGGTGGCATTTCCAAAGACCGGGACATGCCCAGGATGTCGGCCGTCGAGCTCAACCGCTGACCCTTCTTTTCGGATCCGCGAGGCTCGGACCGGCCGCTGCTCGACCTCCTCGGGCGGGTGGCGCTCTCAACCGAGGCGCGCTGATGCTGCTTTGGTACGGAAGTCCGGGGCTTGATATCGGCTGCACTAGCCTGACGCTGTCTTGACATCGATTCCCTGGAATTGCGGTGGTTCCCAATGGGCTGGAGCACGCCCTGTGACGAGCCTCGTCTTCTGCCTTCGGGTATTGACGGCTCATGTGTTCTCCTCTGACTTTCGTGACGTCTGCGTTGCTCCTCTTGAAGCTTCTCTCGCTTCTGGTGCTGCGCCTTATTGTCACGTGGCTCACGCAGATGATCGAGCCTCAACGCCTGGTCGGATACTGTCCGATGTTTGTAGTTCCTCTCCTCCTTCTGTTGCAGAGTCTCCACGCTGGTACATGTAGAGCTCTGGGTTCCGCTAGACCACGACGAGTCGAGACTGAACGGTGGCTGCTCGATCACTTGAGGCTTCTGACGCTTCTCCGCGCATTTCCCGCACATGAACTTGGTGCGAGGCGCCTTGTTGGAGAGGAACCGCCAGCGCAAGGGCTTGAGCTTGGAGAACGTCCCTCGACCTTCGTCGGAGGGTGCGCCATACGCAACGGGGATCGGTGCAGACGAGTTACTGAGTTGCTGCTCAATCGGGTCACCCAGAAAGTTAGTACACAGCGATACCAACGGATGTCACGGGGGCACACATGGGTGCTTGGTGGACATACCTCTCCGCAGAACGCGCACCTCCCGGACTTGGAGCTACAGCTGTCGGACATTGTGCTGTCTTCGGTCGCAATCAATGGAGACGAAGTCGAAGTTGCGGTGGTCGCGTCTGAATTCGAGACTGAACGACTCCGTGGCCACGGATCAGCCTCGGAATTCAAAGGCAGGAGGAGATTTCGCAACTGCCGCCTCCGTCCGGCTCGCAATGCGCGCAAAGCTGCGAGCTCGAGTGTGAGCAATGCTCGAGCATGGAGCGCAGAGCGTGGAACGTACGGCCACAATGGCCCTGTAATCAGCGAAAGGTGGTGTCGGGGAGCGGCTCATCAAGTCGCTTCGGTGTGGTTGCGGGATTGTACCTCAGATGTGCACGAAAGAGTGCAAATCGTTGCAGACCTCGATCTCCGGCTTGCTGCACGCAGTTGTGCCCCTACACTGCGGCGGACGGTGGACTGTTGGCGTCGGCGCTTGCTTGCAAGAGTCTCTCCGACAGGACGAAGGCGCTGTTGACGGTGCGAGGTGGCGCTGCAAGTCGATGGGGGATGATGACTTCCGCCCCATTCCGAGCAACAACACACGACGGACTCGCCATCATTTGGCGCTAGGCCACTCGATACGCATGGGCCATGGCCTCAAAAATTTCTCCTCATGCAAGTAATGCGCCATGCGTTGAGCGTTGCGGATCTTTTAGATCCCCAGTGTGCTGAGTCAACCAGTTCGATAGTACATGTACAGGTAAGTTTCAAGCTGCGTACGAGTCGATACTGCAGGTAAGAACTGTTCCTCTTGTGAATCAGCAGAAGAACACGAAGTCGTTGGAGCAACGCTAAATCTGCCCATCATAGTGTTGCCTCAATTTGGGCAACACAGGATAAATATGGGATGGGGTGTATTGTACGCACCCCGTAATAATGTTTACTTCAAGCTAAACGTTGGTTTGATTCATGTGTGTGGTTGCTGCTCATTCGCAAATTTGCCCCCTCGGACGCAGTGCTCGTCGCTGCCGCCCACTGACAAAGGTTGCGTGTCTTGCGCCGATAGGGATAGATTGGATGCAGAACTGTATGATAATGTTCAAGCGAATATACACGTTTGAGGCTAGTAAGCTTGTTATTTTGTATTATTGCGTCTGTGAGCGGGAGTGAGCAGTTTCTAAATCGCGTTGCCGCAGCGGGGTGCCCGCGAAGTAGAACCGCGCGGTATTCGCGGAGGCGGGGCCAGCACACTCCTCATGCAGCACATCGGGGTTAGTTCTTCTACAGCGGTGGTGTGGGGTTGCTCCCAGAACACACCGGCACGTAGCGCTCGGTAGTTCGCTCCAGCCGAGACTCGAGCTACCGTATTACACATGTAGTAAAGGATTTCAGAAGCACGGTATTTCTGTAGTGAAAAACACGTAGCGCTGATACGTGTTTTTGACTACGGGTTTCCGTAGTGGTCGGCTGTTCAGCGATACGGAAAATCAAAAACCCGTGGCAAAACTACGTAGCGCGGAATCTTCCGAGTGCACGCGGCGTTTTAAGCGGGAACCTCGGCTCAACAAACTTTAGCTGTGAGCGCCAACTTTCGGCGAACACGTCGGCAGCGCCTACACACACGCGCCATCGCTGGGCCAACGTAGATGTACAGTATAGTGAAGTAAAGTAAAAATTGTTCAGTTTTTTAAATTAATGTCTTCTTACTGTTAGCCATGTTAATTCCGTGCCTTGGATGAATCTGTTGGTATTGCATCCACCACGAACACGTGTCTCGGTTGTCTGCAGCGTTTTCATCTAATTTACCTGCGTTGGGTGTTGTAAGTTTCAATTTGTAAAGTTTTTTTGTGGGTCCATGATAGTTCGGTCTACTCGCTTTCTGGCGTGATGCTCGATACTTCCAGCATGCCCATAGCTGGCACCGGAATAGGTACCAACGAAATCGACGCCTCACCAAGTTCCAGAAATGGATGCATGCTTTCTTGGGGGTTGCACGATGGTTTCCTGGCAGTTGTTCGTGGTCTCAATACGGCGCGTCGGCCGTGGTCTCTTCGAACTCCAGGTAGGTTTGGAAGGCGCTACTCGCCCCTTGCCTTGATTTAGGGCGGCGGAGGAGCCTACCGGCCGCCCACGCTGGTCCTTGGATGACAAGTGGGCAGATGGGGTCTTGATAGGCCGATAGCAGCAGATAACGGAGTACACACACAAGCTAAGGTCGCCAACGAGGAGCACTCGGCCTCTAACCTACGGCACATGCGCCCACGACCAACAATTTGTCATCCAGACCCCCCCCCCACCCTTACGAAGAAGCTTAGGCATGCTGCTCCCTTACGTATATTTCGGTTTGATTACCCCGTAGCGGACCCCCTCTCACGGGTTTACGGGATCGAAAAACACGTAGCGTCGCCCGTGCCAAAAATAGATCGGATCGCTACGTGTTTTCGCTACGGGTTTTTGCCAAAAACACGTGCTTCTGAAAGTGTCGACACACAAAATAACGATGCGTAAATTACGCTTTCCTTGTCGCTGATTGTGTTAGTGTTGCCTGTATTAGTGTTGCTGTTGCCTTGTGTTAGCCTGTGCTAATGTTGCCGTGTGTTAGCGTTGCGCGTGTTGCCCTATGAGCTCAAGTTAGTGTTGCTCTAACCGGCTCCAGAAGAACAGATATATTCCTGCCCGATCTACCGCAGCTCCTCTCCACCGGTGTCTCACCAGGGTAGAAGTTCATCGAAGTGCTCTCGCCACGCCCCAAGCCGCAATCTGCAGTACTGTACGTTGAGAATACCAATGATCAGATAGATGCCGCGATCAAAGCTTCCTCCTTAGCTTCGCCGCAGCCTGCGTTCTGGTCGCTGGATACATTCAAGTTCATGGCTGCATGTACGGCACTTTATTCAACGCATCACGTTTACATGTATGTACTCATTTGGTTTTCAGCTGCATTCGCTGACTATCCTTGGTGGCGTAATGTAATGCACGTGCATATCCTTCATTTCTCTCGTATCCTTCCTCCCACCGCTCCTTTGCAAGAATCCATCGGCATCGTCGGCTACTTGAAGCTGGCCAAGTACGACAAGTCACACGGATTCGCCTTGGAGTATCGGATTGAAGATGGCTTGGGCATGGCCGTCATCGACGGGGTGAACGTCTCCGAGGCCGGTCGCGCGGATGATCTGCTTGCTTTCTGGTACCGTTCGTGTGGGCGGGTTCCATCTATGGTGTGATAGCGCGCGGAAGCTCGACGTCCTTGATCAGTCCACTCTATCGGTTCAACCGGAACAGAGTTAGTCGTATAGCGCCGCATCCGCCAGTTTAATTCCTCGAGATTGAGGCCGACTTGGTTACCCACCGGCGCGAAGTCCGTCGAATTGCTTGTGGGTGCGTTGGCGTTGTCGCCTGGAGACTTCCTCCGTCTTGTAGGCGCACAGCCCGTTGGTTTCGCTCGACTTGACAGCCTCGAGTTTCCTGTCGTGCGACTCTGCCGACGCTCCAAGAAGTTATCCAGTGGTACATTCGCTGGCTGACGAGCTGATGCACGTGATTGACAGCGTCGTCGTTGCTGGGCCGTATGATCACCTGGAAGGAAGACCGTCTCGCTTGGGAGAACTGCAATACGATAGAATAACAGTGGTGCATGTGAGAAACCCGTAGAAGATCATGGCTGGACCAGTCCACAAGATACGTACACTCTGAGCTGCGACCCGGAGCCACCACCCTCTGCGGTCGAGGTCGGGAAGGTTTGTGTTTCTGTTGTTCATGCCGGTGGGACGGTTTGCCTTCGCCGTCAGACCATTTCACGTGATCCTCATCCACATCCTTCAGCGACGAAATGCCGCCGCCATGCTCCTCGTCCAGAATATTGTGCGTCTTGACGGCAGACCCGCTGCTGCCGCTGGACGCCAAGTCATCAGTCTCTGACTCCCCGGAAAGCTTCGTGCCACGCCGGTGCGCGCACGAGAAGCACACAACCTGTCCTCTACTCACGCTGTCCACTCGGTAATTCTTCGCGACGATGTCATCGCACTTATCGCACATGAACTGCAGCAACACAAAAGAACAGGAAACACGCATGAGACCTCAACCCCAAAGCCAATCAGCCTCTTGGTGCAGTCTGCAGCTTACCGATCCGCACATAACGCACTTCTCCTTGGGCTTCCACAACGAGAGCTGCGTGGCACAGGCACCGCAGCGCTTCTCGCCTTGCAGCCGCAGGGCAGTCGTGAGGGACACCTTCCGTGACTTCAGAATTGTGCTCGACATGTTGATGTAGTGGTTGATGAGCTCGATTGTCCTCTTGCCGCGAGCCTTGAATATCATCGGCATGAGCACCGGCGGGATGCTGTCGCCCTTGATGTTGTAGTACACGGTGGCATTCAGCACTCCGCGCGCGTCGGTCTCTTCAAAGAACAGTCCGCAGTAGAAGAGCTCGGCCCGGTTGAAGTCGATGCCTTGCGAGGGCGAGAACGCCGGGCACGCGTCGTGCTTGATCGAGTGCGAGCACCTGGCCCAGCCGCGTCGTCCGTCCGCTGTGCCGTACGGCTTCATGACCTCCAGGTAGCAGAAGTCCTGATCCTTGGCCAAGATGCGGCTGGGCGAATGGAACAGCGACCACCGCAGGCTCGTGCGGTCGAGCGGCCGCTTCTTCGTCGAGGGCTTGAGCAGCACGAGCTCCCGCGACTCGGAGAAGTCGAGCACCATCTTCTTGCCGTCGTTCAGGTACAGCTCCGTGACGTCGTCCAGCGATCCGTAGACGGTGAAGGTGTCCAGTGTCGTCACGTACTTGTCCTTGGGGTCCACGACGTTGCCTTGGGCCTTGGCGTTGTACAGCCGCTCCTGCACCTCCAGGAAGACGTTGTCGGCCTGGCGGACGAGGTCCATCCGCTCCCGCTCCGAGACGACGATGCCCACCATGGTCGCTGCTAATGGCACTCCGGTAGTGACGCTGTGTCGCGAAGAGGCCTCGGAGGACTGGCAAATCTCAGGTAGTGGTAGAAGGAGGGGAAACACGATAGTGCAGCGGGGTTGCGTCCGGAAGCGCCGAAAGCTTGAGCTGGACCGATGAACGATATCTCGGGCTGGCACGAGCGGACACGAACTGCGGAAATGACGAGGAACCGGGCGCGACCAAGCCTGAAGTTGTCACACACACACTCAGAGCCCCCAATCGCACAGGCGGTGCGCACACGCGATACACACAGGCACGTGGCCGTTCCTTCCCCAGGCTCGAAAAATGCAGGTCGAGGCTTCGTGAATGGGCGGGGGTGGCTTCGAAAGCGCAAATGACGGCGCCTTCGACGCCTCGAGGCGACTGCCGTCGGAGCTGTGGCCGAGCAGAGACCGGAGAGCGGAACTACACTGTACTGTAAAGCTTCCGTTAACCAGGCTGGCGAACGGCGAGGGCCGCCTTTGGAGAACTGCGTGTGCTACGTTGGCCAGATGGAATCACCGATCGCTTCGCTCGTCGACGCAGAGATCTTTTCGCCGCCGCCAGGTTGTGCTGCTTCCGTTCCGAGTCCGAGTCCTTGGTGACGTGAAGGTGCTAGACACCGCCAAGAGCCTGCATGCACACGGGCATCTTCTTGAGTAGAGTTCAACGGCCTTCACAGCTGCGCAATGGCGACGCAGTTGGTAATGGCAGCATGACGGCGACTGACCCCGTATCAGCAAAGTGTCCGTCACCGCCTGGCCTGAAAGAAGTTACCTACAGGTACAACAAACCATCACATCACTCCCGTCAAAGCTCAACACCTTTGGCGAGGTTGCAGGGCACTATGGAGCATGCACATACACAGAAACAGATAGACATCTATGCATTTTGATATGCCATTCTACTCGGCATCACTAACTAATGATCAGCACGCTTAGATCCAGTTCTCTTCACTCAGCGATGACCGCTGACTCAGCGAAGACGAGCGCCGCTCTCGTTGGGTTTCCGCCTGGATCGAGCGCAATGCTCGGTATTGATCCTTGATGCGCTCGCGGTATTCTTCCTCGTCGTCTTCGTCGTCGACCTCTGCCATCTCGTGCTGCAGCTGCGTCAACTTGGCGATCTGCTCGAGAAGGGCACGGGCGGGCATGGGCTCTTCTTCCTCGGCTTGCTCCGAAATGACCGACGAGCTCAGATCGCTCGTGGACACAAAGGAGGACTCCGGGTTGAAGTTCCTCCCACCGTGGTAACTCTGGTGTCCGTTGAACCCCACGGCGGGCTCCTCGTGATCTAGCTCCGACAGGTCCATTTCATCTGGCGTCAGCACCGACGCAATCGATTCACGGCACTCCTCTTCGAGTTGGCGGATCCTGCGGCGAAGTCTCTCCATGTCAGCCGCGTGCTTAGTCTCAGCCTCCTCCATGACGTTTGATGAACGCCATCGCATCTCTTCCTCCTCATCTCGGAAGTTGGGATGCAGTGAACGGCCAGGCTGGTACGCGCTGCCAAGCATCTCTTCATCGAAGTTGGAAATGCGGTCGCCAAGGTGATCCTGCGCAATCCGGTTCAACTCGTCCATGCGTCGCATATGGCTCGCTTCCATACGACGCACGTGGCTCGCCTCCATCACGTTCGACGAGCCAGCCGAGTGCAGGGCCCGGTTCGCGCGGACCATCTCGAACAGCTCATTTGTCGGACGATTCATCAGGTCTTCGTCGAGGTCCGACACGGACGAATCGCGAGGAGAGGCAAGTCGATCGGACATCACGCTACTGGACATGCTGCTCGAGAATCGCCCCCTTGCTGATGAGTACTGCTGTGCTGTGCCTTCTTCGTCGATGCTAGGAATGCTCTTTAGATCTCCCTGGCGAACATCTGCGCTGTCGCGGGGTGAGCGCGTATCGTCGTCGTCATCAGCGTACTGCTCGTCCACTTGGGGAAGCTTGCTACTGGGAGCCACCATGGACGCAAAGAATTCGTCCACAGCCTGGCCTCCTTCACCTAGAACAAGTTGGGAACTCTGCGGCTGGAACTTGGGGGCCTTCTTCGCAGGCTGGTACGAGCTGCCAAACGCCTCTTCATCGAAGTTGGAAATGCGGTCGCCAAGGTGATCCTGCGCAATCCGGTTCAACTCATCCATACGCCGTACGTGGCTTGCTTCCATACGACGCACGTGGCTCGCCTCCATCACGTTCGTGGAGTCAGCCGAGTGCAGGGCCCGGTTCGCGCGGACCATCTCGAACAGCTCATTCGTCGGACGGTTCATCAGGTCTTCGTCAAGGTCCGATGCGGAAGACCTGCGAGCAGAGGTGAGGTCGTCGATAGACATCGTGTTCGAGAACTCCGCCTTCGGTGAATGGTACTCCGGTACCGCGTCCTTCATGTCCTGCTGGGTAAACTCGGCTGAGCCGCGAGGTGAACCAATAGAACTGTCGCTGTCCTCGTCAGAATGCTGCTCCTCCACCTCAGAGAGTTTTCTCGAGGCTTGAAACTCATCATTGCCTGCATCTCCCTCGGCTTGGAGCTTAGGAGCAGTCTTCACGGACTGCTGCGAGCTGCCAAGCATCTCTTCATCGAAGTTGGAAATGCGGTCGCCAAGGTGATCCTGCGCAATCCGGTTCAACTCATCCATACGCCGTACGTGGCTTGCTTCCATACGACGCACGTGGCTCGCCTCCATCACGTTCGTGGAGTCAGCCGTTTGCAGGGCTCGGTTCGCGCGGACCATCTCGAACAGCTCATTCGTCGGACGGTTCATCAGGTCTTCGTCAAGGTCCGATGCGGAAGACCTGCGAGCAGAGGTGAGGTCGTCGATAGACATCGTGTTCGAGAACTCCGCCTTCGGTGAATGGTACTCCGGTACCGCGTCCTTCATGTCCTGCTGGGTAAACTCGGCTGAGCTGCGAGGTGAACCAATAGAACTGTCGCTGTCCTCGTCAGAATGCTGCTCCTCCACCTCAGAGAGTTTTCTCGAGGCTTGAAACTCATCATTGCCTGCATCTCCCTCGGCTTGGAGCTTAGGAGCAGTCTTCACGGACTGCTGCGAGCTGCCAAGTATCTCTTCATCGAAGTTGGAAATGCGGTCGCCAAGGTGATCCTGCGCAATCCGGTTCAACTCATCCATACGCCGTACGTGGCTTGCTTCCATACGACGCACGTGGCTCGCCTCCATCACGTTCGTGGAGTCAGCCGAGTGCAGGGCTCGGTTCGCGCGGACCATCTCGAACAGCTCATTCGTCGGACGGTTCATCAGGTCTTCGTCAAGGTCCGATGCGGAAGACCTGCGAGCAGAGGTGAGGTCGTCGATAGACATCGTGTTCGAGAACTCCGCCTTCGGTGAATGGTACTCCGGTACCGCGTCCTTCATGTCCTGCTGGGTAAACTCGGCTGAGCTGCGAGGTGAACCAATAGAACTGTCGCTGTCCTCGTCAGAATGCTGCTCCTCCACCTCAGAGAGTTTTCTCGAGGCTTGAAACTCATCATTGCCTGCATCTCCCTCGGCTTGGAGCTTAGGAGCAGTCTTCACGGACTGCTGCGAGCTGCCAAGCATCTCTTCATCGAAGTTGGAAATGCGGTCGCCAAGGTGATCCTGCGCAATCCGGTTCAACTCGTCCATGCGTCGCATATGGCTCGCTTCCATACGACGCACGTGGCTCGCCTCCATCACGTTCGACGAGCCAGCCGAGTGCAGGGCCCGGTTCGCGCGGACCATCTCGAACAGCTCATTTGTCGGACGATTCATCAGGTCTTCGTCGAGGTCCGACACGGACGAATCGCGAGGAGAGGCAAGTCGATCGGACATCACGCTACTGGACATGCTGCTCGAGAATCGCCCCCTTGCTGATGAGTACTGCTGTGCTGTGCCTTCTTCGTCGATGCTA